TTTCCTTGATTTCCTCGCTGTCCCGACATATTACTCAATGGCTATGCTCAAATCCAACAATGGACCGATGAACACGCTCGCGACGGATGGAGCTAACAAGTTCGAGCTTACTGTACAGAACGATGGAGAGAAAGTTACGCTCAAGACAAGGATCAACACTGTCAAGATCGTTGATACTCTCATCGACGAGCAGCCTTTGGCTATCTATGCGACGGATAAGGTTTTGTTGCCTAAAGAGCTCTTTAAGGCTTCGGCTGTTGATGCTCCGGCTCCTGCTCCTGCACCTGAGGACGGCGATGTTGCGGATTCTCCAAAACCGGCTAAAGGTAAAGGGAAAGGGAAGAAGAAGAAGGCTGCACCGTCCCCTGATGAGTCGGGTTTTGGTGACTCGGATTCGCCAGCGGAAGGGCCTGATGGAGAGGCGGATGATTCGACCGCTGATGAAGCTGGTGCGGTTAGGATCATCGGGGGAGCTAAGGCTGGTTTGGTGGTGAGCTTGCTCTGCTTGTTTGCTTCTTCTTGGCTTCTATAGTTCACTTCTTGTTTCTTCTATGTATTTTTGTTCGTTTCCTTTTTGTGCATCTTTTGTTTTATGGTTTTTGAGGGGAAGGTAAATGAGGATTATTTTATTTATTTCCCCCTATTATTGAGTTTTATTTTTAAAATTTAAAATTTGGGTTGTCGAATTAAGTAGTCGGTAGTTTAATATATATGTGTGTTGGTCTTGGTTTACGTGTATGTTTTAGTTGATTATGTAACGAATCGGTGTTGAAAAGAAGACGAGAAACTACTATATACTTGAGCACTTGCAAGATTCAAGTTTATATTTAACTTCAGTATTTTCAGTCAAACGAATATTGATAATTGATTGGTCTCTCCGCCAAAATGTGGAAATATATTGATGATGATTTAATACGTTATAGTTGAGTGTAATATTTATACTTCTTACAACAAACTCAATCCCGATATAATTGGGAAGTTAATTCCTAATCTTAAAACTATTTCCATTCAATACTTTTTTTCTTCTTTTCATTTTGTAGATGATGTTCATTAACACTTAACAGTTAACCTAAGCTGCATGGAATCGGAAGCGGGTACGCGGAAGCGGAAGCGTTTGGAAACGTGGAATCGAGTTTTTTCAAAAATTTAGGAAGCGGGTACGTGTTGAAAGCGTAAATACATATAAATATATATATATATATATATATAATATCAAATATCTAATATGATGATTATAAAAGTCATATTTATAAATATATAATAGATTGTTTAGTTTTGTCATTTATATAATGATGTAAGGTGGTACAGTGGTTAGTTGATTTGTGACTCTTAGCAAGGACATGAGTTCGATCAACATAGTTTTTTTTTTAATTAAAATTTTATATTAAACAATAAAGATCTTTATCATCTTCTTCCCCAACCTTTTTTCAAAACCCTAAACTACAGAGAGCGACTGCTTTTATTTTTTTCACAGTTTTCTTCATTCACTTTTATTTTATACATTATTTTGCTAAATCTAAGTATGTTATTTGATATTAACCAAAATCAGACATAAAAATCTAAGATCTAACTAAATCTAAAATTTTGCCGCGACGCTTCCAATCTCCTCCTCCACGCTTCCTACTCGGAAGCTTACGATTCCACACGATTCCAAAAGACTCATTTTCAGAAGCGCGATTCCGAGACGATTCCAAGCGATTCCGAACGATTCCGCTCCCGTTTCCGGTTCTGAACCGAGAAGCGACACATCTCCGGCGATTCCATGTAACTTAGCAGTTAACACACGCACATTTGCAATATTATTGTCTCAAAACCTGAATTAAGCAGGACTATGGACAGGTGAAGCCGTGATGGAATAATAAATTGTGTCACATCCTCCTGAGTAGTGGTGGTCTACAAGAGTTTAAAGTTTAAACTTTTAGCATGTGCTATTTATTTTTATGTGAGATATGTGAGTTGAGTTTAATTAATTTAAACCATAGGATTTTGTGGTTACATTGACATTAGACGAAAAATCTTTAGAAGCAAAACTATGTTTTTCTTTGAGTGACTCTTAATTGAATCTTTTGGTAACAAATTGACAATCACACTGTTTTTTTTTTTTTAAGGTCTATGATCATCGACTTCAATACAAATCCTATGTGCTATAACAATAACAATAATAAGAAAGGACAATATTAGATTTGGTCACTATCTTATGTTTTTTTTAACAAGGTTGGTCAATTTTGCAACTAAGAACGCCTACTGATGGATGTGTAGTCTTGAGGAGTGAAGCTGGTCGAGCTACCATACTCGACATTTTCGCATAGCTCGGAGAATCCTCTTCCCCTGACGGCGTAAAGAAAGCTCCGTTAACCATTTCATCTCCTTCTGATTTCCAATTCCATTCTTTCCATTCATCGTCTCCATCTGCACTCTCTCGCTTTGTCACCTTACATATAGGTAAGGGCATGAAGCATGATGTAAAACATTTTGTTCTAAAATGATCTGATGGATATGGTGATAACTAAATAAAAAAAAGTTGGTTCATAATTACACTAATTATTGTTAGGTTAAAACGCTACCTCCTTTGTGAACTGGTTATTTGAAGCTATGAATACATTTCCTTGACTAAAGATCGTTGGATTAGCACTCCCACCAATAGCATACATCTTCCACTCTCTATAAATGTTATTCACTATGTGAAAATATCCATGCCTACACCTACACATATACATATATCTCAATTTTTTTAATATAAAGTTAGTAATATAATTTCGAACAATCTTTATACCTCAAAGATTGTACTAATTACCTCGGCATCCTCTGGACAAGTCCTTCACCAAAATAGTTAAAGGCGATGGTAACACGCATATCCTGATCACCAGAATACTCATCACTATGACCCAAAAGCATGACTTCATTATGATTCAACATGTAACTATTAGAAATCGTTATATCCGTTGATCCATTCACCGCATCAATAAGCCCATCGTAACACCTCTCTAACGTACAATGATCAATCCAAATATCGCGAGACTCGAATATCGAGATCCCATCTCCGTCCGAGAACCCTCCCAACGACGATAAGGCGCTCCGTTTGGCCGGAACACAATCGTGTATATAAAGATTGTTTATGATTATATTACTAACTTTATATAAAGTTAAACACGGCCCGTAAGCTATTTGCACGTTGTTTCCTCTACCGTCAATGGTTTTATATGATGCTACTTGGAGATCTTGTTTTAGTTTAATTACCATGTCTCGATCAAATATAATCCATAGAGGTTGATCTTGTGTTGCACCGTACCGTAACGTACCTGGAGATGGGTTTAGAGGGTTGTCGTCTCCTGAATCAGTTACAATGTAGAACTCTCCTGCTCTACCGCCAATCGAGTCCCGTCCGAATCCAACCGCGCAATCCGCGAGGTTTTTGCGGTTGTCCTTCCATTTCTCGTCGCACCTCCAGCATTCGTCGATTGGATTCCCATTTGCTGATGAGCAAGAATCTGTTGAGTTTGATGTCACTGATGTTGATAGTAGCCTTACGACTGGTGGTTTAGGAACCGCAAACGCAAACGCAGGAGAAACGTTTATTACAAACAAGAAAATTGTACATACAATTGACATTATGCGTTCTTTAAAAAAAGAAAAGAGGTTAAAGTTGAAAAACTAACAAGCGGTTTGAGTATGAATTATTATGTTTATAATTTGTTCAATATATATATGCAAGTGACATTTAAGTGCGCTAAAAAATAAATACGGAGGTAAGTTAATTAGGTGAAAATTGAAAGACTTGGGTCCAATACAAAAGCGCTGCGCCGTTTTATACTGGTGGATTTGATCAAAAATATAATAAAAAAAAAAACAATAACAACAACAGAGGCTATTTAATTGTTACCTCTTTCAAAATAACTGCTTGCCGTTTTGAAAAATAGTTAACATGTCATGTAGTTGCTCTTTGTGTCCTTAAACGGCATCCATGTTGCTAGTACTTTTATTATCTTCCTCGATTGAGCGTTCGGTTCATCCGTTAAAAGACTGGGTGCCGTCAGATAAGTGAAAAAACGATAAACCGTTTGAAGCTCAAAAGTTGAAACAGCGTGGAGTTTTGTTTATTATCCTCTCATCATGTCTTCACTTTCCGTTTGTGTGAAGTGAAACAGAAACAGAGGAAAATGGCAATATCTCAGCTTTTTGCTCCATTGCCATCTCTCACCGGAACTCTAACCCTAAGCGGTCGTCGTTCTTTTCTCCCTCTAAACCCTAGTACCCAATTCCCAAAACCTAGACTGTCCAGGGACAGAGCCGCCGCACTCGTACTCCGATCCAAGGGTGATGATTCCGTCGACGCATCAGATCGGATAATCTCAGCCGTCTGTTACTTCTACCCATTCTTCGATGGGATTCAATACGGTAAATTCATCATCACGCAGTACCAGCCTTTCCAGATTCTCATCCAACCTCTGTTTCCCGCCATCAGGGCTTTCAAGAGCTTCCCTTTCAATGGGTTTCTTATCTTCATCACTCTCTACTTCGTCGTCGTGAGGAACCCTAATTTCAGCAGGTACGTTAGGTTCAACACGATGCAGGCGATTGTGCTTGATGTGCTGTTGATTTTCCCGGATTTGCTTGAGAGGAGCTTCAATCCAAGAGATGGCTTTGGTTTGGATGTGGTGATGAGTTTGGACAGCACTGTCTTCCTCTTCTTGCTTGTCTCTCTGATATATGGGTTCTCTGCTTGCTTGTTTGGTCAGACCCCCAGATTGCCTCTTGTTGCTGAGGCTGCTGATAGACAAGTACTTTGACGCAAGAACAAATCATATGTTTTGTATGTAACACATATGCTGTGATTGTAACTTTCTCTGTATTGGATCTGTCTCTGATAATCAAAACATACATTGTAACTTTTTGATCCATTGAAAAAGGTTTCTGCACACTTTTGCAATAAGAACAGGAAAGTTGACAAATGAAGAATCGAGAGAGAGAGAGAGAGAGAGAGAGAGAAAGAGTTAGAGAGATATCATATAACAATTCTTGATTTGATTAGTTCTCCTCATCACATATCTGAAAAAGCAATATGGTGAGGAAAGATCAATTCTGTGACAAAAGACAAACATAACAGTGGTGACTGTTTTTACATATCTGCACTCATCTGTCTAATGAAAGGGACAAAGTTGTTCCAGTTCTCGACCCTAAAGATCTTCTCATTCATTCTGCAAAATGTAAATGATCTTAGAGTGTCGCCATTCGGTTGCACACAGTTCTCTCGTATTTGCCTTAGTCCCATCTGTAGCGGAATTGATATATAAATAAACATGATTAATAACCAAAATTTTGACCTCATCATATAACCACTTTAGAATGTGCAGAACTTTCACCTCATCAAATCTTTCGCTTGTGTTTCTGCCAGTCACATGAATTGTCCACTTCTTTGAAACATCGTGTATCTAGCAGAAAAAAAGTGATAATGCTGATCTGTTCTTAAGGCATGATTGATTATTTCAATGGGAAGAAGCTAATATTGCAGCACAGATAGAACAGATAAACTAGACCAGTTTGAACTGTGTGATGGAAGTAAATACTGCCACAACAGTGACCGGTGTAAAATACATATGAACAATTGAACATGATTGATTCTAGATCAAAAGTTTACTAAAGAAAGTACCTGTCTACGCAATCCTTCAGGGCTGCAAAGATATTTCTCAGGTGTTTCAGTGTCTGCCATATCTAAACAGCTGGAAAAGATATTAGAGATTCATTTCGTCAGTAACACAGAACCATGTATCTTCGATGAATTATGTAATTAGTAAAGAAAAATTAAGAAGAAAGCTCTTACGGGATATGCAGAGCAGCACCATGGCGAGACAAGACAGAAGCTACAGGATCATAACCATCCCTGAGGGCGGTATTGTAATAACCTGCGGTTAGTTCAGCAGGATGTGAAGATGTCTTATACCACCAATAGATTCCACCAATTTTCGCAACCAGCATTACAGAGCTTTTCTCTTCTTCCTGACGTCTCCGCAAAACATCGGCTGCCTTTGCAAGAATAGCATCAGCATGACAAATCAACTTCCCACTGTACCATTCCTACAAAAAAAAAACAGCTCAACTGTTAGTTTTAATCCAACCTACTAGCCACTTTTGCTGAAAACTACTCAAGATCATAATAATGCGGATATTATAACATGATATGAAGAACATAGAACATACTAGAAAGAAACGACCATAGTCAGAGAGAAAGCTATCATTGCCCTCCTCAAAAAACGGAACACCAGATGGAAAGCTGTTATAGCAGCCAGTATCTGGAATATCTCTGCCTCCCCATTGAGGCTTGCCTTCTTGGGATGCCACTGCCATCAAGTCTTCCATCCTAAACCAAGCAGTATAGTTCGCCTTGTAAGCGTAATTCACACAGGCAAAAAGATTTTTTTGAATAAATAGTCACTCACATGTACTTGTCATGGCATTGGAATTCACCAATTCCAGGGAATTTCCATCTCCCATCTCCAGAAGGATGTGCAGGATATCTGCAAGAGATTCCATGTAAGAAGCTTCTATTATAGATATTGTGGCTTATGTAAGATAGTCCATAGAAAATAAGAAGTACCTAAGCTCCCCCGATGGACCAAGACCTATACTTATTTCTTCAATCACATCCCCAAAATATGGTTCAAAGTTTGTAGAAAAACTGAGCATAAAATCCTCATAGCATTGGACAGCAGTACGGCCACCAAACAAAGGAAGTTGATCGACTCCAAGTGTGAGATAGTCATTGTTGGAAAATCCATTTTTATCCCGATAGTATATATCCTTATTGACGACTCCAATCTGGAAATTATCAAAGTAAAAGCTGCTGAGTGAAACTATATTACTAATGCACAAAGCAGATGTACAAGTTGTTAACAACGGAAAGCAATCCCAAAGATAATATGATCAAGTAAGCATCCATGATTACAACAGAAATCTAAATTCTCCATGATTTAACCATAAAAAAAAACACAGGTATCAGTAATCAACCTCAGATATATTCAAAGGAAGAAGAAAAAATCCGAATCAGGCAACCTTTGTTATGTTTACTGCAGACAAATAACTAAATACCTGTAATTCTAACAATACCAACCTCTCGGATCCAGAGTGGAAGACTGACGCCTCCTTTCCCACCAAACAAGTGCATATTTGAATGAAAACAAAGAGCAACATGTAACTTCAAGCCCGCCTCAGAAATCAGCCTAAAGAGCTCTTCATACAGTGACCATTTAAACTCAAGAGGACAGAAACGCTCTACAATCCCCCACCAAACCTCAACTGCGATTCCATGAACACCAGCTAACTTGAGTGCCTTGAGAGAAACAGTTAAAGCCTTGAGCCTAAAACAAGAACAAATACAAAATTCATTACCTGACTGTCAAGAGAATGCAAAAAAAAAATAAAAAAAATAAGGAACCAAAAGAAGAAACTAGACTTGTCTCGTTCTGAAAATGGAATGATACTATATTTCATACCATGTAAGGTAATATAAATCGGGTACATTGAAACATTTCAAGAAACTTAACCTTTTAATCTTTGGGCACCCAGAAGCATCAATTCCAAATGTATCAATCGGCATCATCACAAAAACTGGAACTCTCTTGTGCCTTGATGATACCAACACAAACGATCGTGATTTCTCTCGAGCATCCATGCTATTACTCATATTCAATCAACAACAAAAAATATCAATTAACTCCAATCCAAATTTTATTCGCAGACAACTGATTACTCTCAGTCTTCCCCAAATTGATCCCACTCAAGAATCGTCCACGAACTAACGAAAAAATGTTCTAATCACTTCCATTTCCTTGAATTTAGCAAGAGAGAGATAAATTAATTACCTAAAGATTCGGCTGTTTCCGGCGACGGAACGAAGCTTATTGATGAAACGGCCGCGTTTGAAAGGAGGAATCATAGAAACGCTTCGGAAAAAGTTACGATTACGCTTAGTTCTCTGCTCGAGGAAACAAGATTTCAAGGAAAATCCTCCGGGATGGAAGAAATTGCCGCCGGAGACTCCGCGACAGCCACAACCGATAACTCCAATCTCCGCCATTTGTCGTCTTCTCTTCTTCTTCTGCTTCTCCTTCTCCTTCGTCGGAGATATTTCTCAGATGGTTTTAGATGCGGAGGAAAAGAGACGGAGATGGAGTACTCGAAACGCAAAATTTTTATTTCTCTTTTCTTTTTTTTTTAACGACCCAAAACTTATTTGGGGCTTTTTATATATAAATGTTAGAAAATTATTAACTTTATAATTCCTTTTCGACCCCTATACTTTTCTTTTATTATTTTCCTTTATCCAAAGCTTCTACAATTGACCCCATTAGTATTTTTTACTCCTAATTTTGACACCTCGTGGCCAACATTAAAGTATAGGTTATGCTTTGGAATAAATCAGTAATGTTACCATAAGTCAATAACGTTGAATTTGAACAAAATATGAGGACTTGACTAGCATATACATACTAAAAAATGTTATACTTTAGATGGTAATTTTTTTTTTTCGTAATACTAGTAAGTAATATCCATTGAATAAGACTTTTTAACTACAAAAAAAAATCTATTGAATTTAAAGAAATTTGCTGACGTGGAAACATCTAGACCCTTAAGTGGATAAGCATTGTAAAATTATCCATTAGAACATTATCTATCCCATATGCATAGGCTACTCGCAATCATCAACACTAGCTTACCAATTGTGGTGTGTTTTGGGGCTTTTTTGGTCATCAGTACTACTACTACTATACTAAAGATGTCTTCACACATCCTATTATTATTTTTTTGTATGCATTGTCGTATATGTATTATATAGAGAGAGTAGATCAAATTAAATCATGGGTCCACTGTCCACGATATGTCACGTTTCAGTCTCTTACTCATCAAGTTGCAAAACTTATGTTTCATCAAATAAAGATGACTTGTTCGAATGCATGTATGGAATTCGGATGAGTTATAAAGACAGTGCAGTTTTGGTATTACAAGTCTTGGGTTTTCTTGGGTCGGCTCAATCAAGCATTGTAAAGTCTCTTGTAGATCGCACAAGGTGTAACCTATGACGCTCGTCTCCTTCTCGTCGGAGAATGCAGCGATCAGAATTTCACTCCTTGGTTTCTACTTTAATTAAGTTAATTGGTTGTCGTATCATTGGTTCCACTCTAAGTGTGACACATTGGTTCCACTCTAAGTGTGACAAAGCTCATACGTATTTAAGTGTGCATGTGGTTTCATTGCTTTCTCTTTTATAAAAGCTAGGTGTGTTTTCAGGGGTTTCATTGTAAAACGTAAACCTTACTTTATTTGGAATAAATTTTAACATTAAACCAAGGAAAGAAAACATGTAAAAAACATTACATCTTAATGTATCGAACAATTACATAGATGGTTTTACTGTTTTTTACTTCGTCGGTCGAAATACAAATGCATGGGACATTTTTCGGTTGCTAGCCATTTTTTAGGTTTGGGGTTGTATTCTTGTTTGCATGTGTTAGCATCATGAGAGATTGAGAGGCATAAGAGCACATAGTCATGGCGATGGCGCTATATCATTAACAAAAAAAAAATTCAATCTCCTTTAAGAAACTAATTAATTGGCGCAAATCACAAAAAACAGAATCATCTTTTCTTGATCATGCTAATAATTATATAAGGTTTTCCTTTTTTTATAACTCTCTTATCCCATCATGTGAACATAGAAACTAAAGATTTGTATAGCCTCATCCTCTTTAATACTACTCGGAAATATTTGGAAAGAAATAAGATATCAGCAATGCTACCGCAATTTAGGGGACGATACAATATTTGGGATCATAAACCCATATAATCTTTTTTCTTGCGTGTGCGTATATTTCATATATATAAACACAGAAAGAGGAACTCCATTGTTAAATCAAGAAACTTCAGAAAGTGGAGCTATTCGACAAGGTATTATGCTAATAACCACTTTTTTCATTTACTTTAAATTGATATATCTATGTGGTTTCCTTATTATTCTAGTTTATTATACATGTTTTAGAGTATTTGGATTTGGATTTAAGCACAGAAAAGCTCAAACTACACATATATTTATATATGGCGTTCTTCACATATGATGATATGAATCTTTGTTCACAACTACACATGTGAAGTCCGACACTGCTACGAAATGTTAGGGCATCCTTAACAAGTAAATCTAGCTTGATGCTATGAGTTAAAAGTTGTAATTGACAATGTCGATGATAAATACTTGTATTATTGGTTTGTACTAGTGCTTATACATTGCAAATGTTTTCACTAATTTGTATGTGTTTTGGTATGATGATATTAGTATTTTAAATTACATAATTATGAGCTATATATTGTTGTTTTTATTCTTTCTTATTTTTTTTTGGCTTTAGATTGAAACCAAGGTAACTGAATGGGTCGAAAGATGGTAAAGATGGAGAAGATACAAAACGAGAAGACGAGGATAACGACTTACAAGAAGAGGAAAGCATGCTTGTATAAGAAAGCCAGCGAGTTCTCAACACTTTGCGGCGTGGACACTTGTCTCATTGTGTATGGCCCGAGCAGAGCAGGGGACGAGATGGTCGCGGAGCCCGAATTATGGCCAAAGGACGAGAGCAAAGTCCGTGAAATCATAACCAAGTACAGGGACATTGCGTCAAGCAGCTGCACCAAGACTTACACCGTGCAGGAATGCTTGGAGAAAAACAACACTAAGGAGGAGAAATCTAAGAATGAGACAAAGTATTCTCCATGGGACAAAAAGCTCGACAAGTGTTCTTTAAACGAGCTCTATGCGGTTTTCATGGCGGTAGAAAACAAGATCCAGGAGGCTACAAATAGGAATCAAACATTTCCTGACACTACTTCTTGGTCTAATGAGCAACTTGGTCTATGCGGTTACAATCAGCAATGTCTTGAGCAGTATCAATTGTTTCCTCTACCTACTATGGAGCACAACGGATTCTCTTTTTTCCCTTTAAACAACCAGATCACCTCGAATACCGCGGAAGTAGCTTCCTTCTCATGTGCGACTGAGCCGATGATAGCGAACGGGCAAACCTTCTTTTACGGTAGTTGTTCGGATGGGTCATGTGCACCAGTGTTACAGAGGACAGCTTATGTGGAGCCGATACAATGGGGTTTAGGAAATAGTATGTTCAACGACGTGAAGCAGTTCCAAGATTATCACTTCAAGTTTGCACAAGTTAATGACTCGGAGGATTCAAGTAAACAACCTATGTAAAACAGGTCGTTTGCTTCATTTCTTTCAATGTTGGTTAGATCATTCCAAGAACTTTTTACTTGAAGTTTTTTCTACTAGTTTGTGGATTTTCAATAGATATCTCATGGAATAATAAAGGTAAGTTTTTATGAATTACTTATTGTACTAAAACAAATAGATTCGACCAACAACTAAATATAATATCATTTGAAAACATATCTAACTATCTAAATTTTCAAAACTAGAGTTACAAGATATACTGAGGAATCTTTTAGACTGACAAAAAGTTAATTTGCTTCTTGTAGAACCAAAATGGCTCCTACGAACAGCAATGTGCATAGAAGACTGTGTTGGACAGATATAGAAGCCGACTTCTCTCCGGCAGGAACCTCAGCAGTCACTGGCGCCAAATTCGCCGTTGCTGGTGCAGAACTACTTACCGGACCTCGTCCGTAAGGAAATATGTCCGGCGTATTCGCTGGAGTTGATGGAATATGAGGGGTTGTTACCGGCGATGTTGCTGCGGTCTCTGGAGCATCGGCGGGTGGTTGGTTTGATGGGGTGGTGGCAGGTGATTCAATGGAGGTGGTGGGACTCATTGTTGGAGTGGAGATTGGAGACTTCACTGGGATCGTAGTGGGAGGGGAAACAGGGGAAGTTGCAGGAGTAGAGACAGGAGTCATGGCGGTAGTTGGAGTGGAAGTCGCCGGAGTAGAGACAGGAGTCAAGGCGGTAGTTGGAGTGGAAGCAGGGGAAGTCGCCGGAGATAGAACAGGGGATTTCAAAGGAGACGAAATGGTTCGAGATGTAACAGGGGAAGTCGCGGGAGATGAAACAGGGGATCTCAAAGGAGTCGCAATTGTCCGAGAGGAAACAGGGGATGTCGCCGGAGTAAGAACTTGGGATTTCGATGGAGACGCAGCGGTCCGAGATGGAGAAGTTGCCGGAGTAAAAACAGGGGATTTCGAAGAGGTCGGAGTAGTAAAAACAGGGGATTTCTCCGGAGACGTCGTAGGCAAAGTTCGCTTCGTTGGAGATTGCGTCTCTGGGGAGTTTTGAATCACGGGAGGAGGTACAGTAGGCGTTTGAGGAGACTTCGTCGGAGATATAAAATGATGAGATTTTGATGGAGGATGTTGCTTCACGGCGAGTCTCGGAGATTGTGCGGGTGCATTGTCCGCTCGAACATTACCAGAAATAGAAATTAAGAAGACAAAAATGGAAATTACAACAAGCCGATGCATCGTATATCTTGTTTTGTTTGATTCTGGGAATGAAAACAAAAATCCAAAAATGTTGTGTTTTGATTCTCTGTTCTGAGAAAATGAGTACTATGAATATTTGCAATTTTCAGTTGATGGATTTATAAGAGAGAATTAAAAAAAAATACGCGAAACGACGTGAATCGTGATATATGACCGTTGGTGGCGCCTGTGTATTATTTGACCGGCTGTAGGAAGTGAAGTAGCCGTTAAACCGGTTGAAACTGGTTAATAGTAGACGACAGGAAGTTTAGTTAAGAGAAGTTTGGACGACGTGATGTTCAGAAGGCTCTGAACGACAGGTAATTCATACTGGTCTTGTAACTGAGCCCATTAATTAGCTAACCCATTTATTGTGGCCCATGAAATAACCAGTGTTGGATTGTTCTGTAAATTTCTACACGTGTTTTCTTAAAAGGACTCTAAAATGCGCGATCTTGCACAGTGTACGATAGAGAATTTAGTTGAATTCCATTGCGAAGGAAAAAAAAAGTTTTAATTGTAAAAAGAGAAAAAAATAATTAAAAAAAGAGGAAGAAGAAAATCCTAGAAATTTCACAAATCTGCCGGATTAGGGTTTCTAGCCTTTTCTCCGTTTCTTGCTTCCGGGAACAGAAGCTCGTGTTCTTGAGATTTGTTCATGTTCCGAGTGAGAGCATAAGCTTGTGGTATTCTGATTTGAGAATACGATTTGAAAGAAAGGAGCTTTCATTTTAACACCTGGAAGAGAGTTTAAGATGGATGAGGGAGATGGGAGAGATCAGATGGATCAATTCCATCAAAACGAAGCGATATCTGCCGTAGCTGACGACGGGTTTATGGCGGAGGAGGAGGATGACGATTATGAGGATCTTTACAACGACGTTAATGTTGGAGAAGGGTTTCTACAGTCTGTGAAAAAGAACGACGAAGCGGGATCGAGAAACGAGGAGAAGGAGAAGGTTAGTATCGAGGGGGATGATAGGGTTGAACCCGTTTTAGCTACGTCGGAAGCTGAGGTTTCGATACCTGGTTTGGTTGGTGAGAGCCTTGCTAAAGAAGGAGAAGCAGAAGGGGGAGGAATTGCTACTGATGTGGTACTCGCTTCTAGTGGATACGGAGCTCAAGAGGTTAAGGTAAGCGATGTTAGCCATGAGACTCCTGGTGGAATTGGTGCTGGTACTGGAGGCGGGATTAGAGTTGAGCTAGGGCCAGCTGCCAATCGGGCAACTGATCTTGAGGCTCCTAGAGGAAATAACATTTCTCAGGGTCTCTTGCCACCACCGCATGTGTTAGGAAATAACGAGAATTTGATGAGACCTGTGATGAATAATGTTAATGGCGGGACTCCTCCTGGACCTGGTAGTAACATGGTTGGAAACGGAGGTAATATAGCTATGCCTGGTGTTGTTGGCGGGGGAACTGGTGGAGGAGGCGGTGGAACTTTTCTTTTCGTTGGGGATTTGCATTGGTGGACAACTGATGCTGAGCTGGAGGCAGAGTTGTGCAAGTATGGTGCAGTGAAGGAGGTTAAGTTCTTCGATGAGAAAGCTAGTGGGAAGTCGAAAGGGTATTGCCAAGTAGAGTTCTATGATCCTATGGCAGCTACGGCTTGCAAAGACGGGATGAATGGTTATGCATTCAACGGTAGGCCTTGTGTTGTTGAGTATGCGTCTCCGTATTCGATTAAGAGAATGGGAGATGCACAGGTGAATAGGACCCAACAGGCACAATCTGTAATTGCACAAGCTAAGAGAGGAGGGCCTGCTGATCCTCCAAGTAAACCTGTGGTGACCAACAACAACGCCGCCATTGGCGGGAATTTCCAAGGTGGGGAAAATAGAGGATTTGGTAGAGGTAATTGGGGTAGAGGCAATAATCAAGGAATGGGTAGAGGACCAGGTAATCAAATGAGGAATAGGCCTGGGATGAATGGAAGAGGTTTGATGGGTAATGGTGGAAGTGGGTTTGGTCAGGGCATGGGTGCAGGACCTCCTATGAATATGATGCATCAACCAATGATGGGGCAAGGGTTTGAACAAGCTTTTGGTGGACCAATGGCGCGAATGGGAGCCTATGGAGGATTCCCTGGGGCTCCAGGTCCACCGTTCCCTGGGCTTTTGTCTTCATTTCCTCCTGTAGGAGGAGTTGGTTTACCTGGAGTGGCACCTCATGTGAATCCAGCTTTTTTTGGACGAGGGATGCCGATGAATGGAATGGGGATGATGCCTAATGCTGGTGTTGATGGAGGACATAATATGGGAATGTGGGATCCTAATAGTGGAGGATGGGCTGGTGGTGGTGAAGATTTGGGTGGTGGAAGAGCTGCAGAATCGAGTTATGGGGAGGAAGCTGCATCTGATCATCAGTATGGAGAGGTTAATCATGATAGAAGTACTCGTCCGAATCCTGTGAAGGATAAAGAAAGAGCTTCAGAAAGGGAATGGTCTGGTTCATCCGATAGAAGGATTCGTGAGGATAAAGATGCTGGTTATGAAAGGGACATACCAAGGGAGAAAGATGTTGGTCATGGTTATGAGATACCAGAGAGAAGGCATCGTGATGATCGAGACACTGGTCGTGAGCGTGAGAGGGAACATCATCATAAGGATCGTGAACGCTCCAGAGATCGTGATCGTGACAGAGAAAGGGACAGGGAGAGGGATCGTCATAGAGAAGACCGAGAACGATATGGTGGTGATCATCGTACTAGACACAGGGACGAACCTGAGCATGATGATGAATGGAACAGAGGTCGGTCATCGAGAGGACACAGCAAATCACGATTGTCTCGGGAGGATAACCATCGCTCAAGATCAAGAGATGCTGATTATGGGAAAAGAAGGCGGCTTACTACTGAATAAATATCGGATAAGTAAGTAGTTGAATCTAATGGTATCTTGCGTTCCTTGTGTATAAATTTACCATTCTTTTTGATCTTTTGCTTATAAGTTTTCCTGACTAAAAGTTAGTTGTCTTATAGAACATATTAGGGCCCAACATATTATTGTCTAATTGTCGAAACTGTGTATATCTCGCAGATAGATGACTTTACTATCATTGTAGTTTATATTTCTACCCTTCTCTTTGCTGACTAAGGTTTTTGTTGTCTTCTTAAATTTGTAATGTTATAGGTAGATTGACTGTGAGAGCTCCTGCAAAACTATAATGGAAGAAAAGGAAGAAGAGGAAGAAGAAAGAAGACCTCAGAGAACGGCAGGTTGTTGTCGCAGAAAGAAGTCTGTCACTGGTGAAATCTGTTCTTCAACTCAGCTTAGTTACCTAGAAGTGGAAAGAAACTTGGCAATCGTTTGCCTTCTTTAAGTTATTAGACACCTTACCTGTTGCCATTTTTATGTGAAACTTCTAAAGACCAGTGTGTTGTGGTGATGTTTTGGCCTTTCGGGTTTCCATCCATTTGTGTTTAGATGTTCTTCTTTTAACTGTTTCTGAATTTGTTGTCCTGTAGTTGTATTAGTTGCAGCCAAATAGTTAGCCTGGCCAGTGCTACTGATTTTGTTTCTCACATGTTTAAGCCATTTGGGCTGTATTGTATGTATCTAACTATCTATCATATTGTAAGCCCTTTCATCTGCCTTTAGGATCTTCAGAGATCATGAGACATGACAAATGTAACAGCATGTGCATCCTTTGGGATTGTGTTTTTGTGATTTCCAAAAGTGATGTAGTAGATCATTTTTCTATATTTTTTTGTTGTTGTTGTAGAGGAAATCTTGTAGCTGCTTGTTCAAGTGTGTACATACATAACAGAAAATCATATTTCTCCATGTTGATGTGTTTTGTTTAAGTTTCTGTAGCATGAACACATCCTCATCAATGGCATACAGATCCTAATTTCTTCATTAGCACTGGCCATGTTGAATCTTCCTTGTTCTGTTGTGCTCTTTATACATAGCTTGATTTCATTAGAATAGTTATCTTTTGAGATCGCTTTCTTTATGTTCGGGTGAATTGCGTGCTTTCGGTCCCTTCTTTCTCGGCATCTATTTAAGTTTGCAAACTTGAGCTTGGTCTTGCTTGATTGAAAAGATCACTAGTGTCATCGTCAATGGCCTCTTTTACTCTTTAATGAGTTTAATCAAAACAAGATAGTCAAAATGATGATATAGGTTCTAAGGAAATTTGAACAAATGTCTTTTAAAGGAAACCTAAATATCAAAAGGGTGTTTAAATGGGGCATGAATCCTAAAGGCGCTTATGTTTAATTGTATACACAAACAAAGCTGCTTATCTGAAAACAACTATAGCTTCTCGTCTTCTTCTCTCTGACTCTACCAAAAGTTAGAAAAAAACCCCCTGCTTGTAGCGCAATCCAAGACCAAAAAACAACCAACAAATTACATTCTCTGATATATTTGCCTAACGACTATAGGCAATGGAGGAGAGAGACCCCTTGAAGCTTAAAATAGGAACTAGGCTAGATTTATGTGCTTTGTGATCAGGCTTTAACCTCCTCTCCACCACCAGATCCTCCAGCTTTCTCTTTCACTTTTTCTTCTCTTCCTCATCCTCAGCATCCTCTTCCCCTTCATCATCCTCAGCTTCATCTGCTAACTTAGTGAGCTCATCTTGGATCATCAGCTTAATAGATGATTTTTTTGAGGTGAGATTGATTTTGAACTTCCCATCTGAAAGAGGTGAAAACAGTGCATGTTAATCAAACAAAACAGCAACCATATGCAAGACCATCGGTGAAGAAAACAACTGGAAACAATCTCATCTGGTCTTTACCTAGTCGCTTGAGGATGTCAGTGAATGTAGCCTGTCAGAAAATGATAAAGCATTTGTTAGATATCTATCTTCTACACTCAATTATTATAATTTCATGACAGATGTTTCACTGTTAAAAATCCTTACCGTGTTGAAATCCACACCTTTCAAGATATCAATAATTGCATTTTTCAACTCTTCATCACTAGGCTCCTTGGTAATTTCTTTCCCTTTTCCACCTCTTTTTCCTATTAGTAGATAAACAAGATTGACAAACACGGATAAAACATAATGTCAGAAGAAAACTAAGAGCTGTAAAATATTAGTTTAACTTCCGCAGTATAAGACCAAGGATTAAGATTTCTCAAGCTTAGCATGTACTCACATATGCTTTATTATTAATGAGAGAGATTTAGAAAAGCATCCAAACCTGGTTTCTCTTTTGATGCAGATTTTGAAGGAGCCGATGACTGATCCTTGGCCGGTTTTTCAGTCTTCTTTCTCTTTGAGGATGCCTTTGGACTTGTATCACTGTCTTCATCACTCTTTTTCCGTTTACCTGCTGAGCGCTTCTGAGTAGCTTTCTTTGGTGGACTGGATTTCGCAGAGACTTCAGTTTTCTTGCTTCTCGATTTCCGTGATGATTCATTCTTTTTAGATGGAGTCCTAGAACCACGTTTCTTCTTTTTTGTTTCTTCCTCTGACTCCTCATCAGATTCAACTTTCTCCTCACTTTCAGAAGGCTGGGGCGCCTCGTCCTCAGATTTGTCAGGAAACCCATTTTCATTCTCCTCCTCTTCATTCTTTTCATCTTCCTCCTCTACCTCCTGCTCTTTCTCTTCTTCATCTTCGTCTTCTTCCTCTTTCTCTTCTTCAGACTCATCATCAGAATGAGGTAAACTCTTTTTCTTAGTCCTTGTTGCTTCCGGAGTCTTTTTTTGGCTCTGTAAAGAACACGTAAAAAGGAATCAGATTTCAGGTAGTTGGACCACATACAGTTGACACAGTGAATTGAAGAAAAGCTACACATGCATCAACTCCATACACACATTCTCTTCACAGTTTCTAACACAAAGATTTATAAACCTTCAGTTTTAAGCTACTGCGTGATACCTTTGCTGATCGTTTTGAAGATGAGCTTCCAGCTGCAGGTGAACTTTTCTTAGGAGTTCTTTTGCGCTTCACTCCCTTTTCAGTAGGAAAAAAAAAGTTTGAGTATGCACAGTAAAAATTTAGGCTCTAATGCTGAACAGAAAGAGTTTACAACACCAAAGTAACCTTCTCTTTCTCATTAAGGAGAACATCACTTGTCGCATGAGGTTTCTCCAAAAACTCAGCCAGCATTGTAACAATATCTTCCTGTATTGGAGGGAAAGTACCAGACAGTCAGTTGCCAAGTTGATTACATCAGGGAAAATACATAGGCATTGATCCCTAACATGATGCTCATTCAATCATGACAGTAAAAGAAACTCCAAAGAACGAAACTTAGAAATGAGTAGCTCTAGTAACCTTCTTTGTTGTAGCCTTAGCAACTGATATGTCGAAAATTTCGCAAAACTCCAGCAATTTTTCTTTGTTGGTTTTGTCAAGCTTCTCTTTTACTCTCAATTTTGCCTTTTCCTGCCAAATATCATTTGAGAAAATTATGTAAGAAATATGAGACGACCATATGTAGAACATTATTAATGTATTGTCTCGCCTACCTCATCTCCTTGCCATTTGTAACCAGAAAAGCGTAATATGTTCGTCTTGAGCTGAGTAGCCTGTCAAAACAAGAAAATTGAGTCACATAACCATGATTAGCATTATACATACGATTGACAGTTTATTTAATTGTCTAATGGCATGGCTAAATATGTAAGAGATGCTCACTTTTCCTCTCCTCCCACTGAATAGAAGCATGTGTAGCTGCTTGAGAACTTCATCAGACTTCTTCCTTGATATCCTGTAAGCAACTGCAGAGATAAATACAAGTTGTCAACTTTATTTCAAGTGCAGATAATAATCTAGTCACTAAAACCAAAAGAAAAACATCTCACAAAAATGAGTGGAAAAGCCAGAAAACAAAAATATAGAGATAAGACAATTAAGCCTATACAGTCAGAAAGAGCACTCCAACAATAGTAAAGGACTATGTGTTCAAGCAAATCATAAGAAAAGCAAAAGCCAAAAAGACTGTTCAATACAATAACTAAATTAGGCAGAGGAACTTTAAAGATTCAAATATTTAGAATATAAACATACCATTGGGGATATCTTTGAGAGGTGTCCCTTTTCCCTGCATTATCCAAATCAAGTTATAAACGGTTCTAACAATAAAACACTACATACAAACCAAACAATAGAAAATTATTGGCAAACCTTTTCAACATGGAATTCCCTTGAAGAATCTTTATCAATCACTGCAACAAGCCTTTCAACAGATTTTCGCTCACGAACAGGGCGATCAGAGAAAGGAGTCCTGGGTTCGATATCCTTCTTTTCTTCCTCACTCTTTGTCTTCCCGCGAGCCTTCTCAGTCTTCCCTTTCCCTCGCTTGTTAGACTTCTTGATATCTTCATTTTTGTCTTCCTTATCATCATTACTCTCTTCTTTTTCATCTTCCTTATCATCCATGCTCTCTTCTTTTTCATCTTCCTTCTCGTCCTTCGTCTCTTCTTCTTTATCTTCATCCTCATCCTTCCTGTCATTTATTTCATTTTCATTCTCGTCCTTACTCTCTGTTTTTTTGTCTTCCACGTTTAGCTCATCAACTTCAGTTTCTGCCTCCACTTCCTCTTCTTTGCTTGTTTCCTTTGCTTCCTCTTCTTTATTTGTTTCCTCCTCTTTCCCTTCTTCAGCCAGTTTGTCCTCATTATTTTCCTTCGGTGCTTCTTTGTTATTTTCATCCTCACTGACATCGTCCCCCTTGTCTCCACCGACCAACTTTTCTTCCTCTTTGATGTCTTCCTTATTCCCTTGTTCCTTTCCATTTACTTGCCCTCCTTCTAGTTTCTCCTCCTTTGATTCGTTCTCAGTTTTCTCTAGGTCTCCTTCAGTAATATCTATCTTCATCTGTTGATTTTCGGTGTCTTTTGTATCTTTCTTGTCATCAGACTCCACATTTTCTTTCATTACAGTATCTTCCATAGTAGCACCTCCAGAAACACCATCATCAGCTTGCAACTTCTTGTCATCTGTGTCTTCATCCATTTTATCAGCTTCTGGTTGTCCCTTGTCTTCGTCCAATTTAGCCATCTCTGCTTGTTCCTTGTCTCCGTTGACATCTTTCTCTTCTGATTTCTCATTCTCAACTTTCTTTTCTTTGTCTGTAACCTCCGCCTCTTTATTTTCTGTCTCACTTTTTCCTTCATGTTGCTTAGTCTTATCATCTATCTCCATTTTATCAGCTCCAGTACCTTCAGATTTCTTCTCTTCCTGTGTTTCCTTGCCACTAGCATTTTCCTGCACTTCTTTTCCACTGATTGCATCTGATGTCTTCTGAAGAGAACCAGTCCCATTTTCTGTTGCCTCCACAGTGACTTTTGTATCTTCTTCCCCCATTGCTAACCCAGTGTTCAGTAGATCTTAAAGCCAGAAACACAAGAACGCTGTGGAAAAAATAAGTATAGTGTCAAAAGCTTACACAACAGGGGCATATGGTATAATATCTCTTGACACAATTTCAGAAGTTCGTGAACCAAAAAGGTGACGCCAAAGAAGGGTTACATAATCCAAAACAGGTTTCACCAGCAACGAAACTAAATGTGCGCAAGAATAACTAATAAGGAACAAGCTCATAGCAACATGTAAACTTCATTGCATCTCATCTCTCTATATACAACTGAATAGAACTTCAAGGTGCTCTTACCAGAGGAATTGAATGAAAAACCTTAAAAAGATTCGATTTTTATAAAGAATATAGACATCAAGTAAGTTCTAAATGATCTAGTCCAAAGCTAAAAACAAGGGTAACCAAAATCTCCCTCAATTTGTAAACTTTCTAGGAAAAAAAAAGAACATAGATTTAGATCCAAACCACAACCACGATGTAACTCAAGAAGAATCCTTGAGCTCACAAAGAAATCAAGATTAATCTCTCTCGAAACTCAAAATTCGTACGTTCCTCAACTAAACTAACACAAATTCACAAAATCATAAATAAAAAAAAGAAGAACGCAAAACACAAACCCTAAACGCGACTTCAAGAAGCAAAGCAACATTCAAAACCAAAAAAAAAAACAAAACACCCACATGCGAATATAAACGAAAGCTCAAGAGATTCAACCGCTAAAACAAACTAACCAAGCTCAGAGTGTTCAAAGAGACTCGAAAGGAGGAGACTTTGGAATCTCACCTCGCTATCCAAAGGCTTCAAAGCACTGAGCTTTTTTTTTTTTTTTTTTTGCGTTTAGAATCAGAATAAAACCAACGCTCCGATTTCTATAGGGTGAGTGATTCGGACGCAAAACCGGATTTTAAATACAGTTAATTGCCACGTCGGACGTGTTGAACGGTTCAGATTTCGTGTTCGATACTCTCCTGGATCGGTGACGCTAGACAAACCCAACCCTCTCCGGTACTCTTTACTTAATCCTAAGAAAATAAAAATCTTCTTTATTTGAGATTATCCTAATTAGGGGGATTACATTAGATTATTAGATTAGATTAGAGAGATCTAAAAAGTCATGATCAATTTTAATAATGTTAAATAAGTTTTTAGACACTCTATGTTTGACAGTTTGTTGCCACGTATAATACTGTTTTCTCTTTTTAATATTGAAATTAATTTTAATATTTATTAATAATAGAAAATAAAGAAATTTATTTATGATTTTCAAATTAGATATAAATAACTTTTAAGAAAATTATGATCCATATTTAGTACTGAAAAATAAGTCTTAGCCGGTATTTAACGGTTTTTCATGTATAATATTGTGTTTATATTTTGAAATGATATTAATATGAACACATACAAAGAACTCCTTCAGATGTCACGTAAAGCATTGGTATATGGAACTCTTTCAACGAGTGCCACAATGAGGTCAAGACACATTAATCAGCATTCCCATTGTCGAAGGTGTTGCAGAGATGATGAAACATCAGCTTATATATATATTTTTATTGTGAATATGCTTGAGCTGTTTGGTGAAGTTATGGAATTCCAAATAATAGAGTTTTGGACTCTTCTATCTTTGTGGAGGAAAAACTTCAGGGTATCTTCTCAATGAATTTAGATCAGAATGTAGATAATGTTATTAAACAACTGCCTATATGGATTCTATGGAGACTTTGGAAAAACATTAATATGCTCACTTATTCCTTGGAGAATTTGTATTTAGTCAGGCTAAGAGGGATGCAAATGAATGGTTAGATGATATGGTCGTGGCTGGTTCTTTTCAACAAGCTCAAAGACGGTGCACTATTCAAGTACGTTCGCCTTCTCACTGATCTTGATAAGAGAATGGATGGAAAAAATGCAGTTATGATGGTTCTTTTATGAATTCTACAACAAAGGCAAAGGCATGCATGTTAGCTTTTCTCGAAAGGTTTATGGTGATTATGAAGGTTCTGGTCAAGCTATTAGGTAATGTACTAGTAATCCTTTAGAATGTGAGCTTCAAGTGGTCATCAAGGCTCTGCAACATGCATGGTTTAATGGTTTTAAGAAGATACATATGGAAAGAGATAATAAGGAGGTACTACATCTTTTACAAGATAAAACTCTAAATTTTGCAGCTGTAAATTGGATCAGAGATGTGAAGACTTGGACCTAGAGATTCGAGAGTATGAACTTTAGTTGGGTATCAAGATTGAGGAATAAGTGTGTTGATATTTTGACTAAATCTACACTCCCAACTACTACTAATGTGTGTATCATATATAATCATATCCCTAGCACTTTGGTTTCTGCTTTACATTGTGATAACAATCTAATTCATTAATAAAGTTTACTGAGTTAAAAAATTATTTTTACAATTATTTGCATCAAATATTAAAAAAAAACTAAGGAAATTATAATCGATATTTAATACAGAAGAATAATTTTTACCCAGTGCTTACGATTTTTTCCACGTAAAATATTGTGTTTATATTTTTTTGGTAATGAAACTAATGTGGATTTTTAGTGGAAAATAAAACCTTTAAAAATAATATTATCCTTATTAGATAGAAACAATTATTTTTTTGAAGTTTTTATTAGATAGAACCAATTATTTTTATGAAGTTTTTATTAGATAGAAACAAATAATTTTTAAGCAAGGGATCTAGTCTCACAAGTCACAACTATCTGAATCATATATACACAGATGCATATTGCATAAACATTGGAAGCATCTATTACAAATTTACACACCTAAAGCTGCATAATCTTAAATCTTATTGCAAAATAATTTAACACATTTAAACTAGTACTATGTATACCCATCATCAGAATCCTTAAACCCTAAACCCTATAGTCACCAAATATCTAGAACACTAAATATATTTGATATTCTTTTGTACATTTGAAATGGAAAATAATGGAAAAAAAACCGGAAACGATGGTGTGATCAACTGATCATGAGATCTATCGAATTAGATTACAATCGTCTTTTAATAGACCCAATGGAAATATCAATCTCGATAAGGTTATCTTCTTCCATATTCACATCACCAATCTCTTCTGCCTGATCTTCGTAATCAATGTTTCTCATTGCCTCTATAGTCTCTGCTTCTTCACTCACAAGAGCAATCTCAATGAGACCATCTTCATCCTCATATTCATCATCATAAGCTTCTTCTTGGGATCTCTCAGCGGAACATAGTACTCTTGTCTTTTTCTTGAAGGATCTTAGAAAGAAAACAGAAGTGGAGATGAACAAGATTGCCATGGTTATTAGGAGAGAGGAGAAGCAGAACCCATGAGAGCTTAAGAAACAGAGGAAAGCTACAAGAAGAGACAGCAATGACAGCTGTAAAAGCAAGCAACGCCAAGAAAAATGCTTTTCATCATCAGATTTTTCCACCATTCTGGAAACTTTATTTTCAAAAGTTGAAACAAAAAAAACAAAAAACACAGAGCTAGTTCAAGAGAGAAGTCGAGATTGTCTCGTTATATCCATTGATCTTTGAGATATATGTCTGATTTAAATCATTAAAGCAAGCTTCGCTCTGTTCGGATCTTGATAAAAGGATAAAGAAAGACGAATCTGAGTTCTTGAGAAAAGTTTCAGACAAGTCTGAGAGAGAGAGAGAAGGAATCAGAAAAGTCAGAGGAACCAAACAAGAAAGCTTTATTTGTGTTCTCTCTCACACTTTCCTACATAATTACACACCTGCAACTAATTTTTTTCGAGATGAGGGAAAAGCCTTGGCTTTTGCATGTACGTATTTGAAAAATAAAACACTGTGTGATAAATCTATAAACAAAAAGCTTTGGAATGTGGTAATAAATCCATGTGAAGCCCACTAATTAAGGATGATTATTTATTAATTTAGTACGTAGTAGTAATAGTAGTATTTTTTAACAAGATTTGTTATTAATTAACCTATCAGAAACAAAAGGAAACAAAACAAAGTATGGATGATTCACAACTTCCAATATCATACGAACACTATGTGGATTTGGTTCAACCAAATTCATCATACAGAGATTCAAACCTGTCGAGCATGAGCGAAGTTTCGTGTATTTGGCTCGCTTGGTTCAGCTTATTTGATTAGGATTAAGTACTAACTTAAAACCAATCCGTCGTGTATCGATACATGTTTTTTCTATATTATTATTTCAACGTAATATCAAAAAAAATTAATTAACATTAATAATTACATACTTTTGCAATGTTTAATCTTTCTCTAGAAGTTACCCCTTTCATAAGTTTGTCGTGTGTTATTTTTATTTTTAGTTTTTTGGTTGTCATCAACTAGGTTAGGTACTTTTAAGTAGGATTATCGATTTGATATTCGAGGTGGCTGAAAATATTCAACACATGAAATGATTATTAAATTTTCCATCTGTTTGTTTTACGAAATTAGGGAATTGTCACTTTAATTTTTTTAATCTTTTAGGAGGAACCTACCTTTGTCTCATGAAAGACCCCATCAATATATTGCGGTTGTTTCCAATGTTAAACACATGAAACGATATACTAACAAAATATAATAAGAAAACGATGTTATTAAACAAAGTTGTACTTATTTGTTTTTCAGATGACATTGTATTTTTGTAGTTGAATACCATAAAATGATATGGCACAATGCATTTGTTTATCTTTCATATATTTTCACAAATGCATTCATATTTTTTTCCTTCTAACCATAAAATGATATGGCATAATGCATTTGTGAAAATATGAAAGATAAAAGAGAACATGCATGATGCAATAATACAAAACCAAACCAAACCATGTTGTATTTCTTACAAAACCAAGCAGTATGATAATTCCACAAAAACACAACGCAAAACATCTCATTAATCAAACAAAAATAGTATCGGATTTTCACCTTCTGGTAGACTAACAAATTATTTACATCAAAAGGACAAAAGAGTTTTGTTGATACTGTAGTTTTTAACTCTTAATCCATATTTGTTCTAGATTGAAATCAGTTTAATACACACATTAGAAAGAAAAAATGAAATAAAGAGGTTTTGCTAATTTTTCACGAATGATAAAGTGACACGTAACCTAATGCGGTCCATTGATCTAAATTACAAAAATGCCCGTAAACATCTCCTTCTCCGACGTGTCAATTGCAAAATAATCGAATCCGGATCCGATTCGCCTCAAGCTCCATCATTGATTTTTGTTTCTCCCTCGTTTTGCCAAGCTCTAACATTTAGGGTTTCGCGAAATCTCAATCTGGTGAACATAATCGAATAAAATAAAAAACTATCTCTTGTAAATTATTACGTTGGTCTTCAATGGATACTTCTGTAATGCAGACGAATCTTCCCAACGTAGAAGACGATGATGAATGGGGTACGTTACTCTCTTTCCTCTGTTAAATTTGTTTTTTTTTTTTTAAATTAAGGTTCTTTAGTGTTTCTGTGATGATCGGATCATTGTTTTCAAGGTCTTATCAATCTTCAGAGCATTGTTTTCAAGTTTCTGTATCTTCTTCTTGTTTAATTTCAAGTCTTTGATTTTGATCATTTTGTTTTTTGGTGCCAGACACTGATGGGTTTGTGATTCCAAGCTTGGAGATTGAAGAAGAGAAGAACGTTACTAATGATGATTCACAAGCTGTTCAAACATCAAAGCCTTCTTCTCCTAAGGTCAGTCAGTGATTTGATTTCTTCTGTATTAGAGGATCATCATATGTTTGTAACTCTCATTCTATGTGTTTGTAGATTAGAGCTGAAGAAAACATCTACTTAGGACCACATGGAGCTCCTCGTTCGCAGCTACAAGATGGTAACACCACGAGCCGCAAGCAGCGGTTTAAGCAGAAGCTCAAGGAAGCAGACCAGAAGATGAGTGTCTCTGGTCGAGAAAACAAAGTGGCCAACTTAAGAGAGCTTGTTGGCGGAGGCGTTGAGAAAGGAACTAACTACATGGCTAAAGGTGTTTCAAGAGACTGGCTTGATCCACATTGCCATGAATCCCAATTCGAGAAACGACAGCATCGCTAACGCTCTTTTTTTTTGCTGTGCTTACCGGGAAACGGAAACCGCTCCCTTTCAAAAATGCTATGTATGAATCAATATACTCGAAATTTCAGAGCAATAAAACAGTCTTCATGTCCTGTGCTTTGTGATAGAGTCAATCATGTACTCTAGAGGAATGCTAGTAAAACTTATAGGACTTCAGTTTTGGGGGAGCTTTTCATATCAGATCGATAGTAGCAGGATTCAGTTTGTGAAGACAAAATATTTGTGTATATATTCATATGTATGTAAATTATACACTCAGCATCAAGAAACAATCACAGTGTGGCATAACATTACAAGAAGAGACAAATAACATTTCAAAAAAAAAAACTGTTTACTGTCTTATGCTTTTCTTGTTGTGTGCAAGCATAACTCAACAAAGATTCTGATTCGTCTTCGCAACATGATGATGATAACGATGGTTACCTTTGAGTCTGAGATGTCGTCTGAGCTAGAACGATGTCTGAAGTTGTTAGAGTTCCCGATTCATCGTAATCGAGTTGCTCGAACTCTTCCATTATCCCAGAAATATCTTTCTCATCAATCTTACCCATTTCTTTCAGTTTATATAGAATGAACTCTGCAGCTCTGCAACACACAAAAGACCAAAATAAGAAGAGAAACAAAAACAAGAAGACAGAAGAGAGAATATGTCTAATGTCTTACCCAACGACTCCATCTTCATCTAGATCAGCTGCTTCGAGATCATTGTTTGTGATTCTTCTCGTTAAAACCCATTTCACTAAAGCCCTCTGTTTGTTTTCTGTATTTAGCTCAACCACATAGAGGAGAAACTGAGCCAAACATATGGTGCTCGTCAAGATCCAAAAAACAGCAAAAAGGCGTCCGGTACCGGAGCTAAAGCTCTTATCGCCATAACCCAATGTCGTAACCGTGGAACAGACACAGTAGAAAGCTTCGATAACCGCCATTTTCTCAACCATCACAAGGAAAATTGTACCAACAAGGAAGAGGACTACAAGGACAAGGCATGTAGCATAACATTTGTATCTCAACTTGTTAGTATGCAGCTCCTTGAGAATGTCTATTTGACCGACGCTTTGACGCAAATGGAAAGCCTTAACGAGCAAAGTCTCTTGCTTCTCCACTAGATAATCCGCTGCTCGACTTAAAAGGTGACTAACGAGGACCATTCCAGAGAAGACAAAGGCACAAGCAAGTAGCCTTGAGGCAGAACTATTAGGGACAAGGTCACCGTATCCAACGGTTGTCATGGTTACAATACAGAAATACACAGCATCTAACACACCATTGGTCTTCTGACCTGAGATCTGGTCTCTCACGAGGTAGAAACAGAAAGTACCAATGGCTAAATATAAAGCCAAATACATGATAACTCGCCGGAGGTTCGGGTTTAGATCAGTGAACATTGGGATTTTGCTCGGATGTGGAGGTGGTTCGTCGGTTTTAATATCATCATACATACAATCACCACGAGGAGCGCTTCTAGAGCGACGCAGTCTTCTTTTCCTTGAAGAAGTTCTTGAGTTTTGGTTGAAATCTTGAGTCATGGTATCTAACTTCTCACTCGGTAACAAGGGTGTATGAGCTGAATCGTTGGACATTTCAACTACCAAACTAAGTAACTATAAGATCTGCAGATCAATCAAATCTCTCGTCAGTTCACAGGACTAGAAACTGTATGAGCTACATCGATTGTCAAAATTATGCTGAAAATTTTGAAACTTTATAACGAAAACCTCATTCCAACATACATGATACAAAAACTTACACACCAAAAGTGACATCGTTTGTGTAAAATCATGAAGTTCTGAGAAATCAAATCAACAAATGGACCAAAGATTGCTAACTTCTCGTAATAGAACCTTCTTCTCAGAGGTTAGAAACAGAATCTTAGTTACATCTAAAGATTAGACCTTTAACCTGTGTGTGGTCAATCATACACAGAATCCAAAACTGACGGAAGATGATGATGGAGAAGAATTGAGACATACCCAGAATTTTAAGATCAAAATCGGAATAAGCGGTGTGGTCGGATCTCGCTATTGTTCTTCATTTGATGTTTTCTCACAGTTGTCCAATTCTCTTCTGTGCTTACTACTTCTCTAGTTTTGTTCTGTTTTGTTTTTCTTTTCTTTTCCATCTTCTTATTAAATATCGTTATCATTTTAAAAATGTTTTATTTTTTTAATTATTTTTGTTCATTATAGAAGAAATTTATTTGATTTCTTATACACTTTAACGACCACAAGTAATGTACAAATAAGTCAACTACCCGACATGCCGTCATGCTTAATCTATAGCATTCTGTTAATGTCATTCCAATTCCTAAGTGATTAAGAATAAAAATATAATTATATCGATACCTATTTTAATATATAAAATGTCGAGATCACAAATTATAATGTTATACTTATACATGATACATCAAAGATTTTATTAAGGCATAACTTCAAAACTTCCTCAAACACAGTTACTATATATACAAAAAAAACACACAAACTTTGATTACTAGGTGACTGACATACATACTTATTAAAAACATTCGATTATCATATTTGATAAGAGGTCGGTGGGGAGAGAGATATGAGATAGTACAACACCAAACATAAACCTTATTTAAAGCTGATCAGGCCAGAGGAATGATTCAATTGCAAAAACCCTCTTGTCTTCAAGAGATCCTTCGAAAGAGAATCCATATTGTTTGAGGAGCAAGTCGAGGCTGATATCATCCATGGCTTCGTAGTCAGACTTGGTGTATTTAGGGTAATGAAGAGGAACTTGGAACCCACTTGGGAATTCTTCTTTCTTCATCATCTTTATCATTTTGTTGCGGTTGCTTTGGCAGTTGCTGGTTTGATCCATATGGTTTGAGTAGCCGAACATGTGAGTGAAAGCCGAGGTAACGAGCAATTTCATTTCCATGATTGTCCTGGTTGATATAAAGAGTAGATGAGGAGGATCGGAGAAGAAGAAGAAGAAGCAAAAAAGCTTTAGACAAAAAAACAAAAAGAAGCTAAAGAAAAGCTCAAACTCAAAAGGCGAGCGTGGAGTAGTAAAGGTGACCAAAGACTAGTGTACATATATATAGGACGAGGCATAAGACGTATATTTTTTTCGAAGAAATAAAATTAAAATATAATTTTCACTTGAGTTGTTTTCTAATCATGAAAACTATAATATTAGCAAGTAACTTTATCAACATGCATATGAGCTGTACTAGAACTATATTGGGTGTTAAGTACACAAAAGTATGATATATAAAGAGTGGTTATTGTTCTAAACCAAACCCTTTTTTCCTTTCTAATGAAATAAGTATGATCATTTTCTTGGTAACACTAAAAATATAACAAAGATCAGATACTTTATTAGCTGAAAAAACTAGTTCGGTAATGCTAGTATTACATTATGCTAATAAAACGAAGGTTCTGGAAGTGATTACAGCTAACTAATATGTAGCACAAGTGATTACAAACAGAGATCTCGAAGGAGAAAGTTTGTCCAAATCTAGAGAATAATGATGATTCATCATCATCGACTTGAAAATTTGTCAGTTTAGACACCAATATGTCCGATATTGAGATCATAACCCGTCACAAAATGTGAAAAAGACGGGTGTGAGCTACATGCACCAGACAATGCATCGGCCAATGATGATTCATGCACTACTAAAATTTCAATGTGGGGCTAAAAAACAAAAATGGTTGGAGTATATTTCATTTGGTGTGGCTTGGTGTGCAAGGAGGAAGCTAGTAGGTGTAAGCATTAAATATTGATATTAAAGAGGGAGGCCCCCCCGTTTTCTAACCAAGACAATCGAATTATTTGGAGCCATTCATATGAGTTTCGTGTTTGTGTGGTGGTATTGATGATGTGTCTCTCTCTTTACAGTCTCATTACAATTGGAAAAATATCTCTCTTTCTTTTCTTAGCAATGATAGAGATTTTTTTGGGGTAGGTTTGTTTATTCGGATGACTAAAGAAAAGAGTTGTGAAATTTGGAGTTTTTGTCTAAAGAGATTTGAGGCCTATTCTGTCCAAATCCAAAACTGATCCCCATACCCAAATTTAGAGTTGGATTCTTTAGTTGAATCGAACTCTAAACCAAACAAGACCCCCACAACTTACATTGGCCTCTATGTTAAACTCCAGTTTCCCATTCTCAACCAACTGGAATTCAAAGCTAGGTTTTTGGTTTGGTTGAACCAAATCGGACATAGACGTGCTCCAAATACTAATTTTCTTCCAGGCATTATTTTTTCACCTTTGCATAAGAGAGTAAGTATCATGTTTACAAAAAATCAATACTTCAGAAAAATCTAGATCCAAAACTCATTCCAGTGGAAATAAATACCTGACTTTTATTGTGCTGCTGTCAAAAAGTAGGTACATTTTGAGAATCACTCGAGAGCATTAATCAATGTTTTGAAGGTTTCAGTGAAGACAATAAGAAAATTTCAGAAACAAAAAACAAGCTCTATGATTTCATTTGGATCATCATGTGGAAGAATTCAATTTCCACAAAAGGGCTTAATGATCAGCTTGAAGAGTTTTCTGCAGGCAAAGCGAAACAACCATCGGACCAGCCAAGTCCCCCAACGCGCAGCCTGCATTTAAAAGAAAACCATCCACATCAATGTTACACAAAGTGAAAATTTTCTACTGAATTATCTGAGCGGTTCTAAAAAACCGGATAGGTGAGCTTACCGATCCATTGGCCCGTGGAGGGACGGATAAGGCACGAGCATATACCAGCTCCTATGGCAGCAAACACTAAGGAAGCCCCACATCTTACTGTGATACCCACAACTTTATTTCCGAGATCCTTCGCTTGCTCTGATATCTCGACTTGTTCCTCTTCTTCTCCCTCGGGTTTAACTTTCGGGAACACACTTCTGTAAATTTCAATGCCTACTTGAACTACCCATGATGCTGAAATTCCAAGGAAGTGACCTGCATGAATACAGCCAGAGACAGAGCATGCATATAAGCTTCAAGAGAGCTAAAAAATTGTCTGATCTGAAACAGACAGGGTATTTGATGGGAAAGTCAGGTCTCAAAGAGTAAAAAAATCAAATATCTGTTATTATACCTCTAAGAGTTGTCTGGCTGACTTTAAAGATGTATACATGTGTGGGCAATCCTCTCTGAGCCTTGCGTAAAGCCGACTGCGGCACATCTGCATGTATATATATTTTATTTATCCACTTCGATTAGTTTATTGACCTAAATCTGTCTACTAACTTTTATGATAACGCAAGTTTGTTGTGGAAGTAAAGTAATGGAATATGATGTTACCCTTTAGAAGTTTCCATGCCATACGCTGTGAGACATAACTCATAGCCAGCCTTTCAAGGACTCTTCGAGTGGTCACAACTGTGGTCTGGATCATTTTAAACCATGACATCATGAAGCAACTAGAGATTGTAAGAACCTTTAATGCGTACTATACAAAAGGAAAAAGATCTGGATATACTAACCTCACGGGCAATTTGCTTTGCTGACTTCTTAAGAGGCACAATCAAGTCTGGGCGACGGCTTTCTTCTGAAGCATTGTTTAGGAAATCATCATCGTCCTCTGAAGCCGTTTTAGGCTCCAAAAGAGGCAAATAGAACATTAGAAGGGATCTCACAGTAGTCATTGCAAGTGCCCTGAACTCAAAGGCCGAGAAAAGTGGTTTTGGCTGGATATTATATTCCTTGGAAGTAGAAATATATGGAAACGGTTCACGCTGCAAAACATCTGCAGACATTTTCCGCAGAGCACCAAGGTAGTCATCATCTATTCCAGCAGCAGCATCACAATACGCAACGCGAGGCTCAAAAGAACTGCAACATGAACAATTTGAGTCATTGATAAGTTTGAAACTGAAACACAACCAATTATGCCAACAATGGAAGCAGGAAACATACAAATAACTAGTTATCTATGAAGTGCTAATCAGAGACTCCGAGAATATCGAAAAGACACATGAATGAAATCTATATAGAGATCTTATTATGTAGATTACAAACAGTGCTCGGGAACCCCTACACGCCCTGACATAAAACACCATATATAGGACTAATCATTGATATAGTAAGCTCACTACAATAACCTATGCATCAAACTGGATTGCAAAATATGATCTTTACAAGTAATTAAAATATCCTTGGATTAGTGTGACACTTCCAGCTCAATTTAAACTATAAATCTGCAACCTTTCTGATTCAATGAGGGATAGAAGATGATCAACAGGCTTTCCTAACCCTAATCCAGAACAAAAATCACTAAAACTAGTAATCAATCCAATAACACTATCGACCACGATCCAGTGAAACAGAGAAAGCCGAACAGATCCAAATTAGAGACAATATCCATACCCGAAGAGAAACCTAGAAGCGAAAGGAGCAGCGGCGGCAGCAGAAACGGCGGCGGCGGAGGCGGATAAAATCGAAGATGAGTGGAGACTGTGTTGTTTGGATTGAGATTTCTTCAGTAGATCTAAAACTAAAGCTATTCCCGCCATGGCTAACAAGCAAAAGTTATCGAAATAATTCGATCGAATAATCCAGTGCTTCAACTAATTCAACTTGTAGATTATTCTCATCCAGCTTCTTCCTCTTTCGATTAAAAATTTGATTTTTCTCGAGAAAAGTAATAATTCTCAGCGTTTCTCACTTCCCTGTTTCTCGGGTACACAGAGAGAGACGAGCTGAGAGAGAGAGAAAAAAGAGAGAGAAAGATCTGTTTGACTTCTCGTTAACTTTTCTTATTTTTTATTTATTTACGGCCTTGCCTATTTAAGGCCCATTAGCGGCCCAACATGTCCTGATATTTTTTTTTTAATTATTTCGTAGTAAATGCACATTTTTCTTCGTCTCTCTCTTCCTTCACCAAAGCAGCTGCTTTTGCCAAACCCCTGTAACTTTGAGAGAAGAGAGAGAAGAGAAGAGAGATCATCCATGGGAATACCTTATTTTCTTCAAGTTTACCTCAATCAGAACTCATTTTCTTCCTCTTCGTCTACGATTTTTAGCTTTTCCTTCTTCAAACCTTCGAAATCGATCGTCGATTTTGTGTTTTCGCCGCTATTCTAAGCTTCTAAAGTTCTCTTTTTTTTTTTGGTTTCCTGAATCATTTGTTCGTTCTGTAAAAACCTTAGAGGAATCGGTACAAAACCATCTTTCTTCTTTACTGATAAAATTTGAGATGCCCGTTTCGTCTTCGTCATGCTTAAGCTGATTACCGCAGTCAAAGTCGTATCTTGGTGTTTGGCGGCGCTCTCGAACTTAGATCACTGTTTCCACGGCGTCGTTTCTGGTATTTCCACAGATCTTCCGAACTTTCCGCTCACTGGGTTCTTCACCGCTTTCTCTAATCCCAACTTCTTCTTCGTTCGGATCATTTGACTTCGACGATTTAGCTGTTTCGTAGGAAGCTGGAAAGGATGTTAATCAGAGTTATGCATTAGAGTGATTTGCTTTAGGGTTTCCACGGGACAGGGGATTTTAGTGTTATTGTTTGGTCATTAAAGTATAGGTTTTTAGGGGTTCCACGGTCATTGATTTAGAGATTGTTTTGAAAAGTTGGTTTTAGGGGTTGCGTTAGAACTTGATTTGAGATACAAGACTATGAATTTGAACTGGCACCGACGGCTATTATCTTTCAGTATTTAGTTCTTAATCTGATGTAAAGAAGGGTTCGGAGCGTTTGATGCTTGCCGGATCATTTTCGTTTTGAAAAATGTGCGAGAATGATCATCATTTTGTGGAATGGAAAGAGCATTTTGTCTCACAAGAGCGAGGGAACCGTGTTGTTCATTACTTCCTGAAGGATTCTGCGGGTGAATCTATCCTAGCTGTGATTGGTACTGAGAGAAGTGTTAGACACATGTTTTATGTTGTCTCTGAGGATTTTGTGCGTGTTCATGGTTCCGAGAATTCAATTCATGCCGGCTTCAAATGGAGGTCGAGAAGAGAGGTTGTAGATTGGCTCACTTCAATGCTGTCTAAGCAAAATATACAAGGGAACTGGTCAAGTACGCTTTTATCATTATCATATACCATATTTGACCATTTTTCTGTTCTGTGGAGAATTAATGAATGCTTCCTTTATGTGGGTCACTTGTAGCTTTCCGATTATTTTTAACGCACTTGTGTATTGTCAATTTACAGAGTCGCCAAAATGTGAGTCAGGGGAATCTAATGGATCTCTCGAATCTCCAAGTAATGGATTTGCGGCTCAGCGAGCTCAAGCAACTGAAGAGGTGATATTTAGCTTCTTGTTTATCTGTACAATTGTCACTGCATCTTACTCCAGTAATATTGATGGAAAATTCTCTCTCACAGGTCCGGCTTCCCATAAACTTGAGTGTTCACAGTTGGGAGATTATGTGGTCTGGGGCTTCTTGGATGTGTGCTAAACAGCTCAAACATTACTCATCATTTTGCAGGAATGGGACAACAATAGGGGTGAGTGGAAAACTTGGCATCGGTTAACTTTTTAGTATATCATTTCCCTGGAGTTATTGTGCATGTATAATTCCATATATGTTGATTTTCTTGTGGTTTGGATCTGTTAAGATCTTGATCATGGATGGGACTTCTCACTTGAAGTCGTGTTTTTTTTCAGGTTCAATCTTTTGTCTTTGTCATGAGCAAAGGGGAGGATCGATATGTTGCATATCTGGAAGATATGTATGAGGACAAGCGTGGCCTCAAAAAGGTCAAAGTGAGGTGGTTTCACTACACAAAAGAAGTGAAGGGTGCAGTTGCTCTCAAAAACCCAAACCCAAAAGAGGTTTTCATCACCCCTCATTCACAGGTCATCAGTGCAGAATGTGTTGATGGTCCTGCCACTGTCTTGACCCGTGAACATTATGAGGAGTGTGTATCTTCCTTTCCTAATTCTTTATTGGCAAGGGTACACATGTGCTATCGGCAACTCAGGAACAACAAAATTAAACCATTTGACTTGAGTAAATTGCGTGGATATTTGGACCAACCGATTATGTCTTGCTTAAGTTCCATGGAGGCTGGTCCTGTAGACTGTGCGATGAATATAGAGGAAGATGAAGAATGGAGTGAGGGTGAAGATGCAATGGTTGGTGCTGAAAGAAGCAAGAAAAAACGAGCAGGAATGATGTCTGACCATCTGTTGACAACATATGAATCTTCATGTAAGAGACTCAAACTTAATGCCTCAGGCAAACAATTTGCTTTTCCAACTGATGGTCAGAAACATCCTTGTTACAATGGAGTTATCAAGGCCGATGCAAAAATAGAGTATCTGTGTCAAGATAGCGGTATTAGAGGCTGCTGGTTTAGATGTACTGTCCTGAAAGTATCGAGGAAACAGGTAAAACTCCAGTATGATGATATAGAGGATGAGGATGGATATGGAAACCTTGAGGTATGTAGCTTCTTATTGAGCCATTCGCTGTTTAAGTCTTGTTCTGGATGAAATTTATTACAATCTTATGTTTGTCACCTAATTATTATTTCTCTTTCTCATTGTTTGTGTAGGAATGGGTGCCGGCTTTTAAATCTGCTATGCCTGATAAGCTTAGCATGAGGTCGTCCAATCGGCCAACGATACGGCCTGCTCCTCCTGATGCTGAAACAGTAGAATTTGATCCTAAAATTGGTGAAGCTGTTGATGCATGGTGGAATGATGGTTGGTGGGAAGGTGTTGTAATTGCCACAGAAAAACCGGAAGCTGAGGACTTGCAAATATATATCCCTGGTATGATTTTGTGTTCCTATTTTCATCTTCTATTCTACTCTCTAGTTGCCTCCTTTTTTCTCCATCCTTAGGATTGACATGTGTTTTTTGTTTCTCATGATGTTAGGGGAGAACTTATGCTTAACGGTTCTCAAGAAGGATATTCGGATCTCCAGAGACTGGGTGAGAGACAGCTGGGTTGCGATCGATCCTAAGCCTGAAATACTTGCCATTGTATCTTCTGACATTAGCCTGGATACCAAGTTCTCCATCTCTTCCACTCTTGCAAAAGATGCCAAGGCTAAGCTTATTGCTATGCCAGATATTGTTGAGGAGGCAATACTTGAAGATGATAAAGCGGACAATTCCCTTTTAAGAGAACAGAACAAAGAGCATAAAGATGATGGGGTTGTTAAAGAGGATGATGAAAGCAGACTTTCAAAAGAAGAGAACAAAGAGGTTGGAAGTAACAAAACTAAAACCTATGTCAACCATGAAAATACCGTGCAGGACCACAAAGAAGATGATGCTACCCTTAATGATGAGAAGCCCCGCAAATCAGAATCAGTCTTCACCCTATCAAAAACTACTACCTCGCTGGTGACAACGTAAAGATGCTTTCTTGAAGTCATATATAATGATGGTAATTCTGGTACGTGCCACATCTCTGGAAACTTTGATGTTTCTTTTATGTATATATAAATTGACATAGTTTGCAGAAAAAGTGATTCTGGGTTTGACTTGGTTGGTGCTGAAGAGAGAGGAGTAGGTAAAGGTTGTATAGAAAAATTGAAGAGGCATGATTTTGGTGGTTGCATTTGTTTTAACTGATCATCTTAAGCATAGGATTATTTAGTACTGGTTGTTTTAGGTTTATTTATGCAATGTTTGTTAGGAGAAAAGGATATCCATTAGTATTTTGCATATTGTCACAAAACTCCTTGTAAACCACTTTGTATCAGCTTGTAAGAAATTTAAGTTTATCTAAAACCAAAACCTGGGTTTCATTTAGTGTACTTTTGTATTTGTTAAAACATGCAGATTCTATTTCCCTCTGCTTAGATTCAAACTAATTACAAATGTATTAGAGGGTATAATTAGGTCATCATCTCCTGTTAGCTAGCTGGACAACTGTGATCCGGTTAGAAAAAGAATTTAGAGTCTAAGCCATTGATCTCCATATATGAACTCTCTGCCCAGAAAAGGCTTCACTTCATCTCTGGTAAGTGTCTTCGACCATGGTGCTCGGCCTCCTCTTTCTGCCCCTCTTCCCCTGCAATTGTACTCCCCAAACATCACCTTCCTGCGAAAAATGAATAGCTTTATGTACTTCCAGATAGAAATGCTGAGTTTCAGTTTAGACTTAAAGATGAGTTTTCAATTCCAAGATCCTTTTTTTACCTTTGCCTCTCAGGGTCTTTCCAGTCACTCCAGCCCACAGGAGTGATAATATCAGCTATGAAACAGTTGGAGTAAACCGTTCTTGAGTAGTTTCCCCAAGCTCTTCCCAGATAAACCATCCCAGTACCATTGATATCACAGTTCACAAACGAGAACCCTGTATCTTCAGTCTCGGAGTCTCTATGATGAGCCGCGATCGCGCCATATCTCTTTGCGGTTGAGTGGATATCACAGTCCTGTTGTTTACCAAACACCAAAACCAAGATCAGTATTATAACAAACGGATTTCGATACAAAGAGTTTAACAAGGAGCGAGTGTCTTCTTACCTGATAAAGTGATTTACCGTTGCCAAAGATGAAATCTACGTTTCCTTGGATATAGCATTGGTAGAAGTAGTGAGATCCACTCTCATCAAAAAGAGTATCTTGTGATCCCAAAACCCTAACTTTATAGAACACTGCTTTGTCCCCTATTATTCTCAACGCCACCGCTTGCTTCCCTTTTTCTCCCGCCTCTGCCACCACCGTGTTCTGCCTCGATCCGAAAACCACAAACAGTTCAATGTTTAGAAAACACAACGCATATAGTAAAAAAGGACCACAGAGAAAAGGAAGAGAGGGTCTATTTAAGGACCTCAAAAGTGATGGCAGTAGCGCAGAAGAAATCAGATTCAATGGAAACAGAGGCGGTTCTGTAAGTGCCGAGCTCTTTACCATCGCTATCAAGGTCCGAAGCTTTATCGCTCCAACTAATCACCGTATCTTCCGCATAACTCTCATTACCTATGAACGAAATGTACGGTTTTGATCTCGGCACAGACACCTTCTCCCTGCAAGGACAAAGACATAACGTATATTTTTAGCTCAGACCAAAGCTTATATGAAACAGAGTAAGACAAAGATTCTTCAAACAGAGTATATAAACACATACAAAGGTTCTCATTTTATGGTATTTACGGACAAAGATTCTTGAGACCCACGATTTAATAAAATCATCTGTAATACAAAAAAAACCACCCACGTACGTAGCTTATGCTTAAGATTATATCCCACTAACCCAAAAATTAGCTTCAACTGCTTTCATTAATAAAAATAAAATAAAATAAAAAATCGTAATTCACAAAAATTGAAAGACGAGATCTTTGGACAAAACAAAACCACACACTCTCAAAGACGTTTCTAAAGACTAATAAACATAATCACGGTTTGTGTCTGAGATCAGAATCTTTTTATTTATTTATAAGTTACCTGTAAAACCCAGGAAGAATGAAGATTTTAACTCTCTGTGAATTGGAATAAGGAACCATATCAACAGCTCCTTGAACTGTAACAGAGTCTCCTCCTCCGTTCTTATCAACCACAATCACTCTGATCACGCTCGTAGCGTTGCCTTTAGCTTTAGCTTTAGCGTTAGTGTTCACCCAATTACTAGTATCCTCCTTAACGCTAAAACTCGTCTCTGTTCTTCCATCTTCCACAACCCTCAAATCTTCCCAACTTATGAAGTTCCTCGGCTCGGTACCTATCTGCAACGCACACGAACTCTTTAAACCAAACATCACTCCAAAACAGAGCAATAATACGGCGGGAATAAAAGCCTCGACTTTCATGGGGAATGTGTTAGAGGGAGGCTGAAACCAAAAAGAAAAAAAAAGTTGGAATCAGAAGAAGGGAAAAAGTGAAGCGTGTGTGGGGGAGTTTTTTCGTGTTGTGGGAAAAAAAACGTTTTAAGGTTTCTTCTTCTCTTCTCTTACGTGGGAGTGAGAGTTTAAAGAAGAAGGAGAAAATAAAAATAAAAACAAAAACTTGGGGCAAAGTTTACGTTTTTTACTTCTTTATTATGAATTTGTGTAGGGAGTTCTTCTTTCTATGGAGGTGAAAGGTCGTGTGAGAAAGATGAGTTTAATAAATACTAGGAGCCTTCTCTTGTATGTAGTTATTTCACAATTCAACTCCCTCCAAGATAAACTCTGCCATCATCTTAATTATATACATAGAGATTAGAGACCCTTATTATATATATCGTATTTATCAAATATATATATCCTCAAATTAAATTAAGTATGTGGGATTAAATCATGAATTAATATATTTAATATTTGTATCTCCTTTTTCTGCAATTATCAATTATCTTATTATTTTGTAACATTTGTTAGAATAAAAAAACTCGGAGAATATTGTGAGAATCAATTTATGATATAAATACAAGAAATCTGGTTTACGAAAAACAAATATTTTTAATTTATGGAAGCTTCTTCTATGCAGAAATGGGAAATTTTAGATTGTGCTCCATGTGTTATATGCTACTTGAGTGTCTGACATAGTATCATGTCATAGACTCATTTGGTATAAGGTTATTAGTTTTGTTAGATATGGTATTAGTCGAGATTACAGGTTAATATTGGTTTGACTACTTTTCTATCGAATTATTGAAAATTGAGTACGTATGGATATAAATATATAGATTAACAATCATGAATCATCACCATCTTGTTTCTTGGGTGCACTCAAAAGTAATAACCGAATGAAAATGAAAAAATGAAGGGCAAATTAGAAGATAAAATTACAAACATGAGTTTTGGAGGGGGTTTAGCAATTAATGTTAATCATTTCTTAAGAGTTACGTTTACTCATAAGACTTTCGTGTTCACTTGCAAACGCAAAGAGGGTTTATTTGGTAAAAATTTCAACTCATCCTCTACAATTAATTTCAGTCTAAGTTTTTTCACAATTACGAAACGACGCTGTTGTCACAAAAGTAAGAAGACACAGTGAAACTCAATCTACATCACTTGAAAATCTTTCTTTCAAACTCTTGTTTGCAGAAGGATGAATCATATCAAATACCTTATAGATGTTCTTAGTATCAACTATATATATATACTAGGTCAAAAGAATATATACTACACATATACTGTGTTTCTCTTCTTGATGATTACTAGAAAGAAGAGGAGAAAAAAAGAGTAAAACTTTACCACAAAACATTGCAGAACTTGATGAAATGTAGACAAAACCCGGAAAAGATTGTTGAAACTCTTGAATCTGTTAAACAAATATTATGTCTGTTGCCAAGCCGGTTCCTCTGGATTTTCTTTTCCTGAAAATGTTTCACTCTTGGCAGAAACTGTGTATCGCGTTTCACCAGAAGTTAGTGGTCACTCACAGGTTCTGCTTATGAACCTCTTTAACCGGATTTAAAGCAAGAAAGTAGTAAACTGTTGACTCGTTGTCGGTAATCAGGAACAAGGCATTTCCATCACCATCATCCTCGCTTTTCATATTTGTTTGCAAACTCCTTCAGTAACAGCCTCTGGCGAAAGGCAAGGTACTTATCTACACTTGTTCCTGCCCATTGCTGACAAAAGCTTTCATCATTTGGGACTAATGAGCTAAGAGGGAATGGCCCTTTCCGCACTTTCTTTAACTCAACCAAGAAGCGGTGACGGGGACGTATCCTTTGATCCAAGGACAAGCTCAAGTACATTGGGTATTTGGTTAGAATGTGGACTTCATTTTTGAGCTCGTTGACCAAATACATGTACTTAGGCTTCAGATTATCTTCTAATGAGAGAGACAACACCTATTAAGACCAAATCGAGTAATGTTATGAGAACATGTATTGTAAACACAGAGACGAAGTTTGGAGAAGTCTCAAGCAATTTACTGACCTGGGTAAGGCTAGTCAAGACTTTCAGTATATCAGAATTGCACATCCCAATGCTCCTAAGGAAGTTGATTCGAGGCAAAAACCCGTCATCGATACTGTAGTGAAGAAGCTGCGGATGTTTCTTCACCATCTTCACTACGCTGTCTCTAGGTGCTCCTAACTCCTTGGAGAGGAACATGTAGCGAGTGTTCCATGTTATATCGAGCCGCTGAACCAATATCTGAGGGCTAAGTTGCACGACTTTCCCAACATCGGTTTCATTTATCCCAACCTCTTCAATCAGATACCTTATCGTGGGTCTCAGTGAATTCTCTACACTGTAAGAGAACAGAGACGGGGTAGCAGCAACTATCTGTCCTATTTTGGAATTAGGAATTCCAAGACCTATCAGAAAGGATATGTGAGCTTTGAGATTGTTCTCAACAGTGTATTGAAGTATCTGTGGTTGTCTCAACAGCATTCTCTTGATATCTCTGTGTTTAACACCGACACTCAACAAGTAATCGAGTCTCTCTTGTGCTGATACGACATTAATCTGAAGGGATGGCATGTGTCTCTCATACATTTGAACAAAGTGTGATTCTTTCAGACCAAATGTGGTCAAGTAATCCAGCAGTGGTACCCATTTTGGATCAATATCGATCTCTTCTGACAGTCGAGGGTATAGTTTCTCCACATATTTCCTCGAATTCACCTAGCAAAACACATAACAACAATAAAGTTTCTTTCTCAACTCTCTATTTGTCTCTAACCAGAAGAATTTAAGCAAATCTTTTACCTTTCCTCGACCATCTAAACGCCATGACTCCTTCTCCTTCTTCTTCTTCTTCTTCTCAGAAGAGGCATCTCGAGTAATGCCTAGATCAAGAACGTCTTCATCAGTCTCGCTTTCTTCAGGATTTTCCCAAGTTTTGACAATCCCTTTCTTCCCACCTACGCAAACAAACCCACATCTTAGCAAATGTAAATCAATATGAAAACACAAGTCTTCTTTTCTGCATAAGAAAAATTCAAATCAACATCTCAAACAAGATGTCAAGATCTCTAATGAAAGCTTTCAAGAATACACACAAACCTTTCTTAGCAATGGGTTGCTTCTGTGACTTTGGCTTCTTCCTTTCATACTCTTTGACCTCAGCAAAATCATCCTAACGAAACATGAAAACCCCAAAATTTGACTCCTTTTAACAAGTTTCACTAATCACACATAAAACCCAGAATTCAAGAAAGAAGCAAAGCTAAAATGTGCCAAATTCCCAAACCCCTTAACCTCAAAATCACACACAATCTCATAAAATTCATGAATAGAAGAGTAAAAAGGAAACTAACATTAAGTAACCAGTCATCATCTTCATCACTCTCATCATCTAGCACTTCATCTTCATCACTGTCATATGGAGATAGCGTTTGCCCATACCTCGACTTCTTCTTCGGGTTAATTATCTTCGGGTTGGAGTGGGCGTAAGATACGACGAACCCACGAGTCTTTCTACCTCGCCGTCTTGTCTCCGGCGAACATTTCTCAGAACCCAAAACAAAGAGAGGTGACTCCGACGGAAGAGTAAAGAGAATTCGAGGTTTTATAAAACAGTACAATGAGAAACCCGCCATTTTCGGCAGAAACGTAAAGAAGATAATGTTACCAGAGTAGAAGAATTATCCAATTAGAGCGACAGCGAATATACCCTAAAACCCTAAATCCAAAATAATTGAGAAAAAAAAAGTTTTTGTTTTTTTTGTTCAAAGGTGACAACTTTATCTTTATTCGAGCTTCACACACAAGACATTAATGGCGTTTACTGTTTCACCATAAAAACAGCGTCGTTTTGAGATTTTTTTTGATCTGCTGCTTTTATTTTAAAGCCACACGATGGTTTTTGTGGTTGGCGCGAACCCGACCCGAAATACGTCGACGTGGCCCAATTTTAAACGGGTCATTTACTATACTTCTTCAACGGAGAAATCGAATTCTGAGTCATAACGGCGACAATGGAGGCTTATGCTTCTTCATCACTGTGTCGAGTTCGGTCTCTGTGGAACGTTGGATCAGGACCAAGTCAGGTAAAATCTACGGCTAGTTTCGTATCTCCGGGAAGAAGAAGAAGAAGCCACGGCTTGATGATAAGTAATCGACGGCTCAGAACGACGTCGTCGGCTCTAAGTGAACTCGCTGAGACGGTGGCGGAGACAGGCAAATCGGAGATTACGTGGCAGATTATAGTTGGAACTATTGGTAAATTACCTGATTAGTGATGTGATTAATAAATTTTAATGTGTTTTTTTTCTTCTCTTATGCTTAATCAAATGGATCTTGCAGCTGGAGTCATACCATTCGTTGTTGCAGGTGTCGAATTCAGCAAAAGAATAGTACGTGACTAAACTAAAAAGATTTTGTATATATGTAATTACACAGATATATATAATTATATATATTTGATACTAGTGTAGTGTCCATTGAAATGAGTTTTGGTTTCAGATTGCACAGAAGAAATGTGAAGAATGTGGAGGAACAGGACTTGTTTTTAAAAACAAAAAATATTTTCGTTGTCCTGAGTGTGGTAACTTCGATTTCTCTCTTTTTCTTTAACAATTTTGAAAAGTAGAAAACTCCAGACAAGAAGCTTTAGTGTTTTTGTTTGCAGGTGGGTTTCTTCCATGGCAGTCATGGAGAAGATTCTTTACAGGCTGATGATGATCTCTGTAATATTATAATCTGAAAGCAATAGGTGAAAAAAGGGAGGAGATTCTCTTGAATACGTATAATGATTTGTGTATTTTACAACACATTTTGAAATTCAAGAAAAAAACAAACAAATATGTTGGGAGATTAAGACCAACATCTCTATCTTAGTGTGTCTTGATATTCATACATACAGGTACAGTTATATAGATCATAAATTACAGAGAACAGTGTTATTCCATTCCTAACCTAAGAAGAATCAAGATAAAGAATGGAAAGTAAGGAGCACTATGTTTTTCCTCCTTTTGTGTTACTGTGCTTTGTGGAGACCATTCTCATCTAGGGACCAGACTGTATTCTCCCTATGTTATGTGAATATGGGTAAGAGGAAGAGATGTCACCTGTTTGAGCCTCGGGTGCGGTTTCTCTTGATCCGTTATATTGATGATTGATACCGGCGTTTAAGCTATTGCCATAGTAGGATCCCATGGGAGGTCCATGAACAAACCTGAATCCAGCAGTTCCATTGGTTTGAGTTTGGTGAATAAATTCAGAACGAATATGTTGTTGTTGCTGCTGATGAGGATGTGGATGCTCGTTTGATGTGTGATCAGGATCGCCAGATGCAATTCCAACACCTAAGTCGAGGCTGATTGTGTCAGTGGTCTCTTCTGGTCTGAATCTGGGCACTGACATGTCATGATTGTTGTTGTTGTTGTTGCTGTTTGACCTTGCTGTTGGTACATCGTGATTGTGTTTGCCTTCGTATGTGGTTATAACAGCTTTTGGATCGTGTGACGCTCTCTCCACATGTTTTCTTACTGGACATCCAGTAGCCGTGCATTTGTAATAGCTCCTGCATTAGCCCAATCAACGATACATGAAAACTCCAATCGTCATACATTAACACATTTGAGCAGGATAAGCTTGACCATCGTGATATATGAGCACCCGACTTCATTTTCTCACCAAAGCTGTATGTTGCTAAAGTAGAGTTTTGCATAGACAATATACTCAACTAGAAATATAAACTAATTGAATCTAGTTCTAGTTCTTAGAAATCATGCATGCAAATGTCTATTTGAGCAGCAAGCGAGGCAATAAGTTATAAGTTTCTTGGTTCTTTTGAAATTGCTTTGTACAAACCTGGGATTAGGGTTGCCTCTTACAACTTTCTGACCATATTTACGCCACCTATACCCATCATCCAATATGTCAACTTCACTCAGAGTTTGAACAACAACACGAGGTTCTCTTATTGGTTTAACAAGTGGAGTTATTTCCATTGCTCCATCCAACCTCCTGCATTTTAAATTCACAAGAAAGCATCCAAAGTGTGTCAAACACACATTTTCAAAGCAAGTAACCTGGTACCTTTGTTATGATTTTAATACCTTCGTTTTGAGAATGGATCATTGTCATCCATGTCATCGTTGTTCCTATTTAACATTGCAACGTCTTTACCCTCGTCATTTGCAGAGACAGCAGATACATCTGGATTACCGTTTTGCTCAGCAGGAGGAGACAAGTTGTAGAAGCTAGATCCCTTCTCTGTAGAGTAGGGGGAACAAATGAAGTTATATACACGTTGAGGGAGAACAATACAAAGGTGGCTTTAGTTTTATGTATCCTTACCATCTCGGCTGTTTAAAGAAGAATGCTTGTCCAGCCTTTCTTCTTGTGCAGGCATAACAAGACCACCTGAGTTTCGCCGGCTTGGTTGCGGTTTAGGATGGTCATGTGTTCCCTTGTATATAATCTCAGTTATCAGTCCATCATGAGACCTTTCGAATAGCTTTTTCACTTCACAATTTGGATGTGTGCATTTATAATAGCTCCGTGGAAATTCACTTCCTTTCACATGTTTTTGACCGTATTTTCTCCAGTTATAGCCATCATCAGCCAAGATCGACGGTGCAGTTGCTTTGAGATCGTTTTGGGATGTCTGAACTGATTCATCTGGATCAGATCTCTCAGGAATATCAGACACCGAGGTTGTCGTCTGATGAGGAACAGTTTGTCGGCTTATCTCAGTTGAGGAAGCTGCAGCCTCAGTGAGTGAAGATGGTGAGTATTTGGAACTATGGCCTTGACTTTGAAACTGGAGGAGTGGCGATCCACTTCTATGCTTGTCTACCTCTGCAGAGAACTTGAAATCAATAAAGCTCTTTTAGACAACCACAGGCCAGAACACACCAAAATGGATTCATACGTGCTAAGCAACTAGAAATCGAAATGTTCATATTCCATGGCTTTAGACAATTTACCATATTGGATGCATGAGGTCTAAACTCAAATTCGCTAGACTTTTGTTCTTCAGAGATATTCTGCTGAATTGTTCTCCCTGTATTAGCATGAAGTGCTTGCGGCTTGAACAATGAACCAGTAGTAGGAGAAGGTTCTGCCTACAAAATTAAAGAAGAATGTCACATTTATCCAAACTCCCACCAACACGAGAAAACAAGATTAAAGAACACTATCAAACACTAAACACCTTATAGCAAGAATCTAAGCAAATAGAGAAGCGGCAATGCAGAGTATAGCAAGAATCAGAAACTGAAGGCAAAGCTGTGTAACAACAAAGCAGAGTTCTTCTCATTTCTGATGATGATGAAACAAATATGAAAACCATAATGTTCTATTTAGTGGGGAAAAACCAAACCAACAAAAAAAGTATCTTCACCAACCAAATTAAGAAAGTCTAGAAATGCTCTCCTCATCCTCCACTGAGAAAACTAGAACCGTAAAGCTCCAAGATTAAGCAAAACACACGGGACGAGAGATGACAACCAAAAGAAACAATCGAAATCTTCACTAGAAACAAAAAAAAAAAGCTTGGATCTTTAAGATGGCATTCATAAGAAACCTAATCAATCTCTCAAAGTAAGAGACAAGAGAGAGAGAAAGTTAAAAGAAGAGTAAAAAACAACCTTAATGTTGGAGAGAAGAACAGGAGACTCCAGAAAAGAAGTAGGACTTAAGCCAGGAGGGACAGTGATATAAGCCGATCTGGAGATCGGAAGTTTCGCCGGAGACATGAGTTTATACCTCGCACCACTACCACCACAGTCGGCAGAATTGCGTCTTGTATCAGGATCAACAGGAAAGTCCTTGCGATTAGAAACATCTGGGTCCATTTCAGACAAGAATGGATAGAGAGAGAGAGAGAGAGAGAGAGAGTTCTGGTCTCTAACTGAAAGTGTGAAGAAGATATTGTCTCAGCGAGGGGAGAACAAAACAAGTTGACTTGTTGACATCTGAAATCTAAAGGACCATTCTTTGTCTGCTTCTTTCTCCTCTTCTTCTCCTCATTGTTCTTCTTCTCAATTTTATTATTGTTTTTATTTTGTCGTGATTTTCGTTAATATTTTGTTTAATAAACAAACAAAAAAAACAAAGAGGAAATTGGGGAATCCACAAACGACAAAAAGTTAGTATTGTAGCTACTTTATACTAAAAATTAAAGCAAAAAAAATGGACGGAGATTTTTATGGTATTGGACTAAATTGGTATAAAAAGACAAGCTAATTATTGAAGAGCTAATGATTTAAGAGATTTGGGAATGATTAACTAGTTTTGTTTATTTATCATGTTATTAGGTATTAGTATATCACTAATCACTGTACATGGTACTTAAAGTAAAACAATGCATCGTAAATCCTTGGATGCATTTGGTTTACTTGGTATTTGGTAATCTAATCGGATGTGTGTTGTTGACGTGAGACTGTCGACCAATTAACTTAACATTTTGGTTAAAACAGTCCACTGCTAGGCATATACTGTACATAGAAGAAACAAACAACAAATCTGAAAATGAATTTGGATGTATAAAGGGTCCATTTTGAGACATTGCGTCATGACAAACCAAGCCTATTTTATTTGTATATTGGGCCAAAAAAACTCAAAACGATCCAAATGGTTTGATTCAGACTATCTTAGTTGGAAAAAAGGAAATATTGTCCAAAGAAAAATAAAAAATTGGAAAACAAGGAAATCTTGTCCAGAAAAAATTGGAAATTAAAATTGGAAAAAAGGAAACAAAAGAAGTTATCCTTTTGTCTCGAGTTTTTTTTTTTCGTATCTTTATATATATATACACACACACTCTCATCTCCACTCTGAGAAATCATATGATTCTCAGAGAAACCCGAGACAAAATTCATCTCTTCTTCTTCTTCTTCTTCTTCTCTTAGTTTATCTTTCTAATAGCAAAGTTTCTTCTCGAGCGAACAAGCTCTGCGAGTATCTTAAGATGGCCGGTGTTCTCGACTATGAAGGCGAACGATGATCCATGTAAACGCCAATCAAAGGAACTAAGCCTCACATTCTCTCTCTCTCAGAACCTAGTGAAACCTAAAGAGGAAGCAGAGACGATCCAACAGAATCCACAAGCTATGGAAGCACACTTATTTCCAAGCTCTTTGGAAACATCTCGTCTATGAAATCTGCTTATATCCAGCTTCAAAGTCTCCTACGCCTTATGATCCCAGAGAAGATTCAGTTAGCGGATAAAGTTGCGATTCCTGAACTCTCAAGAGTAATCTTCCAGAACTTAAGCATTTTTTTACAGAGACAATAACCCCAAACTTGTGTGTGTCTCTCTCCACAAGATTATCGTTTAGCTGCAGAGATCCAAGAGCAGCAGAGTCTCTTCAAGACTTATGAGGTTATGCTGAAGAAATATAGGTCGAGAGTTGTTTTTATCAACAAGCTTTATAGGATGGGAGCAGAGCACATCCGTGGAAAGGTCTTGAACCAAGCGTGGTTAAACTTGACCAACTGCAATTGTGAGCCCTCTGGGTGAGTTAGAGGTTTTTAAAAGCAAGTCGAAATCGTTCGCTTACCACACAGACGGACCTAGAATTACAATAAAAGTCCAATAGGCTCCCTTAAAGGGAAATGAATATGAAACTCAAAATCGTTGTAATGGGCCGACTGTTTTACAATACTGTAATTAGCAATAATACTTCTTCTGTAGTTTATTCTCGAAATCAATCCAAACCCGAACAAGTTCCATTTTTTCAAATGATCAATCCAATTTCTTCAAGAATTATATTTGAGGTTGCTTTTTATGCCATAATTCGTAAAAATAAACAGTCCATGTCCATCATAATATCACTTATTAACTGAAGCTACTCTTCCTCCTCCCAAAGTCGCTTTTGTTTCATTATAGCTTAATGAAATGTCGACGTACGATTGAGTTCTTATAGCTAAAGAGCCTATAAGATTATCTAATAATAATCTCAATTCTTTTCCTAATGACTATAACGACGATGTTATTTGTTCATAAAACGTGGTGATGTGTCAACCAACCAATGATATCATAAACATAATGAGTACTTACTAGCTGAGTGGGTCGATGATTCATCTAAGAAATGAACAATTTGCTTTACCACGTCCATATAATAATAAATAAATATTTTTTTAAAAAACAGTTGCTTACTTTATTTGATACATTTAAATATAAGTATTTCGTAGCAAGAACTTTGATTCGATTAATCTGCGATGAGTTCATGAGCGTTGTCGGAATCACCTTTCTTGCCACTTTTTAGTTGTCACGAATATGAAAAGAAAAAAAAAAGGAGGAGAAAGTTTTAAATGCAAACATCATCATTGGATTTCGTGTATTCTACTCCACTTCTCATTCAAATACTACAGATTTTAACCTTTTTAATTTGTATCAAAAGAGTTGGAGAAGATAGCTAAAAACATGTATTGGATACTAGTAGTTTGCAAGACTAAGGTCTGAATCTTTTAACCCTTTAAAAAAAAGAAGATATTGGTCTGAAAATCTTGTATAGAAATGATTACCTGAATAATTAAAAACAAATATTTTGGGAAACTTGAGGAGTTTGATAGCTTTTTCTTTCGATAACACATATTTGAGGCGGTTACGTTTCGTTTGGTGGAGTTAATTAATTAAAGAAGATAGAACAGATTGTGATGAACTAAAATATGAAATACGTAATTTGTTTTGTTCACAAGCAAACAAACAAACAAACAAATAAATATATACATGCATTTGAAGTAAAAGGAAGAAGAAAGATAAACAAGTTGGCCAGTATATATAAATATGGGAGTTAACGTGAGCCGACGAAGATAACAGCTTTCACATGTTCACATGCAATTGCTCTTTTTATAAACCAAGTCACAGAATTCACTTAGCCTATAACCTTACTTATTATATACATATGCATGGGAAAGCCTTTAATCTAAGGCCGAGTCCACGTTTTTCACGTAAAGTCATTCGCATTTAAAAATGTACAATATGCAAATACAAATATCTTCAACTGTGTTTTTTAGGTTAAAAGACAAGTAGTATTTACTAATTACCCTTTTTTTTTTTTTTTTTTTGTTGGAAAACAAAAATCTAACATGGATATCTTGGTACGATTTGATTTTGGGTCAGATATGTACAAATCTCTTTTTATAAAGAAAAACAAAAACTTAAAAGTCGATGTGGAAATAAGTTACCTATTGGTGTTTTAAAAAATTAAAAAAATATAAAAAAAAACCGTTTCTTATACGAAAAAATAAAATATTGGAACAGATTTCCTAAAATCTCAATGATTTCCTTTTGATAATATCCAAAATTAAAATATTTTAGTCCACATCTAATATAATGAAATTATTATGTGGGTAAAAATAAGAAAAATTCATTCCCAATGAAAATTGTAATTTAAAAAAAAAAAAGAAATTTTACAGATAAAGTCAAACAAACGTCGGTACCATGACTCCTATTATGAGCCGTCTTCGTGCTTTTTAATAATTTGAGAAAACCCTCCAAAATTCTCAAAATTAATCTTAATCGTCCAATGGACTCCTGAGGAAACAATCAACGGTCTAGATCGCTATTATTTCTTCCGGCACAGAAACTTTGACTTTTTAATTATGTAAAATTGACTTAGAAAGTTTATGTGTTTTAAGTTCTGACACTACAACAAAATAATTTGACTCCATAGAGAAATATATAAAACACACAATTGACCAAATCTATGTCAAGAACGTATACAATTTAATCCTTTAAACTCGGTGATAATTGATAATTCACTCAAATCAATTTGTTTGGCATCAGATATTTTTATTAAGTAAAATATATTTTTCACTAATAAATTTCGGTGTCAATGATTTTGGTAAAAAAAAACAAAAAAAAACCCCTTGAAAAGTCCAATTCCAAATAGGAGAAAAATAAAGATATTTATATTTATTTGATATAAAAAAATACTGATAAATTAACTAGTATATATATAAAAATCACAGAATCTCAATTCCGCTTCTTTGGTGTTGAAAAGCTTCTTCCCTAATCTCTTCCAAACAAACACACGCTCCGTTACGTTTTCTCTTTTTACAAAGCCAAAAGCCGAAAAGCTCATCCAGCAAAAGCTGATTTAGGATTTCGATTTATAATTCTCTCTGCGATTCAACAAGCGTTAATGGTATGTGTTCTTCAATCTCTTTATGTGTTTTGTGTGTTACATGTCATATTTGTTCCTAAGCTATATATATATATATATATTTTTGAAGGTTTTTGCCTACCCATGTTTGTTGGAGTCGTTCCGTTTATTAGGGTTCTTGTGTTGTGTTGTTACCAGAACCTAGATATATGTTTTGTTCTCTTCGATTTGATACTGAGTACATGCAAAACTGAATTCTAGGTTTTATCTCTGATTTTTTTTTTTGGTAAATCGTTTAGAATTCGAGTAGCGGAATCTTCGGTGTAAGTCGGGTCGTCTAATCAGAATTTTTCTTTCACTCTGTTTTTGCTAACAGATGACTTGTGCGAGCGGCGATGACAATGACAGTGACAAGGACAAGGACAAGGACTCGGAGTCTTTCGTCGAGGTTGATCCGACAGGTAGATACGGTCGGTACGGCGAACTTCTCGGCTCAGGCGCCGTCAAGAAAGTCTACAGAGCTTTTGACCAAGAAGAAGGCATTGAAGTGGCTTGGAACCAAGTTAAACTTGGTTGTTTTTCCGACGATCCAGCCATGACCGAGAGGCTTTACTCGGAAGTCAGGTTGCTTAAGAACCTTAAGAACAGTAACATCATCTCCCTGTATAAGGTGTGGCGAGACGATAAAAGCAACACCTTGAACTTCATCACCGAGATCTGTACCTCCGGGAACCTGAGAGAGTACCGGAAGAAGCACAGGCACGTCTCTATGAGAGCTTTGAAGAAGTGGTCAAAACAGATTCTCAAAGGCTTGGATTATCTCCACACTCACGACCCTTGCATCATCCACAGAGATCTCAACTGCAGCAATATCTTCGTCAATGGCAACATCGGCCAGGTGTGTGTCTATATATACAAAAACCTCATACTTTTCTTTTGCTAAATTTTTTGTAGTTTAAGCTATATGTTGTTTGTTAGATAGTATAGATATTGAGTTATGGTGTCTTGGTTGGTCTGAAAACAGGTCAAGATTGGAGATTTGGGTTTGGCAGCAATCGTGGGGAAGAACCATTTAGCTCACTCGATCCTGGGGACACCAGAGTTCATGGCTCCTGAGCTATACGAAGAGAACTACACGGAGATGGTTGACATATACTCGTATGGAATGTGCGTGTTGGAGCTTGTGGCACTCGAGATTCCATATAGCGAATGTGATAGCGTCGCCAAGATATATAAAAGGGTGAGCAGTGGCCTCAAACCAGAGGCACTGAAGAAAGTAAATGATCCAGAAGCTAAGGCCTTTATTGAAAAATGCATCGCGCAGCCGAGAGCTAGACCTTCTGCAGCTGAGCTCCTGTGTGACCCGTTCTTTGATGGTATAGTACTAGAAGATGATGACGAAGACGCCGGAAACAATGACAATGATGGAGCTGGTCGTATTGTTTCTTAGATGATTTGTATACAATATGAATGAATGACCCCCCTTTGCTTAATTATTTGTCCAATTAGTTTGGGCTGTATTTTTTATATTTAAGCATTGGTTCATTATATTTCCTTCCAACTTTTATTTGTTTGTTTGTACATAACTTTTTGGTTCGACATGGAAATACGTATAACATTTTTTTCCTAGTTTCTAAACTGATTCCAACCATGACACGATCTATATATAGATCATCTCCAATTCTCCATCCAAAGAGGCAGAGGTTACAGAAGCATATCCGAGCCAAGGAGGCTAATAACATCTGGACTACAAAACCCAAGCAAAGTACATAAACACAAAAAGAAAAAGATAGACACAAGCAGTGCCAACATTAATTAATCCTATAATTTGACAGAGACTCTCTTATGTTCTTAATTAGCACATTAAACGGGAGATGTCCATCAGGTTAGTTAATCCCTTTTCCAAATCCGGAGTAATCATATTTGAAACCAAGAGACGATGTTACAAATAGAGGATTATCGATAGTCCGCATTAATACTTTTATAATACGTATTTACTGGATAATTCAAATTTGAAAAAATACTATTTATTTCTTTGATATATTTATATCTCGAGTGTGTGATTCTTCATCCACATATTAACATGACAGTAATGTTGATTTCATTTAGAATTTGATAGTTAACAAAATGAAATTATAGACATGCAAAACAATGGCGACCAATGTTCACCGATATTCGTTTTTCTTTTCCTCACCGAGAACAGAACTCATGTGCTGATTTACTTGCAAAACAAAGCTCTCACTAATATTCACCATTTTACTTTGTATCATTCCTGTCCCTCCTTCTTATTATCTGCTGTAAACAATGATTGTGAATTTTAAATTAAATAAAGTCATTGGAAGGAAAAAAAAGAAAGAAAAAGTATACACTTCATTCGCCAAACGTATATGTCTTGTTAGTCATTCCGCTATTTCAGTATTAATGTATTAAAAAAAAGTATTATTGTATTATCTTTTTTAACTAGTTCAAAATTTAAAATATACTTCCTCTGTTCTAAGATATACGATCTTTTAAGAAAATACATACATTAAAAAATCATTTAAGTTTTGTTTATTTTTAAAGAAAAACATTATTTAGTATCAACTTAAACAAAATTCAACCAATAAAAAACAATTTGCAGAATATAAATTGATAAAACCAATAAAACAGTATTTAATTTTGCATAGATTTATGAGAAAATCATCTGATTTTGAAAAAATAGCCAAAAAATTATCTATTATAGAACGGAGGGAGTATGTTTTTTGAAAATTAAAGGAAATGAAATGCAAAGTTTTTTTAAAAACTAAAAATAAGAAAATATGAAAATTTTGAGGTTTTAATTACCATTTCTTTTTAATTTCAAACCAATTTTATCGGCATTTTTTATTGATCACAATATATATATATATATATATATTTAAATAAAATAGTTAGAGGATGCATATAAGCACGTTTATCAAAACATTTAAGAAAGAAGTTAAGAAAGAGGAAGAAAATGACCAAGAATAACATCGTTGTTGGTTTTACTATTCGTTTGATGATCCTTTTATTTATTTTGACACGTATGAACCTCACCAAGTACTCCCCAATCTATATATTTTTTGTTTTTGTTTTTTAATCATATATAATTATGTGTTTATTGTTCAAGTGAATCCTTAACTTTAATAATATCTCATAATATCAAAATCCATCCGTCAAATTCCGTATATCAAGTGAAAGGAAAAACGTTTGTTTTGTTAAAACTTAAAAGTGATAAAACAAACTTGTAAAAAGCAAATATCAATTGAAATCCAAATCCTTGGTGAATTTTTCAGATATATTAATTGGTTATAAAATTCCTGGCTGATTGTAAAAAGCAAATATCAATTGAAATCCAATATGTTGTTTAAAAAAAAATAAGATCTAGTTGAGACCATAAAATATATGTTTATTTCAATTGGAATGATTGAAAAATGTCTTTACTCATAGATCAAAACATGCAGGAATAGCACCGAGTTTTTGTCTTGAAAAGGAAATGAGCAAGTTTACGCCGCGTGGGACATGTAAGGGCATCCTCATTAGGGTATCTTAGCCCAACCAGGATGGTCTAACAAACCTGATGGTTCTGTGTTGTGCACTTAAAGTTGCAGGAGTAAGGATGGTTATGCCAGAGGAAAGTGTGTAACTAAGGGAATAGGCCCAAAAGGTTGCATCTGCAGCCACTGCCCATTCTAACGACTTGCATGCATGCATGAATACTCTCGAGTACTAATTATGGTTTCATCCCAATTACTAAAAATCATTACTCATCACTTTTTTTTTTTAAATAAAAGTGGAAAAACTAATGACTCGATAATTATAAAAAGAATTAAACTGAGTAAGGTCGGACCATATATAGGATGGTCTCGTTAGTACAAAACTTATACATACTAGACTATGATCCGTACGTGGTATAGTTTGGGCTTATGTTCTTTTAATATTCAAAAATGTAAATAATAGATACAGTTCAACTTTTGTCATAACAATTCCTATATGTGGAAAAAATGATAATTGAGTTTGCAAACATTTAGAGGTTTAGAACTTATTTCTATCATTTCACCGTATATTCTTAACATTTTCCAATTAACCATCGTATATCCTAACTCATACCATGATAATATGACTTAGAAGCTCAGAAAATTTTACTTTTTAAAAATCAAATTTAAATATTACAGAAATTTATATGTGTAAACATGTTTAAACCAAACCTTTAGTGAATTTTGTTGTGTTTGTGTTTGCACTCTTCTTGTTTTTAATTACGCCATATATATATATGGTCCATGAATGCATGTCCATAACAAATTAATTATGATATGATGTGTAAAAATTAAAACTGTGGAATTTCCGATTATAAAATGTACTTTGAAAGTTTGAATCGTAAATCATAAAACGATCAAAGCTAACGGTGTTGCTGTGTCGTATCCAAATTAGGTAAGACGTTAACCTTGAATAATGTTGTATAGTATAAATTTAATAAAGTAGTTCTTCTTCCAAGTTGATAAATTATCCGAACCAAATTAAAATTAAAAAAAAAAGAAGCAAACCGAATCGACCCAAAAATCGAATCTGAACCAACCTAAAAAGTCCCAATTATTAATATACCCTGTCTACATGCAATTTTTTTTTTTTTTAAAAAAAACGGACAACTTTGCAATAAACTTTTAAAATTTCCAAAAACATGGTGTCATTCGCATAAATCACACGACACACCACCACCAATATCATATCATGTTACACCAAGAAAACACTACTTTCAATATTATATTAATCATATTAAAAAAATTAATTTAATGTAAAACAATTTAGACGACCTTTATGTTCTTTTATAATAATAAAAAAAAGAATCACAGGCTGACTTCCTATTTATTTCTGATTCATTTCTATATATTTTATATTATTTTGATGGAAATGCACTGTCACTTAACCCATAATTTTGAATATTTCCTAATTTATTCAAAAATAATAATAATAATGTAAGATATATATACTGAAATAATTAAAAGTGGGTTTGTCTATTTAAGTTATCAAAGTACTTCATGTTGTTGTTCTTGTCAACACAATACTCCAAAGTACTTCAATATAAAAATGTCTGATTAAAAACTATATATTTACATATATATATATATATTTTGCCAACTATGTATATATATATATATGTTTAATTATATTAAATTTAGTATATATTTAATGATAAAACTATTTACTTAGTTTTGGAAAAAACATAGTTTCAGATATTATAGAATTCAATAAACTCAGGATATGCAAGATTTGTTAATGCATTCTCCTAAAGTGTATAATGTTAAACTATGAAATATCCAAATTTGTTTTCCTACCAAAAACAAAATTCAAATCTTATTTGAAACCACCATATAGCATAAGTTTAGTTACCGCATAGTGCCTAATCGCCCGCTTTAAAATGCATATTAGAACACTTCAAACTTTGAAAAGTTGATTAGTGATTAGAATACATCCTTTAAATTAGTAGTTTAAATACACCATAATATCATTATGCCAGAAAGATACTTTAGGCTAGAATTTGCCTACACACAAGACAACTTGTATTTAGGTCCCTATATTATCCCTCCAATGAATGCTTTTTTTTCTTTCCTTTTTTAATTATACCCTATTACATATTTTTTTAAAAGAATTATTTAATTTTTAAGATGTCAGAATACGATTCAGAATTTCTTGCCACTAAGTTGGATTAAGTACCCAAGTATTACATTTGATTTACTCACGATTATATATACTTAGACTAGACATTAAAGTTTTATATTTGTTTATTTGAAAATTTAGGTAAACAATAGGGATATTATGGGTCTCCATGATCATGATAGTTTATAGTCTAAAGTCTTCTTTCCAAAAAAATATATTTAATTCCAACTACAATCTCAATTGCAACATATTAATATTTTTTTTTAATTTGGTTGTAACATAAGTATTAATTTTGTTGCTTCTTTATTTTGTTTTACATTGAAAATGTTTATAATCTTTAAAATAAAATTTAAAAAAAGAAAAAGAGGTCGTCATCATCTTCTGTCATTTTCTCTTTAGGACCTCTCTCTCTCACTTACAAAATCCTCCCCAAGGAAAAAAAAAAGAAGATGCTTAAACCATAAGAAAGCCAAATCTCATATCTTTGTTGCCTATAATATATTGTTCCCTCTCTCTTTTTTTCTTTCTTAATGGGGATTATTAAAGGAAACCATTTTTACAGATAAAAAAATAAAAAAGGAAAGGTTTTTAATAAGCCATAGGGGCCCTAGAGAGAGAGAGAGAGAGAGAGAGAGAAGAGAGAAGAGAGAAGAGATGTTGGTTGGTTGTTTCTTCTTTATATTATAGGATTGAGGAGGAGGATGATTGAAGAAGAAAACATCCTCTGTGTTTCTTCTTTTCTCCTCTCTACATTTCCTCATCTGGGTCATCTCCAAATATGGTGCTTCTTCTTTTCTTCTTTTTTATAATTCTTGACGTTTCTGGGTTTTTGGTTTTGTGATTTTGATTGGTTCATTTTCTTGTTTCCAGATTTGAAGATCACCCAAATTCGCTATTTTTGATTAGGACAACAAACAGCTACAATATATATATATCTGATTCCGTCTTAAGATTTACGGACAACAACTATAAAGTATGGTTCTTTTTTTTTTTTTTGTCTTTTTGTTTTCAGTTTCATCTCTTTCTGTGATTCTCTCACCACCTTAATCGATTGTTTCTTTTGGTTTCTCTGAATTGGAGCAGGAGCTAAAGAGATGGAATCGGATCTGGGGAAGCTCTTCATTGGTGGGATTTCGTGGGATACTGATGAAGAAAGGTTGAGAGACTATTTCAGCAACTATGGTGATGTTGTTGAAGCTGTGATCATGAGGGATCGTGCCACAGGACGTGCTCGTGGCTTTGGATTCATTGTTTTTGCAGATCCTTGTGTTGCTGAGAGAGTGATCATGGACAGACACATCATCGATGGCCGCACGGTTAGTGTCATTGGAGGACTCAACTCTCTCAATTGTTTTTCAGCAGAAAAGTTCAGATCTTTAAGATCTTATTGAAACTTTCTCAATCAAGCTAGCTGCATTTTCATTTTGAATGCTTCTTATTTTGTTTAGTTTGTGTTTTGAAAACTGTAAAGATCAGTTTTTTTTTTTTTTTTCAGGTTGAGGCGAAGAAGGCCGTGCCTAGAGATGATCAGCAGGTGCTGAAACGACACGCTAGTCCTATCCACCTTATGTCACCTATCCATGGTGGTGGTGGTGGAAGGACAAAGAAGATCTTTGTTGGAGGTTTACCGTCCAGCATTACCGAGGAGGAGTTTCAGAACTACTTTGATCAGTTTGGTACAATTGCTGATGTTGTGGTAATGTATGATCATAACACGCAGAGGCCAAGAGGTTTTGGCTTCATCACATTTGATTCAGATGATGCTGTTGATAGGGTTCTTCACAAGACATTTCATGAGCTCAATGGAAAACTAGTCGAGGTCAAAAGAGCCGTACCTAAGGAGATTTCGCCTACCTCTAGTAACCGAAGCCCGCTTCCTGGGGGTCTTAACTATGGAGGCGGCTCTAATAGGATGTCTGCTAATAGCTACTTTAATAACTTTGCTCCTGGTCCTGGTTTTTATAACAATCTAGGCTCTGTTGGTGGCCGCTTTAGTCCTGTTATTGGTAGTGGTAGAAATGCGGTTTCTGCTTTTGGCCTCGGTTTGAATCATGAATTGAGTTTGAATTTGAATCCAAGCTATGATGGGACAACTTCTACATTTGGGTATAACCGGATTCCAAGCAACCCTTACTTCAACAGTGCTTCCCCAAACCGTTACACCTCTCCGATCGGGCAAAATAGAACTGAGTCTTCTTACAATTCGAACAATAGAGACTTATGGGGAAACAGAACCGAGACTGCAGGTTCCGGTTGGAACTTGAATGTCTCGAATGAAAACAACAGAGGAAACTGGGGACTTCCTTCTTCTGCTGTTGGTAATGATAACAATGGCTATGGAAGAAACTATGGGACAGGTTCTGGACTTTCCTCGTCCCCATTTAACGGTTTTGAAGGTTCTATAGGGGAATTGTACAGAGGCAGCTCGGTTTACAGCGACTCAACGTGGCAGCAACAGCAGCTACCATCTCAGTCTTCTCACGAGCTAGACAATTTGTCTCGTTCTTATGGTTATGACATTGACAATGTAGGTTCAGACCCATCTGCAAATGACTCAGAAGGTTACAATGGAAGCTACAATGTTGGAAATAGACAAACTAATAGAGGTAACAAAAAAATAAAAAACTTTAACTTTGGTCTTCTCAAAAGACTTTTATCAATGATAATACATTTGATCGCGATCGAAATGTCCTCATCCGTGTTTTGTCTACTTGTTTAGGTATTGCGGCATAGGTTATCAGAAACCAAAGAAAACGAAAAAAAGAAAAGTTGAGAGAGATTTGTAGATTGAAAGCAACCAATTTCAGTTGCAGGGTTTGAAGAGGTTCTTCTGATGACAACGAAACCAAGTTTGTTGGTCACAGTGTGAGTCTTTACCACAGATTCTGGTTTGCTTTCTCTTTGTTAGACCAAAACATACCAAAAGAGAAAACAAAGAATAGTTTTTTAAAAATATTTCTTCTTACATATAAAGATCAGATCGTAGCAGGCAGCCAAAGATTACTACAAGATGGATGAAGATTTGCTTTCAAAACCTTTTTTTTTCTTTCTTCTTTCATAGAAATAACCAAACAAAGATCGTAGAATTTTCGATCAAAGATTCTTCAGAGTTCTGTGCTCTGTTTTGTAATTTTACTTATTTTTCCTTTTCTTCTTATTTACAAATCGAATTGTTCATGAAAACTTTGATTTTCCTTTTTATAATTAGCGTGAAAGAAATTGTTGTGTAAGAGAGGGATATGACTATTTTGTTGCATGAATCCCTAATGAGATATATTTACTTTTTTTTCTTCTTCTTAAAGCTAGTTTTATGTTTATTAAATGTGCCTTTGGGTAAGTAAAATTTGTGAAAATTCAGGTTTTGATTGGTTGCTGTTTAGGATTTTTTAAGCACATATTTTTTAGTTTTCCAAAAAATTGATTCCTACCGCTAAAATCCTATAGCAATAAAATCTACAGGTACAACCAAAAATTCCACAACTTAAAAATTTACTAGCAAAAATTTAAACCGTTACCAATTTTGGAAATAATCTAAAACAAATATATAACTAGCTCATAAAAATTGACTAAAATAAGATTAATATCCAAATACTACTAATTTAGAAAGTTTATCTAATTCTTACCAAAAAAAAGAAAGTTTATCTAATTAATTTGCAATTTCAACAACTAAAAGGTTTTCATTTATTTTAGAATTAGTAAACAATGAAATCAAATAAATACTATTACAGAACATGCAGTAGAAACAACATCTAGTCCCCATTAACAAGAGTCTGTCCAAAGCTTTTACGACTTTTAGACCTCTCCTTCTTGTAAGCTTTGTACAGTACTACGTGTTAGTGTCTTTTATTTTTATTTTTTTATATATAGATATTGTTTACTCCAATAAAATTACAATATTCCACATTCCATAACTATTTATTTTTTGGTGAAACTTTTTCTTCTTTTTTACTCCAACATATTATTATTTTCTAATGATAAGGCATTTGTGGATTTAATTCTTATATACACAACACTATCCATATCCATATCCTAAAGTTCAGAAGTATAAAAAATTGATTTCCTTCTAATTATGACATAAATAAACAACTTACATCTTTTTAAGTTCTAGCTATTTTTAAACTTAGAAAACAAAGAATTATTTAAATTTCATCTAATGTAATTGATGTGTAATTTATCAAAATATTAATGTTTATTGATAATTGATAATTTAATAAATTAATGAAGATATTACAGTGACACCAACCAACATTTTCAAACTATCATCATTATCGAGATTTCGTCGTATTAAAAGTTTTCAAAAAAATAAACAAACAAATTGAAATCCCCTACTTTACTTTTCTTTTCTCTCTGCTCTCTGTCTAAAGATGGAGTCCGAGCCAGACCAAAGCTTCAAAGACCTCTCATGGTTTCTTCAAGCTATCAAAGACCCACAACAAACTTGCCTCAATCTCCAAACCCTATCTTTCTCCTCTTCCAGAAATACCACGCATTGTCGGCTAATAACAGAGAGCTCCATGAACATCAACGTCACCAGAGGCAACCTCACTTCACTCTCCCAGATCTTCATCGAGCTAGCGACTTCTGTAGAGACGCATACATCTCTCAGGAACTTGGAATTCGAAGGAATCTCTTGGGAAACCGAGCTGTTGCAGAGCCTTGGTTTGTTGTTAGACAACACCTCGAAGATAAAGCAGCTTGCTTTCAGAAAGAACAGGTTCAGTGAACAATGTCTGAACGAGCTCTCAGATATTTTGAAAAGAAACAGTTGTATGAAAGAGCTTATGTTCTCAGAGTCGAGAGTTGGATACAGAGGAGCTACGCTTCTCGGATCCGCTCTTCAAGTTAACGATTCGTTAGAGGAATTGCAGATTTGGGACGACTCAATTGGTTCAAACGGAGCTGAAGAGCTCTCAAAGATGATTGAAACCAACTCAAGTTTGAAACTTTTCTCCATTTTCGACTCGAGTCCTTTCACTGCGTCGCCATTGATATCTGCTGTTTTGAGTATGAACAGAGAAATGGAGGTTCATGTGTGGAGTGGAGATCACAAACGAGACAGAAGCTCAAAGATCGTTGAGTTCTTACCTGAGAGCAACACTCTGAGGATTTACCATATGGACATTTCTGGTTCTTGCAGAGTCGTTGCAGCGCTGGGACTTAACACAACCGTGAGCTCTCTAGATATGACGGGCGTGAAGCTAAACTCGCGGTGGGCGAAGGATTTTAGATGGGTTTTAGAGCAGAACAAGACTCTTAGAGAAGTGAAACTTTCGAAAACCGGTCTTAAGGACAAAGCGGTTGTTTATGTTGCAGCTGGACTTTTTAAGAACAAGAGCTTGCATAGTTTGTATGTTGATGGAAATCGTTTTGGGGGTGTTGGTGTCGAGGATTTGCTTTGTCCATTGAGTAGATTCTCTGCTCTGCAATTACAAGCTAATATCACATTGAGGTCAATTGTGTTTGGAGGTTCCAAGACAAAGATTGGAAGAGATGGACTTACCGCGGTTTTAAAGATGGTGACAACAAATGAGACTGTGGTTCATCTTGGTATTCACGACGATGCGAGTCTGGGACCTGATGATTTCATACATATCTTCAAGAGCTTGCAGAAGAACGCGTCTTTAAGACGGTTTTCGTTACAAGGCTGCAAAGGGGTAAGAGGTGATAGAGTATTGGAGGCAATCACAGAGACATTGCAGATTAATCCATTGATTGAGGAAATCGATTTAGCGAGAACTCCGCTTCAAGATTCAGGTAAAGCAGATGAGATTTATCAGAAGTTGGGACACAATGGTAGGAATATAGATGAAGCAGAGAGGGATGATTCACTCAAGGATATGCCACTAACTGAGCCAAAGAGCATTAGAGCTTTCCTATGTGGACAAGACTATGCAGGCAAGACAACACTCTGCAATTCTATACTGCAAATTTCCTCTTCTTCCGGTTTTCCTTATGTGGAGAATGTGAGAACTTTGATGAATCCTGTGGAGCAAGCTGTTAAAACAGGTGGTGGGATGAAAATAAAGACATTCAAGGACGAGGAGACAAAGATCTCGATGTGGAATCTCGCGGGGCAGCATGAGTTCTTTGCTCTTCATGATTTTATGTTCCCAAACCCATCTCTCTTCTTGATCATATTGAGCTTGTTTAGGAAACCGAGCAATAAAGAACCCAAAACACCAGCAGAAGTTGAAGAAGAGCTTCAATACTGGCTTAGATTCATCGTTTCCAACTCGAGAAAAGCGGTTCAACAGTGCATCAAACCGAATGTCACAATTGTTCTCACTCACTCCGACAAAATCAATCTGCAATCTGAGAGCTTTCAGACAACTGTTGGTTGCATTCAGAGACTGAAAGATAAGTTTCAAGCGTTAGTGGATTTTTATCCGACTGTATTCACAGTTGATGCAAGATCATCTCCTTCGGTTAGTAAACTCTCACATCATATTCGGATGACTAGCAAAGCCATTCTTCAGAGAGTTCCTCGGGTTTATCAGCTCTGCAGTGATATGGTACAGCTCTTATCAGACTGGAGATCAGAGAACTCAAACAAACCTGTTATGAGATGGAAAGCCTTTGCAGATCTCTGCCAGTTTAAGGTTCCTTCCCTGAGAATAAAGTCTCGCAACGAGAACATTGAGATTGTAGAGACGAGGCGGCGAGCCATAGCCACATGCCTTCACCAAACAGGAGAGGTGATTTACTTTGATGAATTGGGGTTTTTGATACTAGACTACGAGTGGTTTTGTGGTGAGGTTCTTGCTCAATTGATAAAGCTTGATGTAAGAAAGCAAAGCACTGGGGAAAGAAATGGTTTTTATAGCAGGAAAGAGCTAGAGAAGATTTTGAAAAGTAGTTTACAGAGTCCAATTCCAGGGATGGCCTCAAAGATACTCGAGCACTTTGATGCGTGTGACCTTGTGAAGATGATGAAGAAAGTAGAAATTTGTCATGCACAAGACCCTTCCAGTCCTGAATCTTCATTGTTAGTCCCATCGATTCTAGAAGAAGGCAGAGGAAAGACACAGAAATGGCAGATAAACACACATGACTGTGTTTATTCAGGCCGGCATCTCCAGTGCGATGATTCAAGTCACATGTTTCTCACAGCTGGATTCTTCCCTCGTTTACAGGCAAGGGCTCAAAATTACTTTCTTCTCTTTAACTAAAACCTTACTAATAGTTCATATTACCTGCACAGGTGCATCTTCACAACAGAATCATGGAGCTGAAGAACCAACACGGGGCGACTTATAGTCTTGAGAAGCACCTCATCGCGATAACAATCCATGGCATTAACATTAGAGTGGAGATTGGAGGACAGTTGGGAAATTACATTGATGTTCTTGCTTGTTCAACAAAGAGCTTGACAGAAACTCTGAGGCTCATTCACCAGCTAATCATTCCGGCTATCCAGAGTAGCTGTCAAGGTGTAATCCTCCTTGAGCACATCATAAGACCACAATGCGTCCAGGACTTGACTCCGCCGCGATTCCGACAAAGTCAGTTTGTTTCCCTCCAGAGACTAAAAGAAGCATTATCATCTGTTCCTGCAGAAACTATGTATGACTATCAACACACATGGGATTCTGTTCTAGATTCAGGTAAGACTGTTTTAAGAGCCGGGTTTGATTTAGCTCGCGACCTCCTCTCTGATGATGATTTCAGAGAAGTATTGCAAAGAAGGTACCATGATCTGCACAACTTAGCCCAAGAGCTACAAGTTCCCACCGACGAAAACCCCGAAGCAGATAATCATGTACCGGTGACCAATGAGCTGGAAAAAGTTGATCCTAGCTTTGGTGGAATCGCCAAGGGTGTAGAAGCAGTACTTCAGAGGCTGAAGATTATCGAGCAAGAGATACGAGACCTGAAACAAGAGATCCAAGGACTGAGATACTATGAGCACAGACTTCTGATCCAGCTTCATCACAAAGTGAATTACCTTGTCAACTATAATGTCCAGATGGATGAAAGAAAAGTTCCCAACATGTTTTTCTTCATCAGAGCAGAAAACTACGGGAGAAGACTGATCACATCAATGGTCCCGGGCATGGTTGCTTTAAGGGTACACATGTTATGCGAATTTAGACGGGAAATGCACGTTGTAGAAGATCAGCTTGGGTGTGATGTGATGCAGATAGACAACCAAGCTGTGAAGTGCTTGGCTCCATACATGACAGGCTTCATGGCGCTGGTGACTTTTGCATTGAGGATAGGAGCAAACTGGGCAGCTGGGATGGGACACATGATACCTGACTTGGGCCATGCTATCGCTCACCTAGCCAACCCAGCTGTCATGACTGGAGCGGCCGGAGCTGCAGGAGCCATAGGGGTCGCTGCTGCATTGGGTAGGAACCGAGGCAGAGATAGACATCTTCAGGAGCAAGACCAAAGAGCAGCTCAACAGTGGCTCATCGATTACTTGAGGGAACAGAATTGCTCAACCGGGAAAGATATCGCAGAAAAGTTTGGCCTGTGGCGAGTTAGATACAGAGACGATGGGTCCATTGCCTGGATCTGCAAACGGCATATGATCAACAGAGCCAATGAAGTGATCCAAGTTCCTCTCTAATGCTTGCTTGCTATAGCTATAAATAAAATAGTAAGAGAGAGTATTTTAATTAGGCAAAACCATTTTTATGAAATTATGTTACCTTGTGATAATGTTTTGAATCCTTACTTAGTTACTGTTGTATCCCTTATCTTTATAAGTACGTACATAAGATTATGTCAAGGCAAAATCTGTATAAAGACAGAAAAGCAACCTCAAGATCCTGTGAAAAAGACACTTCAACTAACCAAAGAACAACCAAAAACATTTGTTCTCAAGATTTTTTCAGAAAGCTGAATCATTGGATCTTTTTCCTCTCTCTCCCACCTACGGGACCACCTCTTTATTGGTCACAATGATAAAATGGGTCCAGAGTGTGAAAATAACACCATATGATGATTGTACGAATAATTAAGCAATCTTAGCATTGATAACTATGCTTTAGAGACTCTTGTGGATGTAAAATCAGTAACTCAGAAAATAATAACATGATTAGGAAGCTGAAGTTCGTATCATGAGGACATACAGTAGTTCTAATAGAGTAAAAGCTAGTGATACATAATCATAACTCACAACTAAAGCATCAAGCTGACCAGATTGGAGATACATGATCAAATGGTACATTATAAAATTACATCATTAGGATTAGTCTTTCTTCATTAGAAAAGTCTAAGAGTGACCTGTGGTCTTTTCTGAACTTGGTAAAACAGATGCTCAGAAGAAGGGCCTGCTCCCATAGAACACACGGGATCCGTTGTTGCTCTTTGGTGTTGGGAGCTTCTGAGACTCAGAGCTTGAATTCTCTGATTTTGTTGGGCTATCAATGTCCAGAGGGAGCTTCATCTTAGCCAGTGAATCAGTAAACTGTTGCATGCTTTTCATGTACATGTCAACTATATCCTGCTGCACCACCTTTGACTCTGGCTCAACTTTCAAAGTGAGGACGGATTTCACTATCTTCTCCTCGGATGTCTCACCAGAAGCCTCACTCCTTGACTCCTGAGAACTCGCTTCGGAGTTCACGACAGAGAGATGTTCATGGTTTGGTATTTCTGTGGCGGAGTGAGCTGAAGCATGAGGAGAAGCCGCCCCATTTGTTGCATTGCTGCTCTCAGGTGAATCTTGCTTCAGTATAGAAGTGGCAGAATTGGTCACATGATTCTCAGCATCGGAAGTAACCAAGCTGTCAGAAGTTTCTGAGTCAACAGTGGAACAGGAGATCCCAAAATACTCGGAAACCATCTTCTCATTTTCATTCGCGACATTAGGATCTGGAAACTCTATCTTATTTAACTCACCCGGAACTGATTCAGACCCTTCTGGATCCTTGATAGTTTCATTGACAGAAAGAGACGAAGGCATAGAGGGAATAGCCATCACCTCAGGGTAGGATCCATTGTAGGAGAGTGACAATTGAACAAAACCAGCTGGCGAATGGTACAGATCAGTGGAAGAAAGAGAGAACTCTTTCTCGAGTTTCCCATTCTTGAAGAGCAGTTCCGACATAGGAACCAGAGTGAAACCAAGCAGCTGGTCTTCAAGATAATTCTTCACCCTGCTCATCATGTAAATCTCACATCTGAGAGAAGTGTCCAGAACCCTGACATCAAGCTTAACATTGTCATCAAAAACCGGATTCCTCCCACCACCATTGATGATTTTGGTCGAGACAGACTTTTCAGGATCATTTGTAAGGCAAAGTTTGGCATAAACGTCTTGCTTGTGATATATACAAATGTTATGGATATCCCTTGCCTGATGGACATAAACCTCAAGTATACCAACAAGGTCTTCCTGGGCACAACTAATAGAATCTTTCCCATTGGAATTTATGCCATTCGATCGGTTTCCAGAGCTCTGCACAGAATTCGAGTTCTCATTCTCTGACTCTCCAATCTTTAATGGTGAAACAACAGACTGTGGGGAGTCCATTGCAAAACCTAGCAAAAAAACCTGCAAATATGAAGGCCTATTAGTTGGCAACTTGCACATCTGGAAGAGACAGTTTGATGTCAAAATCAAAAGGACAGTTTGATGTCAAAATCCGAGTTATCTTTTTAGACTATAAAAGCCAAAACTAACGAGAGCAGAGCTAATAGAGGGAATCTCAAGAACAATGAAACGAACTCTCCTCCCGGAGATTCCAACTCACAATAAGTAAAGTCAACAAAATCAACAGATCAAGCTCAGACAACAATTCAGAAGCTAATCTCATTCTCATCATAGATAAGACATTAAACTAGAGTCATGATTAGGTAAAACAAGTCTTTAAATACAAACTCTAACCAAGTCCAAACAATTCATGAGTGGTTTCATACAATAAAAGCTTTATCTAAATGACAACAACACATAACCTAAACTGAAAGCTTCAACATTTCTTACTCGATCCAAAACTTCTGCCACAGCTCGCAATCAGCACAAACAACAATAGGAGTAATAATTACTTAAAGAAACTTGCCTAAATCCAAAACCAAGCTCTGATCCGCAACTTGGAAAACCAAAGTAAGAAGAGAAGGCAGCTGATTTCTCTAACACAAAGAGAGAAGAAACTTGAAACAAAACAAAACAAAACGAAAAAAGGGGTAAAAAAGACAAAGCCTCGTAGTCGTGTAAGAAGATGATTGAAATAACAAGAAGCATGTGGGTGGGTTACTTACATCAAAAAGAGTTAAGAAACCAACAAGACAATTTTCAAAGAGAGTTTTAAATGCCAAACTGTTAGTAAGTTGAAAAAAAGCAAAGGGTCGGCGGAAAGAGAGAGAGAAAGAGAGATAAGATTAGGGTTAGTTTAGCACAGTCACTTCAATGGCGGACCACTAAAGAAAGGAAGGTGGGTCATATAGCTCTAAAAATTTCAACTGTTTCGGCTGTGAAAACTAAAAATGATAAAGTAAGTAGATTCGAAAGCTATATGAATTCATGACCATTATAAAAAAAAAAGAAAAAAGAAAGGATCGCATTTATAATACTTCACGCGGATGAAATCACTTACCAGTTACAGTAGAGGTGTTCTCTGTTCTGTTTGGAAGATGGCAAAGCTGTGAGCTTTTTTTCTTTCTTTTCTTATGGAGTCTTGTGGGTTCTTTTTGTCAATTTGCAAAGTTATTGGGGGAAAATTAAGAAAATGAAGAAGAAGGAGAAGAAGAAAGAGTTTTATTTCTAAACTTTGAGTCTGAGGTAATGGGCTTTGGGGCCCACACGTCAGTTCTTGCCAAAGCATATCAAGTGATTATCACATGATCTTTCATTATATATATATTTTTTTATATTAAATTGAGGAGAATATTGCAACTATACAAATAAAAATGGGATGTATATTATATCGATTTATAGTATGATATTTTTTGAATAATTTTTTTATATTTTAAATGATATTCATATAGATATATTACTTTATAGAATACATATTTTTGTTTTTGATATCCGCTGCAATTTTTTATGCATTTACACTATAAAATTATAATGTTGAACAAATGTTTCAGGCAATAATTAGCTGAAAAATAAACTTAAACCATCTAATCTTTCACCTATTGAATAAATTAAGATTATGTATATTAAAGTAAAAGAAAATTAATTTGTTTTTTAACCGTTAAATGATAAATGAAAACATTAAAAAATTGTCTATACCATCTCATTATTTATTTGATTTTCATATAATTTATGCTAAAAAGGAAAATACTCTTAGATATTTGCAAAATATTATGGAATTTTTGAAATTGTGGTGTAATTATTTTTACCATATAAAATTTATAATAATATACTATTTTCTTAGTAAAATGAGTGGATATGAATGCATGAGTACACAAACTAAAGTTAGATATGATATATAAAAGTGTGAAATTTTCTTGAAGATGTGTAGAACCCACAAGAAAGCTAAAATAATAAAAAGATCCAAAAAAGTGCTGATTTTTTTTTGTAGTTTTATATATTGTCATCATTCATGTGTAAATTAAATATCATTGCTTTATTTCTTTTAAACAAGTTATATAATGTTTCTCCTGCCAACATTTTCAAACTAATGTATAATTGGTGAAATTATTATAACATTAAAAAAATAATGTCACTATCATCTCGATGATGCCTTCCTCTTTCCTTTTAGTTGCTTAAAATCTTATATTCCATTTATTAACGTTCAAATCAACTTTTCTCCCAATCCCAAATTATTGTTTAATTATTCTCTCCCACAGAATTCCCTTCTATTAAAAAGAAAAACAAATACAACTACAATAATTACAACTTGTAATCATACGAAATGTTAAATAAATATTTGAAGTGTTTGCCTTATTTGAAGTAAAAACTGAATATATTTTGCCTTATCAACAGGTGCGCACCTATTCAAAGCCCAATACTCATTTACGTTCTGGAAATGAAACACCTATTAAAAAGCCCAACATTCAGCCCATTTCTAAAACGACTTTACGCGTGTCCTATATTGCCTTTTTGTATTTTTCCTCCTTTTTAAATTTTGGAAAAATAAACAAATATTTTCGAACTCCAACGGTTCGAAACATCATTTCCCTTTATCGTCTTCCTCTCTCTCTCTCTCTCTCTCTCTCTCTCTCTCTCTCTCTCTCTCTCTCTCTCTCTCTCTCTCTCTCTTACACACATAACATTCAAAATCCAATCTCTCTCTCTCTCTCAAAATTCAAAAATCTCTTTTTGTTCATCTGAATATCTGTTGCGGAAAACGATGAAGTCACCTGCGAAGATCGGAGAGAATCGTTTCTTAGGAAACATTTCGACTTCTACTATCCGAAGCTTGCTACCCAGATCCATGTACGCCAAGCAGAAAGCAATTCAAAACTCAGATACTAAGACGACTTTCAGATCCAACGACGAGAACGCTCCTCCTTGTGACTCAAACATACAGACTAATCATCTCAACGCCAACCATTCTCTTCCGTTGAAGAATAAATCGCCTCAGAAAGTGTTTCTCTCTGCGACTCATCAGATTCTCACCGAAGAATCTACTACTAAGGTAGTTCCATAACTTTAGAGCTTTCTATAAATTGGGTTTTCATTCCATTTCAGATCTACATTTGAGTTTGGATTTGAAGTTATTGTTATAGTCTCTGACTCTGAGTTTTCAATTGAATTACATAACAGTTTGAAGCGAAGAGCGTACTGGCCACAAGAACTAAGTCAATGGTTAATGAGATTACAGAGGAAGATGACTCATTGGGTGACCAGATTCGTGAACTAAAGGTCTTTATTTTTCTGTCTTATATTGGTTGTGTTGTGTGTTTGCGTAATGGTGTTTGAGTATTCTGTTGGTTTTGTGGTTCATAGGAGGACCTAATAAGAACCAAGTCTGATGGGTACAAACCTGATGGAAGCCAAAATGGCTACTTTGTGAGGGAGAGTTTAAGTCATTTGAGAAACAGCATCAACAACTCTTTGGTCATGTCGTGTGCGAACAAAGAAGGTTCAGAAATGGAAACAATGTATGATGATGAGGAAGACGATGGTGATGTAATGGAACTGAGTAAACATATTAACAAATTTCACAATTACTGTGATTCTGATGACATGATGGATTCTATTCAATCCTCCTTTGCAAGTGCTTCAGGCTGTGAAGCTGAGTCAATAAGTGGAGATGAGATTTGCTCTGTTGATAAACACAAGGATTGTGCCTTGGCTGCTTCTGGTCCAAGCACTGTGGGAAATGGGATTTCAATTAGTTTACCACATCAGACACGTATCCTTGAAGAGCCACCATTGTCAGAATCTCCAAAGATTAGGAATTTTAGGAAGAGCGTGGCTGCGTCGACAAAGTTTCAGGCAAGTCCTAGGAATGTTACTGAGAGTTCCAACATTGGAAACAAAAATGTCCAACAGTTTGGCCCTTCTATGTCCAAGAAGCATTTAAGTCCTACAGATTCTCTAGCTGCAAGTCTCCAGAGAGGACTGCATATTATTGATTGTCACCAACGGAGCTCGCTGTCAAACAGATCTTCTGTTTCCTTCTCCTTTGGGCATCTCTCTCTGAAGCCTTGCGATGAAGCCGATAATCTTAGTGCTTCGGTTATACAGGAAGATAAAGCAAAAGAAGGTGGATCATCGATTCTCCTCTGTCTTTCTTGCAGACAGAAACTTGATCAAGAAGCTGAAGTATGTCTAGAAACCCTGAGATGCATTTTCTTCCATTCACTTCAGTTTCTTAGTTGGCTATTCGTTTTGACTACTGATATCTTTTGTTATCAGGGAGGATATAAGGCAATAGAAGAAGCTTGCGTAGACGAGAAGCATCTCAAGAACATCTGTGTGGAGCAGGCTACCAAAATTGAGCAGCTAACTTCTCAGGTACATATCTTATAAACTTATGCTGAGACTATTAAGTGTTAAAAGGTTGAATTTAAGTGAAGTTTCTTGACAATTTGTTTTTTTTCACTTCTTCAGTTAGACCAATACAAAAAGAACACTGTGCACGAGGAGTCAAGTAAAGTAAGCCAAAAAGTTAACATTTCAAAGAAATAAGCACATTAGTAAACTGTTTGCAAGACATGGGTAATAAACTTTAGCTATGCTTATCTGTTTGTGCAGCTAATGAAATCCAATGATGAAGAAGATGAGACGGAGGTCGTTAAGGAAACATATGAGACAAGCCAACGTAGTGAAGAGTTAGGGAAGGCAAGGATTGATCTCAGTGAAAAGGAAGCTCTTTTAAAGGAGATTGCAGAGCTCAAAAGCAAGCTGCAGCCTACAAGATCAACTGATAATATGAGGTCATCTTTGCTGTTACGGTCCTTTCAAATGAGGAAGAGCACTGATTTTACCAAGAACACTGAGAACAACAACAATGTGCTAGAAGAAGAACGTGAAAGGTGGACAGAAATGGAGAGTGAATGGATATCTTTAACAGATGATCTAAGGATGGATATCGATAGCCATCGCAAACACGCAGAGGATCTAGAGATAGAGCTCAAAAAGGAGAAATGGGCTACAGAGGAGTTAAATGATGCTCTTAGTAGAGCTATGCTTGGTCACAGTAGATTCATCGAGCAGTACACAGAACTGCAGGAGAAGTATGATGAATTAGCTGAGAGGCACAGTGTGACGATGGCAGGAATCGTAGATGTGAAGAAAGCAGCGGCTAAAGCAGCTTTGAAAGGTCGTCATGGGAAGCGTTTTGCAAAAGCATTTTCAGCTGAGCTTACTGCCATTAGAGCAGAGAAGGAGAAAGAAAGAGAGTTCCTGAAAAAGGAGAACAAGGCCCTTAAAATTCAGCTGCGAGATACTGCTGAAGCTGTCCAAGCTGCTGGAGAATTACTTGTCAGACTCCGAGAGGCTGAGCAAGCTGTACAATCCTCTGAGGTAAATTTTATTTTCACATAACTTCAAAAAAAAACAAAGCCTCTTGTAGAGACTTAGATTCTGCATAATAGGTTCCCACAACGCATGAACCAAACCTCAGTTTGCTTGTGATTGTCTCAATTGGCTGATTCCTAAAACCATCACTGCAGGAACGTTTCAGCTTGATAGAAGAAGAGAATGACAAGTTGAAGAAGCAAATGGACAGGTTAAAGAGCAAGCACAAAACAGAAATGAGCACAATGAAGCAATGCCTTGCAGAAAGCAAATTACCAGGGTCTGCATTAGCGCCATGGTTCAAGGAGAATGAGCAAGAGGAAGAAGAACATGCAACATCAGAACACAGAACCGGTGTGGTGAGCTATGACGATTATACAGACGATCAGGCATGGAGAGCAGAGTTTGGAGCCATATATCAAGACCATGACCATTACTAACTGATTTCGAATTTGTTCAATTTCATTTCAAGCACAAAAAAACTTCTTTAGTCATCATGTCGTTGTACAAGACAAAACCCATCTTGGGATGTGCCTACATTTTTAAAAGAAAAATCTATATATAAATTGTTCGGTATGTAACTGTTACCATAAATCCCATATTCATCAAAATAGAGAGGCTTAATCATAAATTTTAGTTCCTTACCAAAAAAAGAAAAAAAAAAAAACTCATAAATTTTAGTGGGCTTTTTCTCAGTGAAGCAAGCGAGCCAAAATTGAGGCCCATATATAATATACTGTTTTGGCTACAGGTAAGAAAATAAATATATAATACAAAAATCTTTTTTTTTTAAATATTTTTGAAGATTAGGTAGAAAAACACGAAGTATCTCTTTTTTTTTTTTTTTAAGCTACAAAGAGGTTCATCAGCAATGGCGGCCGAAGATTCTTCAAACGTCGATACGAGTATCAATTCTGATTCAAAGCCTAAATATGAAGCTAATGATGTTACTAATCATGACTCTTCCAAAACATTGGTAATCCCTCCTCCCGCCATTTGTCTCGTCCGTTTCGCCGGAGATGCTGCTAGCGGCGCCTTCATGGGATCTGTATTTGGATATGGTAATGATTTCAATTTCTCCGTATTTATCTCCGTTGATCCTTTTTTGTTGTTCTCCCTCGCGAGTGAGATTAATTTGAATTTCAACCGGAATAGTTGAATTTAGGAGGTTGAGCAATCGTAGGTGTTCGTAGTTAACGACTTAGCTTTGAAGTTTCCAGTAAAGTATTGATATTTGAAGTTTCTGTATAGACTATGCTAACGACCCGAGAAAGAACTAAACTAGAATACTTGAGTTGAGGATTGATCAAACATTCAGTTAACAATGGTATATCTATGTGTGGACTTCATTGATGTAGTTTTGATAGAGTAGAGCATTTCCTCAAGTTTGGTTTTGTTTTGCAGTCAACTAAGATTTAGCTCTTTTAGTATGTTTTTTTAACTTTTCTGCAGTTAGTATTATGTGCTTGTTCTGTATGATTGAACCATATATGTATGTAACAGATATAAGTTGGGGTTTCAGGTTCTGGATTGTTTAAGAAGAAAGGATTTAAAGGATCATTTGTGGATGCGGGTCAGTCTGCAAAGGTGCCTTAAAGCTTTATATCTTATGAATTGAGTATATTCATTGAAACTGTCTAGGGTTGTATATTATTATTTCCTGTAAGGTAATCATTTAAAGGCAACTGAATAAATTGTGGTTTCTTGTTAGACTTTTGCGATTTTATCTGGAGTACACAGTTTAGTTGTTTGTCTTCTGAAGCAAATACGAGGGAAAGACGACGGTGAGACTCTTTTTGTATTACTTTGTCTTAACTGTTCTCACTAGTAGCATGACTTTGCTTATATGTTCAAATATCCTCCATTCTGCAGCCATTAATGTTGGAGTTGCTGGTTGCTGTACTGGCCTTGCTCTTAGTTTCCCCGGTAATAACTGACTTCATATACCCGCATTTGCATTTATTTTGATCGGCATTATTCTTTTATGATTGAGATGATGAACTATGTGAGCTACATATTTACGTTTTAAAGAGGTCTCTAGGAATTTGGTGATGGACATATTCACATTTACTTTGGCCGAGCTAACAACTCTCTCTAATCATGTGTTTGCAGGTGCACCACAAGCAATGCTACAGAGCTGTCTTACTTTTGGTGCCTTCTCATTCATCCTTGAAGGACTCAACAAAAGGCAAACGGCTTTGGCTCACTCTGTCTCGTTGAGACACCAAACTAGAAGTCTCCATCATGATTTACCGCTCTCGTTGGCTCTCCCAATCCCTAATGAAATCAAAGGAGCTTTCTCTTCTTTCTGCAAATCCTTAAAGAAACCCAAGATGCTCGAATTTCCTCATGCACGTTGATTTTTTTCCAACTTTTTCTTATTCCTTTTTGTAGAAGTTGCAAACAGATTGAAAATGGTTTTGCTGCATGAGCCAATGAGAAAAGAGGAGTGTACCTTTATTCGTTTTCGTAACAAAAATTTCTTAGGACTTAGTCCAGAACTAATTTTGGAAATGTTAGTTGAAACTTCGCAGTCTTTATTATTCGTCTCTGGATGGTTGGTAAATTGATCATTGGCATTTAAAAGCATTAGATCATGTAAAGAGTTGATTCTTATATTAAGGTTATACTCGTATTAATTATAGACAAATGAATTCTAACCAAACGGGGATGTAGCTCAGATGGTAGAGCGCTCGCTTAGCATGCGAGAGGTACGGGGATCGATACCCCGCATCTCCATCTTTTTCACTTTTTTTAGTATTTTATTTCCTTTCGACTATATTTATTACTGAGATAATCTATTTTATATACCTTTCTATATTTGTAATGAAAAATTAGGCAAAATTTTATTTTATTCATTTTGTGTTCATCCAATATGCAAAAATGATTTTAAAAAGAAGAATTTTAAAAATAATAAACCATTAGAAAAGGCCTGTCTAGTACAAAGAGCAAAGCTAATTTACAACAACTTGACATCATTAACCCATCTAAAAAAATGATACAAAGAAAAGTGTCAAAATATTCCAAACTCACCGAATTCTTGTTTTTTAGCAGCCAAGGCTCTTCATGATCTCCTTTAGCTTCTCAATCACAGCAGTTGGATCTGCTCGCGAGTTCGCCAGATGCATCGCGTGATACTCCAAACCTTTCCATTTCGCTATAAGCTCGAAATGAGGTCTCTGAAACTCGACGCTTATAATCTCAAATATAGTTGTGTTTGGTGTTGCAGATACAATGTGAGTGAGACCTGCTCCGTGAGCTCCTATAATCACTGACGCGTCTTGGATGGCTTTGACTTGATCTTTCATTGACATGTGTGCAAACAAGCCATTCACAAGGTTAATCCCGCATTTGGTCAGACCGGTGGAGCCAGATGTGACCCAGTGGTGCAAGGAGTCGAACACTTCTTCCTCGTTTGTGAGCCGAGACTGGACTTTCCCGCCATGACGAGGATGGGCTAAGTAATCTTCACGGCGGACAAAGAGAACATTATGAACAGAGGATGATGATGATGATGTCGGTCTTTCTAATGAGCGGTGTCTGTTGACAGGAAACCCGAAAGCTGCTCTGATCATTTCGCCAAACTCTGATATCCTCGCAGTCCTTTTATCGTCAGGGTTTTGCCACAGATTGTGAGCTGATTCCCCTTTGCAGTCTATTTCTCCATTCAAGCCCTTGAAAAGCGGTGTTTCGTATCCCAGCGGTGAAAGAATCGCATGGCGGAAACAAACCGGTTTGGTGAAATTCTTTGCGTACCTTATTCCGGAAAATAAAGCTGTCCATGTTTCTTCTAGCTGCGTCTACAAAAAGGTAAAAAAAAATGGACATGAAACTCTTACTAGGTTCATTTTATTCATCAATGTAGTTAAAACCACAAACACAAAAGATCCATATCCTAAAAGCAAGAGCAGCTGTAAGTCTAAAGATAGTAGTTGGGGAAAATAAAACTGGACTTTCTCTACTCATGGAGAGATCATGACCAATTGAGCATGAAAAAGAAGAGAAGCATACCGTGCAGTGTCCATCAACAAAAACAACGTGGGGTCGATTAGGCAAACCGGTGACTCTAGAAGAAACATAGGCACTATACCAATCTGTCACGGTATGGAAGAGATTTGCGTACTCGAATCGAGTAACAAGCAAGGTTGGTTCCTCCACCCACTGAGGCCAACAAAAACCAAACCAAACCAAATAACAATCAGTGAGATCATTTACATATGTTTCAAAGAATCTCAGAAACCACAACCTAATATGAACTTCTGAAAAGCTTAATTCTAATATTTTCAATCCAAGCACAGTAAGATTTCATATTCCAAATTAGTACCAAACGGTTTAGATCCAATAAAGAACTTTCCAATTATGCATTGTTAACTAAAACACAATCTAAGAAAGAGTTAACTAATAGAATCTAGGAAGAGAGATCAATCAGTAAAAAGATGCACAAACCTCTTCACAAACGAAATCTTTGGTGTCAACAGCACGAATAGAAGCAACCAAACCCCTCATCGTATGTCTACCGATACCACCTTCTTGAACATACTCATTCAGCAACTCATCATTGACCAGCCGCCGAGAAATCACATCACCACCTCCACCTTCACCAATACGACGGTGTCTCTTAAAACCTAACCGTGAAGAAACCTCTTCCGCCACCTCAAACGCACCTTCTCGAAACTCAGGAAGCTCCGCATCCTCTCTCCTCCCCATAACTTCCTCTAACTTCTCACCTCCTCTCGACATAACAATCCGATCCGGAACCATTCTCAGATTCCTCCCTTCGCAAATCGAACTCCGTAACGTCTCACTATAAAAACATCGAAACCAGCTTCCTTCTCCTGCCCCTCCTCCTCCTATCCTCGGCTTAAGGAAGTCAACTCTCTTCGTGAACCCATTCCCAAAATAGCCTTCGCAAGAGCGAGTAGGCAGATTCCTCTGCGGCGGCGTCCATGGGAGGTAAGAAGGTAAGATCGGCCACGGTTTCTGAATCGCCGATTGATTACTCACTGAAACGTGAAATCGCACCAAAGGAAACTGAGGATTTGGCTGATCCGCTGAAGAAGACGACGACGACGATGAGTGAAAAACGAAGTAAATGATGAGAAAGAGAGAGTTGAGAAGTAACATATACAAGAAAATCTTCAGAATATTCGGATTCCGTTTACTCATCTCTCTCTCTCGTTTCCTTGATTTGCGGTTTTGAAGAGAGAGCGAGAATTTGAAAACCTCTTTCTAATTTTAGACTTCCATCGATTTCTTATGACTAAATTCTGAAGTAAAATCAAAATCAATCGCCGGTGAAAGGTACAGATTCAGGCGAGACTTCATCGGCTGTTTCGCCGGCAAATTGTTGGGGGAAAAACGAGAAGATGATGATGAATCGGAAGTTTGAGAGTCTCTGGAGATTTATTAAAGCAGAAGATTCCATCATTCCTACTCTATCTGTATATTGTTTTGGCATTTATCTTTTTTTTTTACTTAAAAAAAAACTTATACAGTTGTTTAACCAAGATCCAATTAACCCGAACCGGACCAAAATTTAATCAAAATCAAACCGGGAAGTAAACAAAACGTTCGCGAAACGTTTCCATCTTTTTATTTTGTCAAAAGTAAAACAGAACACACACATTCATGTTACTTTTTATTATCATTTTTCTGACTTTTTATCCTAAATCACCGACTTTAAAAAAAAAAAAAAATTCTGCAAATTCTTCTGTGTTTTCTGGTAAGCATTGCTTGTTAGTCTCTAAATCCTTTAATTATCCTGTGTTAAAACTTATGATGAAGTGATTAAACAGTGTTATCTATATTTAGATTCATGTAAAAGTTGTATCTGTTAGAAATGATACTTGATTTTCGTATTTATTTATGTTTTGCCACTCTGTTATGAAATTGTTAAGTGACAAAAACATTGAGATTCTTCTCTGATTCAAAGTAAAATAATAGTACTATTTATAGATTTTTTCTTTTTCTCCTAGTATATCGATTCTGAATTTAGCTTTGGTAATGTAACTTTTCTTGTCCTCGTCTTTACGATATTATTTCTTAGTAGTCCTGCGTGTTTTTTGGTTTATCGTGATTGATACGACATATAAAAAATGCATGTATTAATCTCAGAAAACGAAATTCAAAGTAGATACACAGATTCTTCCTTTTTTTAGAAAGATTTTTTTCTCTGAAATACTCTGAACGAAGAAGATTTTTAATGTGTTTTATTTTCTTCTTTTTTCAATCTGCAATTTGATTTGTCGAAAAGAAAAATTTCCATTTATCTAAATGGAAGTTCAAGGGGTTTCCTTTTCTTGCGCTCCAAGTTTTGCTTATATATATAGAGACAAACACATTCTCGTAACGTAATGTTCTGTCTCTTTCGTTATTTGTAGGTGATCGATCACACTTCTCCTCGAGAAGAAGAAGATCAGAAGAGAGAAAGAAAAAAAATAAACTTTGATTAAATGGATCGTTTGAGCCGAAGATTTGTTCTGTTTCTGTTGATCATACTTTTAGATTCTCCAAGAATATGCCATAGTTGGCGATTTTTCTCTTATTCTTCCTCTTCAGCGGAAAACACAGACTCTTCTTCTTCTTTCTCTAGGTCGGTTCAAAGATCCAATCCTGAGTTCTCCATGGAAGTTTTTAGTGACCAGAAGGCTGTTCGGGTCCTTGAAGATGCCAAAAACAAGCTTGTTGCAGGTCCAAACAGTTGCTGGCAAAATGCTTATAGATACCTCTTCTCTGGCTGCAAAGAAACTGTTGCCACAGAAGAAAAGAGAAAGAGATTTGCTTGGTATTTGAGCGATTGCTTCCTCAAAGACTCTGGAAGACAGGCTTTTCCAACTTGTAGTGATGATTCAACAATGATGAGTTGCCTCAAGAAGCTTGATGATCATGAGCATAAGATCTATCTCGAATTCATGCTTGAAACCAACACCATCTGCCAACAGTTACAGTAAGATGACTCTCAAACATTAACCTTTTATACATTACTTTTCTTGTGAAATGGATTATCAATTTGCTTCTTTTTTGTTTTGTTTGTATGGCAGGAGTTATGCGTTCAAGAGTGAGATAGAGAGACTTGTGAATGAGCTGAAGAGGTCAGCTCAGAGTACAGAAGATAAACTGGATATCTTGGAGAGTAAATCTGATTCTTTAATGCAGACCTCGAGCATGATTCATGATTCTTTGGGGTCCATAGATGTTCGGGTTCAAAACGTGGCTCATGTGACAAACACCATAGAAACTAGTATGAGTGGACTGTCTCAACAAACTGTAGAAATCTACAAAGAACAAAAGAGCATTGCAGAATCACAGATGGCGCTAATGGACGGTCAAGTGAAGATGAAAGAGACGTTGAAAGATGGAATGGAGATGTTCAGTGATGCTTATACAAACATCCAGGAAGGAGTAGATAAGTTGATAAGCGATACAAAGCAGATTGAGGGGGAAATAAATGTACTTGGAAACAACCTATCAACTAAAATGAATGATCTGCAGAGTAAAACAGATGACATCGGAGTTAAGGCTGGTAGTTCGTTGGATAAACAACAGAAGCTTTTAGACGGACAATCGGTGGCCCTTGACGGTATTCAGTTTCTTACCCGGTTTCAGTCTGAGGCACTGCAAGAGAGTAGGTAAGTTTCAAACACATTGGAGCAGTTTATGTTTTAAGGCAAGACTTTTTGTCTAACTGTATTCTTTTTTTGCTGCAATTTTGTAGGAATACATTGCAACGCTTGAAGGAATTTAGTCAGGAGCAACAGGAAGATCTTGCAAAGCGGCAAGAAAAGCTTCAGGAGGTTCATGATCACCTGTTTGAGAATTCAAAATCAATGTTGGAAGCTCAGGTCAGTGTCCTCTAAACCTTAACAATTTCTCAACTGCAGCAGAAGCAAGGTCACATAAATCAATCAATTCATTTTTTTAACAATCTATTTTTGCAGGTCGCGTTTGAGGCAAAACAGGCAAACATGTTTGTGGCTTTGGATAAGCTGTTTGCTTTGCACAATGCGATGCTTCTCGAGTCCCGGGTGATTAAAGCTTTCTTCATCTACTTCTTGTCGATCTTTGTCATCTACATGTTTACAAGTACAAAACAAACTTATATCATAAGGCCAAGGCTTTATATTGGTAAGTATCATATTCCAAGTCTCTATCTCATACTTTATTAATGTCTATAAGATCCATTAGTTAAACAGACTATTTCCATCTCGCTGATGCAGGTTTATGCGTTACCTTAGCATTAGAAGTGACAAGTTTACGCTACGTGGATGATGCAGAACGCCAAGCATGGATTATAAACCTTATCAGGTCTTTATTCGCTGTTCTTGCTTCAGCTCAGCTTCTTCATGCTGCCTTTACATACAGGTATGACCAAAATGCAAAATACAGGAAAACAGAACACATGATTTGACAAACCAAAACTGAGAAGGCTGATATTATACTCTTGTCTGAAATGCAGGGACTATGACTTACTAAACCACCAGATCCTGTTAGGATTAGTTGACAAAGTCAATAACATGCAAAGCAAGAGAGAGATCTCTTGGGATGAAGATACAGAGAGCGAGGTAGACTGGTCATCTTGGATTGATACAGATATAACTGATGATGAAGACAATCTTGGAGATCCTGATTACTTAATTCCACTAGAGATCAAGGACAAACCGGTTGTTACTTCGTCGATGACTAGAAGATTGTATAACTTCCGTCCGCGATAGCCAGCATGTCTTTTGACTCATGCCGAAACTACATATACTATAGGGAAACTTCACATTGTTCAGTCACTTGATCAAACTATATATTTGTATGCTATTGTTTTGCAATAATGTATCATACATGCTTTGACTACTTCAAACTCACATTCATATCTTGTAGAGAAGGTTTTGCAATTCCCAATTCAATCTTCATTGGTACATATCAATCCACAAAGCAAAATTTTCATCCAACAGTAAGCATCATTACAAGATTTGATTCCAACATAACTCAGAGCAATACATTTCAAACAAGCTCTTCATCTGTATACTAATAATGAATTTTACACAAACCTTAATTTTTGCAGTAATTACCGAAATCAAACAATCTAATTTGATCCATATACATACATCAAACCTTAGAATGGTTTCATGATAAGTCTCAATTGAATCCGAAATGTACCAGATCAGGCGTGCTTGAAGAGCTTCATGCTAAGCCAATGGAAGTAGACAGCAACCATTATAACCGGTAGAGTCAAAGGAACCAAGTAGCAGTAGTGCCTATCATTCGAGAACACGGCTGCAAAAACGAATCCGAAGAAGGAAACAAAACCAATGATCACGAAGAAACATCCCCAGAAGATCTCCCTCGTCGTCCTTGTTAAACTCAGTCCCGAAAGCTTCTTCATCGGTGGATCCGAAGAAACGTGTCGAATTTATTGAATTTATTTCACTTATTGGGTTTTAGACTAAAGCCTAGTTTGTTTTATTTGGATCCATGCGTAAGTGTATTGTATAAAGCCCAATCATTACGATTCACATGTAATATATAATATTTTTATACTCTCTTGCATAATTAAAATAGTTTAATTTGCTCAAAGAACATTAATGTTACATAAATACTACAAACGCATAGAGGTTTTATGAACGTTAACAGTGAATAATGTTACAACAACAAATCGAGCCCCCAATGATACAAATTTACGTGAAAGAATCCCAAGAACTGTTAGGAGGAGGAAATAATTCTGAGGACTGGTCATTCTCACAGAGAAATCCTAGCGGCGAGGGTGATCGGATCAATGTGATCACATAAGTAGAAGAGAGGCGATGACCGTAGCAAATGCAGCGAGAAGAAGAGAAACAGCGACTCGGGTTTGTCCGTTGGGACTTTTTCCATCTGTTGTTTGAGGTCCAGGAGTGGTGGTTGGGGCTCTGGCTGTGACCGGAGGTAATGGTGGTTCAGTGACATCAGCATCTGTGAAAACTGGGTTTGGTGCTTCGGCTGGAGGTAAAGAAGTAGGACTCACGATGGTTAAGAGGCCAGCCGGCTGAACTGGGGTCATGTAAGGAGGCAGGTCTTTGCGGTTCAAGCACGAGTTCTCTGAGAAAAAAAAAACATCAAAGACGATCAAAATTCGAAAATGTTGTGGAAAACAGAAAATACTTTTGAGCCATTCTTTTGGTTTTCACTTTACTTTTGTATCTCGCAGCTGTGAGAGGGAACTCAGTAATGGTTCCACTGATACCAGCTCCAGTAACATGAGAGTTTATCTCTACGGTTGCATCAGAGAAGAAATCCCATGGTTGAGAAACAAACTCATTCTGGAACAATTCAACATAAACGGGAAGCTGAACCTTCTGTAGCCTTGCCACTAGATTGGTTTGTCTAGTGATGAAACTTGCGCTGGTGGGGAAAACTGATTTTTTTCCGACGACAATAGCGTCTGCAAACTTCTTAATGTCTTCAATTGCAGAGTCGAGGATATCGCGGATGGATTCTTCGACTTTGTATACTGTCTCATACTGGCTATGTTTCTTGAAGTCAACCAAGACAGAGCTGTTAGTTGACTGAATCATAACTCTTGTGGTTGTTGTCCTGTTGCTGTAACCAGCTTCCATGAGTGAATCGAGAGCTGCTTTAACAGCGTCGAGCCCTTGCTTCTCTCTCAGGTATGTTGCATTCTGAACAAAACAAATCATAATCGTTGTAACATTAAAATAAATGACGAAGATTATGTTTACGCTAATAATCTATACAAATCTAGATGTGATTGTAGAACTTTACCTCCACGCTGATCAAAACACCGACGAGAGAGCTGGAGTTCTTTGCCAAGTTCAAGAAATCAGAAAGTGAAACAAGCTTCCCGGAACTTCTCTCTCTTGGATTCCTAAACAAGTTGAAGTCCTTGTTGTAGGGGTTTTCAATGGCAGCTGCAAACAGATGGGGAAAAGCATATTCAATGACATCTAAAAGTTAAGACTGTTTTGAGATAGATGCATATACATCAACAAATAATAACAGACAGATTAGGTTTTTATTATCAAGGGCCATATGAAGTTGCCACAAAGTATTTTGCATCTATTTGTAACCCCTAAATATCTAGAAGAAGAATAAGAATCTGTAGCGAAACACTCTAAAAGAAGCATCATGCAGCTAACTCGGTTATCCTAAAAACACTTTTGGAGCTTCTCTCTTCCCTTTGATTATTATCATCAGGTCTACTAGGAGCATAAGTGCTCTTACATGAAGAAAGGTTTCAAGGATCTAGCAGAACAACACACTGCCTAGAGTGTGAATGACAAAAGAAGTAGACAGTCTTAGAAAGTTATGTGGAAAGCTTACGTCTCAAGGTCTGAATTTCAGACCATGTCAGACTAAAGCTGTATATTCCAGAAAGTGAATTGAGCTCAGGAACAGTTGCAGAACGGTTTCTGAAAGGACTTTGGACAACGTTTGTGCTCTTCCCAAGATCAATTGAACTTAAGCAAAACGGAATCCCGTCAGATGACATTTGAAGAGAACAATCGATAACATCAGCACCATCTTTAATAGCCTTTGAATAGGCCAAGTCAGTACAGCCAGGGTAGTCTCCACTTGCTCCATTTTTGGATATAATAAGAAAATCCACTGTGACATGAACCATATAGATGGTGAAAAAATTTATATAATTAGTTATTGGGACATGGTATTAATAATGTAGACAGTAAAACGCATACAAACAGCTCATATACCTTGTGTTGAAGCATTAGTTCCAAGATTGGAGAAGCAGTCTGAGGAAAGTTTAACGGAAAAGTGAGACTGGGTTAGCTTGTGTGGTTGTAGTTTCTCTAGCAATATTAGAACAAATATATGATACGTAGATGCGTTTCAGAAGAAAGGGATTTACTTACCAACAGCCGAAGATGCAGTTAGTGGAAAATCAGATAGCACGCCATCCACGGAGAAATCCCCATTGTCAATGAAAGATAAGTACTCGGCCAATGGATCAAAACTGTAGTTGTATGCAATATCAAAATCGTTTGCAAAACCTGACGCATATACTTCTAGTCCTGCTTTGTGAGCATCTTGAACAACAGATGTATGGGGAAGCAAGTACTGGCTTTCGACCGGCCATATGTAAGACTTGGGAACAAGAATTCCTGAAGCAAAAGTCTTGATGAAAGTTAGGTTTCCCGCAAGAGATCCATAGGTTTGGTTGGTTGACACCTCAACATCATCTTTCTCGAGAAAACGGAACACAAACTTTGGCCCCTTGCGTCCCAAACGGCTACCAATATTCCGGAAGAAATTCACCTCAGGGGAAGAGAGATAGTGGATAGTCACAGTTTTGGGAGCTGATAGCAGAAAGCTGCTTATGCTCAGATTGTGTTGCGCATAGAATGCCTCGTGCTGAATAAAGAGAAACCATGTTAAAAGCGAGCTGAGATCTTCGACTGCAACAAAAAGAACTGAAAAACAGCAAGAAACTTACTGACATAAGAATTACCTGAACATTTAACCAAAAACTCTTAGGTTTTAACTGAGTAGCTATATCTTGAACTGTTGATATCGCGTAATTGTTTCCATCGAATGCATCTGACCGCGATAACATTCCTCGGATCACTGCAGCAAGCAAGTTACAACTTAATGAACAGCAGCAAGCAAATCTAACTACACTCAAATGTACTCAAATTCAGTCTATATATATTGGATCAAATGTGCAAAAACTTACTCCTAAACATATATAATACTAGAATCCAATAGTGTAATGGATTAGAATGTACACTCTCAAGCTCAAAAAGATGTACGACAGTGAGCGTTGAACTTACAGAAAACGTTTTTGAGATCCTTAAAGTTGAAATCAATGGTGAACCAATCCTGAGTAAGGACTCCATCGAGCAAGTAAGAATTTTTCTGTTTAGGGAAAACCACTTGAATATTGGAAGCATTCATCATCTTCACATCAGGGAAGCAAATCCCAATAGCATCTTTCGTTAGTTGCAAATCACACCAAAGAACAGTACCTTGCACACTAGTCTGCGCAACAAAACTGTAAGAATCGAGACTTGAATCTGGAAACAACCCAGAAAACCCACCACGAGCAACGATAAGAGGAGCATCTCCTACAAAAATTTGCCAATCAAGCAAAGATTCAATTATAGTAACCAAATCTGATGAAAGGAAACTTTTTTAAATGACAAAAAAGCTTCGATTTTTCTTAAGATGCAACTCAGGAAAACCCCAAGTTTTCTCTTTTGATTTCTATGATTAGAATCCAAATTTGAGGAATCGAAATAAGTGACAAAGGAAACACCTTTTGCTCTGTTTTCTTCGATTCACAGTAAAAGGTTTTGAGAAAATTAAAGAGACAAGGAGATGAAGAGAGAAGAGAAGTAGTAACCACTAACCAGTGAGTGTCTGCCATGGACTTTTAGATCTTTGAGCAACGAGTTGAGTAGAAAACAGCAACTGAATCAAAAGGAGAGCTAAAAGTAGAAACTTTGAAGCTTGTAACCCATGCATTGCTGGATTATCTCGCATGTATATCATATCAGTACACCTGAGTAGTCCCGGCGGCGACTTCACCAACTTCGACCAAACCAGATTTACTCAGAGAGAGAGAGAGAGAAAGAGCTTTTTTGGATTGTGGGATTCGAATTTATATATGATCGTTGATTATTTTAAAACAAAAAGACCTTTTATACTTTCATTTTTGAATAAAAAGAACAATATCAATTTTATATAAAGAAATCTCTAATTAGTTGGCAACAAAAATATATTATATTTTCATATAAAGGAAAATAGATGTTCTTCATATAAAATATTACAGACAGAAAATATTTTGGGAGTGAAAAAACTTTGAGGTTTCTATTTTAGAAAAGAGTTTTGAAATTCATGCAACTATTTTAATAAGGTTTTTTATATAAAAATTACACTTCATGACTAAATAAGAAAATAATTTGTTGATTAGTTGTCGGAATTAGGAAACCAAATATATCATGCATACTGTATTTTCTGGATTCTTTTTTTCTTAAATAGAGATAGGGTATATGCGTTGAACATTTATTACATCCTACTTTATTTTATTTTCTTCCATTATTACGACCTACCTATTTCCAAAACCAGCTATAAACAACAAGCATGTACACACACTCACTACACCACTATTCTATATAATTGCATTTATGCATGCAATATTGCAATACACCTGTGTCAACTTTATTTTGTTACTTTAGAATAGTGCTTAGAAAAAGATGGCTACTGTGCTGATGACGGTGGAGTGGATAGGTTTCAACACGTGGCGGTGTTGGTCACTGAGTCATGACTCATTACATCATCTAAATACGAGCGAAACGAAACGGGTCACGTTCTGCGTCTGTGTCTCTAACAAGAGACAGTTTTTGTAGCCTTGTAAATGAATCGCAATTGGCTATGCGTTTAGTTTTGGGCCTTAAAAGCCCACTATGTAGTATAATTCCAAAAAGCCTCGCGTTTACTCAGTCTGGTTGCATTGGGAACATGCCGCGCGTCCTTCGCCTCTTCGCCACCTGTAACCACCGCCCTCTTCATCGCAGTTCAAATCTCTCTCTCTCACTCACTCACTCTCTCTCTCTCGCTCTTACTATCTTTCTCTGCGCCATCTTTTGGTTTGCTAACGAATCAACACCGACGAAGTTCTCGAGTGTTTGTGAAAAATGGGTGTTGGAATTACGGAGTTTTTGACGAATCAGCTTGGAGCTGAGCATCCTCAGGTGATACCAATCTCAGTGTTCATAGCCATTCTCTGTCTCTGTTTAGTTATCGGCCACTTGCTTGAAGAGAATCGATGGGTCAATGAATCCATTACCGCCATTTTAGTTGTAAGTTTTCATCAAAAGTTTGGTTTTTTTATGTTTGAGCTTCCATAAAGTTTTGACCTTTTTCGGCTCGTGTAAGGACAATTTTGATTGTTTTTGTTGTAACCAGGGAGCAGTGTCAGGAACAGTGATCTTGCTTATTAGTAAAGGAAAAAAATCTCACATTTTGGTGTTTGATGAAGAACTCTTCTTCATTTACCTTCTTCCTCCTATAATTTTCAATGCTGGGTAAGCTTTCTCTGGTTTTGGTTACTATGTTTGTGTTGATGGATGGTAATGGAGACTGAGTGATGATTTTTTTTTTATCTTTTTTTGGTTTGTGGGCAGATTCCAAGTTAAGAAAAAGAAGTTTTTTCACAACTTTTTAACCATCATGTCCTTTGGGGTGATTGGAGTTTTCATCTCTACTGTCATTATTTCGTTTGGTAAAATGTTAATCTTTGTATGACTAGATGACCATGTGTTTCAAATTTAATAATTTCTGAGCTGTTAACAGTTTCTAATTTTTGTTCTTTTATGGTCTGGACCAGGGACTTGGTGGCTGTTCCCCAAGTTGGGATTTAAGGGCTTGAGTGCTAGAGACTATCTTGGTGATACTTTTCACTGAACTATGTTTTTATTTCATCTTTTGTAAGATGGTTATAACTTGCCAGCCAGTTTGTGAGTGAATGCTTCCTTGTCTTGATACAGCCATCGGAACAATCTTCTCGTCCACTGATACCGTTTGCACTCTACAGGTTTGTGATTTAAAAGATTATTTTTCATACCACTCTTTTGAAAGCTTGTTTATATAAATATTTTTTTACATTGCACCTTAACCGTACAGATTCTTCATCAAGATGAAACTCCATTGCTTTACAGCTTAGTCTTTGGTGAAGGAGTTGTGAATGATGCAACTTCAGTTGTACTGTTCAATGCCGTGCAAAAGATTCACTTTGAAAGCCTCAACGGTTGGACTGCTCTGCAAGTGTTTGGAAACTTTTTATACCTCTTCTCCACAAGCACAATTCTCGGAATTGCTGTAAGCTATTGAGTAGGCTTATATTATTTTTACTCTGTTTGGAGCATATCATGAGGTCTCTTAGAAACGTGAATGTCTTGCAGGTGGGGCTACTAACGTCTTTTGTCCTTAAAACCTTGTATTTTGGAAGGTAAAAAGTATACAGAACTTGCAAAATTTTCATCTTAACTTTAAGTTTATTATTTTTCAATAAGTTTAGTTGCATGCTCCAAGTGTGCCTCTATATCCAATTCGTTAATTATATGGTTTCTCACAGACATTCAACTACACGTGAACTCGCGATCATGGTTCTAATGGCTTACCTTTCATACATGTTGGCTGAGGTAGTACTCAATTACTGCAATATGCCACTAGTTAAACCCAGCTTAAATCAAAGTCTGGTCTCACACTTTTTGAGTGTTCATTTGGAATTTATATGCAGCATTTTCATGTTTGAACTCTATGTTCTTGTTGTCTTGCAGCTCTTCTCATTAAGTGGGATTCTCACTGTTTTCTTCTGTGGTGTTTTAATGTCACATTATGCATCATATAACGTGACAGAGAGTTCAAGAATCACTTCCAGGTAACGTTTCAGACAATTATTGAGTTCTCTGAAGTCTCAGTTGCAGTAATGGCTTTTGTCTGACAATTCATCTCTATTTTTCAGGCATGTTTTTGCGATGATGTCTTTTATTGCGGAGACATTCATATTTCTGTATGTTGGAACAGATGCTCTTGACATTACAAAGTGGAAGACAAGCAGCTTAAGGTATGCAGTCGTATCCGAATATCAAGTAGAGCGTCTACGACGTTCTGTCAAAACAAAACACAGCGTTATGATATGAACCTCGTCTATTTCTTCATAATGTTGCTAGAGCTGTGGTGATGACATGCAAGTGCTAAATTCTCGTCCTTATGAAGACATAACATTAATCATCTTCTTGCAGTGCTGGAGGTACTTTGGGTGTCTCTGGTGTCATAACCGCAATGGTATTGCTTGGAAGAGCAGCATTTGTGTTTCCGCTCTCGATCTTAACAAATTTCATGAATAGACATGCTGAAAGAAACGAGTCTATCACATTTAAGCATCAGGTTCAGCCTTTGTTTCTTTCAGTTATATTATTAGAAGCACTACAGCTCGGCCCAAAATCTTAATATGAATGGTCTGAGAATGGCAAAGTTTCTGTTGTGAAGTTTGCTCTTTGTGTACTTTATAGGTGATCATTTGGTGGGCGGGGCTTATGAGAGGTGCTGTCTCAATTGCTCTGGCTTTCAAGCAGGTTTTTCTGTTTGCACATTCATAAGATCTCTACGGTAGTTCTTTTATATTTATTGCTCATTTTGGTATATGTTTGATGTGGCAAGTTCACATACTCCGGTGTTACATTGGATCCTGTGAATGCTGCCATGGTCACCAACACCACTATTGTTGTCCTCTTTACTACACTGGTAAAACAAATACTACTTCTTTAGTATGTAGCCCCTCAACTTTTTCTGCGTAAAGATCAAAAAACTTTCTTTGCCATGTAACAAAACAGGTCTTCGGTTTCCTCACAAAGCCACTTGTGAACTATCTGCTTCCTCATGATGCAAGTCACAACAACACCAGAAATAGAGATAAACGCACTGAGCCAGGTTCCCCAAAAGAGGATGCGACGCTTCCTCTTCTTTCCTTTGATGAGTCTGCTTCCACAAACTTCAATAGAGCTAAAGATAGTATTTCCCTTCTGATGGAGCAACCTGTGTACACCATCCACCGCTACTGGAGAAAGTTCGATGATACATACATGAGGCCTATCTTCGGTGGACCTCGTCGAGAAAACCAACCAGAGTGCTAGGTATACCCTCCTAATTACCACAAGTTACTATTCAGACAGTTGATCAAGAATGTATAACCGGGTTTATGAGTACATCCTACAATTTTCATCATGATAAGCGAACAATTCTCTGTTTTTTTCTTTGCAGAACTGATTTGAGATCTCCTCGGGGAAGACATAATGAGATAGTTTTTTTGGATAATCAAGAAAGTAGGATAGTTGATGTAGCTATAATACAGTATTTAAACGTTTTCTTTGATGTATAGAACATGGTTCTTCTATATACACAAGGTAATTGAAGATCATTGCAAGTTTGTGATTTATTTGGATCGGAACTCTTAAGATATATTGTAAATCAGAGACTTCAGATCAGTTTCAGGTCAAGATAAAGCGGAATCTACGGTCTGCCTCCAAGTTAGCTATCTGAAGCTGTGTTTAAGAAAAAAGAGCAAAACAAACGTTGTAAGTCTTTCTTTACTTGACATCCGGATCCTACTAATGTACCAGTTTCCAATATTTCTATGATACTTTGATATTACCTTGGCAAGAAGCTGGGATTGTTGTAACGCCACATTTGCTAAGAAGAGCATGTACTTTAGACGGGTATACCGCGAAAACGGGGAGGTAAGACTTAGATCTGCAGATGCATTCAAGATTGGCGTTTTGGAGGACTTCACAGCATTCTCTACCTGGCGACAGCGGGGTGTCTCCAATGATGGCTGGACGACATTTCTCCAAATAATTCGCGTTGATGTTACATGCGGGAATGCTCGAAGGTTTTTCCATCAACACCAACGCAGCCAAAACTATTGCAAGAGCTGCAAATTTCACAAAGGATCTGGTATCATTTGTATCCATTCTCTCTTTATGTCTACCTCTCTCTTGACTAATACCATGGAACCCTTAAATTTATAATAGCTTATTATAAACAAGTTCATGCTAAAGTGGAAGCTAGAAAGATCGTATGATATGGGTTGAAGACTCTCCAGTCTTTGTAGTCAGGTCGTCTTTTGAGTTGAAACTGTAGCCAAGTCGTCGTTTGAGTTGAAATTGTAGTCAAGTCGTCTGTTGAGTTGAAAATGTCTCCAAATTGCAAACTGACGCATGTGGGAGACTTGTGGTGATTATTATTATTGGTTATTGTTTGCTCGCTCTCTCTTTCTTTTCATAAATTAAAATTGAATAAAAATGTAAGAAGATTGATTGTTATGGATTTGTATTCATACTGAATGAATAAAAACAGAGTACAGTTCTATATTTAGCACTGATTAAGACAACGTTAGATTTATAGAGGAATGTTAAGATGCTATCATATTGTGGACAGTCACTTTCCAAATATTGTCGACTACAAATGAGTCCTTATTTTGTCATTTTGTCAAATGTATTTGCTTTTTCTCAATGAAAATATTGAATTATTTTGCAATTCTTGATATTATGGTTTGGGTTATTTGCAGGGAAGAGACCTAAGGATTCAATTTTGTAGATAATCAAGAAAGTAGAACATAAGGATTTGACACACACAAACAGTACTTTATGTTTTTCATTAATATATAGAACATGGTTCATCTATATATTGTAACATAGAGTGATTGATTGATTCTTTTATTCGAATGAGAACACCAAAAGACATATTATAGCTTAGAGACTTCGTGGCAAGACAGTCTGAGGTAGATCAGCTTGTTTTCGGCTCAGTTATTCAAGCTGCATGTTACAAAAGGAACAACAAAACAAACGTAAGGTTTGCTCTCTACTCAAAAGGAACAAGAAAATCCTGGACTGGATGAACTACCTATAATTGTGTAACAAAGGATACTTTGAGTTCTTACCTTAGAAACAGGAGGGGATGCTGTTAATACCACACTGAGCTAGAAGAGGCCTGACTCTAGATGGGTTAATCCCGAAACTGGAGAGATAAGGCTTGTACGGGCAGAGGCATTGTAGATTAGCGGATCTGGCCACTGCACAGCAGTCCGGTCCTGGACGTGGAGGTTTGTTTCCAGTGACAGCTGGACGGCATTTCTCCAAGTCGTTTGTGTCGATGTTGCAAATGGGAATGCACGTAGCTTCTTTCACCATTATTGCAGCGGTTAAAACTATCGCAAGAAGTGCAAATTGCATGAGGATTCTTGTGTTGTTCTTACCGGCCATTCTCTCTTTGTCTTATATTTCACTCTCTCTCTCTCTCTCTCAACTCTACTGTGATTTGTGAAACTCTTAATGTAAGGTGCTTATTATATAGTAACGTTAGTGTTAAGTGGGAGCTAGTAAAAGCGTACACTCACGGGTTTTTTTAAAACAAGTTGTTGTTTAAGTTAACTGTATGGTAAACAAACAGACAAATGTGGGAGACTTCTGGTGAAATGTAAGTCTAGTGGCTTTTGGTCGTTTTATCTTTGTTTTGTCCTTGTTAGGTCGTGTGTAGTTTACTATGTAAAATTATCAAAAGACTGTCTTCTTGTCATGTAAGAACAAGCTGTTGAAAATGAAACGATCTTTAGGATCTCTGTGAGATGAGCGTTGAAACTAAAAAAGCAACTCTCAATTTTTCAAGGCCTTATGAGTTATGAATTATGACATGCATAAGGGGATTTAACAGAACAATGATATATAATTATAAGATTTGAATCTTTAATCACACTAACCCGAACAAAGCCTTGCGACATACATAAGGGATTTAACAGAACACCAAAGAACGTTATCTAAATTATAAAATTGGAATCTTCAACCACACAAACCCGAACAAGTACAAGGATCCAAACAACACAAGACACTAAAGCACGAGGCAGAAACATAGCCTAGCTAGAACTCAGAGAAGAGGTCGAAAAGATCCAGCAAGGGACACTGATCTTTGAGGGTTTACCAAAGCGATCGAAAGGGAAGGGACGGTTCGTACCAGAAGCGAGATCGTAAGTACCAAGTCTAGGGCCAAGGTAATAGATGGAATTAGGTTTGAGCCCCGGGTACAACCTGGCTGAGAGACAGAAGGCTTCACTTTCACTAAGGAAGATGCAGAGATCTCCAATATCTTCAGTGTAACCAAAGTCTTTGCTCATCCCATCTTGCCTAAAGACCATGAACCGCTTAGTTCTGCTATGGATAAATTCCAAATCACCATCTTCGTCCTCTTTGTGAATAGCCTGTGTGTACCTAGACAGAGGAAACAAGTAGTTCAATATCTCTACTCTACCTTGATAGATAAAAGGTAGCTAAAGTACTCATGGAAAAATACGTACCACTTGATGAAGAAAAGTTCACCAGAGGGAGATTCCACCAAGTGGTTGGTCATGGAACATTTATCCAACATCTCCCAACCTGCCTCTGGAATCTTAGGCATGTTTCTAAGGCGTATAACTCTATACTTGGTCTCGTTGTTTTTGCTGGGATACAGGGAACCCATGTAGAGACCCTTGAAACTGGTAAAGTGGAAGGCTTTGTCTCTCTTGGAATACATAAGCTTAGAAGCTGGTAAAAGAGAGTAAGCGGTATTGATGTGAGTCCACTCAGAATCCGAACGAGGCCTGCATACACTGACGTGATACTCATTGAACTTTGCAGCCACAAAAAAGTCGTCTTGGACAGGATCAGAAGAAGAAAGACACACTTCCGTGGCATGAGTTGTGGGTTTATACTCGAACCCGAGTGAAGGTAATGATATGACTCTTGGAGACGAGACACAAGGATTGTGCAGATCCGTGAGATTCACGGTTAGGTCTTTCTCCACCAGAAAAGCGACCCAACCTTGAGATGCTCCCAGAAGAGGTTGACCACGGAGCTCGTTGGGATACTTCTTCTCCTTGCTGAACACTTTCTTTTCGGTTGTCGGGTCGAATAACTTGTGATGCACGATTAGGCCCTCCTCTGGAGTCCCTCTCAACCTCTTAGTGTCCAGCACCAAACATGGTGGCTGAGGCAATGATGAGAAGAAACGAGCAGTGTCCTTGCGTACCTGTCAATTTCCATGAACCAAACCCCGGACTGAGTAACCAAGAATCAAAGAAAGTATGTATAACATAGGAAGGTTCAAGAGAGTATCTTAACAGAGACAGGGAGCTTCGAGATTCGGCTGAAAAACATAGTCATTCTTTCTTCTCTGTTCCTACGTCCAAAAAGCCCTAACTGTCTCTCTTATAACTAGATAATTTCCAAATTTTTAAAATAAAAATACTTCCATTTCCTTGGATGAACTCGAGATGCGAATTCCCAGAAATAGAAAGCTTTCCTAAGGATTCGATGACTCAATTGCACGCATTTAATTATTCAGGCCCATTTGAAAATCTTATGTTTGAATTGATTTGTTGTTTTCTTGTTGAATAAAGAACACTAAAAAGACATTATTACTTAGGAGACTTCAGGTCGAGACAAAGTATGGGATATACATATACCGGCCGGCCTATCTTCAGCTCATTTATTCAAGCTTCGTGTTACACAAGGAACAACAAAACACACGTAAGACGTCTACCCTCTCTCTTAATGACCAATAATACCATGGAACCCTTAAATTTCGTAGCGTATTATAAGTTAGATAAAGAGAGTATGATATTTTGTTTCAAAAAAAAAAAAGAGAGTATGATATGGGTCGAAGACTTTAGTCTTTGTAGTAAATAGTAACGATCAAGTCGTCTTTTGAGTTGAACTGTCAGCAAATTACAAATAGACACATGTGGTAGACTTGTTGATACTATTATTAGTTTTTTTTTTTTTTTGCTCTATTTTCATCAATTAAACATTGAATAAAATTATGATTTGGGTTCTTTGCAGGGAAGATGCATAATCAAGAAAGTAGAACACAAGGATTTCAAGGAAAGAAAAAAAAAACAGTATTTTACATTACTATATAGATCGAACATGGTTCATCTATATGACTATATATGTAATAGACTATGGTGACTGAAAACTTATTGCAAAGTTGATACATAATTTATTTATTCGAAACAGAACAGCACAAGACTTATTTATAGCTATTATCAAAAAGATTTATTTATAGCTTTAGAGAGACTTCAGGGAAAGAGCAAGTCGGAGGTAGACTGGTCTGTCTTCTGCTCAATTCTTCAAGCTGCATGTTACAAAAGGAACAACAAAACAAACATAAGATTTTCTCTCTTTACCGAAAGAAGAGCAAAATCAAACGTACGTACGGTTACTTTGATTTATTACCTTAGAAACAGGAGGGAGGACTGTTTATTGAAGAAACAGAGTGTCTGAAGGACCAACAGTTGCAGAACCTGAAAAACGCTCAGAAGGACTCTTAGAAGCACGATGCCACGCTGGCATCTTGTTGACAGCGCAACACTTCGATCGTGATGAGAAGCAGCACGTTTGGTGCCCAACGTTGGTAACGAAGTCAAAGGGCAGGAGTGACAGCTACAGCAAAAAGCATGTAAAGTTGTCAGACAAAAGGTGGTTGTTGTTGGCTAGTGGGAAGCTAGTGAAGTCAACATCATGACAAGAAGCTGCGCAGTGTCCGCTGGATAAAGAGAGGACCTGCGAGTTGTTTTGTTGCCTATATAAGAAGAGAGCTTTCTTCTTATTAGGGTTAGCACTTTAAGAAGAAAAAGTGTGAGAGTTCTTTGTGTTCATATCTGAGTTTCAAATGAAGAATCGTTGTGGGTTCTTTTGGTGAGTGAACAAAAGAGTGTGCATAGCTGTTGCTGTGCTGGTAAGCTGGGTAGATTAGGAATCGATCAGGGCCAAATCACAGTGTGTGATGTTGGTTAACTCTGATCAAACAAGCTTGTAAAAGAGTTGTTTGAAGATTGCTAATAAAACTAAGTTTGAAGAAATTTCTGTATTTGTGTAGTACTTTCAAGGTTCTAGTTCTTTCATTTATACCACACTTGGCTAGAAGAGGCCTGACTTTAGATGGATCAATCCCGAATCTGGAGAGAAAAGGCTTGTACGGGCAGAGGCATTGTAGATTAGCGGATTTAACTACTCCGCAGCAGCCCGGTCCCGGAGCTGGAGGGTTGTTCCCAGTGACGGCTGGACGGCATTTCTCCAAGTTGTTTGTGTCGATGTTGCAAATGGAAATGCTTGTAGCTTCTTTCACCATTATTGCACAGGTTAAAACTATCGCGAGAAGTGCAAGTTGCATGGGGATTATGGTGTTGTTCTTAGCCATCCTCTCTTTTTCTTATCTTTTCTCTCTCACTCAACTCTATTGTAATTTGTGAAACTCTCAAGTCTAGTGAGCTAATTATATAGGAACATTAATAAGTAAGAGCTAGTAAAAGCATAGACTCACACGGGTCTTTTTTGGACAATTCGTCGTTAAATTTGTAAACAAACGGACAAATTTATAGGAGAATTTAGTCTCCGGCTGCTGATATACAGAACTTGTTCCGTTTGTGTTGCTGATGGCTTTTACGTCGTTGTATCTTGTCTTGTCCTTGTCAAGTCGTGTAGTTTTATTCTGTTTATTACCGAAATACTGTCTTCTTGTCATGTTTAAAACAGATCTATGAAGCAAGTCACAACACCAGAAACAGAGCTTTGACTGAGTCTTCTTCAACCAACTTTGCCAGAGTTAATAAAAAGCTTGTGTAACACTCTATCAACATCTACTAGAGAAAATGGTTTTATCATCTATTACTATTTACCAAACCAAGTTAACAATCAGATTTCAAATCAAGAATAGAAGTTAGGTTTTGGATACTCTGAGAATACTTTTTACACTTTTCATCAACGCATAGAACAGTTTGTGTCTGTGATTTACACAAGGGGAATCTAAAATCACTAACAGTTTGTGATTTATTTGGAACAGAACACTAAAAATACATTGTATAATTACTTGAACTACATAAATAAGGAACCATTTATTGTTACATGTGGGAATGCTCGCAGGCTTTTCCATCAACACCAAGGCAGCCAAAACTATTGCAAGAGCTGCAAATTTCACAAAGGATCTGGTATATATCATTCGTATCCATTCTCTCTTTATGTCTACCTCTCAATAAGCTTAATATAAACAATTTCATGCTAAAGTGGAAGCTAGAAAGATCGTATATATGATATGGGATGAAGACTCTCCAACTTGTGGTAATTGTTATTGGCTATTGTTTGCTCGCTCTCTCTCGCTTTTCATAAAATTATAATTGAATAAAAAAATGTAAGAAGGTTGATTGTTATAAATTTGTATTCATTTTGATTGAATAAAAACATTGTTATAAATTTGTATTCATATTGATTGAATAAAAACATAGTACAGTTCTATATTTAGCAATGATTAAGGCAACATCAGATATAGATAGTAATGTTATGATGCTATCATGTTGTATTATTGATTTGTAATGGATCTTGTACAAGACACTAAAGCACAAGGCAGGACCATATCCTAGCTCGAACTCAGACAAGAGGTCGAAAGGATCCAGTAAGGGGTATCGACCTGTGAGGGTTTACCAAAGCGATCGAAAGGAAAGGGACGGTTCGTACCAGAAGCGAGATCGTAAGTACCAAGTCTAGGGCCAAGGTAATAGATGTAATTAGGTTTGAGCCCCGGGAACAACCTGGCTGAGAGACAGAAGGCCTCAGCCTTACTAAGGAAGATGCAGAGATCTCCAATATCTTCAGTGTAACAAAAGTCTTTGCTCATCCCATCTTGCCTAAAGACCATGAACCGCTTAGTTCTGCTATGGATAAATTCCAAATCACCATCTTCGTCCTCTTTGTGAATAGCCTGTGTGTACCTAGACGGAGGAAACAAGTAGTTCAATATCTCTACTAGACCTTGATAGATAAAAAGTAGCTAAAGTACTCATGGAAAAATACGTACCACTTGATGAAGAAAAGTTCACCAGAGGGAGATTCAACCAAGTGGTTGGTCATGGAACATGTATCCAACATCTCCCAAACTGCCTCTGGAATCTTAGGCATGTTTCTAAGGCGTATAGCTCTATACTTGGTCTCGTTGTTGTTGCTGGGATACAGGGAACCCATGTAGAGACCCTTGAAACTGGTAAAGTGGAAGGCTTTGTCTCTCTTGGAATACATAAGCTTAGAAGCTGGTAAAAGAGAGTAACCGGTATTGATGTGAGTCCACTCAGAATCCGAACGAGGCCTGCATACACTGACGTGATACTCATTGAACTTTGCAGCCACAAAAAATTCGTCTTGGACAGGATCAGAAGAAGAAAGACACACTTCCGTGGCATGAGTTGTGGGTTTATACTCGAACCCGAGTGAAGGTAATGATATGACTCTTGGAGACGAGACACAAGGATTGTGCAGATCCGTGAGATTCACGGTTAGGTCTTTCTCCACCAGAAAAGCGACCCAACCTTGAGATGCTCCCAGAAGAGGTTGACCACGGAGCTCGTTGGGATACTTCTTCTCCTTGCTGAACACTTTCTTTTCGGTTGTCGGGTCGAATAACTTGTGATGCACGATTAGGCCCTCCTCTGGAGTCCCTCTCAACCTCTTAGTGTCCAGCACCAAACATGGTGGCTGAGGCAATGATGAGAAGAAACGAGTAGTGTCCTTGCGTACCTGTCAATTTCCATGAACCAAAAGCCCCGACTGAGTAACCAAGATTCAAAGAAACTATAAGATAGGAAGGTTCGAGAGAGTAACTTACAGAGAGCTTTGAGATTCGGCTGAAAAACAGAGCCATTTTCTTTGTCTTTCTTCTCGTTCCTACTTCCAAAGAACCCTAATTGCTCTTCTCGACTCTTATAATTAGAAAATTTTCCAAAAATTGCTTTGTTTTTTTTCTTCCATTTCCCTGGATGAACTCGAGATGCGAAATCCTATAAATGGAAACTTTACATATTGATGATTCAGTGTATTGTAGATTTATAGTTGTTCATACATTATTTAATAAGTCATGTGCAAAAAGTTTATGTTAAAATTGTTTTGTTGTTATTTCATTGTTACAGTCCCCAAGCACGTATAAAAGCAATAATGACTATGTCCAACACAAAATTTAAAATACATATTGGTTTTGACTTCGTTATAATGTTTTAAGTTGCATAATTATATAATTTGTTTAAGTCAGAACTCAGATGATTGTTTTTAGGAGTAATAGAAAATATATTTTAACAATAGGACTAGACAATCGAAACACATACTAAATATTTTTTTTTTTAATGCAATATTAAATTATATTCAAAAGAAAAAATAAGCGTTTTTATAATAAGTGCATCGTTTTTGGACAAAAAATCGGAAAGATTAAGAATAGACGACAAATTATGTTCTAATTTGAAGCCACAATTGGAAACCCGCTGCATACCGGAGATCCCCCATTTTCCGAATTGAAGAAAGTTGATCTTATACTTGTTTATCGATCCTTTTCGTGAGCTGAGGTGGTGGTACTGGTGCGTTGCCATGAGGGACAATACACTTAACAACTAAAACAAACAAGAAAAAGGAAAACATACATTAAAATCCATAAGAAATTAGTACTGGCAACCATCGCAACCGAAGCAATAACGGCAACCACCGCTACATCCTGGGCAACCGCAACGAATGCACCCAGGGCAACCACTGCAACCACCATATTCTTGTATCTCGGTCCCCTGTCCCTTGTCACTTTTGTTGGTTTGTTGGTCGTTGCTTTTCCCACCGTTTGTCCCGTAGTTGTAGTTGATGTCGGTTTGTTTCCCAGAGGAAGACTTGGTGCGAGTGGATTCGTCGGTCTCCTTCTTCTTATCGACCACAGATCCGCCGCCGCCGGGGAAGCCGTCGGGGAAAGCGACGAAGTCCTTGTCTTTGAGCGAGTATTCATCCTCATCTTCATCTTGGTCTTCGGCTGCTAAAATACAGGACTTACTCCTTTTGCGTGACTAACGGCTTTTCGTCGTTTGATCTTGTTTTGTCCTTGTCAAGTCGTGTAGTTTTTTCTGTGTAATACCAAAAGACTGTCTTCTTGCCATGTAAAAACTGATCTATGAAGCAAGTCACAACACCAGAAACAGAGCTTTGACTGCGTCTTCTTCAACCAACTTTGCCAGAGTTAATAGAAAACTTGTCTAACACTCTATCAACTGCTACTAGAGATAATTGTTTCTCATCTATTACTTATTCCCAAACCAAGTTAACAATCAAATTTCAAACCAAGAATAGAATTTAGGTTTTGGATACTCTGAGAATACTTTACACTTTTCATTAACGTATAGAACACGGTTCTTCTACATACACAAGGGGAATCTAAAATCACTAACAGTTTGTGATTTATTTGAAACAGAACACTAAAAATACATTGTATAATCACTTGAACTATATAAAAAGGAGCCATTTGTATATTTAAATTCAGATGAAAGAGACAAGATCCAGCGAAGTCTGTAGCTGTAGCACCATAAAGACCTTTCTCAGCTCAGTTCTTCAAGCTGCCGGAATACAAAAAAAAAATCGTTACACACACTTGCTTTGTTTTGAAGATCTTACTACAAAATTCAATAATCACATCAAAATTTATATACCTTGGCAAGAACGAGGGACTGCTGTCACGCCACATTTGGCAACAAGAGCCGCGACTTTAGACGGGTCAATTCCCAAAATCGGGAGATAAAACTTGAGTCTGCAGAAGCATTCTAGATTAGCAGCTCGAACCACAACGCAGCACTCGTTGACAGGAGGCGGCGGATTGTTTCCAGTGACGGCTGGACGACATTTCTGCAGTTCGTTTGTGTCCATGTTACAAATAGACATGCTTGTGGCCTCTTGCACCATTGTTGCAACGGTTAAGACCATTGCAAAAGCTGCAAATTGCATAAGGATTTTGGTATTGTTCTTACCCATTCTCTCTTCCTTGCTCTAAGAGTACCTCTACTTGTGCATCTCTCTTTAAAGTTTTAGATCAGGAGCTTCTTATATATAAACAAGTTAAAATGCTAACTGAAAGGTACGTAGCAAAGTAGTTAAGAGCGTCACGAAAGGATAAGTGTGGGTGATGTAACGAGGATCATCAGTGTTATGAGTTGAGATATGTGTGAACAAAGGGACAAATGTGAGAAAGGGCTTAGTTGCATTGCATGCCATAGTTTCTGGGCGGTGAATGACAAAAGACCTGTTTAACTCTTTGCGTGACCGATATGGCGCCGTTTGTTTTGTCTTTTTTTTTAATATTAAAATAGATCATTACTAATGATTCATTAGCGATCACAATTATATTGGATTTTTTAATTTTGTTTTGCTTATTATCACTAATATACTAAATTTTTGATTATGTTAAATAGATATTGATTGTTAATGAATTTGTATTATGGAAAAGTGGAAAACTATGAAAACACATACATTTGTCCATTGATGTTCTTTTTGCACTTGTTAAGAAAATACTATATTATCTTTTTATTTTCATAAAGATTAAGTGTTTCATATTCTTATTTCGTACAATTAATACATAACTAAAAGTCTGCAAGGATAAAGACTAAAACTCTTTTTCAACATTAAGAAAGCATCAAAATAACACATCTTGAAAGACTAATTAAGCCCTTGCTTTTAAAAATTTAAGACGGCGAAAGCAATGGAAATATTTTGGACATTTTTGTTTTGAGAAGTAATAAGGGTCAAAACTCGAAATATTCTACATTTTTTTACAACACATTATCAATTTATTTTGTAGTATTTCTTACGAAACATAGATATCAACAAAAACATTCTAATAATTGATTAGAAATCAACAAAACCATTTTAGTTTAATATCACATAGAATATGAAGTTAACATCACATAATTTTATATAGTAGGCCGTCGTGCGTACCATACACAATTACACATGGGGTTTAAAATAAAAAACCTTGCAAACAAAATAAGAAAATACGTCGGTGGAGAAGATCTTTGTTTCGTTCATAAAATCTAAAATCTTCCCAAAAAAATAAGTAACCAGTTTCTTTTGGTAATTTGTTAGAGAAATATCAATATCTTCCGTAAATCATTCAATCTATATATGGTTAATAGAGCATTTTTATTTATGTAACATTTTTAAAGTCTTCCACATTTAGAAATGACCAACCTACACAACACAACACAACACAACAACACACACAAGTCGTTAAACCGTGCGGTCCACCGTCTCTTCCACATGTCGTCATCAGACAGCGAGTATATTAATACAAAATAAACCCTACTCGCGATTCTGACGAAGCATTCAATTTCACAGCTAAAAATTAACTCCTCTCTCTCTCCTCTACCATCGCATTGCTCTCACACGAAGCAAATAACGATCCTCTCTCTCTCTGTTCCGTATCGTCTTCTTCTTGTTCACATTGAGGTTTGATTTGTGCTTTCCTAGTATTCTGGAAGAAAGCTACATTGTATCATCGATATACATTATTGAAGAACTTGGATTGATTATCTCAAAGCAGAGCAGAGAATCTCATTTTCGATACATTGGGGTTTGTTTTTTTTTTTTAATTTTATTCTCCTAGATTTCTGGAATTTGTGTAATCGACGAAGTCACATTTTTTCCTTCCTAATCTATCTGTAATACTGTTAAAAGTCTCCAGCTTTTGAATCCTGCTGTAATGTTTTTAGCTAACATTGCTATTTTAAGTATGATCCTTTGGATCGATTAAATTTGTTTCTTTTCGTTTATTCCCAAAGTTTAGATTTTTCTGAAGCTTACATTGGTTCTTTTTGCAGGGGAGAGGTTTCTACATTGGTTTGATATTTGAAGATATTTTTTTTTTCTTCTTCTTCCCCGTGATTTTTTTACGGGGGAGATGTCTGGTTTCGTGGGTGTAATTGTTTCGGATCCATGGCTTCAAAGTCAGCTCACACAAGTCGAGCTTCGGAGTCTTAATTCCAAGGTAAAGTTAATCTTCCGTAGATGCAATCTAAGAGAAGCTTATTTTGATCTGGATGTAAAGTTTTGCATTTGTCTGTCTTTTAGTTTGTGTCGTTGAAGAATCAGAGTGGTAATGTTACATTAGAGGATCTTCCGTCTGTTTTGGTCAAGGTGAAGTCACTTAGTTCAGCTTTTAAGGAGAAAGAAATCAGACAACTCTTGGCAGATTTGGGTTCTGATAATGAAAGCGATGATCTTGATTTCGAATCCTTTCTCAAGGTCAGTTTGATCTTTGTGTTGTGTTTTGTTTATTCTTGTGAAAATCTTTGATAGATGTGTGATGTTGGTTTTGGATTGATACAACGAAATGTGTGCAGATATATCTAAATCTGCGAGATAAAGCCGCTGATAAATCTGGTGGCCTTAAGCACTCAGCTTCATTTCTTAAAGCCGGCACAACCACCCTTCATACCATAAACCAGTCAGAGAAGGGTTCTTTTGTTCATCACATCAACAGATATCTAGGGGATGACCCGTTTTTGATGCAGTTTCTTCCTTTAGATCCGGATTCGAATGATTTGTATGAACTTGTGAAAGATGGTGTACTTCTATGGTAATGTACACATTTGGGCTTTCGGAGTTTTATCTCAACATTAGTACATTTGGTTTCCGGATTTTGATCTCTTCTCCCTTTTTTCTTTTTTGGTACAGTAAGCTTATAAATATAGCAGTCCCTGGGACAATAGACGAAAGAGCGATCAACACGAAGAGAGTACTTAACCCGTGGGAGAGAAATGAGAATCACACGCTCTGTCTAAACTCTGCAAAAGCTGTTGGCTGCAGTGTGGTTAATATTGGGACTCAGGACCTGGCTGAAGGACGAGTAATATTCTGCTTGCTTAGTTGTTAGTTAATCATAATATATTGGAGACAGATTCTGACCAGAGGTTCTATTGTTTTTGCAGCCTCATCTAGTGCTTGGATTGATCTCACAACTCATAAAGGTCAACACTTGTTTGCTATGTGCATCTTCCCTTGTGTTCATGCTTGATTATATTACTAACTAATGATGAAAACTGCAGATTCAACTGCTCGCTGATCTTAGTTTGAAGAAGATGCCTCAACTTGTGGAGTTGGTGGAAGACAACGATGTAATGACCTGCTAATCTCATTGTTAATTTCTGACCAAACTATAAGCATGTCGTAAATAATAGTTATGATTTTATGTCTGTTGCAGGATATAGAAGAATTTCTGAGATTACCCCCCGAGAAAGTCTTACTCAAATGGATGAACTTCCATCTCAAGAAAGGTGGTTACAAAAAAACTGTTGGAAATTTTTCTTCGGATCTGAAGGTATTTGGCTTTCCAAGTAGCAATTCTTGGAACTATACTCCTTTATGTCCCTTCAAAAGCTTCATTAGATCATTAGCACGTGATTCTCTCCAACACACTGAAGCAAACATCAGTTTGAATAGGAAAAACAAAAGCTCATCATAAGCTATGAAAATGTTTGATACTTTTTCTTAATCTTGATGGTTGAATATGCAGGACGCACAGGCGTATGCTTACCTGCTCAATGTTCTCGCACCAGAGCACTGCGATCCAGCTACTCTAAATGCAGAGAATGATCTTGAAAGGGCTAACATGGTCCTCGAACATGCAGAGAGAATGAACTGCAAACGGTATTTGACTGCAGAGGAGATAGTTGAGGGGTCTTCGTATTTGAATCTAGCATTTGTGGCACAGATATTTCACGAAAGGTTGGTAAATAATATTACAGATAGATTATTATCATATGCACTGGTTCTTACCCACTAGCTTCTCTGTGCCTGCAGGAATGGCCTTAGCACTGATGGTAGGTTCTCCTTTGCGGAGATGATGACTGAGGATTTACAGAGTTGCAGAGATGAAAGATGTTACCGCTTATGGATTAACAGCCTTGGGATTGACAGTTACGTTAATAATGTGTTTGAAGATGTTAGAAACGGGTAAGAATTTGGTATGGAAAATAATTTATAAGCTTTTGGTCCTGAAACATATCATAAGTTTTTTAATACTTAATATTGCTGATGCAGATGGATTCTTCTGGAAGTTGTCGACAAGGTCTATCCAGGATCAGTTAACTGGAAGCATGCTTCAAAACCACCAATTAAAATGCCGTTTAGAAAAGTAGAGAATTGCAATCAAGTTGTGAAGATTGGGAAAGAGAAGAGATTCTCGCTTGTAAATGTAGCTGGAAATGACATAGTTCAAGGGAATAAGAAGCTTATCCTAGGTAATTACTCCGCTTAGCTAGTGACAATTTTATTATTTTGATAAGATGCTTTTGCAGTCTAACTCTTAGAAATTGTATAACACTGGTGGTGTATGTCTCAGGCTTCTTATGGCAGTTGATGAGAACCCATATGCTCCAACTTCTCAAAAATCTCAGATCTCGAACAAGAGGGAAAGACATGACCGACTCAGAAATCCTGAGCTGGGCAAACAGGAAAGTCAAAATTATGGGACGGAAATCGCAGATCGAAAGCTTCAAGGTTCCATCTTTAACTTTCATCAAAACTCAAAACAAACAACTGAAAAAGCTTATGTTGAGTAAAATCTGTATTGCTAAACTTCAATAGGATAAAACTCTATCAAGCGGATTATTCTTCCTCGATCTTCTATGGGCAGTTGAGCCAAGAGTTGTTAACTGGAATCTTGTCACCAAGGGTGAATCAGGTCCATTACTCACTCTAACTAGACTAACAACCTCTTTCTCTCTCTACCCTCTGCTTAAACCGCACTTACTTTAACCATACTTTTTGGCAATGGAAACTTTTACAGAAGATGAGAAGAGATTGAATGCTACATACATTGTCAGTGTAGCAAGAAAGCTTGGTTGCTCGGTTTTCTTGTTGCCAGAAGATATCATAGAGGTAAAGAATAGAATCTAAATCTTCTGAAACAACTGACATTCAGACACAACATACATTAAGTGTATAAAAATCTGAGGTTTGAAATGTCTTCTGTTGTTGCAGGTGAATCAAAAGATGATATTAATCTTAACGGCAAGTATAATGTATTGGAGCCTTCAGCAACAATCATCATCGTCAGAGAGTTCAAGTTCGAGTTCGGATTCATCATCGACTCATAGCACGACCACGACATGCACAAGCACATGCACGAGCACTGATGCTTCACCAGCTCCATCTGTCACGGGAGAAGATGAAGTCTCTTCTTTAAACGGCGAAATATCGAGCCTAACGATAGAAGAAGACAATGACGCAGAAATTTTGTCTGACATTACCTCCATCTCAGAGGAAGCTGCAGCCATTGAATAGAGAGAGAAACAAAGACTGAAATATCTTTTGCCGGAACAGAGTTGATTTGTAATTTTTTTCACATCTTCTCTGTCTGTGTGATATATAATAAACAAAAAGTTACATTTGTTTACCACTATGATAAGGAAACAAACATAAAGGTCAAAAAAAGGAAAACAATTTGTGAAGTACACTGAAAATGTCAATCTTGTTTTATTTGTTGACTTGCATTTTTTGTTTTGTTTGGTTTTATAGAAAGTAAAAAAGAGAGATATTTTAGAATACCTCCAATGGTTGTTACTAATTGTTGTGTTTGTTGTTGTTGTTTGGTGTGATTGGCTTTTCTTTGTCTCTCTCTCTTTCTCTCCATGTCTGGCTCGAGCATCGAACTCATCAAGCGTTGCACTTTACAGTACCTTCGCAGACCAGAGGAGCTACAAGAGCCGGACACTCACACTCTCGCATGACAACAACTTTAAAAGCATCTGAGCACTTTATGTATATTTCCTTATTTTTACGTTCGTGAAAAAAGGAAATATTTTAGAATTTTCCATATTTGAAAAAAGGAAATTATCGTATGTGCGGGCGTGCCCACACGTGCCGCGAGTTATATAAACATGAACAAAAAATTTCTCAGGCAGTTTTCGCATTATGAAGACGACGACTCTTACTCTCTGTTGATTCAATTGCCTCAGAGTCTACACACACACAGAGACTAGAATTCTCAAAGGTTTCTTCACTCTTCTTCTTCTTCTTCTTCTTCTTCGTAATTGACTCATTCATTCCTGAGCTCTTATTCAGTTCGGTTGTCTCAGTTTACTCAATTTTTGGGTTTACTATTCATCTTTTGGGACTTTTGGTCATCTGCATTGTTATGTTTCTTGCGTTCTCTAATTCGTGTGTCTAGGTTCTCCTAAGACGAACCCTAATTCGGATTTTGCTTTAGGGTTTAGGAGAAAGCTCTGATTTTTGGAATTTCCCATTGATCGGTTGTGTTTGAATCGTTTCTAGGTTTGGGGGTTTGGGGAATTGATGGCGTTCGTTGACGATGATGAAGAGGAAGATTACTCTGTTCCTCAATCAGCTTCGAATTACTATTTCGAAGATGATGATAAGGAGCCTGTGTCGTTTGCTCGTCTGCCAATTCAATGGACCGCGAAGGAGAAAGTTGATGGGAGTGCGTCAGGTTTTTACTTGAGAGGAAGATCTGGTGATGGGCTTTTGCCTCTGCATAAGCTTGTTAAGGCTTGGAGATTCGACCTTTCTAACTTTAGACCGGAGATTTCTGTTCTTACCAAGGATAATATCTGGATTAAGCTTGAGGAACCGAGGAAAAGCTACGCCGAATTGATAAGAACTGTTTTGGTTACCTTGTATTCCATTCAGTTTCTTAGGAGGAATCCCCTAGCGTCGGAGAAATCCCTCTGGGAGAAATTAACTAGAAGTTTGAGGTGACTGGTCGCTTATTTTATGTCTTTTGTTCTTCTCTCTGGGAATTTTCGTTCTTTTGGTTTTAACTCCTGTGGCTGGATGTTGTTTCTATAGGTCATATGACGTGAAGCCATCGCAGAATGATTTGGTGGATCACATTGGCTTAATCGCTGAAGCTGCTAAAAGAGATGTCAATTTGGCGAAATCAAAGGTTAGTATGGAGAATTTTCAGACTTTCTGGTCTGTGAGATGTTTGATTTATAAGAGGCTCTTATAGGTGTTGTGGCTTCTGCTACTTGTGAGCTTGTGATGCCCATATTTGTTTTTCAAGAGTTTAGTTCGCTTTCTGGCTTGGATGCTTTCTGTATATGTATCATCTTCTTACCCTGATTCTCTCCTAACTTTCTTGAGTTTTTCTTTCTTATGTGTCTAGTTTATACTTGCATTTCTCGCAAAGAAGCCTACCAAAAGGAGATTACCTGATGAGGTTTGATTCTTTAATCCACTTGAGTACTCTTTTCCTAATGTGTCTTTCCCCTTGTTTCCCTTACTCTCACACGGTCTTAATTTCTGTTACGAACTTGTTATTAATTATTAGGACAATGCAAAGGATGATTTCATAGTAGGAGATGACAATACTTATGTAGCTTCCGATGAAGATGAATTGGAAGATGATGAAGACGATGATTTTTTTGAGTCTGTTTGTGCAATATGTGACAATGGTGGCGAGCTTATGTGGTATGTTTCCTTGCTGGATATTGATCGTGTATTTTGATTTTCTCTGGAAGTTTTTTGTTGCAGAATTAGTCTTCCACCTATTACTTTCTTTGTTAGGATAATAAGGCCATGCATACCTTTCGTTTGTGTTTGGCATTTACAAAAATATTTGATGAAAAACTGAAAAAAAATTAACAACGTGAAACATACAAATGCAGTGTTTGAGGAGACTGAGGCCATTGTTTCGGAAGATCCATTGTTTTATTCCATATTGCGTGTTGTTATTTCACCGAACCAGATGTATAAGTCTTGTGTTCTGATTTCTACAGTTGTGAAGGAAGCTGCCTGAGATCTTTCCATGCTACCAAAAAAGATGGCGAAGATTCCCTTTGTGATTCTCTTGGCTTTACCAAGATGCAAGTGGAAGTATGTAACATTTATTATATTCTCATTAGTTCTGAATATTTCTGAGTGTCTTGGTTTTCTTGAATAGGCATGGAGTTAATGTTAATGTTTTTTATGGACTGTTTTCCAGGCAATTCAGAAGTACTTCTGCCCAAACTGTGAGCATAAGATACATCAATGCTTCATTTGCAAGAACCTTGGCTCTTCTGATAATTCGGCTGGGGCAGCAGAGGTATGAAATTATTGATCTCTAATGTTTAATTCTGTTCAGACGTGTTTTGTTGATAATGGTGACTGTCAACTAACTGGACGAGCTTTGCGTTTTAAACGTGTTCTTAGGTTTTCCAATGCGTGTCAGCCACCTGTGGCTACTTTTACCATCCTCGTTGTGTCACAAGACGGCTACCTTTAGGAAATAAAGAAGAGTGTGAAGCACTAGAGAGACAAATCATTGCAGGAGAGTTTACATGCCCATTGCACAAATGCAGTGTCTGTGAAAGTGGAGAGGTCAAGACAGACTCTAACTTGCAATTTGCTGTTTGCCGGCGATGTCCGAAGTCCTATCATCGAAAATGCCTGCCGCGGTATACCTTCATTCACTTGTCATTCATTTTCTATTGCTATCTCAGAACCTATTTGAGTTACTGTTTTGTTATTTTCTTTTTTTGGACGTCCTGTGTTGTTGTTTTCTAGGGAACTTTCATTTCAAGATATTGAGGAAGAGGATATATTTACTAGGGCATGGGATGGACTCTTGCACAACCGTGTACTCATATATTGCCAGTAAGATTTTTATACGTTATATCTTTCTGTGTAAATTTATAATTATACTTACCTTGAGACACTAAGTTGAATGATTTCCCTTGCTTAGAGAACATGAGATAGATGAAGAACTCCTGACACCAGTTAGAGACCATGTTAAGTTTCCTTTCACAGAAGAAAAGAAGGCCTTAATGAAAGAAAAAAGAAGGATACTGGAATCACATGTGGGACGAGATAAAGCGAGACTTAGGGGTAAGGATCTGGCCTTACAAGATACTTGTGGAAGAGCTTCTGTTAATTCCGTTAGAAGTTCGTTTCCTTCTTCAAAAGATCGTGTCTCAACAAAGAAGCATGGATTAGTTTCATCTGTACCAGACCATTTTAGGAAACGAAAGGATGTTGATCCATCCGTAAAATATAAAGTGGTTCCACAAAAATCCCAGAAGATGATGGAAGAGTCCGGTGAAGCTGGCAAAAACAAGCTGGGAGTGAAAGAGTCACGCGAAGTTGGTAAAAGCAAGGTTTCACTGGGTGAAAAGTTGTTTAATTACATCCAGGAACCTAACCGAGTAAAGCCTGGGCACGTGATTCCAGTTGATAGCAAGCACAATAAGACTGACTCAATTGCCTCCAAGGATCCAGGAAGTGAAATTCCTGCATTAGACAACGACTCTCAAAGGAGGTTAGTAATTTATTGTTTAAAATTTCAGTTTCCCTTAGAACTTTGTTTAAAATTTCAGTTTTCCTTAGAACTTTGTTTAGGACGTATTAGTAATTTCTTACGTCTTATCTACTTTTGCCAATGTAGGCTCTTGGCGGTCATGAAAAGAGCTACGGAAGAGATAACTATGGGTACTATTCTTAAGAAATTCAAAGTTCAATCTACTATGCACACAAACTCCACAAGGAATGTTGTGGACAAGACGATCACTATGGGGAAGGTAGAAGGATCAGTTCAGGTGGGCTAGATATCTGAAACCGGTCGCTAGTTAGCCTCTCTTAGCTCTATTTCTCACTTTAGATTTTGTTTTTCCAGGCTGTCAGAACAGCACTAAAAAAGCTTGAGGAAGGAGGAAACATTGAGGATGCAAAAGCAGTTTGTGAGCCAGAGGTTCTGAGCCAAATCCTCAAGTGGAAGGTCCTATACTTAGCTTTTTCTGCATCCTTTTTATTTATCTTTGCTTGCTATTAGTATTTTTTGTTGCTAATCCTCTAGATGATTATTTCTTTTGCTTCAGGATAAGCTCAAAGTTTATCTTGCTCCTTTTCTCTATGGTGCACGCTATACCTCCTTTGGTCGTCATTTTACTAATCCTGAAAAACTTCAACAGGTAATATATCCTCATAAAAGCATAAATAAGAAAAACTTCAACAGGTAATCTATAAGTTACAAGGATTTCGGTTCACACTTATGTCAACGAGTGAGAAAGAACAATTTTCAAGGAGAAATGACTCTTAAAATGTAGGCTGTTTTTGTGTCTTGTCAAATAGCTTATGTAATCTGTCTTTTGTGAGGATTATGCTGTTGGCTTATATTTTCTGTCCGTGCTGTTTACACACTGTCAAATTCTAGCTCTTGTATCTGTAGCTTGATACCTGATCGGATCATATTACTTTGTCATGCAGATTGTTGATAGGCTCCATTGGTATGCAGAAGATGGTGATATGGTGAGATTTGCTCGCGAATGTTATCTGTTAGGGTTTAATTTCTTGTTTACTTCTCTTAAATTTTTTTTTTCTGAAGTATGATCTTGTTGGTATAGTGATCAATTTCTTGTGAATAAACAATGATGTATGGTTTCTGGCATCTCTTCTAACAGATTGTCGACTTCTGTTGTGGTGCCAATGACTTTAGCTGTTTGATGAAAACAAAGCTTGAAGAAACCGGGAAGAAGTGCTTATATAAAAATTATGATCTTATTCAAGCGAAGGTAATAAGTATACCTGCTTTTGTCGTAAGTTGTAAAGTCTTGATCACTGAAGCAACATATGCTGGATCTTGGTGTGTTCTGTTCATCAGTCGTCTAGGATTACTCATTGAATTATTTATCTTACTTTCAGAATAATTTCAATTTTGAGAGAAAGGATTGGATGACTGTAGGCAAAGATGAGTTGGAACCAGGTTCAAAGCTGGTAAGATACAAATTTCCTTTAAATCTGAACTTTGTGTAAGCTCCCGTGACAAATGAAAGAGTTTGAGTAGTATCTGACTATTTATATTTTTTGACATTTGAGTAGATTATGGGGCTAAATCCACCTTTTGGAGTCAATGCATCTCTTGCAAACAAGTTTATTACTAAGGCTCTTGAGTTTCGCCCAAAGATTCTCATCCTCATTGTTCCTCCCGAGACTGAAAGGTTTCAGTCGATCTATCTCATCTGCTCCTCTGTACCATTATGTAACACTAAAATACCATTTTGTTAAATCTGTTTCTTTTCTGAACAGGTTGGATAGAAAGAAGTCATCTTATGTGCTTATATGGGAGGATAAGACGTTCCTATCTGGAAATGTAAATCATTCGCTCTTCTTTTGGTTTGCCCCCTCTGATTTTTTCTAAGAGATTGAGCCTTTCTTGAGTTTCAATTAATTTTTTTGCTTCTTGTCTATTCCTTTCAGTCGTTTTACCTGCCTGGTTCTGTCAATGATGAAAACAAACAATTGGAAGACTGGAATATTGTTCCTCCACCACTTTCTCTCTGGAGTCGATCTGACTTTGCAGCCAAGCACAAGAAAATAGCAGAAAAGCATTATCACTTGTTTAGAGATGCGGCGAGCTCAAATTTAAAGAAAGTTGAAGACGAAGCAAACGCATCTTTGTATCCACTTGAAGTTTCTGATGGCATGTGTGATGGAACTACTATGCCTAGAGATAGCCCTTTTGCGTTGGACAACAAAGATGTTCCTATGGAAAAGGATGAACTTGAGGTAGCAGAATGCGTTAATAACATTTTGCTCTCTGAGAAAATCGAAGCGCGGGAAACTATAGGACGTGTACATCAGTCAGATCACTTGTCAAGGAGAAGTCAACTGGAAAAGGAGGAAAAGACCAAAGACTACTCTGGTAGGAACCTTGGGAAGTCCATGGGTTCTAATGATGTGGCTTTGAAGAGCAATGACATGGAAGAGGGTCTAGGAGAGTTGAATAGAGCACCGGAGAGCATCAAAGTAAATATTCCCGAAATATCATCTAATTGGCAGAGTCCTGTTAGGTCTTCCCCAGATGATATATATGCTGTCTGCACATCAATCTCCAATACAACATCTCAAAGACCTCACGAGTCTGTTGAAGTATCTCTGCCTGCAATAACGAGGACAAAAAGTAACTTGGGAAAGAATATTAGAGAACCTGATGGTAAAGTGCAGGGCACTAGAAAACCTGAAGTGACACCGAATAGGCCAAACTCTGTAAGATCTTCTGGAGAGGACATCTACACTGTCCGTCCATCGCCAGCAAATACTGGTCAGAAACCATTTACTGCTTTTGAACCATCTTATGGTGCAAGTATATCCCATTTCGACGATGGTCTTGCTGCTAGGTATGGTTTTGGTGGAGGCTACAGAATGCCGGATCCTCCTTTCATACCGGATCAGTTTCCGTTGGCAACATCCATGAGAAATGGTCCTAACGAGATGTTTGATTACCGAGGATATTCAGACCTCCATAGAGGGGTTGGTCCAAGAGAGTATTCAGAGCAGTACGCTGGGCATTTGGACCCCATGTTAGCTCCTCCTCCTTTAAATCTGATGGACAATACATTCCCATTGCAACAACGTTATGAGCCTCACTTCGATCAGATGAATTACCAGAGGATGAGCTCTTTCCCACCTCAGCCTCCAATGCAACCTAGTGGACACAGTCTCTTTGATCCTCATGGCTTTCCACTGCAACCGCCACCACCTCCACCACCTAGTGACTTTGATATGAGTCCAAGGGGTTTTGCGCCTGGGCCGAACCCAAACTACCCTTATCTTAGTCGATCTGGCGGTTGGATTAATGAATAGACTAGCGCTAACTATCCTTGTACAACATAAATAGTTTGATCAATCTTTTGTGTCTCACTCTCTGAAATTGTAGGAAAAAGAGAAGAAATCTGTAACTGTTCTCTGCCACTCATGTCTAGCTAGTGGGCCTTTTGGCTGTTTAATAATATTAGAAAAAGGAAGCCAGCCTTCAATTGTCGTTTAAACTTTTTAGATATGTGTTGTGGTCATTCTTTAATATAGTTATACAGGACCACGTCGGCATTGGTGCTTCCTCAGAATTAGCAAACAACAGATCTGAGAAAATGGAAGAAAACTTTAGAAACTTAATCGAGGTATGGATCTGTGCTTTATTATCCTTATCTTACTGCTATTTCATATCATCTAAAATCCCTAAAGGTGTTCTTCGTCTCCTCTCTATCCTTCCAATCTGCATTCTGTTTCTTCGCCTTCCCCTGTTCCTCTCTTGTGTGCACTTTTGCGCCCTTTCAGCTCTGTTTCTCTCATGGCTCGCAAACTTCAGACTTATTCTCTTTGCCTTTGATCAAGGACCTTTGTGCCCACCTCCCCCTAAACTCTCCCGTTTCATCTGCTTTGCTTGTTTGCCCATCAAAATCAGGCAAAGCCCTTCTCCAGATGCGATCACCAATCTTCGTTGTAAGAATGAACCTATGCCTAAATGGGTTTTGGCTGTCAAAATTGTGGCCTTGGGCGTCTTGTTACATGTCTATGAATACAGGGACGGTTTGCCTCGGTTCGTTGTTTTGGCTCTTTATTGTCTCCATATTTACCTTGAGGTGGAACTTGTCTTGGTCTTTGTTGGAGCTGTGATATCTAATCTTCTCGGGTGTGACATCGAGCCAGTGTTCAATGAGCCGTACTTAGCCACCTCTTTACAGGACTTCTGGAGCCGCAGATGGAACCTCATGGTTTCAGCCGTCCTACGCTCAACTGTACACATCCCCGTTCAGCGTTTTTTCAAACACTTACTCAGTCGAGACGGGGCTATGTTTGCTGGGGTCATGGCCTCGTTCTTTGTCTCGGGCTTGATGCATGAGCTGATCTACTTTTACATGATCCGTCAGCCTCCAACTTGGGAAGTCACTTGTTTCTTCGTGTTGCACGGTGCTGCCACTGGCACTGAGATAGCGGTGAAGAGAACAAAACGGTGGAGGCCACCACACCGGGCTGTCTCTGGTTTTGCAGTTCTAACGTTTGTGAGTGTGACGGGAGTTTGGTTATTTCTCTCTCAAGTGCTGAGAAACAATGTCCATGAGAAAGCGATTGGTGAATGTTTATTGGTTATTGACTTTGTAAAACGCAAGTTATTTACTTCTTCATGAGTCTTTTTGTTTTTTTTTCACATATAATTATATAAAGGCCAAGAGCAGAGCAACCATACTGAAGTGTTGAGCCACGTTGTGTAGTATGAAACATTCGTAACATGGGATTCAGTTGAATCAATCACAGGTTCACTTGAAATGTGTGCATCTCCTGGAGAGCAGAGATGTACAGAGAGGCATAACTAGTTTATTATTAATTGTCCGACTCTCTTAACAATGTGTAGCTGTCATCTCTATTCCGAATATGTTTGAATCAATCTTAATTCATTTTAAATTACACATCTTTATCAAGTCAAAACCCTCAGTGATTGGGGAAAAGACTAAAAAAACCAAAAAAAGAAGATGTTGACTAGAGACATGGATGGAGAACTCAAGAACTTCATCAAGGTTTGGATCTCAGCAACAATCTCCATAGCTTATTGTTACTACATATCAGCAAGAATCAAAGCTGGTGTATTTCGATTACTCTCTGTTCTTCCTGTTTGTGCTCTGTTTCTTCTACTTCCTCTGTTTTTTTCCTCTGTTCACTTCTCTGAACTTACAGCATTTTTCCTCACATGGCTCGCAAATTTCAAACTCATCCTCTTCTGCTTCGATCAAGGCCCCCTCGTCCCACTTCCCTCAAATCTCTCCCGATTCATCTGCTTCACTTGCTTCCCTATCAAGCCTCAACAAAACCCTAATTCTCCAACTCAAATCTCCAAATGGGTTTTCGCCATTAAAGTTGTTATATTTGGTGTGTTGTTACAAATGTATGAATATAAACAACATCTCTCTCCGACTGTGCTACTGGTTCTCTATTCTCTACATATATACTTGGAGCTTGAGTTTGCCTTAATGCTCGTCAAAATTTTGGTCTTTATCACTCTTGGGTGCGATCTAGAGCCACAGTCCAACGAACCATACTTAGCCACCTCTCTTCAAGACTTTTGGGGTCACCGGTGGAACCTCATGGTCCCCGCGATCCTCCGGCCGGCCGTTTATACCCCGGTCCGGCGACTTGCCAAACGGATAATGAACTCCGATCAAGCTTTGTTCTCAGGAGTTTTTGCAGCGTTCCTCGTCTCCGGTGCGGTTCACGAGCTGATCTTCTTCTATATAACACGTGAGATGCCTACAGGGGAAGTCACTTGGTTCTTTGTGTTACATGGACTTTGCACTGCCACAGAAGTAGCGGTGAAGAGGACGAGTTTGGTGCAGCGGTGGCCGGGAGTGAGTTCTCCTACGGTGTCACGGCTTCTCACAGTGGGGTTTGTGGTTGTGACGAGTGGTTGGTTGTTTTTCCCTCCTCTTATAAGGAGTCGCATGATCGAGAGACTCGCTAACGAAGCCTTTTTGTCCATTGATTTCGTCAAGCACAAGCTTTTTTACTTTTAGTTGTTGATAAATCGCTAAATCATTATTCAACTTTGGATGTCTTTGCTATATAGCTAACACTAAATAAAAAAGTTATATGATTTGTCGATTTAGTAGATGTCAAATTGTAGACACATCTCTGGTTTACTAGTCAAATGATTAATGAAGATAAACTATAATAGTGATCACTATCTGATCATAATCGTAATTTTCGAAAAGTTCTGGAGAAATTTGAAAGACACTATCATGATATTTTACAATATAATCATTAATGGTGCAAGATTATTTCATTTAAGTTTAGAAACAATAAAGCTTGTATCGTTTATCCTCTTATTTTGTTTACAACACTTTGAAAAGTTTTCGCAATAATCCAAAATAGAAATGACGAAAACTTGACAAATGTGAAATAACATTTTCTAGATTTTGACATTTTCTTCATGTTCTTGTGGTTGTGGATAATATTATTTAAGGCGCATGCTGCACACAAACAAATTAGCAACCAACAGAACCAAATATCAGAGAAAGAGATAGAGATGGAAGAAGAGTTGAGAAACCTAATCAAGGTATGGATCTCTGCCATAATCTCCATATCATACTGTTACTACATCTCTTCAAAACTCTCCAAAGGTTTTACTCGTCTCCTCTCTCTTCTTCCCATCTTCATCATCTTCCTTCTTCTTCCACTCCTCCTCTCTTCTGTTCACTTCTGCGTCATCTCAGCTTTCTTCCTCACATGGCTTGCAAATTTCAAGCTCCTTCTCTTTGCTTTTGATCAAGAACCTTTAAGCCCACTTCCCTTAAATCTCTCCCGTTTCTTCTGCTTCTCTTGTTTCCCCATCAAAACCAGTAGTCGAAACCCTTCCTCAAATCGAATCTACAACAAACCTTCTAAATGGATTCTTGCTATCAAACTCTTGATCTTTTCCTTCTTATTACATGTGTATAGAAACAACTATGATTCTGGTTTATCTCCGTCCGGTTTCTTGGCTCTCTTTACAGTCCATGTTTACCTTGAAGCAGAACTTATCTTAGTCTCCGTCAGTACCTTGCTCTCTATGTTTCTTGGCTGTGAAATCGAACCGGTCTTTAATGAACCTTACTTAGCCACTTCTTTACAAGACTTCTGGAGCCGTAGATGGAACCTCATGGTCCCAGCCATACTCCGCCCAGCCGTCCACATACCGGTTCAACGACTTTTTACACCTTTACTCGGTCTACACGGTGCTTTTTACAGTGGAATGTTAGCCACCTTTCTTGTCTCAGGGTTAATGCATGAGCTGTTCTACTTTTATATGGTCCGTAAATCTCCAACTTGGGAAGTCACTTGCTTCTTTCTGTTGCATGGAGTTGCAACGTCGGCGGAGATAGCGATCAAAAGGACGCGGTGGCTTCCTAGGCCGCATCTGGCCGTCTCGGGTCTTGCGGTTGCGGCGTTTGTGATCGTTACAGCCAGTTGGTTATTTTACCCTCCAGTTTTGAGAAATGATGTACATAAGAGAATAATAAGTGAATGTTTGTTGGTTGTTGACGTTGTTAAACACATGTTGTCCGTATTTTAATGTAACGCCTAATTTTGAAGAAGAGATTCTTCTTTATCCTCAGCATTGTTATTATCGACAACAGTTTTAGGCCTCACACATGCGTTACATAAAAATTGGTTCTATTCATATTTGAGCGTTACACTTTTCATTGTTGACACTCGTGCATGATAAAGACCTGTCATATGTGGCCGTTTCAAAAGACATTTCTTTATTAAATACGATAGCTAGGCAAAGGCAAGTGACTTGTATACGAATATAGAACTTAAGACGTAATTGCTTTATACAAACCGACATTATATAGAGTGAATTTACAGCCCAATAGAATCAGACTTCTTCCGTAACTCCTGGACCTGGAGAGTTGAGATTTAGCGAGAGAGGGAAAAACTGGTTTATTTATCCGAATATTATATTCGGAACGTACGTGTTTTGATTCACTCCTATTATTAAATACACATCAAAATGAAAGCTCAATTATTGGGAAAAGAAACCAGATCTGGAGAGATGGATGAAGAACTCAAGAACTTCATCAAGGTTTGGATCTCTGCAATAATATCCATAGCTTATTGTTACTACATATCAGCTAGAATCAAATCTGGTGTTTTTAGATTGCTCACTGTTCTTCCTGTATGTGCTCTGTTTCTTGTTTTTCCTCTGTTTTTCTCCTCTGTTCACTTCTCTGGTTCCATTGCTTTTTTCCTCACATGGCTCGCAAATTTCAAACTTATACTCTTCTCCTTCGATCAAGGTCCTCTTTCTCCGCTTCCTTCAACTCTCTCACGTTTCATATGCTTCACTTGCTTCCCCATCAAGCCACAACAGAACCCTAATCCACAAAATCAAATCCCCAAATGGGTTTTCGCCATTAAAGTTGCCATATTTGGTGTGTTGTTACATATGTATGAATACAAGCAATATCTGTCCCCATCTTTGCTATTGGTTCTCTATTCTCTGCATATTTACTTGGAGCTTGAGATAGCCTTAATGCTTGTCAGAGGTTTGGTCTTTATGACTCTTGGGTGTGATCTAGAGCCACAATCCAATGAACCATACTTAGCCACATCTCTGCAAGACTTCTGGGGTCACCGGTGGAATCTTATGGTCCCCGCGATCTTTAGGGTGGCCGTTTACACCCCGGTCCGGCGACTTGCCAAGCGGATAATGAACTCAGATCAGGCTTTGTTCTTGGGAGTTTTCGCAACGTTCCTTGTATCTGGTGCGGTCCACGAGCTGATCTTCTTCTATATAACGCATGATATGCCTACAGGGGAAGTCACTTGGTTCTTTGTGTTACATGGACTTTGTACGGCGGCAGAAGTGGCGGTGAAGAAACAGACGGTGGTGAAGCGGTGGTGGAGAGTTAGTCCGACGATGTCAGTGTCACAGCTTCTCACGGTGGCGTTTGTGGTTGTGACGAGTGGTTGGTTGTTTTTTCCTCCTCTAATTAGGAGTGGCATGATCGAGAGACTCGCTAACGAAGCCTTAATGCCCATTGATTTCGTCAAGAGCAAGTTATTGTACTTCGTTGAATCATGATTCATGGATGTATGTGTTTCTACCTATAGCTGGAGTATTGAACCATACTGTATTACTTTGTGGAATTTTAGAATAACACTAATTAAAGAGAGGTAGGAGGTTTTGTGATTAGTAATAATCTTCCAAAAAATTGAAGTTTGAAAACACTTATAAATAGAAGTTTGATCAAGTTTTGGGGTTTGGTCAGATTTTGATTACATGGACCAGGACTACTGCCACTTGACTTTTGGGTCAAGCTTGAAATTGATATTTTCAACCAACCAAAACTTAAAATGGAGCAACTAGATTTTGGTCAAGGACATAGTACGTGGTCAATATACTTTCAAAACGTTATCCTTGTTGTTTCACGTGTTTTGATAAGTCACCAGTGTGGGGGTTAGTAGATGTCAAATCATGGAACTGTAAATCAATCTAGTCGTTGATCAAATAACTAATATTGAAAATGGTGTTTTTGGCAGAAATTTTCTACACAACAATGATTGAAAATTGCACCCAAAAAAAAAAAACATACGCTCTAGTTTTCTATTTGGTTATTGTCTAATTCATTCTGATTACTGTTTTACACACGCAACCAGTACGTTCCAAAACCTCAGTGCTTGTAAGAAATCAGAAAATGTAAAAAGAGATCTGAGGAGAGGATGAAGAATTTTAGAGCTTCACCAAGATTAGAATTTCTACATAAACCTTCTCCGTAACTTACAGATCAGACCAAATAAGAGCGGTTTCAAGATTAGAAGCAAGAATCAGAGTTGTTTTAATCAGACCGAATCCTTCCGGATCTCATGGAAAGAGAGCGCTGCAAAATTGGGTGTTTCTTTGTCCAAATCATTTAACAATCTGTCAAGTCAAATTGCAAGTTGTTTGGTTTATCGGATTTATATTAATTGTTTTTAAGTATGCAAACAAAACAACTAAATAAAGTCAATAACATTGGTTTCTGGAAAAAGAAGATCTCGAGAGATGGAGGAAGAACTCAAGAACTTCATCAAGGTTTGGGTTTCTGCAATCATTTCAGTAACTTACTGTTACTACTTACCAACTAGAATCAAATCTGGTGTTGTTCGATTACTCTCTGTTCTTCCCGTTTGTTTTATGTTTCTCCTTCTTCCTCTGTTTTTCTCCTCTGTTCACTTCTCTGGTTCCACTGCTTTTTTCCTCACATGGCTGGCCAATTTTAAGCTAATCCTCTTCTGCTTCGACCTAGGTCCTCTTTTCCCAGTTCCACCTAGTATCTCTCAGTTCATCTGCTTCACTTGCTTCCCCATCAAGCTACTACAAAACCCTAAATCTCAAGATCAGTTGCCTAAATGGGTTTTCGCCATTAAAGTTGCCATATTTGGTGTACTGTTGCAAATGTATGAATACAGACAATATATGCCTCCGGCTGTGCTATTGGTTCTATATTCTCTGCATATATACTTGGAGTATGAGATTCTCTTAGCTCCTCTGAAACTTCTGCTTAGTATCTTTCTTGGGTGCGACCTCGAACCACAGTTCAATGAACCATACTTAGCCACCTCTCTTCAAGACTTCTGGGGTCGTCGCTGGAACCTCATGGTCCCCGCTATTCTCCGACCGGCCGTCTACGTTCCGGTGCGACGAATGGCTTGTCGGAAAATGAACTCTGACCAAGCATTGTTCTTGGGAGTTTTTGTGTCCTTCCTAGTCTCCGGTGTGATTCACGAGCTGATCTTCTTCTATTTCACACGTGAATCGCCGACAGGTGAAGTCACTTGGTTCTTTGTATTACATGGAGTTTGCACTGCAGCGGAAGGTGCCGCCAAGAGGACGAGCTTGGTGCGGCGGTGGAAGACGTGTCCGATGGTTTCACGAGTACTCACGGTGGGGTTCGTGGTTGTGACCGGTGGTTGGTTGTTTTTCCCTCAGCTTACAAGGAGTGGCATGATGGAGAGACTCGCTGATGAAGCCTTTTTGTCCATTGATTTCTTCAAGCACAAGTTTGTCTACCTTTGGAGACATTAAATTGCTAAAATCGTAGATTAATATTTTCAACTGATTTGATCAACCACATATTTTTTTATGGATTTGGGAAGAAAATTAAATAGAGATTCTTCAATTAAACAGGTTTGGTAAGATGTCAAATCGTGGAGACGTCATTGTTTCAACGCTTACGTCTGGAGATATTTTCCCTTGTATTTACTTACGTAGTTGACCAAATATTTACTTACGTAGGCAACAAGTTTATGTTGTACCCAAAATTGGATATATAGGTTTCCACGAACAAAGTTAATCTATGCGCGCGGTCAAATAATTTTTTCTAAATATTTTGTGGACAATCTGATTTGAATCAAACAGAAAATAAGTATTTTTATTTATGTATTTGAACTATAGGGACAATTTGAATTTGTTTGATAGACTAAAAGTAACTATATTTCGTGAGGCAAATGAAAGATTTGAGGGTTTATCATGTACACCTTTTAAGATGTTAATCATTTCATCATGCTTGTGGGATTATGTCTAAAACTATCAATTGTAAAACTATCATCTCCTGAACATGCCAGTCTTTGGCTTTTAATTGCTACTCTGAAATCTTCATTTTCACAGCTTGTCTCCATGTCTTAAATTACATTTTCATCAAGAGACATTTAAAAAAAAAAAAAAAAAAAAATTTGTGTGTGCCAATAATCAAAAATCTTATTAATATGGCATGATGGATTGTATGTAAGAGGTTGATCGAATTATGGGAGTCTTTGACAAAGTGCATTTTCCTGAACCAAGTGGTGGATGTCATGTGGGCATATCTTTAGATCGCTTCTAGTCTATAGCATCATGATTATAATTACAACGTCAGTTTTTTATTGTTCCTCCCACTACGAGTACAAAGATTTCAGCTCACACACATGAAATGTTTCTTGGTGATAGAATTTAAGATACTGACATGCAAAGAGAGAGAACGATGCATGCAATTTTGTGCTATATTTTATTATGAACATTCTAATGATGAACAGTGTCAGAGCCGTCTCTATGCTAAGGAAGGTTACAAGCAAATTAAAAATAATGGCTGCTTATAGGCCTCGAACTTGTGACCTCTAACCCATGAAGAAAGGTTAATACCACTACACTAAAGAATCTTTTTGAAAAAATAGGGCCGAAAATACTATATAAAAGGAAGGGCCGCAAGCATATGTTTCATGGGCTTGGCCTTTGGGCCGGCTCTGAACAGTGTAGTTGGTTCATGTAATATTTGCGTTCCACTTACACTGTTTTTAAGTCAATGGAATGCTAACACATGTCCTAAATAAGCGTATAAACATTTTGTGATACATTATATTATAGGTGAAACCTTAATCCATCACACATGTTAGGATAAACAAGTCTATTAGACTTATATCCAATCGCTGTTATAAAACTAACAACGGCCAGAATAGTGCGGCACGAAACCTTAATCTATTATTCTTACTGTAAGACCAAATGACGAAACCATTCTTTGGTCCTCATTCCAAGGAGATATGTTCTTCCACTATTGTATTTGCTGGTGTCGGATATTATTACAACCATTTATTACTACTCCAACACTCAAGGGCTATCCAAAGGACTTCGATATTAAATGCTCTTCTTTGTATTTAATCTACATCTCACCTACTTTATGTGTCTACTCGATGTTGTCTATGTAACAATTTTTATTACCATAGTTTTCCCATTCTTAGCAACAACACAACAAGATTGCAAAGTTGAAACCTTGGTGATTGCTAAAAGAAATTATGGATGAAGAACTCAAGAACTTGATCAAAGTATGGGTTTCTGCAATAATCTCGATATCTTATTGTTACTACATACCACCTAGAATCAAATCTGGTGTTCCTCGATTACTCTCTGTTTCCCCTGTTCTTGCTCTGTTTCTTCTTCTTCCTCTCTTTTTCTCTTCTCTCCATTTATCTTTAATCACAGCGTTTTTCCTCACATGGCTCGCTAATTTCAAACTCATCCTCTTCTCGTTCGACAAAGGTCCTTTGATCCCAATACCACCTAATCTCCCTCGATTCTTCTGCTTCACTTGCTTCCCCATCAAGGCTCAGCAAAGCCCTAAATCTCAAAACCACTTGCCCAAATTGGTTTTCGCCATTAAAGTTGCGATCTTTGGTGTGCTATTACATTTGTATGGTTACAAACAAAACCTTCATCCGATTGTACTGTTGGGTCTCTATTTTGTGCATCTCTACTTAGAGATTGAGATTATTTTAACGTTCGTCAAAGTTCTTGTTTTTATCTCTCTTGGCTGCGATCTTGAGCCACAGTCCAATAAACCATACTTAGCCACATCTCTACAAGACTTTTGGGGTCGTCGGTGGAATCTCATGGTTCCAGCGATTCTCCGGCCAGCTGTTTACGCTCCAATGCGGCGAGTCTCTGAACGTCGAATGAGTTCCGGTTGGGCTCTGTTTCCGGGGATCTTGGTGGCATTCATCGTCTCTGGTTTGGTTCATGAATTGCTCTTCTTCTATATGACACGTGAGATGCCTACAGGAGAAGTTACTCTGTTCTTTATGTTACATGGCGTTTGCACTGCCGCTGAGTTGGCGGTGAAGAAGAAAACCACGGTGATGCAGCGGTGGCGGTTGAGTCCGGTGGTTTCCCGACTACTCACGGTGGGGTTCGTGTTTGCAACTGGTGTTTGGTTGTTTACACCTCAGCTTAGAAGGAGCGGCGTGATGGAGAGATTCACATATGAAGCTGTGATGATCGTTGAGTTAGTTAATTCGGTTTAGATAGAATCTGAGATAAGGAATAAAAATCATTTTTTTTTGTTTTATCAAATGAGTGTTTATTTTTTTGTCTATTAATTAGAGATAAATTGTAGTTCTTGTCGTTTTGTTTTTACTTGGAACTGAAGAATGAAATAATATTATTTTTGTTATATCGTATAGATCTCACTGATCCCATTGAAAACCAGCCTAAAGTTGTTTTGTTTTAGGTTAACTAGATCATATTATATTAGGTTATTCATCTATTCTCTCTATTGTATGTTTCACTATTTATTTGGATATTAGTTGGCACACTTTTGGTTATTCATCTAATTGATCACATTTTTGTTTGTACAAGGACTGATTCTAATACTGACATAATGGAAGTAGTGGGTGGGTTGTAGTTATTGCCAAAACCTTTGTTATATATTGCTTAAACTCAGCAACCAAAAAAAAAAAAAAAAGGTCTGGGAGAGATGGAGGAAGAAATGAAGAGTTTGATCAAAGTAGGGGTTTCAACAATAATCTCTGTATCTTACTGTTACTTGTTACCACCAAGAATCAAATCTGGTGTTTATCGATTAGTCTCTATAATCCCGGTCTGTGCTTTGTTATTTGTTCTTCCTCTCTTCTTCTCCTTTTCAATTTTATCTTCCACTTCAGCTTTTTTCTTATCAGCTATTGCCAATTCAAGGCTCATACTCTTTTCATTCGATCAAGGTCCTCTCTTTCCGCTGCCCTCAAATCTCTTTCGATTCGCCTGCTTTACTTGCTTCCCAATCCAGCGTCAACAAAACCCTAAATCTCAATACCATTTCTCCACGTATGTTTTCGCCGTTAAAGTTGCGATCTTGGTCGTGTTGTTATATGTGCATAACGACATGACAAGCCTTCACCCCGCTTTGCTTTTCTGTATCCATCCATTGTATTTATATTTGTTACTTGAGATTCTCTTAACGCTCTTTAGAATTCTAATGACCATCGTTCTTGGTTGTGACCTAGAGCCACATTTTTACGAACCATACTTGGCTACATCTCTTCAAGACTTCTGGGGTCGCCGGTGGAACCTCATAGTCTCGGCGACTCTTAGGGCATGCGTTTACATTCCTGTGCGGCGTGCTTGCCGACGCGTTCTGAGCTCTGACCATGCGATGTTGATTGCTGTCTTTGGGACGTTCGTAGTCTCTGCTGTGGCTCACGAAGTGGTTTTCTTTTATATAACACGTGAGATGCCTACAGGGGAAGTCGGTTCGTTCTTTGTGTTACATGGAGTTTGCACGGTGGCGGAAGTGGCTGTGAAGAGGACGGCGTTTATGCGGCGGTGGCCGGTGAGACCGGTCGTGTCTTGGCTGCTAACGATGGGGTTTGTAAATGTCACTGCTGATTGGCTGTTTTTTCCTCAATTGATACGGAGCAACGTGATGGAGAGATGTTCCAATGAAATCTCCTTGATCATTGACTTCTTTAGACGCAACTTATCTCCTAGTGATCAATTGCATTTCTAAGTGGTAACCATAGGGTTATGGCTATCAAATTATTTAATGTAATCATTGTATAAAACTGACCCAAAAAAATAAAAAATGAAGGTATCAAGGAACGAAGGTATGCATGCGTTTACAGTGTTTAGAACTTAAACCACCTCCAACGGGAGGTGCTTCATGAAATTATTAGCATTAAACAGCCAAAAAATAAATCTACAGTGTTTAGAACTTAGACCACCTCCAACGGGAGGTGCTTCATGAAATTATTAGCATTAAACAGCCAAAAAATAAATCAATAATGGTGGATTCTGCAAGGGGCGCTGCTTAACCAAACTCTCTAAAGATCGATGCTTAACACAGCTGGCATTTCTTGATTGGGTGAAAAATATATTTTGTAGAAAAGAAAAAATCATCTCCCTTTTTTCCTCTCTCTTTCTCTTTCTCTCACGTTGCCTCTTCACTCTCCCATTCAATCACGTTGCCCATTCAATCAATATTTATTAATTAATTAATGTTAAACATTTTTCAGAGGGGTACACGAATGGAGATGCTTTTAGAAGTTACTTAATTTTTATCAGTATGTGTAAAATCAAAATTGCTCCAAAATTGGATTAATAGATTTAATTTTAACCTATGGTTATTTTTTTTGGGAAATTCTCAAAAATAGCACTAATTTAAACCTTTCTTCTCCAAACTTACCACACACTCTCCTATTTTTTTCAAAATTAAATTTTAAACTCTAAACAATAAACCATACCTCCCTAAAAACTATACCCTACATGTAAAATAGTCAATCCAAACCTTAAAAAAAACTAAAAATTTATTTAAAATATTATAATTTTGTTAACAAGTGCTATTTATGGATATTTATGGAGTGTGTGCTATTATTGTCCTTAAACACATATTTTGGTGCTACTTGATGGTATTTTCTTGTTTTTTTTCAATCACATTATACTTTACATATTTATCATCATCAAATTCAACAACAATATGCAAGTTTGATATATCTATTCATCAATCATTATTTTTGGCTGATAAATAGTTGTTTCAAAATTTACAAATGAATAAATTTCAAGAACATTATAGAATTTTAAATTATTATTTTTTGGGCTAGTTTGGATTTATTTTTAATGTCATGTTATCATGTCTTTCCATAAGGACTAATCTTCCACTTCCCAGATTTTATGATCATATCCATGGTTACGTTGTGTTCCCGATCTATCATCTTCTCGCATGTGACCCGAACCGTTGGCATGCTATCGTCGAGAAATATCGAAGGAACAAACCATCAGGACGTGAATCGTCGATAAAAACCGCATCAGGAAGGAAATTATCTGATCTTGTATCCAGAAGATCATTCCATAAACAATTGACACATAATAACCTCAGCTCTCAAGTTCTCAACAGTTGTTGGTTATTACATGAATCCAGCTTTATAAAATGAAATCTTACTTTTTTCCTAAACATTTTAAATGGACAGTTGGAACATGTCTTCTTTGGAATTCTCCCAAAACAGTCCATGGACCTCTCATGGGCCTTCATTTATCTAAACCCAAGTAAGAAGTTAAGAAGAAAATAAATCCCAATGCCACCACAACGACGTCGTATAACGGTGTGAGGAACAAAACTAAAAGTGAGAAGGGGGTAAAGACCCGCTGACCGATACGGAGTCTTTCGTTAACTTAGCCTCTACAACACAAAAAAAACGGACACAAATCAAAGGCTGGTAAGAAATCCGTGAGGCGTGTGTCCTGTGAGATTCATCATATCTGCTTCATCTCCGATTTCGTCGTGGCCCTAAGGTAGTTGCATCAAATTCGTTATCCTACATCCATATTTTGATCGAATTTGAGCTCAATTTCACAATTTCATGTTTGGTTTCAAAGTTAGGGTTTCTCGTTCCAATTTGGGGATTCGAGTTTTCAATTGAACAAACCAGAGCTTCAATTATCTTATTCTTTGTTCGTATCGTATTCAATTCATTGACATATCGGATTTCTGAAATTTTGACCCGGTTGATTTTATTTCTATGTTATGGGATTTAACATTGAGATGTTGAAGTTCCCTTCAGACCAATTGAAATGTCTTGATGCATATGAGCATATCTGTGTTTTGTTAAGTATATTAATGTATTAATCCCATTTTGGTGCAATTCAAGAAAATTAAATGTCTTTCCTTTTTTTTCTCTTTTTCATTTGTTGATCAACAGTTGATTGTGAATAACTTGCCTTGTTGGGTATGGCCACTGAGGCGTTTGTGAAGCCCGTTGTGCCAAATGGTCATGATGGGTATGACGATGAAGATGAAGATGACATTCCTCTGGTTTTTAAGAGAACCAGTAATACAGCAGCTACAACTAACCGTTCAAGGCCTAATAATGCTATGAGAAACTCGGCTATTGGTTCCACCAAGTCTCCGCCACCAACAAGGTCTCCCTTAACTAGCCCCAATAGATCAGCTTCATCTGTTAGAAGTTCGATGATGAAACCATCGTTACCATCATCTTCATCTGTTCAACGTTCGACTGTGAAGTCACCATTGCGGGATGATAGGTCCGTTGTTGCTAAGGAGAGGAATGGTTTGGGGAAAGCACCATCTGTGTCCAAAAGTGATGATGAGGATTCCGAGGATGATAAACCTTTGAGTGCCAGACTTAAAATGGATTCTAAGGACCTTACCAAACAGCCGGGCTCTTCTGGGCGCGGGAGTATGCAGAAACCAGGACAAAAGAGCAACATGAGGCCTCAGGGATTGGGTGATAACACTAAGAAGAAAGTTTTGGATGAGAGAGCTCCCATGTCCTCCACGGTTCAGGCAAAGACCAGTGTGGGTACATCAAGTAGCAAGCCTGTTCATAATGAACAGAAGAGACCTTTGGTTAACAATATCAATCGGAATGGTTTAAAACCTAAGACCGAAGGGCACAGTTCTCAGGCACCTGCTAAAAGACCTCTTGAGAAGGGGAGCTCTTCTAATCAATCTTCTGTTAAGAGGCCCAAGCTATCAGAGCCAGCTAAACCATTGAAAGTGGAGCAAGGTTCACATAGTGCAGCTACGCCAGATGGCAAAGAAAAGAATCTGGATGCATCAAAGCCGTTGAGAGCCAACCAAGCAACTGTTAAAGAAGATAACTCAGATGATGATGATCATGTTCCTATTGCCTCAAGGATGAAGTCAGATTCCTCAAATAATAAAGCCTCCTCAGCGAAGCCAAATTCTAGTAAAATGATAGCTTCGTCATCCAGAACAATAGCTAAAAAGCCCAACAAATGGGTGAAAGATTCTAAATTTTCGAAATCGTCAAAATCATTACCTTCTGGAGATGGGCAAACGAAATGGAAAACTCTAGAGCACAATGGTGTTATTTTTCCACCTCCATATAAGCGTCATGGGGTTAAAATATTGTATCAGGGAAAGCCTGTTGACTTAACTCCTGAACAAGAAGAGGTCCTTTCTCTGTCTTTCTGCGTCTCAGTCCCATGATAGTTTTCTTTGCTACTTTCTACAGCCGTTGACTTTCATCTCATTGCGCTTGTTGAGTGTTTTTTTTATGTTGAGTGGTGAGCTGATAATATTGTCATTTCTCTCTGCAGGTTGCAACTATGTTTGCGGTGATGAGGGAAACAGAATATTACAATAAACCAAAGTTCAGAGAGAATTTCTGGAATGATTGGCGGAAATTACTTGGAAAGAACCATATGATTAAAAATTTAGATGATTGTGACTTCACTCCCATATATGAATGGTCTATGCAGGAGAAGGAGGCAAAGAAACAAATGAGTGCAGAAGTACAAAAAAATTATTCTTTAAGATAAAGTTCATTAGTATGCTATTCTGATGAAGCTGTTGTTGATAATGTTATAATGCTAATGATGAACAGGAGAAAAGAATTGTGAAAGAGGAGAAATTACAGCAGGAGGAGAAATACATGTGGGCTGTTCTTGATGGTGTCAGGGAGAGGGTAAATTTTTTTTTTTTTTTTCTTTCTGTTTGATAGAAATCTCAGTCCACCGTCTTAAAATTAGCTGACCATATTATGCAACAATTCCAGATTGGAAATTTCAGAGTTGAGCCCCCTGGGTTGTTTCGAGGCCGGGGAGAACATCCTAAGGTATATTTTTGCTGCGCTTATTTACATTATCCTTAAACTGTAATATTCTGTTGTGTGATGTAGTATCTCATTTAGAACATTCTTCTTCCTTGTTCCCCCAACTTCTATAACTATTTCTCATTTTAGTAATTTTCTCTTCTGCGTCATGTGTTCAAGATGGGGAAACTGAAAAAGCGGATTCGTCCTTGTGATATAACAATCAACATTGGTAAAGAGGCGCCAATTCCAGAATGCCCCATCCGTGGTGAAAGGTCTTAGTTTATGTTCTCCCTTTTGAAAAAGTCACATGTTTTATTTTTTTCTATGACCTGATTCTAAGAGTGCTGTTCTTTGTTCAGATGGAAAGAAGTTAAGCATGACAATACTGTTACCTGGCTTGCTTTTTGGAATGATCCTATCAATCCAAAAGAGTTCAAGTATGTATTCCTGGCAGCTAGTAGTTCGTTGAAGGGACAAAGCGACAAGGAGAAGTATGAGAAAGCGAGGAAGCTACACGTAATGAGTTTTGATTCTGCTAAAGCTTTTTTGTAAACCATCCTGCTTTCCCTTTTCTTATTAAGTAATCTACCATTTGTTTGCAGAACCATATCGGGAGTATTAGAGCAGCATACACCAAAGATTTTAATAACAAGGATGTAACAAAGCGGCAAATAGCAGTTGCGACATATCTCATCGATAAGCTAGCCCTTAGGGCTGGAAACGAGAAGGTGATTTAGAAAAAGATTCTTCTTTAATTAGAGAGATCCTAATTTAAAATTAAGTTTATTGTTGTCTCTGGCTGATAAGAGATCGTTACTCCACAAAACCCGCTTCTTATGCGTTTTCTAGAATTTCAAGCGATTCTTTCACATTTTTCTTTCTTGGTCTTCATATTTTTATTCTATAGGACGACGATGAGGCAGATACTGTTGGTTGTTGTACATTGAAAGTAGGAAACGTGGAGTGTATTCCTCCAAATAAGTTAAAGGTATATACTTAATCTCAACCTGAACAAAATTAACTGCAGCATGTATCTGCGAGAGTACTAGAATGCCTGGCGTATTGACTGTTTTTTTCCGACAAGGTTTTATTGTTGCATATAATAATCACTTATGTATCTGCTTTGGTATTTTCAGTTTGACTTCCTTGGTAAAGACTCTATTCAGTATGTAAACACAGTTGAGGTTGAGCCTCTGGTATATAAGGCAATTGGGCAGTTCCAAGCGGGTTAGTTAAAAATCAAATCGGCTATCTAGTCTTATAATTGACCTTTGGAAACTGGATGATGACTTTTGGTTTTGTCTTCTATCCAGGAAAATCGAAAGCCGATGATCTCTTTGATGAGCTAGATACTTCAAAACTCAATGCTCATCTTAAGGAGCTTATGGCTGGTCTCACAGCCAAAGTCTTTCGTACATATAATGCATCCATCACATTGGATTTAATGGTATGTTGTCAATTTTTTGTACCCTCTATTAAAAATTGTATATGCACGTATTGATTAAAAACCTAGTTATACAAACATATATTTCTCAGTGGTTACAATTCTAATGAATAGTTTCTCTTGAGTATCCTTCTTAAGCCGTTTTCGATTGGATGTTATGATAGTTGAGTAAAGAAACCAGAGATGGCGACGTTCCTGAAAAAGTTGTGGTTTATCAGCAAGCAAACAAGGAGGTAATGACAACTAAGCTCTCTGCTATTTTCATAGTTTAATTAAGAGAATATGATTTATCTTTTTTTCTTGGTTAGGTCGCTATCATTTGTAACCATCAACGTACTGTCTCAAAATCTCACGGAGCACAAGTCGAGAAGCTGGCTGTGAAAATAGAAGAACTAAGGGTAAGATATAAGCAAATCCTAATCAGCTTTGGTCAAAATACAGTTTCAACTTTCTAATCTCAGTCCCATGATCTTTGTATTTCTCTGCAGGAGCAAATAAAAGAGCTGAATATTGATCTCGACAGGGCTAAGAAAGGAAGAACACCACTAATGGGATCTGATGGAAAGAGAAAGAGGAATTTAACACCTGAAGCGTAATATCTAAACCTCTCTTTTACACACATTATTTATCGCATAAGGATCTCTTTGAAAACAACTTCCTCTATGGAAAAATAGATTGGAGAAGAAGATAATGCAAACGAATGGTAAGATCGAGAAGATGGAGAGAGATATGCAAACAAAGGAAGATATGAAAACCGTGGCATTGGGCACATCTAAGATCAATTACATGGATCCAAGGATCACTGTTGCGTGGTGCAAACGACACGATGTCCCCATTGAGAAGGTAATATATAAAAAGCTTCAACAAAGTCAGAGATTTGCATTGCAACACTTGAAATTGACTTGTCTTGCTATTGCAGATATTTAACAAGTCTCTTCTGGCCAAGTTCGCTTGGGCAATGGACGTTGATCCTGAGTTCAGATTCTGTTTAAGCAGCGATGAATAAATGCATCTTCGTTGAGGCCAGTTTCACCTAACCCATTCACCATACATTTACAGAGATAGAGAAAGAGAGTTAAAAAGAGTAGAAGAAAGAAAACAAATTTGTAAAAGATATTTCTTCTCTCTTAATAGTAGAACCAGAAGACTAATATGTGAGATGTTTTATAGAAGAACAGTTATAAATTTTTTTACTCAATAAATAATTCAGGTTAATATTATTATAAATTATAATGTAGAAAGGTAGCACCTATCTTAATTTGTACTGTACTATACTATAGTCTATGGATGACTATTAGGCGCGACTCAATACGGCGTCGTGGAGAAAACAAAACCCTCAGTCGTTCGAAACTCTCCGACCTGTGTAGAGTGTAGAGACTAGAGAGTCTCCTCGTCGTTAAAACGAGAGAAACCATCAGAGCAGAAGAGAGAAACGAGGGGGGAGAGATAGGCTTCGCTTGACAATATCTTCGATATCTGGAAGAAGGTAGCTTATTCAGTCTGACGTTAATTCTCCGAAATTTGATTCGATTAAGCTCCATTTGCATCATTACCCAGTTATAGCACAAATTAGGGTTCCTTGTTCTGAATTGGGGATTTGGTATTCCCACTGCCCTAGATTCTTCAAATATGTGTTTTTATCAAATTATGTGTTCATCCAATCACGATGTAGTCCCTTGTTAGTGGGTTTACTTATACATGCGCGTTAAAATCTTTGTAATGTGTCCACAATATATATGTCAAAATGTTTTTTCTTGGGTTTAAGGATTCTCTCTCCATGAATCACTGTACTCATTCTCTGTAGTGTACTCATTTTGCTTCTTGTAGTCGTAATGGTGTTTGTTTGCCTTTTTTCTGGAAATCTCTGACATTTCTCTTTGGTTTCTTTTTTGGTCAGAAGTTTGTCTGAATCCTTGTCTTGTTCCATTGAGTATGGGCACTGAAATTGTTTCAGAATCTGTGATGGATAATGGGTATGAAGACAGCGATGATGACCAACCTATATCGTCCAAGTGGAAACGTTATTTTGCTTCTTATTCGAATCAGTCAAAATCCAATACCCAGAGAAGCAAGGCAGTTCCTTCCACCAAGGTATCACCTATAATATCTCCTGTGACTAGCTCAAATGATATGAGAAGGGTTTTGGTTTCACCTGAACCATTGAGAAGTGGGTATGAAGACAGCGATGATGACCAACCTATATCGTCCAACTGGAAACGCAGTGTTGCTTCTTATTCGAATCAGTCGAAATCCAATCCCCGGAGAAGCAAGGCAGTTCCTTCCAGCAAAACTGTACTAGAATCTGTGATGGATGATGGGTATGAAGACAACTCTGATGACAAACCTTTAGTGTTCAAGAGGAAAAGTGGGTATGAAGACAGTGATGATGAAAAACCTTTAGTTTACAAGAGGAAAAGTGGGTATGAAGACAACGATTATGACAAACCTTTAATGTTCAAGAGGGGATGTAGTGTTGCTTCTAATTCGAATCAGTCGAAATCCAATTCCCAGAGTAGCAAGGCAGTTCCTTCCTACATGGTATCACCTATGAGATCACCTGTGGCTAGCCCAAATAGTAAGGGAAGGGTTTTGGTTTCACCCAAACCAATAAATAATGGGTATGAAGACAGCGATGATGACAAACCTTTGGTGTTCAAGAGGAAAAGTAGTGTTGCTTCTAAGACAGTTCCTTCCAGCAAAACTGTATCAGAATCTGTGATGTATAATGGGTATGAAGACAGTTCTGCTGACGAGCCTTTAGTGTTCAAGAGGAAAAGTGGGTATGAAGACAGTGATGATGACAAACCTTTAGTGTTCATGAGGATAAGTGGGTATGAAGACAGCGATGATGACAAACCTTTAGTGTTCAAGAGGGAACGTAGTGTTGCTTCTAATTCAAATCAGTCAAAATCCAATTCCCAGAGAAGCAAGGCAGTTCCTTCCTACATGGTATCACCTATGAGATCACCTGTGGCTAGCCCAATTAGTAAGGGAAGGGTATTGGTTTCACCCAAACCAATAAATAATGGGTATGAAGACAGCGATGATGAAAAACCTTTAATATTCAAGAGGAAAAGTAGTGTTGCTTCTAAGACAGTTCCTTCCAGCAAAACTGTATCAGAATCTGTGATGGATAATGGGTATGAAGACAGCTCTGATGACAAACCTTTAGTGTTCAAGAGGAAAAGTGGGTATGAAGACAGTGATGATGACAAACCTTTAGTGTTCAAGAGAAAAAGTGGATATGAAAACAGTGATGATGACAAACCTTTGGTGTTCAAGAGGGAATGTAGTGTTGCTTCTAATTTGAATCAGTTGAAATCCAATTCTCAGAGAAGCAAGGCAGTTCCTTCCAACATGGTATCACCTATTAGACGGCTTGTAACTAGCCCAAACGGAACCACTCCTTCGAATAGATATTCTACAATGAAATACTCTATGCTATCATGTTCTTCTAAGGATTCGCCAGCAAAGTCTCCAGGCTTCACCAGCAAAATCACCATTGCGGCATGATACGCACAGTTAAGGATAGGAGCCAGTAACATAAAGTCAGTCTGAATGCAATAGTGAGCATGAGGATCCGGAGGATAAAGGAACCTCTTCATGGTACATTTCTTCACCGCAGCCAGAAAAAAGCATGGTGGTAATCGACCTATTGATAGATTAAACTACAAAAGACTAGTCATCTTAATTTTGTAGTATGGATGATTATATGCTTATGAACTAAGTAACTTTTAAATTTGTACTATGGATGATTAATGTGTATGCACTAAGTAACTTTTAAATTTGTACTATGGATGATTGATATGTTTATGCACTAAGTAACCAATTTTAAAGAGTTTTATATTTTAAAGGAGGTTCTTCTGGGTGAACAAAAGGACTAATCGGTGACATTTATAGAATAACAGTTATAATTTTATTATTTACTCAATAAATTATTCAGGTTATTAATATAAAATGATATACATAAATTTTAAGGCTTTACTAATTAATTTTAATAAACAAATATACAAAATATGAACTTTAGTGTCCATGACACGTCATTTTATTGGATAAGAAATTAGATTTTATTTTTTCTATTGTGATATTATCACCAATCTTATTTACTTAAATATGCTTCACAGTTTAGCAAATTAATATGAGACAATGATTAGTCTATTGCTCCAATTTAAACCCAACTTTCTAAGATTTTGACTATTTATGGGGATAAAAGTAAAAAGCAATGTCTCTGGCGGTAAAATTAAACGTTATGGCGCGACTCAATACGACGCCGTGAAGAATACAAAACCCTCAAGCGGTAGAAACTCTCTAACCTGTAGAGAGTCTCCTTATGCCTTAGTCTCCTCGTCGTTAAAACGAGAGAAACCATCAGAGCAGAAGAGAGAAACGAGGGAGAGAGATAGGCTTCGCTCGACAATTTCTTCAATCTCTGGAAGAAGGTACCTTCTTCAATCCTACGTTAATTCTCTGAAATTTGATTGGATTAAGCTCAATTTGCATCATTTCCCAGTTATAGCACAAATTAGGGTTTCTTGTTCTGAATTGGGGATTTGGTATTCCCACTACACTAGATTCTTCAAATATGTGTTTTTATCTAATTATTTGTTCATCTAATCACGATTGTCATCCCTTGCTCGTGGGTTGATCTTACTTTTAAAATCTTTGTAATGTGTCAACAATATATATGTCAAAATGTTTTTTCTTGGGTTTAAGGATTCTCTCTCCATGAATCAATGTACTCATTCTCTGTAGTGTACTCATTTTGCTGCTTGTAGTCGTAATGGTGTTTGTTTGCCTTTTTCTGGGAAGCTCTGACATTTCTTTGTGGTTTCTTTTTTGGTCAGAAGTTGGTCCGAGTATGGGCACTGAAACAGTTTCAGAATCTGTGATGAATAATGGGTATGAAGACAGCGATGATGACAAACCTTTAGTGTTCAAGAGGAAAAGTAATGTTGCTTCTAATTCGAATCAGTCAAAATCTAATCCCCAGAAAAGCAAGGCAGTTCCTTCCAGCAATGTATCACCTATGAGATCGCCTGTGGCTAGCCCTAATGGAACCACTCCTTCGAACAGAACTTCTACTGTGAAATCATCTATGCCAGCATGTGCTTCTAAGGCTTCACCAGCAATGTCACCATTGCGGAATGATACACCCTCTACTGTTATGGATAGGAGCCAGTCACATAAAGATCAGACTGAATGTAAAAGTGAGCATGAGGATTCTGAGGATAATAGACCTATAAGTTCTATACTATCTAGAAATTCCAATCGGCCCAACAATGGGCCTACCTCTTCACGACAGGTTTCTTCACCACAGCCAGAAAAAAATAATAGTGGTGATCGACCTCTTGATAGAGCAAATAGAATAAAAAAAGATGAGTCAGATGATGAAACTCCAATCTCGTCAATGATTCGGAAGAAGATTGATAGTGGGATGTCAGGGTCCAAACAGGTCTCTATTGATGAAAAGAAACCTTTGGCTAAAAAGTTGCATCAGAATGGTTCGGCACTTAAGAATGAAATGCCAAACTGCAAGGTATTAGGTAAGAGACCTCTGGAGAAGGATAATTCAGCAGATAAATCTTCCTTGAAGAAGGTCAAGGTATCAGCTTCACCTACTACGGTGAAAATGAAACAAGATTCTGTCAAAAAAGAATCAGATGATAAAGGAAGGGTTTTGGTTTCACCTAAACCAATGAAAGCTAAACAGTTATCTACCAGAGAAGATGGAACTGATGATGATGATGATGATGTTCCAATAGCCAAGAGATTCAAATCAGATTCCTCCAACAGTAAAACATCAGCTGCAAAGCCTAAAGCAGTAAAACCAAATTCTACTTCATCAGCTGCAAAGCCAAAAGTGACAAGAGTCGTTTCTCCTCGATCCAGAACAATGACCAAAAACTCTAAGCAAGTAACGAAAGACTCACAATATTCTACGTCTTCGAAGTCATTACCTTCCTCCGGAGATGGGCAGAAAAAATGGACTACCTTGGTGCACAACGGTGTTATATTTCCACCACCATACAAGCCTCATGGCATTAAGATTTTGTACAAGGGGAAGCCTGTTGACCTTACTACTGAACAAGAAGAGGTTGTCCTTTCCATTCACGTCCTCAATCTTACTGAAAAATGTTATATACCTGTTTCTTAATGGATTATTCGTCTATCTCAATATCTAGAGTGGTTTCTTTTGTCATTCCAAGAAACCTTTGTTATCCATGCTGATGCTATGTTGATAATTTACAGGTTGCGACAATGTTTGCAGTGATGAGAGAGACGGATTATTATAATAAACCTCAATTTAGGGAGAATTTCTGGAACGACTGGCGAAGATTGCTTGGCAAGAAACATGTGATACAGAAGCTGGATGATTGTGACTTTACTCCCATATATGAGTGGCATTTGGAAGAGAAAGAGAAGAAGAAACAAATGAGCTCAGAGGTATTTAGAAAAAGAGAATTTCAAGTGTAATGGCTGACTACATTGGTGTGCTAGACCTGTTTTCGTATTGTTAAAAATTTCAAGATGAGACTGTATATAATTATGCAATTGACATGTTACAGGAGAAAAAAGCTGTGAAAGAGGAGAAACTGAAGCTTGAGGAGAAATATATGTGGGCTATTGTTGACGGTGTCAAAGAGAAGGTAAATCTTCCCATAGCATTGTCATTTTCCCCAAAACAGAGTTAGGAACTACAGTAGTTCCTCACTAGTTAGTTCCTAATTCAAACTTATGTTTATCTTTCAGGTTGGTAATTTCAGAGTTGAACCGCCTGGGCTTTTCAGAGGCCGTGGAGAACATCCCAAGGTTAGTCCTCTCTGTCAGAGCCTATTTTTTGTAATCAACATACCTTGACATTGCAGTTTTCAGTGGCTTCAGTTAAGGCATGGTCTATTCTGTTTTCTTTTTCAAAACCATCTACTGTCTTTTTTCAGATGGGAAAACTAAAGAAGCGTATCCGTCCATGCGAGATCACCTTAAATATCGGGAAAGATGCTCCTATTCCAGAATGTCCAATCACTGGTGAAAGGTCTTGCTTTTCCATGGCTATCCTCCAAATTGAAAAACATGATATAATAATTTTACTAAGCCATGACAGCTGTATGACTTTGCAGTTGGAAAGAAGTAAAGCATGATAACACAGTCACCTGGCTAGCTTTCTGGAATGATCCTATTAACCCGAGAGAATTCAAGTATGTATTTTTGGCAGCTAGCAGTGCTCTGAAAGGGCTGAGCGACAAAGAGAAATACGAGAAAGCTAGGAATCTTTCAGTAAGCAGCTTTCATTTATACGATTCATGCTTATTCTTTCATTGTTTCTCCTATTTAGAAATAGATTTTTTTTGACTGCAGGACCATATAGATAATATAAGAACAACGTACACCAAGAATTTTACCGCCAAGGATGTTACAAAGAGGCAAATCGCTGTAGCGACATATCTCATTGATAAATTGGCGCTTAGGGCTGGAAATGAGAAGGTAGTTTTGAACTAGTATTTTGCAAGTTTAATGTAAATCAAATGATTTCGAACAAATAATTAGCGGGTAAACAAGAAAGTTTTCTGAAGAAATCTCATATTTTCTTTTTTGATTGGTAGGATGATGATGAGGCGGACACTGTTGGTTGTTGTACTTTAAAAGTTGGAAATGTGGAGTGTATTCCTCCAAATAAAATAAAGGTATTAATTTGATCCTTGAAGTCTTACACTTGTTTCATATAACGAGTACACTTGTGAAAGTGGATAACAATTACATGTACTTATTAATCCTGGGCAGAAGACTTATAATCTCACACATTTCCATCTTGTATCCAGTTTGACTTTCTTGGTAAAGATTCAATCCAGTATGTGAACACAGTCGAGGTTGAGCCTCTTGTTTACAAGGCCATTGGACAGTTCCAGGCCGGTGAGATATCAACTTGACATTTTATATCACATGATATATTATTCTTGTGACTGATTCAAATAACTTGCTTTCTTTTTGTCCCATCCAGGAAAATCCAAGACAGATGATCTTTTTGATATGTTAGACACAAGTAAGCTGAATGCTCATCTAAAGGAACTTGTGCCTGGTCTCACAGCAAAAGTGTTCCGTACATATAATGCTTCCATCACATTGGATGAAATGGTAGTCTAAAATCTTAAATCGTTTGGGTTTACATTGAATTTATGCTGCTATACAATTTAGTCATAGAAACCCAATTACTGGTATTCATTTATCTTTATTTTCTTTCTATACATTTTTCACAACGATGTTCCCTTTTGATGTGTGTGACAGCTGAGTCAAGAAACTAAAGATGGCGATGTAAATCAGAAAATAGTAGTTTATCAGAAAGCAAACAAGGAGGTACAAAGATTTGTTCATTCACCTAGTGATTTCTTGTTTGGTGCATAAGTCATGGGCCAGATTCATGAAATGCTGGTTCACACTCTCTAGGTTGCCATAATCTGTAACCATCAACGTACTGTTTCAAAGTCACATGGTGCCCAAATTGAAAAATTGACTGCGAGAATAGAAGAACTCAGGGTACAAATCTCTTGATAACTTTTTGAAAATCTCTACTTTTCTTCTGGATTCATTATATGCTTTACGTATGTTTGTTTTTTATAATAATGTAGGAGGGTCTTAAAGAGCTCAAAACTAATCTTGACCGGGCTAAAAAGGGAAAACCACCATTGGAAGGTTCTGATGGAAAGAAGATCAGAAGCTTGGAACCAAATGCGTAATAAACTTTCCCTCTTACTTCTGAAAGACTCGACTAGATATAATCTACCTATCTATCTCTTCTTTAACAATTACGTCCCTTGACTTATTTATTGCAGGTGGGAGAAGAAGATTGCTCAACAGAATGTCAAGATAGAGAAAATGGAACGAGATATGCATACAAAAGAGGACTTGAAAACTGTGGCACTGGGCACGTCTAAGATCAATTACCTGGATCCTAGGATAACAGTTGCATGGTGCAAACGTCATGAAGTGCCAATCGAGAAGGTAAAATCTTTTTTTCTGAAACAAACCGTCAGGATGGTTGTCTTCTGAACAGAAGAAACAAGCTTTTTTCTTCTTACAAACTCAAAAAAATGTTTATGTTTCTCTTGTTCTAGTTATTCACCAAGTCTCTTTTGGAGAAGTTTGCGTGGGCAATGGATGTAGAACCCGACTTCAGATTCTCGCGCCAGACGGTATAGAGAAGCTTTTCTCAGATGCAGAAAAGTTATTAGGGAGCAAATGATCTTGAATAAGGAAAAGAGCAAAGAGAACAACCGGCCTTTCTATTCATCTTCCTCCTTTGTTTAGAATTTTCAAACTGTTTCATTAGTTATTTAACCTTTTCTCTCTTTTCTTTTAACATATTACTATGACAAACAAAAAATGCTATGTTATTTTTCAAATGATCAAAGAAATAGGAAAATTGGATGAACAAAAACACTTTTCCCTCTGCTTTTTATAATATGTTTCAGCAGATAAAAAAAAAATGTGTGCAAATCTGCAGTATTCTAAAATAAGATTGTAATTCATTTTCTATATGGATGCTTAATCTCTCTTTGCTTATAAGGATTGTTTGATCAATTTGCCTATAACAAAAAAAAAAATCACATAAGTGCATAATTTATCCACTCACTTGTATAACAAAAACATCACATAGTGCTTAATCACATTTAAACTTAATAATTAGTTTGACTTTGACCGAACATATGAAGAAGATAAGTTGGATTAGCCAATTTTGCCCTCACAAAAATCTCAAAACTCACACGGATCCAAATTCAGATTCGCACGAGGAAGACAATAACAATCATCGTCCTCCTCCAAAGAGGAGCTCTTCATTTCAAATCTGTAAGATCTCAGACACTTTCTCCTCTCACGTCTTTTTTGATCGGATTAATTTGATCGCGTTGAGGCCATTGTACCCCCGAATCACGTGTAATTCATCTCTTCGCAGGAATTAATTTATCAGATCAGGATCAAACATGGGTTTCCTTATAACAACCCTAATCTTCGTCGTCGTTGGGATCATTGCTTCTTTATGCGTTAGAATCTGCTGCAACAGAGGCCCTTCCACGAATCTGTATGTTCCTCTTGCGACCCTTTGCAAATTTGATATTTTGATTGCATTTTCCTAATCTGAAGGTAGGTATGAATTGGTCGTGGGTGTTTGTTAAATTTGATTGCTGCATCAATGTTAGTTAAATGGTGCGTGAATCTCTTTGAATCTCTCCAGAAGATTGAACATTTACTCTCTTCCATTGGGATTGAGAATTGGATATGTAAACATAATGCTTCAATAGATTTTTGAAGCAGCTCCAAATTCTTTGATTTGGTTGGTTTAGAAATAGTATTGTCACGCTTTGAAAGTTTATGGATGTGTCTTTAATCAAATTTCAAGCTTTGGTAATTAATCTGTCCTCTTTGTTTCTTGACTGTTTTGCTTTGACTCTCATTTTTAACCATGTTTAGCATGGAGTCAAATATCTCATCTGTGATTTTGTGATAACAGGTTACATCTTACCTTGGTCATTACTGCGACGGTCTGCTGCTGGATGATGTAAGTTTATGTTTTGATATGCCTTTTGCGTTGCTTTTCTAGCCATCAGTTTACATTTACAGCCCATTTGTTCCTTCTTTGCATTTTCTTCATATTCAATTTTGCTTTGTGTCAAAACCCCTGTTATTGTTTCCTCTCCTTAATCACTGCTTCCCATAAACAATGAAAATGAAAATCCTACACGCTAAGATATCTAGAACAGATTAGCCAACTGCTTCCAGTCTTGGTTCATCTTGCAGAAAGTTTCATTATTGAACTGATGAACATTTTTTCAAAGGTTCTTTGAATGTCTGTATATGGAGTTTGATTGATTCTATGTTGCTTGGTCACAGTTCCTTACCTTTTTGTCTCTTGACAATGGCAGGTGGGCAATTGTATATATTGCACAGATGAATCCTCTGATCGTTCCAATCCTAAGCGAAACCGAGTAGAATCCTCTACTCAGACAAGAGAACCTCAAACTAGAAAAGGATGCGCAAAGTCAGTCGAGTGAATCCAATCGTTCTGTATCTTCTTCAATCTTTAAACAGCTTTCCTGTTTGTAATTGTTAATCTTGGTGTGAACAAATCAAAACCTACCTTTTGGCCTCTTTACTATTTTGAGATTTTGTTGTATTCATTCATTCTCCACAAAACAAAGCTGAATCTCCCTTTTGAGATTGTTACAAACACTCCCACAATGTATTATTGTTGATTAAAATAAGCTTTTTGAAATAGTTAAGCTTATTGCATCTTTGATAAGTCAATTTTGGTTCTGAATAGTTGTGCATCATCAATTTTGGTTTTGAATGGTTCTGCATCACTATGAAACGTCGTCGTTAGATGACTTAAAGGGTCCACTCGATCTCTTCACCTTTCCTTTGGGAGAGAAACAAACACTGAACTGTTGATATTTTATTTTCTTCGTCGACACTAAAACCCTAAAAAAAAACCCATCTTTTTGTCTCTCTTTGGTTCTCTGAAAGCAGAGGAAGTTAAAAATGGCGATAATTCCGTTAGCTCAGCTTAATGAACTAACGATTTCTTCATCGTCTTCTTCATTTTTTTCGAAATCCATATCCCATTCGTTGCATAGTAGCTGCGTTTGCGTAAGTACCAGAATCACTAAATTCGGTGGCGGTGTCTCAAAACGAAGAAGCGATTCAGCAAGGTCTAAGTCAATGGGGTGGCGATGTTCCTTTTCTCCAATGGAGTCTGCCAGAATTAAAGTTATTGGTGTTGGCGGTGGTGGTAACAATGCCGTCAATAGAATGATTTCCAGTGGTTTACAGGTCAAATTCTGGCTCTCTTTATCTCTACGTAGAAGAATTGCAATGTAATTTTCATGTTTTGCTCGATTTTAGTTTGGAAATTCTCATTTGGGTTTAATTGATTTTGTCTGTGTTCCAGAGTGTTGATTTCTATGCCATAAACACCGACTCTCAAGCTCTATTACAGTCTTCTGCAGAGAACCCACTTCAAATTGGAGAGCTTTTAACTCGTGGCCTTGGTTAGTAGTCTCTCCACAGAGGAGAAAGTTATACTTGTTTGTAAAGATGTTGCGTGAATTTTGGCACTCAAAAGCAACAAACTTGCGTCTCTGTTACTTGATTTTATAGGTACTGGTGGAAACCCGCTTCTCGGAGAACAAGCTGCAGAAGAATCAAAAGATGCAATTGCTAATGCTCTTAAAGGATCAGACCTTGTTTTCATAACTGCTGGTATGGGTGGTGGAACAGGGTCTGGTGCTGCACCTGTGGTAGCTCAGATATCGAAGGATGCTGGTTATTTAACTGTTGGTGTTGTTACATATCCGTTTAGCTTCGAAGGACGTAAAAGATCTTTGCAGGTAATGTGTGTTGACACGGTTTCTTTGTTGAATTGGTTTAAGTCTTAAGTCTTGTCATGGATCCATGTTTAATAGTTATTTTCTGTAGGCACTGGAAGCTATTGAAAAGCTCCAAAAGAATGTTGATACCCTTATCGTGATTCCAAATGATCGTCTGCTAGATATTGCTGATGAACAGACGCCACTCCAGGACGCTTTTCTTCTTGCAGATGATGTTTTACGCCAAGGAGTGCAAGGCATCTCAGATATTATTACTGTGAGTCTGTGTATTGTTTAAAGCGTAACAGGTTGAATAATAAATGCCATTGATTGATCCCCCAAAGAAAAATCCTCAGGAAACAGTATCTGTTGTTCTTTTTCAGATACCTGGACTGGTCAATGTAGATTTTGCAGATGTGAAGGCAGTTATGAAAGATTCTGGAACTGCAATGCTTGGGGTAGGTGTTTCTTCCAGCAAGAATCGAGCAGAAGAAGCAGCTGAACAAGCGACTTTGGCTCCATTGATCGGATCATCCATACAGTCAGCTACTGGCGTCGTCTACAACATCACTGGTGGAAAAGACTTAACTTTGCTGGAAGTAAACAGAGTATCAGAGGTGCGTTATTTTTGTGTTGGTTTACTCGGCGTTGCTTCAGTTGGGTATAGTTGGGGGTATATACTGTATTGTAAGGCACAGTCTTCTCATGTTTTGGGTGGTTTTTGCAGGTCGTGACAAGTTTGGCAGACCCATCGGCCAATATCATATTTGGAGCTGTTGTGGATGATCGCTACACCGGAGAGATTCATGTAACAATAATCGCCACCGGCTTCTCACAGTCATTCCAGAAAACACTTCTGGCTGATCCAAGGGCAGCTAAACTCCTTGACAAAATGGGATCATCAGGTCAACAAGAGAACAAAGGAATGTCTCACCAGAAGCAATCTCCAGCAACTATCTCTACCAAATCATCTTCTCCCCGTAGACTTTTCTTCTAGTTTTCTTTTTATCTTTTCGTTTTTAAGCATCAAAAATGTAACGATCATCAGGTTCAAAAGTCAATTACATTTGATTTTTCTCCAAAGTGTCTCTAGATCAAAACAAACATTTCGATCATTATGCTAACTTAAGGTAAGTCCCAAAATATCATTCGGTAAACATGACTGTAAGTCACAGCACAACTTGGAACTTGTCTTCAATGATTATTACCGGATCTTCAAGAATATAAACTTGAGGAAACTTTACCCTCCTATAGGGTAAGGGAATTGTAACCAAGAGAATCAAGAAAGTTAGTCAGTGGCTACAGATAATCACTATACAGTATTTGTAAGCAAAACAGAGTATCATCCGAGTTATTCACTGTAAAACAAAATGTGAATTTCAGTAACTGTGAAGACCAGTTTTGGATATATTTGGAAAGTGCCACCTTAACCAGTTTTCATACATTTGCAGTTCTGATACAGAAATATACAAACTGATGCATATCTTCCAAGCATGCCTTTCTTTTCTTACTTACTTCCAAAGATTCTTATTGACCTCAGGAAACTTCATATACGAATCAATAATTCATATCAAGTAAACCACACAAAACCCCATAATTTAAAACCATAACATTTCAAAACTAAACTACAACTGTTCTGAGCTACAGTCATGCCTAAAATCTAATTTCAAATTTCGTTAGATTCCTCAACTCACCAGCTCTCAGTTACATGGGTTCTCACAAAAACTCAATCTTCAAACACAAGTAGTATGGATTAAAAAAAAATCTGTAGCTTGAATCGAGAAAAATAACTTACAGTGACAGGAGCATCGACTCTTTGAACTAGAATCTCCATAGCTTTAAGGCAAAGAGCCTTCACTTGTGATTCCTTCACAGCGTTTAAGCTGCTCTATCTGTTGGTTTAGCTCTGACATTTTCTTTGTTCCTTTCTCTCTTTGTTTTCTCTTCTTCTTCCACCTTTCTTCACAGACAAAACTAACTAATGGAAAAACAAAAGAACCTAATTTTGATAATCAGACGAGAATTGAAGAAACCCTCTTCAAAGTTAAGACTAAAGAGAAGAAAAACAAAAAATGATTTGTTCGTGCTTTGTTTTGTTCTTCCCCAACTCTTAATTTCTTCTCTGTCTCAGTCTCTCTCTCTCTTTCGCTCTGTTTTAATATTTTGTTTTTGAATCCGGTCCTTGTCTTTTTATGGGATTACAAATTTGCCGCGAATAGTTTGGGCCACATTTTGGACTATTGGCCCATATGTTACCAAGTAACTAGGCTCATTTAGACTAACACTTTATTTTTTGGTCACCAGACTAACACTTATATTACAAACTTAACACTTATTTTTTGGTTTATGGTAGTCATAAACATATTTTTTTTGGTAAGGGGTTTTCGTTATCTATCACGAGTGTCCGAAACATTTTCGAAACCGACTAAATTTCTAAGATGAGTGTGTAATTTGGTAAAGAGTTTTGCTTAACTCCACTACGGCCTATGGGTGGTAACACCGAACCCAAAAGCCTAAGATTCCAAAATGGCCTAATTAGGTTATATCTGTTAATTTAAACTAGTGTGTGAATGTCAGTTTTGTGAGATGATAAGTTTAGTTTTTTTTTTGTCAAGTTGTTACTTTAGTATTTAACATGTATAAAATAAAAAGTAACTATGATCGAAGACTACATAAAACTAAGGTCTAAGAGATATGAACAAAGAGAAAAGTTAGATTAAGAATGACATTTATAAACCACAGTTTTCTATGATAGTAATAATTATGTATCTAGTATCTAACTATGATTTACTTTTAACAGTTGCAGAAAAAGGTAAACTACTGGTCAAAGTCAAAGTAAATAAACGCAAAAAGAGTAAAGGGAATATGTTGCGGATCGAAGAAAAGACTCTTTGCTTTTTGACCTAGCTAGTTTTAAGAGACTTGCTACTTAAAATTGCATTGGAAAACCACAGTTTTCTTAAAGTTAAAGTTAACCGAGTAAACAAAAGTAATACTCAAGAAGATAATAAGCTAAAGCCATACACAATCTGTCGATGTCTTCGGGGATATGAAGAAACATATATACTACTTTTTGTGTGTGTTGAAGTTGAACTTCGAATTAACAAAACATCTCGTTTTAACCGGACACTAACAGTAGATGCTGCGATCGATAGAAACCTTTAAAACAAGATTAGAAAGCATATAAAGTATAGCTCCTTAAGCTTAGCCCTTATGAGATGATGTTAGTTGAAAGCCTTATCCCCTGAAGAGGGAGACCAAAATAATAATACTAGTATTAGACTATATATTATTAATCTCGTATCCCCTAACTAACCGTTAATCGTTTTTGTTGTCTAATAATAACGGGCAAGAGTCCATTGCAAATAAATTGTTCAATAATCACAAGCCGACATAGACTATTATATATGTAGATTGATGCTCCTTTTAGCATTTGAAACACTATTATTTTCATCGGTAATCATCAACTCTTGATGTCAAATAGAATTGTTAATGTTCTATATGAGATGGATTTAAATTTGTTGATTGATTAAATTTGGATGCTTCCTTACTACAAGCCTACAAAAAAATATGTTGGATTTCTTGGTCACTTTCTTTATTTTTATTTTTTAGTTTTGTTATTTAAACGAATAAATGAACTCTAGCTAAATGAATATGTCGACATGGTCTTAATTTATAATGCTACTAAAATTTTCATATATGATTCACTTTCTTGAAAACTTTCTTATAAGTAATAAATTCAGTAGACAAGTCGGTTCCTAGGGTTAGACTAATTTGGAACTTATGACATGATACAAATACAATTAAACCAAAGACTAATAATACATAAAAGAGCATGTATTGGGGGCCTAGTGTTACGTGAAACGCGAGGATCACGGTAACTCTACATGTGGAAAGACTCAAAAAAAACTATTAATAAAACAGATTTCCTGGTCTTCTGGTTATTAATCCAATTTGCTTTCCACGTTACGGAGATCATCTGAGAGTAACTACAATCTAAGTAAATAACATACAAATATTTTGTCCGAACAAATCAAAATGAATTTTGAGTATTTTAGATTGACTTGATTTTATCCATTTATTTTTCTATTTTCTTTAACGTTATTTGACAAGAAGTTTCACATCGCGTGTTCATGTAATGTATTAATTATAAATAGAGTTTCTATACGGTTTATTTATATAATCCAAATGTTGTCGTTGTCGAACGTATGGTATATTTTTTTCATGTATCCTGCTAACTTTTACGGTAAATATATATCGTAATTCGTATGTGGAGTCTTAAAAAAAATTATTCGTCATGGCAATTTTTGTTTGTAGCTGGTTTAAAACTTGCAAACAAGAAGTATAAGTAATTTCAGTTAGTAGTTGTGGCAGAGTTAGGTATACACGATAAACCATGGTTTCATCTGAGAATTATTAAATCACATTAACGATAACTTAACGGTAAAAATCGTTACATGGGTACCTGATCTATGTTGACGTGCCTATTGCCCTAGTGAACAGTTTGAGTATATCTTTAACTTTAATTGATTGATCTATATGTGTAATTAAATACGTGAAATCAACATCATCTGGTTTCAGTCCATGTCTCAAATCAATAAGACGCATTTGAGCTTAGCTGTATTGACTAATGATACCCTAAATTATTTTTTAAAACATGGTTTGATAATAGATATACAGATATATTACTACTTTGTAGTAAAATATTAAACATATGTATCTTTAACACAATTGATTAATGATTAAAGGGTCTTTAGAATTAAAATCTCTAACAAGGTAATTATGGTAATAATCAGTAACAATAAAATAGTTGTTTATTATATTGGTTGAGGAAATTATTCATGTAGGAATATTAAATTCGTGACCAACTCGTATAATTGTGACACTCTAGTCGTCTCGTTACTTGAAAGTTTGTAGTCATTGATAAATCCAAGTTCCAATTAAGTATAAATTACACATATCATTACTCAATAATCTCCTCTCCCTTCTCATTGCCCTTTGTAGCTACTTTTATAATTGTTAAAATGTTGCCAAAAAGAAAGATGAGTTCGTTACGTAATTAACTAGTTATCTTGAGATAAGAATACAAATTATATAGCAAGAAGATATAGAGATAACAAGGGCATGAAAAACGATTAAAACCTAAGAAGCGAAATATAATCATAACAAGAACAAAAGAAGAGGTTGAAACATCGAAATTAAATGGACAAAAATATATAGTGACTTGGATTTAGTGAAACAAAGAATGACAAGAGCCAAAATATACTAGTAAAATTTTGTCAACAATGTTATATGAATATAATACAAAATTGAAAAAAAAAAAAAATATACGGCAAACTTCGGCTTAGTATAAAAATATAGTAACCCTCCTAAATCCGTATTATAAAATTTCTAAATTTGGTGATAATTTGGAAATTAAACATTGAAGGTAGCTAGCACTTCGTATATATATATTATGAATTAGACTTACACAAATAAAAAATGCATTAATTAGATAATAAGTATATATACACAGCAGGACTTTCATTTCACGACTCTTGTGGCATGCTAGTGAAAAATTTTTGGTTGTTGGCTTAATATAGGATATATTGGACCCACTTGTATCTTTTTTTATATACTTTTTGCTAATTCTTTTTTAAAATATATATTTAACATCATACTACCAATGAAATTCATGCAATACCTATCCATATATGTGTCTACTCAAAATCAAAAGATCATGAGACCTCAAATCTAAAACTTGTAACTTGTAAGCGAAATAATGTTTGGTGGAGGATAAGCAAATAAATAACATCTAGTTTTAGGATAGGGATGATGAGAATGTAGAGAAATGGATAGAGAGTCATAAAAAACCCGGCAACATGATGAAGAAACTTGTCTCTTTTGCTATGTATGTTGCCTCCACTGACCAACTCTCAACTCTGTTCCATTGGATACCATCAAGTTTCGGCGTCAATCTCGTGCCCTTCACCCACTCTTTACTAATCCTGTAAGCTACTTTTACATTATACTTACTCATGCATATATATAAAGGACAACTAATTTTATTTTGACTTATATTATTACGCAACAAATCAAGTATTTACCGAGACTTAAACCTTAAATGAGAAAATATTTTTTTTCTTTAAGTGAGATTTTCAGCCAGTTGAAACATGTCAATATGCCATGTACTTAATTATAACAACAAATAATTTACGGATGGGTTGGTGATATTATATTGACAAGTGTTCTTAATTAATTTTTCTCGTAATTTTTAGATTTAATATCTAATTATACATTAGCTCTAGATCTGTGTAAACTTTTCGAGTAATTTAACCATTTCCTCTGATTAAATAGCGTCCTTTTAGCTAGATCATTATCTGACTTTATATTATTTAATTTTAGATATACATTTCTTTAAATATAATCGACCGTTTCATTGTACAAAACCCAAGTGTCGTGCCGTCGCAATACTAAAAACGATTTTTTTATAATTAATGGCATCGTCTAATTAACAACATTTTTGGGCTGTTTGGTTGAAGATTATCTGACAATCGTTAGGACCAATACTTGGGATATATATGAATGATACGATATTGGATAAAAAAGCAATGGATGAAGAATGTTTGAAACATGCATGAATCTAACTAAGATCGTATCATAGCTTTTATACTCCTGATGTTCCCTCGGGTGGTATCCTATGGAAACACATTCATTTCCCTTTTGATTTTTCTCATCATGAATATCTAAAGCCAACCAATTACTTCTTTACTCTTAAGACAATAAGACTCATGAAATTACAACCCTAATTAGTCTCTTAGTAACTAGTTATATAGTCCTCTTACTCATCTTGTAACCAACATATATTTATATTTATACTATATTTATTTATCATTCTGCACCATATTCACTGGAAATTTAACATATTACAACAATACGATTTAAGTTTCAAAATGAACCAAAAAAAAATTGAACTTCTTTCCAAAATTATATATTACCACGAAATATATATAGTATATGATAACCAAAATATTGTTGATTTATATAAAGTTAAATTAATACATCAGGATATTCAAATTTAATGTGCACTTTTGTAAATGTGTGTATTTAATGCTATTTTAATATTATATTAAAAACTTTCAAGCTTAGATATTTTCATTTTAAATCACAACCGCAAAAATAGTTGGAAAAAGAAAGATCACATTAGATATTTAAATTATTATACGTGTACATCATAAATTGATTATTTTGTACATCATATATATATATATGATCGAGCACCATATATTGTTCTACTCTTTACTCCAATAAGCCCTACACAAAATGTGGTTGACAAAAAAATATAACCTACAGTACACAAAATGACAAACTATGTATATATACTATATATCATGTGACACAAGTACACCACATAATTATATTTTGTTTTTTGGGAAACAAACACAATGATGCGTTGTTTTTGCATGAATAATCAGTACATACACCATATGTACGCAATGGCACATTTAATAATATGTTTCCCCATTCAACTAAATTCATACATTTATCATTTCCTCTTTTTCTATAAATATGTGTCGTCTCTTCGACCTTGTCTCATTCACAAAAAGAAGTTGTAGAGAAAGATAGAGAGAGAGAGAGATCGAGAAGGAGAGAAGAAGAGAAGAAGAGAAAGAGAGAGAGAATGGGTTCTAAGGGAGACAATGTTGCTGTATGTAACATGAAGCTCGAGAGACTTCTCAGCATGAAAGGTGGCAAAGGACAAGACAGCTATGCCAATAACTCTCAAGCTCAGGTCTCTACATCTTTTTTTTTTTTTTTTTTTGTTCTACTGTTTAAAAAATTCCTTCATAGAAAACATCAAATTATTCGACATTTTGATCTCGAGTCATAAATTTGGTAAATCGAGTGAAGATTTATATTTATGTTTTATGCAAAGGGTACTACTCTCCAAGATCATTCGCAAGATCTGCTCTTAAAATCAAAAATTTCTTAGGTTTATTTCTGTTTTATAAACGGTTAAGTCTTCAATTACTGTTTCTTTGATCAATATCAAATAACTCAACAATCAGTTTATTTACTCTGGATTAATTATTCTAATTTGATTTTTGTTTGGATATTATATATAGTAGGCTACATATATCGGACTAATTGACTCATGCTATTGATTTGCTAAATAAAATTTCTTCAAATAAATTAAGCTTTGTATTATAACAAAAAAATGCGTATAATGTTGAGACAAATATATAAGAGCCAGCGTCTACGTGCATGGAAAGTAATATAGATACCGACAATTTGAGTTCATGAAAGGTAATAATAGATTAATATATGCAGGCGATGCATGCACGGTCCATGCTTCACCTCTTAGAGGAGACACTTGACAATGTCCACCTAAACTCCTCCGCCAGTCCGCCACCGTTCACGGCGGTCGATCTTGGCTGCTCCTCCGGGGCAAACACTGTCCACATCATCGATTTCATAGTCAAACACATCTCTAAGAGGTTTGATTTGGCCGGAATCGACCCGCCGGAGTTCACAGCTTTCTTCTCGGATCTCCCGAGCAACGACTTCAACACACTTTTTCAGCTTCTTCCACCACTTGTCACCAACTCTTGCATGGAGGAGTGCCTTGCTGCCGATGGAAACCGCTCTTACTTCGTCGCTGGTGTTCCCGGATCGTTTTATCGGCGACTTTTTCCGGCGAGAACCATTGACTTTTTCCACTCTGCCTTCTCCTTACATTGGCTCTCTCAGGTACGTACTCACTCTACGTAACTAGGTCACTTTTACTACACACGTATCATGTTATTCGAATTTTTCTGGTTTAAGCTTTAACGGTTAATTAATTAATTAATCAATGTTAAAATACGGGACTTAATTAATATTTCTACCGGATTAGGGCTATCATCATTATTTTTGCTTCGTGAACTTATACTTTTTTTATAATTAATATTAATCAACCAAAAGAAACAAAAAAAAAACTTGTGATATAAATATGATAAGAAATGGAAAATGTGGTAGGTGCCGGAGAGTGTGACGGATAGGAGATCGGCGGCGTACAATAAAGGGAGAGTATTCATACACGGAGCCGGAGAGAAGACAACAACGGCGTACAAAAGGCAGTTTCAGGCGGACTTGGCGGAGTTTTTGAGGGCAAGAGCGGCGGAGGTTAAGAGAGGTGGGTCCATGTTTCTGGTCTGTCTCGGTCGTACCTCTGTGGACCCAACCGACCAGGGTGGTGCCGGTCTTCTCTTCGGCACTCATTTTCAGGACGCTTGGGACGACCTTGTCCGCGAGGTACGACCTTGGTTTTATCTTTACCCTTTCCACCAATTAAGCTAGTTACAACTTAATTACTTAATACGAATCTAAATTAGTAACCTTGAGTTCTTAACTTATACTAGTACTATTAATCCCCATGCATGCCCTTTTGGTTTTTTATGAATAAACACTAGAAATGACGAAAACAACTTGTTTATATAACACTAGGATCTACAATTGACCCAATTTAAGTATTTCTAGCTTTGGAAATGTCGTTTACCTTTTCTTTATCTCTTTCGGCTTTCTAAGAAAACTACAGCAGTGCCAAAACTCAATAAAAACTTTAACTCGTAAAGTCATCAAACCTAGTTACTAGTTCTGTATATAGTATATAGTATCCGCTAACGTCAAGCCACAAAAATTAATCCACAAGTTTCTTGAATTTTTAAGCTTTTCTTAACAAGAGTCTATATATATTTGAAAGAAAAGAACAAAAAAATTAAAACCTAGTATACTATAGTTATGTACAGGACCACATGTACCCATATGTACATTTCTTAAAACTAATATTAAGTTTGATATTGACATAAATATTTATTTTGAAGAAAAATGCAAACCTAACGCAGTATTGTAGTTTTGTCTATGTGTTTGATTTTGAAAGTTACACTTTATGTGTAAATAAATCCACATACAACGAAACATAAGCGAATGATTGTGGTGGCTTTAAGACCACGTTAGTGTACACTCTCACCACTCCTCGATTTAGGTGTAACTATCAATCCTACCCATCGGATTGGTCCTTATCGATCCTAGTTGAATCTGAATCATCCATCGCTACGATCATTTTATACGTCAGAACAAAACCGATATGATGACTTTGTAGAGGCAAAATCGGCAGGCCATATTATTGAAGTACGGTAGTGAAAGAAGACATTAAAAAAAAAATCAACAAGAATTGTTACGTTACTTTCTGACATAATCATTTTAGTCCGTTAGATCAAATATTCTCACTACCAAAAAGTAAAGTTTACATGTGTTTTTAAGTCATTATATATTCAGATAATCATGTTAAAGGCGCAGTGAATCAAAGTAGATATATAATTCAATCAGTATATATAAATTCATATATTGATTTACAAAAAAAAACATAGTCCTTGTGATTGCAGCCTCACACATTTTATTTTTATAGGGTTTGGTAGCGGCAGAGAAACGGGATGGATTCAATATCCCAGTGTACGCACCAAGCTTGCAAGATTTCAAGGAAGTAGTTGAAGCCAACGGCTCGTTTGCAATTGAGAAGCTGGTGGTCTACAAAGGAGGGAGTCCACTTGTGGTGAGCGAGCCGGACGACGCATCTGAGGTCGGTCGTGCCTTCGCTAGTAGTTGTCGGAGTGTGGCAGGAGTTCTTGTGGAAGCTCACATAGGCGAAGAGCTAAGCAATGAGCTGTTCTCCCGAATTGAACGCCGAGCCACTAGCCATGCTAAAGATGTCTTGGTGAATTTGCAGTTCTTCCACATTGTCGCTTCTTTGTCCTTTACTTAATTAATATCAAATAATATGAAAAAGACTAATTATAAGAAACATATTCGTGTGCTCTTGTTTTAACTTTTTTTTTTTTTTTTTTTGTCTGTTTCTGTTCGTAGGACCTCTCTTTAATGTTTAATAGTTCTCTGTCTTCTTTATGAAATGGGGTTTTGATCATGTAAAACTAAAATAGTCAGAAGTCTTTGTACCAAAAAAAAAAACTTTATAAAAGGAAGCCTTCTGTTCCAATCTATGCAGGGTTTCTAACCAACCAAACGAAACTAGAAACATCGTAAAACAACTTTTGAGTTTCCACACTAGTTCAAGTGATGATGATCAGTAGTACTGCGTCTTGTACTCCTTCACCTCAGCGTAGTTCTTGGCGCAATAATCAAACAAGCTTCCATCAAAGCACCGCCTTATGGCTTCTTTTGACAAGAATCCTTCTTCATCACTCGCTAACACATACAATACTCCCCATTCCACTTTGCTCGCTAGCCTACAGACCAATTAATAAATCACTTCTTCACAAACCAAAAAACACATTAAGGGAACATATATCTCAACATTTTGAGCATTGAAGAAAGTATATACCATCCAAAAAAGTCGGAAGGCATCGCGGTTTCCTTCAGTCATGTCCCATAGTTCTCCAAGACTCAACTTATCTGGCACTGTCCTCGCATATTTGCTAAACATCAACTCAAGATTCGCTGGTGTATACCTTCCCAAAGACACATATATTACATATAATCTCGCGATCCTATAATCATAGAAATCTCAAATATATTTAATTACAAGACTACTAACCTTCCTTCATTGTCATATGTTTTAGAGTCGCTTCCGTGCTTTGCCTTGTGAATGTTGTGTATATATATAGGCAAGAACGGAGACGGTAACCATCCCTGTTTCATCAATCATAAGCGTACCAATCATCATAGTCCGGCTCGGTAAAGCTAAATTATTAAGTTAAACTGAATATATATGTACTTAATTTACCGGGAGAGTAGCATAGCTTAGAGCTATGTGGATACCGGTAGTTAAGATAAGTGACGCTAGTAAATTGAAACCGAGTAACTGGAACCCTGGTGCCATCCATTTCGACACCAGTAGATGTATAAATTAAACCAATATGTACATAACTCATAAACTGTATAAAGTGGAGAGGTTTAACCGTTTAAGGGTGTACCAGAGAAAGTTTCATAGGGATAAATGATGCCATTATCATCCAAATCGAAGAAAGCTACATGTTGCTGAAGAACACTAAGGCCATTGTGCCTATGCTCTGGTGTTCCTTGCGGGTGTTCCATGTCCGGTGCTTGTAGTGCTCTCGGCAAATCTAAATAATAGTAAAAAAAACGGTTATGTAGCGTACGAGTCACGCATCCTGAATATATCTAGATAGGTTAGGAGAAGTACAAGGTTTAGGAAGTGTGTCATCCAAGTCACCACGAACACGGCGGTGATAAGTGACCGGAGCATAGGTAGCCACCGTCTCCATTGCGTCTCTCTCCATCCTCTCCATTGTCGTCATTTTTCTATATCTCTCTCTACAGTGAGAAGACTAATGAACAAGAAGAGAAGACCGAAACATCTCGATGCTCCGTGGCGGACATGCACGCGCGACAATGCCACACTAAATTCACCCTTCACACGAGTCAGTGACACTTGTCACTTCAAAGTGGATATAGAAACCAGAACAAGCTTTTCTAACCGAATCGTAACAACTGAATAGAAGAATCTTATCTACATAATACAAAGCATAATTGAAATGAAGAAAACCAATATCTTCTAACAAAAATCAACCGGACTAACAAAAAATATAAAAACATTATTAGAAAAAGAAAAATATGGGTTGCGCAAACTTTTCAGAACACTGATAACATTTTCATAGACTGAAGTGACCGACCTTTGCCAACATGAGGATGCTATATGCTTGGACAAAACGATCATGCTATAGATGAGCGCGTGGCTCAAAAGGCACGATGTACCGTTTTAGAAAGTTGTGATTTTGGTCAGACTTACATTTTCTCTTATAATCCCTAAGATAAGTAAGTCATTTGCAGGTAAAATGGTTGTTTTTTTGGAGTCAAGATGATACCGTACCAACTACTAAAACAACACTAACAAAACACACACACACATACACATTCTCTACTCTGAAATGTCATTTTGTCTTCTCTCTCAGGTGTTTCATCAAAGCCTTCTCTCCCTAAAACCAACTTAAACATTGAAAATTACACATCTTTTCCTCTCTCTTTTTTTTCCATCATCATGGTGAGGCTGGAACTTGATGATCTGCAACTGGAGATGAAGCAGCTTCCTCTTTCGATATGGCAACGTAGTTTGTAGGAGCAGCCGGCCTGTTGAGACTCTCCCTTCTCCCTCCTTCTTTTGCAGTAGACCTGCTTCCATTCTGGTTTGCGTTCAATGATAAACGCCGGTTTGGAGCTCCATTGGCTCCTCCGTTGTTAGCTCGTAGCCCCATCGGTTTCTTGGCACTGACTGGTCTTGCAGGGCTTGGTCTGGTGCTAAAGGCAGAGTCTTGTTCTACGTGTGGCTGTTCTTGAACCTTCTTTTGTTCCTGTTCATATAATTAAAACAGAGGACTTCAGGGGATGACTGACATTTTCGAGTTTATCATAATTGAGTAGAAATGATGAACTTACCCTTAGCCTCCGTTTCTCCTCTTCTCGTTCTTGCCTAAGCATACCGTACTCATCTAGCATAGCTAGCAGAGGAACACCATCGTAGGCAAAGGACATGCTGTGTTCCTCTTCCCAAGCCCGGGTCTTGGCAACCAATGTGTCAACCATGGCTTTGCACAAGACAAAAGATCCAAAATTTACTAGATATGAATACATAAGGGAAGTTTGCAGGCATATCTTGGTTATTTAAAACATACCAGGAATCTTGCTAACCAGAATCCGAGCTTTCTCAGCTCTCTTGAGATTCAAGTGTGCGCCTCTGCTTGCACTGTACCTGTTCTGATCCTGTTCTCAAAAAACGAAACCATGGAAATGCTTAAGATCCACTTTGAAGTTAATGTGCATCATAGTGTGTGTGATTGAGAGAAATTATATATTACCCGGTTGTAGTCTTCTAGCCAGCTCTCTTCCTCACAAGCTGACATCCATTTTTCAACTCGGTCCAAAATATCTTTTCTACTAAATGCTTCTTCCTTAGCCTTTGCTATCTGGCTATCCATGTCTGCCAATAACTCAGTAGGCTCAACATTTCCAGAATCAATCAGTGACATGATCCTCTCACGAGCAGATTCCGGATTTATTTCTACATGGGCACGAGCATATATCTCCTCAAGCTCAGATTGTTTCTTGAAAGCAATTTCTTTCATTCGGCTAGCTTTCAGCTGGTCAAGCCTATCCACTTCCACCTCGGCCTTCACAAGTTTATATGAAATTTTAGGAAGCAGTAACTGAAACTTCAGAACACATAGGAAATTTTATCAATTCAATATAAAATACCTGCTCAATCAAATCACGTGCAAGAGCACCTGGCAAAGTGACCTCATCAACTGAAGCTGAAATGTTACAGGTAACATGATCAAAAAGCTCCCTTTCCTCATCAGGAGTATCCATCAGATTCCACAAATCAATTAGCTGAGTAGCTAGCTCTTGAAGCTGCAACAACAAAAACAAAGAATCATTAATGAATCTCTGTGATCTTAGCATGTCTCAGATAATCATACTTTAGAAAGCTCTCTACCAGTTTGATATACAACAATTGCAATTTACGAAAACAATTTTAGACAAGGATGCAGAGAAAATTGTCTTGACCTTTTGAAGTCTTTGCTTCTTATCATCTTTAAGAGTCAAGACGGTTTTAGCCAACCTTGAAAGTGTGTCATTGCTAATGCTTTTAGACTGGACACCGGTTTCTTCATCTAAGCTCGGATGAACTTCGGTGACAGTGCTTAGGAAATCCAAACCAAGAACGGCACAAAGATCATGAACAGTACTCACAAACTCTAGCACCTTCTGCAGCCTGTCACTCTGCCAAAACAAAGCAGTTAGCAAGGAAAACATAAAGCAACATATCACCACTATAGAGATTCCTAACACAAATTTTACCTTCTCTTTCTGGAGCTCTTGGAGTTGGCTCTGGAAATCGTCTAATTTCTTCAGTGACAAATCAGACTCATCGACTATAGGAACCTCATTGCTCAAACCCCCAGCAATCTCTCCACATATCTTCTGGATTTGTGATTGAACATCAGAGAACTCTCTGACTCTCTCCTCTTTCTGTTGCCACAGTTGTTCAAGAGCCGGTGCTATTGCAGCAAGTTGCTCTTTAATCGATTCTGAAGACTTATCCGGCTGCAAACAACAGAAGAAACAAAAAGACGAAAATCTCACTAACAAAACACTTCATATAAATTTTCTACTTCTATAACATATGGACAAAACTTACAATGCCAACTAAGCTTTTCTCTCCTAGAGATGTAGTGAGGCTGGAGAGTTCAGCATTAGCATCAGACAAGGTTTGAAGAAGCTCAGCTCGGGATTTGGCAGCCAGCTCAACTTTCCTCTTGTAAACATCAAGACACTCTTGCTCTATCTGCAGCAGCAGCTTGTCTCGTTCCTCATCACTCTCACCAACTTCATCCCAGATTTCCTGAATTAAAAAAAGGTTGTAAGAAGTTGACCTTACACAAGACTGGAGTAAAAAGCCTAATCCTAGATAGAGGTTGCAAGACAAGATTTGCACCTGCAACTTCTGCAGTAAGGTACCACAAGTAATTTCTCCAAGAAGAGGACTTTCAGTATCTGTGACCGCCATCGTCGCTATATGAAAAGGTTTTTTTTCCTACAGAAACAAAAAAAATTAGTTAGAAAAGATAACTAAACTAAGAATGTAGAACACACAGAACTCTGTAGATTTTTCTTAATCAAAGTTGTAATCTTTTTGTATATTTCGGAATCTAAAAACCCTTCAATCACTCAACTCGACAGACCAAAACATTAAAATGAACCATATAAATTGGAAAGAGAAATCTAAAAACTTCTCAAAAGCTCAAAAAACACTTTTTCACCATAAACCAGAAAGCAAACAAAGGTCCGATCAAGCATAAGTAAAAGCAACGAGATAAGAAGCAGATCTCTGTTTTAAAAACACGAAACAAGAAGTTCAAGAGAAGCAAACAGCATTGGTGATAAAACCAAAGCAATCAAAAACTAAAGACTTCAAACTGATCAAATCTAACAGTAAATAAGAAAATACAAAGAGAAAAACATTACCGAGGTTGACACTGGATTTCAAGGGTTTTAAATGGGTTTCTCCCCTACACACTCTTCCTACTTATTACTTCTTCTACTACAGGTTTTAGATCTGAAGCTGTATGACAAAACACACACTATTGAGAGTGAGAGATAAAATCATCTTAAGCAAAGGCCAGGGGAAACAAAAAAATATCAATCTATGGAGGAGAGAGAGGTGGAAGAGACGGGGAGGTGATGCATGGGACCCACTCTTTTTTTTTTTTAGTACGATGGTAACTCCAAAAAATTATTCACCCTTTAGTTTTCTGACTTATTACAAACATGACATGACGCTGTTCACAGACAGACTTGTGTCTTTGTTTCTTTATTTTGTTTTGTTTACTCTTCCTTAAGGTTCCTTGACTTGGTGCTTTGCTTGTTTGACTACCACAAGTTATTTACTTTTTCTTTTTTTACAATAACAATAAGAAATCTCGGAAGTAAATAAATGCTATGGTACAGTTGTTTTTGGTTTTTTTCTAACCAATTTTAACTTATGGTTATTTAAAGCGGTAAAATGTTATGTGTAATGTAGCTCAACAAAAAAATATAATTACAACAAAGTTGTTGACCAATTTATGTTTTAGGGACCATAGATAGCATTTTACGGTATAGTCCATTTTTGGGGGTTTAATTATACTATCCCCAATTATTATAATACAATTTTTGTATTGTCACAATCGATCGAATATGTATTTTATTTATTTATATGTTTTTGAAAAGTATGTTGCATAGAGGATAATACATTTTAAGAATTATTGAATTCATCAAACACAGTTGACAAAGAAAAAGATAAAGAAAACAAACTTAGGAGTATGTAAGAAACGAAGACAAACATAAATTTTACGGAATATCTTTGAAGTGTGAACTATGTATAATACTCCAAATAATTGCCTTAACTTGTAATAAACTTGTTTTTTTTCTTTCAAATTAGCAGTAATTCCGATTTTAGTCTTAATTTACTCTACCACTAGTTAGTTCGAAACTTCATTTTATTATTAAGTTGTTTTGTTATAAGTTGAGAAAATGGTGCAAGTACTATGATTGGTGAGATTTAATTTTAATCTACTTTCTTTTTTAAGTTTAAAACATGGATCATGAGGGGGTAGTTCGTATATACAATACAGCTAAGAAAAGTAAGCAAACGTGATGATGAGGTCAGTAAGAAAATTTAGTCAAGCGTCTCCATATAAAACCAAACTAGTAGACTAGTAGTAAAGAAGAAGAGTTATGTCATTATGTGACAAATCTAAATAAAATACAAGTCATAGTCAAATGTTAGTTGGCTATATTCAATATGAAATCGACGTATATACTTACTATCTATACCATATCTAAAACACCCATTGATTATAAATTCAAAAAGTGAACCAAATTACAAAATTTAAAAAAACAGGGGTTTTGGAAATGATTTATTGCACCTATTAATCTTACAAACAATCATCAAATACAGTAAATGTTCTCTTCTTATGACAAAATAATCATAATAATTCAAAAGACTCATTTTGCTCATACAAAAAAAAAAAAACAGAACATACCTACAATATGCTCATCAACGAGTGATGTATTCAATCTCGGCTCGTTCTTTCAACCATTCTAGCACTTTTGCTCCTTCTAAAATCTCTTGTACCTAACCAACCAATTTAAGAAGAACCTCTCTTTCAGTTATCTATCTTATATAGCTCAAGAACATTATTATATTACTTATTAGATTCACAAGATAACTAACCTGATCTTTCACACGCTCCTCGTCATACTCTTGTTTATGTTTCTTGAATTCTGAGATCGAGTTCTCGACCTCTTTTACTAGTTCATCTGTTGAGAACTGCATTCAAAGATTTGGCAATGTTTTTGTTACTAACTTTTGTTTTTTTACTTTCTCTGAGACTAGAATATTGAGTGTATAATATACCTCTAAGTTCTCGCGCTTGAAGATATCTCCAACAGCCAAATTCTGCTTGATTATGTTGGTAATGCTTTCCCTTTGCGTTTCGAGAAACTCATTCACTGCTTTTTGACTTGAAAGTGAAGCCAATTGGTCTTCCGTGAGCTTCATGCTTCCCTGCAGCTCCATGTCATTGAACATTAGGAATTTGAGTGACAGCAAAAGAGAGTAAGAGATGGAGATCAACAACAGTCATCGAAAAATGCTTGCCTGAATCTCTAGAAGCCTAGCTCCATAAAACTGTCTTCCTTGTTCCTCAAATAAAGATTGAGGAATCTCTACTTCAACCATCTAAAACAAAAGAGAAGCAAAGGATGTATTTTACCACACAGATCAACAACGTTACTGCTTCAAATGATTTATGGATTTAGATGATGACCTTTCGAATCTGCTCAAGGATGGCATTGTCTGTAGCTTGCTCCTTAGCTTCCTCCTCCATCTCTTGGCATCTTTTAGACAGAGTTTCTTCAACCTGTTTACTTGTTTCATTAGGGAATTACAGTGAGAAAAGACATTCTCTTTTGTAAAAACTTGTTGCAAACAAAATCCATCTGTTCATTACCTCTTTTAAAGTGGTGCATCCAGGGAGCAATTTATCAGCAAGCGAATCATCTAAAGTTGGTAAATCTCTGTAGAAAAGTTCCTTGCAGTCGACCTGAAGAAAACAAACACAATTAGCTTATCAAAGTATGATCTTTTGTTACCATATTTATATTCATGTCTGGTGTAAAAAAAAGAGCTCACAGTGAACTGAGCACGTTGGCCTCGGAGATTTTCTTGTTTCCATGATTCAGGAAACACAAGCGTGAATGACTTTGATTCGCCTGCTCGAATTCCTGTGATTGAATCAAGGAATCCAGGAAGTAATCTATTCCCTTCCTCAGTGTCAAAGTGAAATCCTGTTCAGATAACCGCACATCTCAGCATTCATTGGCAAACGGGAACGGCATTGCAATAGAGTAAGAGATATGAATCTTAAAATATAACAGTTCTAAAACCTTTGCTTTCAGCATCTGGAATCGCTTGACCCGTTGACCCATCCTCATCTATAGTTGTAGCCGAAATATCAACAACTGCAAGATCTCCCACCTACACAGTTTTAGGATATAATGAAAAGCTTTTCTAGCAACTATATTATCTTTGCAGAGTTAAGTACGAACTAATGCAGTCAGATTCATAACTACATTAAAGAAAGCTAACATAAGCCTAATGGCTGATCTTAGTAACGAGATAGAAGGTTGGTCCCATGTCATCAACCTTCAATGATTTCAAATGTAACATGAAAGAAAACCGCAAAAGTAGCAGAAAAACAATGCAATGACATGGCAAGTTATGTATTCATTTACCTGTAGTCCTCGGTCAGTCACAATCTTCAATGCACCAAGGGACTTGTATTTCTGTCTTAGTTGTCTTTCACAAGCTTTTTTTGCATCTATCTCATCGCCTAATTCTACAACAACCTTCATATTCTTATACCCATCCTCAGGATTCCATCTTAGTTCAGGGACAACATCAACTACCACCTCATAACTGAGTAAGAAGAGAAAAGCAGAATTTCATGTAAAGTTAGTTCGCAAGCAGCAGTCTTGAACTGTTGTTTCAGATTTTTTGCATATGTGAAGGTTAAACATAAACCTAAGAGTCTTGAGCTGAGAATAAGCCTTCTCCATCTCTGGAAAGCTGCTTACAATCTGTATCGAGTCTTTTAGAGCCCTTCCAGTCACCTACAAAAACCAAAATCTCGTATGAAAAATGTTCCAAGACAACAAAGACCAAATTTAGTTAGAAACATCACAAGACTTATTCTCACAAATCATTCTCTTAAACCATGGAAGATTGAAAACATAATTAAAATAATATAAACATAAGACATTTTACCGACTCCATGGCGTGTGGAAGTGTTCTCTTCAAGATAGATTCAACAGTTGCTCTCAAAACGTATGGCCTCCCAACGAAACCAACAATAATATTCTCTGGAACTCTCGTTTTAGGACGGAATCCAGGAACCTAATTTAATCAAAACAAAATCCAATAAACAACAAGCCTATGATACCAAACGAAGTGAAATGACAATCAACAGCAAGCATTACACAGAACAAGCTTCTGCTAGAAATCGAAAATTTTATAAACGATTTCAATCGTATACTCAAAATTTCGTCTTCATTTTAAGATGAAAAACCAATTCACCTTTGAGAGCTTCATGAACTCAGTTAGAACTCGTTGGTAACAATCTTCACATACAATTTTTGGAACTTCCACACTCAATTTCACCTAAAATCAAAAGTTTCATGTCATTTCAAAACTCAGAATAAACTCAATGCCGCACCCACACATATTCTCCAGCAAATAGACAAAACAGATATTGAAATCTCTTACACTTGAATTCGCCTGTACAGTCTCGGTGACCTTAAGATCAGCTGGAAGCTTGTCTTCCTTCACGCTCGTTTCAACCGCAGGAGAAGGCGCCGCGAATCGCCTGAAATCACCACCGTGAGACATAGAATCTCCGAGAAACCCAAATTTTCTGGAGACGCAAGACATCGTCTCCAAGGGGCCGCTGCTAATTGGTTTATTCAGCCTCCCACCAAACTGTAACACACTATCTAATCGGAAGAGACGGGAGCTAACACGACGTGTAATTGAAGGAAGAAACGGATTAATCGCCTTAGCCGTCGTCGTCGTGGTGCTGATAACACAGAGCTCCATCTTCGCTCTCTCTTCTTGCTTATACTGAAGAAGAGCTTCTGAATGAATGAATGAAGCGCCACTTCTTATAGATAAAGCAATGTACTTTTGACATATATCTTCATAAAACGCCGCGTTTGAAATTAATATTTAATAAAGACTCATCTCCTTAAACGCTGCGTTTGGACTAATAAACAAGCTCCTTCTCTTTAATACACCTCACTATCTACTTAAAACGCCGCGTTTTTGAGCTGATAAATAAAGCAACTATTTCTCCGGCGAGTTAGAGGGAGAGAGAGAAGAAGAGAAGAGATTAATGGAAGGTGTAGGATCGAGATTGAGCAGGACGTCATCGAGATACAGTGGTCCGGCGGCGACGGCGGTTTTTAGTGGCCGAGTAAGGAAGTGGAAGAAGAAGTGGGTACGTGTCTCAACCTCATCGGTCGGTGTTTTCAGAGCATCTAAATCCAACGGTCGTAACAACAACAGCAGTAACAGTAACTCACCTCACCATCTACTTCTCCATAAGTGGACTCCGCTTACTTCGTCGGCGGTTACTGCCTCCGACGCTAATGGTTCCGGTGAGGCGGAGGAGCCACCTAAGCGAAGATTCAGATACGCTCCAGTAAGTTCCCAAATTAGGGTTTTTAGTTTAGTGTGAGATTAGTTGAAATGATTGGTTGATTGGTTTTGATTTGTGTAGATTGCGATGCTTGAGCATAGACAGAAACTGATTTCTAAGGAATCTGAAATTGAAGAGACTGAAGAATTCGACACTGAATCGCCATTGCCTAAAGCTGTTGAGCTTGACATGAACATATCAGACTCAGACCAAACTAAGGTACGTTTCATTTAAATTCAGCAATCTAATGAAAATGTCGAGTTTTGTTCAAACTTCTGTTAATACTCAGCTCTTACTCTGCAGGAAGCAAAAACTGGTAACTTGAATCTGGGACTGTGTCTGAATTCTGAAGGGACTGAAGAATGAAGAGGATCATAATGTATTAGCATGAAGCAACAATAAAGCTGTTAGCTTTTGGTATTATTGTAGTTTATTTTGATGTTTCATATTGTAACTTTGATGTCTTCTAGATCTGTATGTAGTGTGTAAGTTAGAAGAAGCTTATAATATATGTAAGATTTGAAGCTTTTACCAAGAAGAATAGAGAGCTTGGCTCCATCAGATTTGATTCCAGCTTTATAAACTCAATGAAATTTTGTGTGTAGTAAAGTTACAACAGAACCAGGGCTTCCCTGGAAGTGCAGCAAAGTCCTGCTACCTTATGAGAAGAATGTTCCTCCAATGAATATGCAAAAAAGAGAACTACTAACTAAAAGAACAAGAACTCGTGATGATGTTGAGACAAAGCTCAACTCTCCTTGTTTAAGTTTTTCAAGCTTCGGACTCTTTCTCGCCCTCTTGATTCTCCACAGCACAAGTAACACCAACCTCAGCTGGCCTTATGACTCGATCATACAATGAGTATCCAGACTGCAAATATGGAAACGTTACCACAAAGTTAAAAAAAATGATGGCAAATAATCCATGATATAGTGTGGACTTACAAAAGATGACATTTACTTAGAGAGTTAAAGTTATACCAAAGTCAGAAAAAGGAGAAATCCTTATATAGGTTACTCTACCTTTAGGACATGAGCAACAGTGCCTTCTGGCTTGGAAGCATCTGGGACTTGGAACACTGCGTTATGTCTGTGTGGATCAAACGGTTCATTTAAAGGATCTTCTTTCACCAAACCAGATTTTTTAAATACCTGCAGTTTTACATATATAAAAATTGCATTTCTTGGCACCAGTCTCATCTTATCTTTTTTTTACCTGAATGAACATATATTATAATGGATGTGTTACCTCTGCTAATTGTTTCTCAGTCATCTCCACTCCTTCTAATAGGTTTTTTAACAGTGGAGCAGCACCAGCCGAATCTTTTGAAGTGTCGATCTTCGAAAAACTCTCTTTGACAACTGAAGAAGCTCTTCCTAGATTATCTGCGACATCCAAAAGGCTTGTTGCAAAGCTCTGCAGCACAACAAACATATTCAGCACTGGCTCATATATGAAGCAAATACGAGTAGATCCAAGAAGAAGAAAAAGGAGTTGCAGAGAAGTAAACCTGTACAGCAAACTTTTTGGCGCTCTCAGCATTACGTTTAGTCCTGTCCATAAGATTCTGCATCTCCGCATATGAGCGAAGAAAATTATCTTTCATTTCCTTTATGTCTTCCTGCTGAACCTTCAAAAGATCTTCCTTCTCACCCACAAGCTTCACCAAATCATCCTTTGATAAATCCTCAAAATCAATCTCTGAATCTGGAAATCAGCAAACACAATTCGTTTAGTAACCCATAAAAACTTGTTCTCTATAGACCAAGACACAGTGTTTCTCTCTATTTTGCCGGGTCAATTTTTTTGACTCACCTGCTACTTTCCCCGCCTCCACATCAGCAGAAGCTTCACCGGTCTTTGGGACCTCGGTGTTACTCTCATTTTCCTTCGTTTCCGCTGAGGAAGACGAGAAAAAGCTGAACCTTTGTAGAACATTCAAATCTAAAGTTGCATGATTTAGGAGCGACACTGGAACTGCAACAAGCTGTCATTTAAAAGGATCCAAATTGAGTATAAATCCAGTGTTCAAAAATCCTAGAATAAGCTAATTTCACAGGTTGAGGATTCTTCAGAATTTTGCATCCAAATAAACTCAAAACAAACTCATGAAAGAGCAATCAAAACATTTACCATCGTGACCAGAGCAATAAAATCAGAGCAAAACAATCATTTGTACTAAAAGACGTTGTTCAATTACCAAACCAAAGATTCGTTTGAACAGACCCCTTAAACCCTCGCAAAACCCAATGAAACTAAAACGAATTACAAACAAAATCGGCTTTAGAAAAACTAACCTTGTTGGGAGTTCCGTGAACGAGGGAGTGAAATCGGCTTGAAACAATCGGAATCTGATTCTTCGTCGGAGTCGCGACAGAGGAGAGAGACGAGCGTAACCCTGCACTGCGAGAAACTCTGGATAGAACCCTAGACACCAACATCACCGAAGATTTTCGCAATGAAATCGAGCAAGACCAGCGAAAAAAAAAACACGAAACCCTTTTTTTTTTAAGACTCTGAATAATAAATAATTAGCCCGACGGCCACGACCCGATGGATGAAGAAAGAGGCAAAAGCGTTCTTCTTGGGGAGGAAGCAAAAACCTCTTTCTTTGTCGGTTATAACCATTTACGAGATTACCCTTACCGATGTATTAAATATTATTTTGATTGAACTAGGGGATTTACCGCGCGTAATTTTTTTTTTATATGACTAACATTTTGATAAGTTTGTACGAATTGATTTTGGGATGTAATAGTTATCTGAATATTTTTAGTTTTTTTATTACCAAACAATAAATTTTAGAAGTAATCAACTTTAACTATCCTTTGACGTTGTGGTTTATTATACTCTCCTACACAGATCTTATCTGCTAAGGGTGCAGTTTGATGATCTTCTCCTTCACAGGTCTCTACACGCATTTCTTTAAACTAAGTGGTATCATATCGACAACACGACCAACTTGAAAAAGCAATTAAGAATTCAATACTAGTTTGGCCGTGTCTAGATGTTATTAGATAAGTGTGTCGATGAATTATGTAGAGTGCGTCTAGAATTAGTTTTGAAAAATAAAATGAAATCGTGGAGCATGTAAATTATATAATTGGTTAGGTTTCACTTTCACATCGACAGTTAAAAACTTTAGAAAGAAAATTTACTGGTGTCATAACTGGGAAGAGTAACAGCACATAAATTTAGTTCCATGCAAAGAAAAGTTTCGGACAAGCCCTAACTCGGGTAATCAGTGACAATCACCTCTCTCTCTCTGTCTCTACTCAAACGTGTCATCATCGTCATCAGGAAGTGGCTGACTTGCTGCCGCTGCAAGCTCCGCCTCATGCCTACAAATAGTATTTAATCGTTAAACTAAAGTAAAGCTTTAACATCAAAAGCTTAGCAACAACAAAATTAGTTTAGAGTACTTACTGCTGCTGAGCTGCCATGTCGATTTGAACTTCTGGGGGAGCAAGGGCAGGTGACTCCACAAAGTGAAGATTAGCGTCCCTGAGGCAGCAAGCAACAATCTCAATCTTTCATCTTTTTTAATTGATATCCAATACTAAAAATGAGGGTTGAATTGATGCATTGTTGCTTACCCGGCGAGCTTTCTAGCAAGGTACAAGAATGGTTTCTCGAAGTTGTAGTTGCTCTTGGCAGATATTTCGTAATACTGGAGATTCTTCTTCCTGTGGAATGTTACCTGCTTGGCCTTCACTTGCCTGTTCTTCACATCAACTTTATTCCCACAGAGGACAATTGGGATGTTCTCACAGACCCTGCACCATGAAATTTGATGACATTATCCGTCTAGCAAGTTGCCACATCCAAAAAAACTCTAGCTTATGTGTGTGAGAGTACATACCTGCAAAGATCACGGTGCCATGTTGGAACATTCTTGTATGTCAGGCGCGCTGTGACATCAAACATGATAATAGCACACTGTCCATGGATGCTGCAACAAAACAAAAACACGTTTCTGTATCAAACAAAGTATTTGTAACCTTTTAGTAGCTTTTTGTGTTGCTAGCTACAATCATGCCACTGAGCTTCAAAAACATAACCAAACTACCAAGAGTAGATGATTTAAGGTAACATATGTGGAAATTAATCAGGTAGGTATTACTGATTCGTATGAATACTAGTACACAGAAGAAAGTACTTACTAGTACCCATCCCTAAGACCACCAAATTTCTCCTGTCCGGCAGTATCCCAACAGTAAAAACGGATCTTGCCACAGTTAGTAAAGAAATCTAGAGGATGAACCTCAACACCAATAGTGGCTGCAAAAAAACAAGAAGATATCAGAATCTGTGAACTCGTGAATTGAATAAAAAAAGGTTATTACAATGTTTCGGGATGACTTGCAAGTACTTACGTTCATACTTCTTCTCAAACTCTCCAGTAAGATGTCTCTTTACAAATGTGGTTTTCCCTGTGAACGAACATCCACAAAAATTAATCAGAAGAGGGTTAACAAGATAGCCAAATCCATCCAACCCCCGAAACCACATAGGACTATCTCAGAACTGAACTGCGACAGATCAATATTGACTGGTACAAACATAATCTAAGGATCATTTAAGTAACACCAAAGGTAGCTAACATCAAGCTCTATGCAAAACTAAGTCGGACGCAGCAAACTCTAGACTCGTGTTTTCTAATCAGAATTGAACTGTAAGATATACACTACTAATCAAAATTACTCATACAAACAATATCATAAGCATGGATAAGTAACAAAACCAAGCTACAGACAGAAAAAAAACTATATCGAAACATCATAATCCAAAATCGAGTTTCTAAAATTGAACAAATCAAAGCCTCTGTATAAGTATATTTAGTAAAACAAAAGAAAAATGAAGCTGAGAGATCATGGTGGTACCTGTGCCTCCATCACCAACGATAACGAGCTTGAAGCTAGGGTAATCAACTGTTTGCTGGTTAGGTAAAGCCTGTGTGAATCATATCATAATTAAAAAAAAAAAACAGATTAACAGATCACGCGAAATCAAAGAGGGCGTACACTAAAAACCAAAGTAGGATCGAGCGAGAAGGAAATTAAGGCAAAGACGAAGAGATAGCTTTACCATCGACGAAACTGAGTGAAGCTACGCGAAGAGTGTCAGAGGAAGGCGGCGAGAGCGTGAGATAGGTTTTTTAAACAGAGTTGTGTGAGTGAGAGCGAGCTTAGGAATGACGCAAACACTCAAAACCCAGTAATCCAGAACTGGATCCGGGTTCAGATCCGTATCCGGCCCAATATACCCTTCTGATTTTCTGATCCATAAGCCTTGTCATTTGTTGTTGCTTTTTCTTTTTACCTTCGGAGAAAAATCGTCAGTAAGATAATTTGAGTTTTTAGTGAAGAAGAGGAGTTGGGTTTGAGTTTTCTCTTCGGTTCAGTGGTTCATACTTCATAAGAAGAAAAGAAAAGATGTTATAGATATTTTTATATGTTAAGAATTATTGTCTTCTTTTGTATATCACAAGTTATAAATTCATTAATAAGAAGATAACTATAAAAGTTTTAAAGCTATTCTTGCTTCTAGAGATTCCATATCAAAGGACTTGATGAGCATTTATGTAGCATTGGTTGATGAAAGACGACTTCATAAAAAAGAAAGATGATTCACAAATCCCATACAATATTCAGAGCTTTTGTGACAAACTATACTCAAAAGTCAAAACCCATTTCAAATTGCAGGTTTCTTATGACTTAAATTTTGAAAAAAAAAACAATATGACTTAAGGGGGAGAGTTTAGTTATCTCTTGTTCTTACCGTCTGGAATCTAGGGACGTCCGGTGAAAGCCGAGGGTAGAATATGTAGAACTTCATGTTTTCAAAGGCTTCCTTAGTTTCTTCGCTCATTTCTTCTATTGCTTTCTCTTGAGCATCTCCGGCCTCTCTATTTGCTCTTTTTGCTGCTCGAACTTGGTCTTTGACAAATTCCTGAAGAAAAAGAAAAGAAAGAACAAATGGTAAGTTAAAGAACATAAATACTCAAGCGTCAAATGACAATTGCGTTACAGCTTAAACTTACTTCGAATTCATCCACAAATTCCTGAGATAGATGCCAAAAACCAGCTTAGCAACCATATAGATGATGGACTATAGACCTGATCCTAGCAAAAACACACTAGAGCAGTGTTATCACAAACCCATTAATATACAAAGAAGCAATATCCTGAAAAGCTATACAATCAAATACTATACTCAAAAGCTCTCCATGTAAAGTTGAGAAACAAACATATTACAAACCTCAAGCTCTTCCAATGTAGAATATGATCCATTCGTAAGCTTCTTCTTCCTCACTCTGAAAAGTCCATGGGATTCTCTCATGATAATCAGGAAGCTACAAACACAAACACAAAATATATCAAATAAGACAACATTAAGCTCCAATTGCCGAAAGGATATCTCAGAGATAACTCCAGGGAATCAACTCTTACCTCTTTAAAACTCCAGAGTAGTTAGGTACTTTTGAAGTTTGTCTAGGACCAACTCCAACGGCTTCTTGTCAAGGATAATTTTTGTTTCTAAAGAACGATCACACTGAGTCCCTAATCAAACAACCAAATCAGATTGAGATAAGAAAAATCAAAGGTCAATACCAAGTAACTGCATCATACCATACCAGAAGCGCTTCTCCTCTTCATTTCCTGAAACAAAATCCACACAGAGTAAACATATCAGAAACCTCAAAAATGTCTATGAATCAAAATCCAATGCCTGACAAAGAAGGAAAAAAGACAGAACTGATTGACAGAGATAGTTTGAGACAGACAGACAACAACAACAACAACAACACATCTAGAATTTGAAGAGAGAGAGAGAGTAACAGAGATGGTAATGGAGGGAGAAAGGTGGGAAGCGTGATCAGATTTTGTGGGAAGAGCGAGAGAGAGAGAGGGAGTGAGAGTGAGACAGCATAAGTTAGTTATATAAGTTTTGACAGTTGACCGGATAGGTTAAGTATCTCCCAAAATCCAAAACATACAACACTCTCATTGTAAGCAACACAGAGCCACACAGAGTGAAACCTTCAAAGCTATATATATAAGCTTGAATTAAGTTTTTTTTCACTTTCTATGGTTTCCGTACATTATCATCATCTTGATCTTCTTCTTCTTCTTCTTCTTCTTCTTCTTCTTCTTCTTCTTCTTCTTCTACTTCTTCTTCTTCTTCATCTTCATCTTCTTCATCATCCTCTTCTTCATCTTCTTCTTCTTCTTCTTCATCTTCTTCATCATCATCTTGTTGGTCGGGACAGTTAATTTTCCGCTTCTTCACTTGCCTCTTTTCACTCGCATCTTCTTCCTCCACCTCATCATCATCTTCCTCTTCATCTTCATCTTCACAATCAGAAGCGTGTCTCACACGCGCTCGATTCTTCTGTATCATCTTCAACTCTTCGTCGATGCAATCGTTGAAGCAGTCGTCGAAGTAAGCGTCCAACAAGTCGTCGAAGTAGTCGTTGAAGTAGTTGTCGAAGTAGTCGTCGAAGTTGCACCTCACATTTCGCTGCCTTTGACCTCGCCGGAGCTCATATCCCGATGAACTACTACACCGCAGCGCAGCCAGATCCGTGCCAACGGTAACGAGCTTGGAGCTAGGGTTATCCACAGTTTGCTGGTTAGGTAAAGCCTGTGAATTATGTCAAATCGATAAAAAAAAAAAAAAAAAAAAAAATTAACAAATCAGGCGAGATCGAAGAGAGATTAAACACTAGAAACCAAAGTAGGATCGAGAGAGTATAATATCAAGGCTTAGAAGAAGAGATAACTTTACCTTTGACGAAACTGAAGCTTCGCTGAGAGTGTCGGAGGAAGACGCCGACATAGAGAGAGAGAGTGTGTGAGATAAGTTTCCTAAACAAAGTTGTGAGAGTGAGCTTAGGAATGAGGATCGACGACCTATTTCTCCCCCCCCCCGAAAACTATCACATCGTATCAGAACAACACAAAACTTCACTCTCGTCTTTAGTCTCCCCGAATTGATAGTTCTATTGCTAATTCCACCCGAATCAAAAGTTCTATCTCTATTTCCACCCCGATATCATAGTTCTCATCCAATTTTCCAAATGTGTGGGTTTAATCGGTTAAAAATTGGGTTACTGTTTTGATTAACCGAAGAACGAATCCAGTGACCGGATTAAACCTAATTCGACCCGATTAAAAAACTTAACCAACCCGATTACAAAATTAAACAAACAAACCCAAAAATCAAAAAACCCCAAATCGATTTTTCCCCTTTCTCTCTCGAGAAACCCTAGTCGAACCCTAGAATCTGAAATCGAATCGATTCAATCGATTTCTTCTTCTCAATCGAGTTTTTCTTCTTAATCGAGTTGTTCTCTCTCGTGGCGCATGCGATGGCGTTAGCTATTCCCGAAGGCGACATCCCTCCTGTTGAAGAATACGATCCTGAAGCAGAGGATCGAGATGAATCGTTCGTGGAGAAGCTTGCCCAAGATTTCACTGAAGCTGAAGAGCCAATCCTTCACGATGTTTACCCAGATAGCGACGACGAAGCTGGAGAACATCGTGGTGGTGGAGACAGAGGGACACACATCAACCGTGGAGATGGGACGATGTACGTAGGGCAAAAGTTCTTCAATGGGATCGCGTTCAAGGAATGTGTCACTGATTATGCATTGCTAACAGGCTACAATTTGAAACAATACAGGTACGATAGGGATAGACTCGGGTTTAGGTGTGTAGGTGCTAAGGGTAAATGCGAGTGGAAAGTGTATTGTGCATCTTTGCAAAATGAGTCAATGTGGAAGGTTACACGATACAACAATAAGCATATCTGTGTTGCTAATGGAGAATGTGAGATGTTTAAGGTGCCAGTTATAGCAAGGCTGTTTCTTGACAAGATTAGAGAAGATCCTGAGTATTACATGCCTCAGAAGATGGAACAGATTATAATGGAGAAGTGGAAGATTTCGGCTACTAGACCTCAGTGTCAAGCTGCTCGGAGAAAGGCCTTGGCTTGGATTGAGCTGGAGTATGATAGTCAGTTTGCACGTCTAAGGGATTATGCAGCTGAGATATTGGAAGCAAATCAAGGGTCTATTGTGGAGGTTGACACGATTAGGAATGAAGCTGGCCAGGACATTTTTAACCGCTTCTATGTGTGCTTTGATGTGTTAAGGAGAACTTGGAAAGAGAGTTGTAGGCCACTAATTGGAGTGGATGGTTGTTTCTTGAAATCAAAGATCAAGGGTCAGTTATTGGTGGCATTAGGAAGGGATGCAGACAATGCTATTTATCCAATAGCATGGAGTGTTGTTCAGGTTGAAAACACTGACAATTGGCAATGGTTTGTCAAGAGACTGAAGATTGATCTTGACTTAGGAGATGGGGATGGTTTCATCATGGTTTCTAACCGTCAAAAGGTATCTTCTCAACTGTTTTCTTCTTGGTGTTGAATCGTTTTGAAGCATCTGTGGAGTGGATTAATTTGGTATTGTATGTTTCAGGGGTTGATTAAGGCTGTGGAGTTAGAGTTACCAAATATTGAGCATCGTAAATGTGTCAGGCACATTTATGGAAATTTAAAGAAGAATCACCCCAATAAAAAACAGATGAAGAAGCTCTTATGGGACTTGGCATGGAGCTACAACACTAGACAATATGAGGAGAGATTGGAGAGGATTCATGCTTATGATTCAAAGGTGCATGAGGATGTCCTGAAGACAAAACCCAAGACATGGTGCAGGGCATTTCACAAGGTTGGTAATTACTGTGAGGATGTGGAAAACAATTCCACAGAATCTTTCAACAACACAATAAACAAGGCAAGAGAGAAGCCTTTTGTGGCAATGTTAGAGATGGTAAGAAGGCTTGCAATGGTTAGAATTGCCAAGAGGTCAGCCATTTCTCATGATCACAAAGGTTAGTTCTTCTTAATCACTTAACTTTTGTATGTATTTAACTGTCGTGTATAATTTCTAATGATGTGTTTCATTTATGTTTCAGGCCTTTGTACACCTTATGTGACTAAGTTTCTGGCTAAGGAGCATAAGAAAGCTTCTGAGTGCATTGTGAGCAGCAGCACAAACGGCATGTATGAAGTTCACTTAGATTATGATAAGCATAGAGTTTGTTTGAGGAGTATGACTTGCACATGTAGGAAGTTTCAGATCTGTGGAATCCCTTATGAACATGCATATGGAGTTATATTGAAGAAGACTCTACAGGCTGAAGACTACGTTTGTCAATGGTTCCGAACCTCTAAATGGCAGCTCAACTACAGAGAAGGGTTGATTCCTCAACGAGGTCCACGGTTCTGGCCTTCAACTCAAACTGACATGGTGTATGCTCCTCCAAGTGATGACAGTAAGATGACCAAGGCAGACAAGAAGAGAAAGAAAGGAGTCAATGAGTCTCTAACCAAGAAGCAACCAAAACAAAAGAAGAGAATCATGCATTGTGGGATTTGTGGTGCAGCAGACCACAATTGCAGGTTTCACAGGAAGAAGAACAATGCAACACAGGTTATGATTCTACTTTTCTCTGATTTTTTCAGTTTTTCAATGTTTCTGAGTTTTGCTTTTTCCATGTGGTCTGTTTGTGTAGGGAACTCAAGGTGAAGTGTCTACACAAGGTGAAGTGTCTACACAACCTTCTCAGCCTTGTTTGACCCAAGAGAACTGATGTGGGACTTAAATAGCAAGAGGAGTGGTGTTGAGATGAAGGAGAAGCACAATGAAGACTTGTCTGTTTTTTTTGTATGGTCTTATTGTGTATTTAAACCTGTTTAGGATGGTCTTATGGTTTTGTAAAACTTAACTAACGTTCTCTTTTGAAACCTTGATGTATGGTTTTAGCAAACTTAACTAATGATGTTCTGTTTTACAATCGATTTAGAGTGTCTTTGAAGAAGCAGCAAACACAGAACATTACCAACCAACAAAGACAATCATAATCCATTACAAATAAACACCAATTACCAAGCATTACCAAAGAAAATCCATTACAAAACAAACAAGCATTACCAAAGAAAATCCATTACAAAACAAACAAGCATTACCAACCGAAAAACACGATCATCTCATCCAACTAGCTTAACTATGCCAATCATGATCATACAACCTAAGACAATCCCAATTAGCATCTTATTCATCCTTGCTTGCATTAGTGATTTCACATCTTCAACCTTCTCACATAACTCTTTCTCAACTTCCATAACCATCTTTTTCTCAAGCTCCACCATCACATTCTTCTCAAGCATACCAATCTGCCGCTTCATCTTCTCAACCTCATCCAAGAGTGCCTCATCCACCCACTTGAAGACATGATTATCATTCTCAAGCTATTTCAAAAATTAGAACCGTAATGAGAACCAAAATTAGCATATCAAGCAACCCAATCCAAAAGCAACGAAAAGAACTCGCATTACCTTCTTCGCATAGGCATATCCACAACGAACATATCTTCGACAAGGATTTGCATCCGAGTGAGAGTTTTTGGCCACAATATCTTCTCCACACCAACATCTCTTGGGCACGCCAAACACATAAGTCCTTCCTCTACCTCGCACATGAGATGAAGAATTCGAAGCTCCTGAGACATTACTCATGATTCTCAGAGTTCAATTTGGGGATTTTTGATTTTGGAGATTTCGATTTTTAGGGTTCTTGAGTTTCAAAATTGGGGATTTTAGAACGTTAAACGACTATCTGTTATAATCTGGATAGCTGGATTCGGGTCGGGCATGATTTTTAATCGGGTTTTAAATTGGTTTCAAACCGTGTTTCTATGGTTATCTATCGGGTTTGGTTCGAAAACCATGTAAACCCACGCGATTGGGGAAATAGAGATAGAACTTTTGATTCGGGTGGAACTAGCAATAGAACTATCAATTCGGGGAGACTAAAGACGAGAGTGAAGTTTTGTGTTGTTCTGATACGATGTGATAGTTCTCGGGGGGAAATAGGACGTCGATCCTAGGAATGACGCAAATACTCAAAACCCAGTAATCCAGAACCGGATCCGGGTTCAGATCCATATCCGGCCCAATATACCCCTATGTAAATAATTATTGTCTTTTTTTTATATATATATCACAGGCCGTGACCAGGAGGAAGTAGTCTTGATTTCCCATCATCTTACATATTGGTAGTGGCAAATTAGCAACTTATAACAATTTAAGTCTCCAGTTCAACTTATTAGATCTAAACTGTGTTGCAAAATTTGATTTAAAATGGAATAGATTGTTTGCAGTGACTCTTTTAAGAGGCAAATGTTGATGATTTTAGCTTTTAATCAGCTACGGCAAAACAGTGATGGATCGATACAGATAAATAAAATAGACCAGTAAAAACCGCTTCCAAAACTTCACGAACATGTTGAATATCACTTAAATCAACCGATTTGAAAATCTTTTGTATCTCCTTCACTCTTTCTAAAACTCGTTCCTTAAGTTCTCTTGGGTCAGACATTGTAAAATCTGAAACATACGCCTCAAAAGACTCAGTTTTCACAGTGATATGCTAATAATGATGTAAAAGAGATGCTAATATGCTATAATATGATTGAAGCTTCTCTCGCTCGTAACTCCTTAGTAAAGATCTCAGCTTGAGATTAATCAAAATTTGAGAAGAGTTCTCACAAAAGCTTGTACATTTCTCACATGTTTGCACATTTCTTAAATCTATGCTCAAAAATGCAATGAAACTAAAACTTAGTAAAGATCTCAGCTTGAGACTAATTAAAAATTAGGAAGAGTTCTCACAAAGTTTGCACATTTTTCACAAAAACTTAGTAAAGTTCTCAGCTTGAGACTAATCAAAACTTGGGAAGAGTTCTCACAAAGCTTGCACCTTTTTCACAATAGCTTGCACCTTTCTTAAATTTATGCTCAAAAATGCAATAAAACTGAAACTTAGTAAAGATCTCATCTTGAGACTAAACCAAACTTGGGATGAGTTCTCACAAAGCTTGCACCTTTCTTAAATTTATGCTCAAAAATGCAATAAACTAAACTGGAACTTAAATTTATGCTCGAAGATGCAATCATAAATATGAAAATGTAAACCTGAAATTGAAAATCCCACAAAGTTGTATTTGATTGAAACGTAAACGAATCCAGTTATAGCTCCAAAATTTGATTCTATATCCTTGCATAAGATTTACAACTATTTTGTTGTCACCCTCAAAGATTACTTTTCTACAACCTTAGACCAAACATTCTGCATAAGATTCATACATCATTATATTTGTGCAACGTTGTCAATTGTCATATTGATTGGCACGTTATCCAAATAATATCCCTTCTGGTGATAATTAGTATAGTTTTAAAAATATATCAATGGAGAAAACAGAGTCGAAGAAAGGAAATATGTAGACCAAGATTATTATTATACTTAAAAAGTTTTAAAACACAAGTGTACAGAGGAAAACGCTACCTCGATTGCGCCAAATGATCTCTTAATCTTACAACCAGCTTAACAATAAATCAAGTAATAAGTTCTACCCAAAAAAAAATTAAAAAAAAATCAAGTAATAAGTTCTACCCAAAAATAAAAAAATAAATAAAAAATCAAGTAATAGGTTAAACTAAAACCAATTTGACGTGACAATGCACAGACGCACATTAGTATGTTGGTGATAGAATACACACACATTAGTAACCAAACTGATATCCACATATTTCAAACTGAACTTAGCTGGCGTAACTAGTTAGCCACTCCTAGGGTAACTAATCGATTCGGTTTTAACGAGCCAACTATTCATACGGATTTATTTATTTTTTCTTTTTGACACATGATTTCTGTTATAGATCAAGGTTTTAGATAACTTGCATTTAAATTCCTATTGCAGCCCTTCTTAAATTTGAATTATGTATAAAGTTTGTATTCAATATACTGTTTCCTGTTTGGCCTTCTTACAGAACAAGAACTCATAGAGTAAGTAACAAGGAGCCAAAAACACGCAAGAGATAAAAACAATGAGCGAAGAACAACCTAGTGGTACCCTGCGTTTTAAACCGAGAAAGATCCCAAGACGTACTTAGCAACTTATCAATGATTTAAGTTATCAAATATGCACGTACTTAGATACTCAATAGTCATATTAACTTTTTTTGTCAAAGGGAATGTAAGGAACCCAGTCCATTTTTATCTGCAATTCATTGTAATGATTTTTATCAATAATCAATGAAACGGTATCTAATCGTAGAAGAAGAAGAAACCAATGGAGTCTAACCATGTTGTCAGATTTGCAGGAGGAGATTGAGTCAAATTGAGGAGCGAGCGAGAGAGAGGTTTTTAAAACAGAGTTGTTGAGGCTTTTGCCGACGCTACTCTATTACCGAAACCTGGTTTTCTTGAACCGGATCGATTTGGGTAATTGAATCAAATTTGTGTACCGGAACAGTACAGCAACCGGAAAAATTCGAACTCAAACTTCTCTCATAAAATCATCATTATAGAAAGGAAAAAGGAAAACAGAAAGGAAATTGCGATTACAAAAAGCCCTAGCTAGCGTCTCCGATTCCCCCATTCATCTTCGCGAAAGTTAGTATTATTATTTTTTTTTGGGTGCGAAATCGGAAAGATGGCCCAAGTTCCGGATGAGAAACATGTTCGACTCGTTGGGGTAATTTTCTAATCTCTTCGTAATCGGTTTTCATACCATAACCCTCTCAAATCTCCATTTCTGAATTTTGGGGTAGGGATATTGTCGGATAAAAGCCATTGGATGTACTCCCCCTGACGAACTCATTGCAAAGGTTGGACTCCATTGCTACAATTCTCACAAGGTACAACTCTATTTTCTTTTTCTTCTTTTGTTGACTTTTTTTTGGTTTTTATTTTACATCTGCATGGCTGTAGGGGACTAATTTACAGTTCTTGACTGTGACCGAACTCATGCTGGAAGCGGTTTCACATTTTATTTATACAATGACATTGGATGCCTTTGATCCGGCCAACGGTTCAGTTCACAGTATCGACACTTGTATTTGGCATGCTGCTCAGGTGAACGATGAGAACTTGAGATTATTAACCACTTTTTGTTCACCTACAGGTAACTTAACTAACATGCCCTTAGCTAGTTGATTTTTGTTACTAGCCCGTCTTGTATGTTACTACACTTAAAATCAAAGGATTCCCATGGTTATCTGGTATTAATTAGCCTAATCTATGAGTGCAGGATCAAAAGGCGTACATGTTTTGGTCTATGCTTTTGTTACCTTACATGTATTGTTTCTGGCTATTCCATATTAATATCTTCTAGAAATGTGTTTTTTTTTTGGTAGGATCTGGAGAAAGAGGTGCCCAATGGGACTTAAATGGTGTAGACGTGCTCTATACTGGTGTGATGCCTAAATGGCTAGATGATGGTGCACTTACAGGATGCAACAAGCTACAGTACTATGAGGTGTGGTGGTTTTAGCTATCCACTTTTGTCATCTGCTCATACACACTGACACAGAACATCTTGTCCCCACTAATGTTAAATGTTTTCAACTGTAGGTTAGTGATTCGGATTTGCAAGAGAATGCATGGCTTTAACTATATGCTCAAGTTGCAGCATACTCTAAGTGGAGAACTTACATGGTGAGGAAAAATAGCCTAGAGAAGTGAGTATTACTCCTTTGTTTAGGGCCATCTCAAACCAAGCTTTTTGTGTTTGCAGGTGGATCATTTCCCATTGGAGATAAAGAAAGCAGTGGTACAAACGAAGGAAGAAGACATAGAGTCAAGTTTGAAGTTGAAGTCGAGCAATGCAATCTTCTACATAAGTTTCAAGACTCGTGGAGGTACCGAGTGCAAATGCGTAGTTAGGCAAACGAGGGATGGAAGACCACAACACATGTGCCTTGAAGTTAAAAATTTTGATCCAACTATTTTTGAAACACGGTCATCCAAATCCGGTAGTTGAATAAAAAATTGTGTTGAAAAATTGAACCGGAACAGAAGAAACACCTGTCTGGTTAATAGTACTGAAACACGGTCATAAATAATTTTTTAATTATAACACACTATACCTAAAACACTATTAATTCTAAAATCGCAAAATTTAGCTGACAAATTTAATCGGTTCGAGAACATCAAAACCTGACTCACTCAAAACTTGACTTTTTTTTTTTTTTTTTTTCGAAATTGTTTCATCATCTAGACATAATACACTTGTAGAAGAATATTAAGTATTGTATGTAAAGGTCGCTATGATCGTAAGATGAACAATAGATATCCAACCAAACATATATTCGAGTGTATAGATTAATATATTGAATTTTTATTAGATACGCAAAGAGACTAAAGAGTTGAAGAAAAGAGACTATATTAATACTAGGAAACCAATCAGATATACAATAATTCTACGCATATAATCTCAATAAATAATCATATACTCGAATGACAAAACAAATGTATTAAATAGAAAACGTAAAAATGCTATTAAACAAATCCGCACGATCGATCACTTGTTTCTTCATATCCACTTCACTGCCCTGTTGGAAACTCGCATTTCCCATACTCTACACACACAACCAAAAATTAATTAATTTTCTATCTAAGTATGAATTATATGATAAAGTTAGAGAGAGAAATGATAGAGTACGTACTAGGAGGTTGCGAGACCACGTACGCTGCACCTTTAAAATCACACGTGCCGGTACCACGTGCGTTCTTCTGATAGTAACTGTTGAACGCGTACGAAGCGTGAGCTTCTAACGATTCAGGATCGTAACACGTGGCACCCGGTTGAATCGGACGGCAATCAGCACCACCTTCTCCGCAAGCGTAGTCGAGACCTTCCTGAAGCTTCTCCTTCGTCGTTTTCCCGTTCGCCACACACCACGTCTGTCCCACGTGCGACGGCTTCACCGGCGTAACCTTCTCTTTCTCGTCGTTGACCGGTGTTGACTTACCGGAGAGCGAAACGTCGTACACTTTGTTCTCGTTCGGGTAAAACAGCCCGTAGTTCCTCTCAGAAGTCGGACCCGTTTTCTGATTCTCGTTAAAGAGAGCGAACAGGTAAACGTTAAGCGGCTCCTTCGGTTTTAACGGCGTTCCGTTTCCCGTCAACACTCTCTTCACTAACCCTCCGTTATACGCCGCCGCGTTAGCCGAACCAGCGCCGATCTCGTTCTCGTCTCCGGCAGAAGGCCAGCCTGTCTCCGTCACCACGAGCTTAACGTCGTTGAATCCAACGGCGGACATAGCGGCGAAAACGGCGTCGATCTGAGCGTCCAAGAGACTGTTGTACTTCAATCCGTTACCGGAATCAACATTTCCGGCGTTTTCTTTAAACAGAGCGTAGTCCAACGAGATCTTATCGGCGTTAGCTGCGTAAGCAAAGAAGGGATAAGCATTGACCATGATATGCGAGGACGTCTTGCGGAGGAGATCGAGCATCGGTTTAATAACCGGTTCGATTAACTCCGGTTTGAAAGAACCAGCGGACGGTGGGTAGGAGCTCGCCAAGGCGCTCAAAGCAATGGGCGAGGAGATCTTAATGGATTTGTCGAGACTGAACTTGACGAGAGAGCTTTGAACGTTGGTCATAGCTGGAACGAGATACTTGGTGGTGTTTCTGGGATCGACGAAGACTTCGTTACCGACGGCGATGGCTTCGATATCAGTGGCGGGGATGTATTTATTGATGTTTTGCTGAACCCAGTCGTCGGTGTACTTCTGATCAGCGGCGGCGGAGGCGAGGTATTCGTTGGGGAGAGAGACGACGACTTTGATACCGGAGTTGGCGAGTGCGGTTAAGACGGATGTATCTGTGTCGTAAAGCTTGACGCGGTTGATTCCTTGAGATTTGAGAAGCTGGACTACTTTCTCCGGTGTTGGGAGGTTGTTAGCTATACGGCCGTAGTTAACTCCGATCATTCCAGAATCTGTTAGGACACACACAAAAACAAACAAAAAAGACATCATCAGAAATCAGAATCAAACACGCTTCAAATAAATACAATAATAAAACTCGTGAAGAGATAAAGAAAGGAGTATTGACCTGCGTAAATGGCTGAGAAGGAGGAGAGTATGAGGAGAGATAGAACAAACGCAGCCATTGTTGCAGAGAGAGAGAGATAGAAATGGTTTTGTAATCCGATGAAGGAGGGAGCTAGAAATGTTGTTTATATAGAGAAGAGAAGAGGACGAAGAAGAAGGGAGACGAGGGGGACGTGGAGGTAATGGATGGGGTCCACTTTAGATATTGGGGATGAATCATAAAACTGTACGTTTTTTTTTTTTTTTTTTTTGTGTGATGTAAATATTTTCAACTCGTTTACACAATTGACGTGTTATAGTAATTATGGATTTTTAGACGACAAGAAAAAAGAGCAGAGAGATATTAAATTAAAATATGACCGTTTCAATCGTCTAGTGATTGGAGACTGTACGATATGTTTGTCAGAGATGGTGGGGGTACGTGCCTAAAAACTAGTAGTAACAATTAACGTTTTTTTCTTATTTAATTACTGTTGATTTTTTTAATTAACATAGGATTTTTTATTTAATTACAATTAACATAAACAGCTTTTTTATGTTAACGTTCTCAATACACGATTAAGAACGAGTACTTGTTTATGTTATACAGAAAAGTTATACTATAACAAATCCTATATGAAAAGGTATAATTGAGTGTTTAGTATTTTAAGAAGAACAATGTAGTGTATTCGTACATATAATATGCAGCTGCGTTAGTAAAAGACTAAAAGCCACTAAACTCGTTACCTAGTCAATTTGTATTATATATGTTCCCTAGTTATTGGGCACTGAGCCAAATTACTAGAAAGTAATTTGATGGTAATTAGTACTAGTATTAAAGCACTTGTTGGAGACAGCTAACATATCCGTTAAACTTTGAAGAACTAGTACATATAGGAAGGAAACTGGTCGGAACTCGGAAGAATGATAATTAACACGGTGATCTGATGCATTACTTGGTCGGAGACTCGGAATTGAAATTGGGACTCGTCGAGAAATGAAGAAAAAAATCTACCAAAATGGGGCCATGTGCCATTGTTCTACGACTATCTCCTAAATGTGAACGTTAGGAGAGGTGTCTCTCTGATTACTCCAACGTCTCTTTTTTTCCTACGGCCAATCATTTCGAGACTTCCCAAATATTCTCTCCTTTATTTTATATTTGCCTATTTGGAGTTACTATAGTATTACACTAACTAATGGTGTTTTCTTTCAGATACTATATGTTTTGATAAATTTGTAAATCCAAGGACTATGGTTTTATTTACAAGTTGGTTGTAACTACCATTTTTTGACTTAGCAACTTGGGCTACTATCTAGTGAACGCGTTTATATGGTGTGTGGAGCAAAATATCAAACTTGTAAAGTTAGCTAAGCAAACCACCTCTAACTAGTATTCTTTTTTCAATACTTAGTAATTAATGAATCTCAAAATGGTCCAGATGTTAAGTTTCCGTCCAAAGACAAAAAAACAAACAATATTTGTAAGAGTTTTTTTAGTTGTCCTACACAAATTGAACTCTCTTTGTTAGCTACAGTATAAATAATATCTCCTCCTAATAAAAATAAAATAAACAAACAAGATTCCTGGACATTAACACATAGTATATTACTACAATATATATAACCAAGATTAGACTTCATATGGCAATAGTATCGATATGGTTATTTTATGGTTATATGTTATTGTCTTTGTATCAATTTGTTCAATTGGTGGTGATATGCATGCTGGTTTTACTATATAATTAGGAAGTAACTCTTTTCAATAAAAAATATTATACTTGAGGGATTTTGTCGACATCGTACGGTATGTTTCGTCTTGGCTTCCTATAATAAGTCATTGAGTCGGTACGTGGGAACTGAAAATGAAACACAAACAATGACAAGTCCATAAAAATTGAAAAACATTATATATTATATCCACAGAGGTGTCACCTTCAGATTGACTTGTTTGTAACTATTATGAAGCTATTCTAAATTTGAACGTTGCGTACTAAGAATATATATTTGTATGTATATATGCAAACATCACCATTTTCATTATTAGTTTCTTATCAACCAAGAGAAAGAATTCAATGTGGTAGGTCACTAGTTGATTGCTGTCCACCAAGTTGCGAGAGAGATTTGGATAGGAATGTTAAGCCTTCTCCTTGATCTTTACGTTACGATCATATGCTATACAATAAATAAACAACACAAAATTTATATATTATGATGTCGGAGCCGAAATAGTGTAATAGTCGGCGTCACGAAACATACATCAAACCATTCATACACAATTACACACTACGCACAACACTATTCATACCTATCTAAAAGTTATTTAATAAATATGCATGCATTAGAGCATTAATCAGAAAATTAATTTTCATGAAGAGATCATACCCTAAACTTTTGTCAAATATCCCCTATACTAATTATCACATATCTTGAGTTTCTTTTTATTAAACTAATGTTTGATAAGGGTTTTATATAAGTTTTTAACTGTGTTAAATAACTTAAATTTACATTATCAGATTATACTGGTACATAAAATATGATACGGATCATAAGAAAATTTCGTTTGATGCAATTTCTTTTCTCCTAAACTCGTCTGATGGTACACTAAAAGAGAATAACTAAGCCCACATCTGAGCTTATTGGCTATATAAAATCAGCCCATTAAGAATGCATGATTAATTAAAAAAGTTTTGTGCATTGCTTGATTAATTATTTAAGACAACAACAATAATTTAAAGTTATGGATTCTATTCTCTCCCAGCCGTCGGATGATACAAGACCAGTGATGATGAACCCGTTCGACAGTAGACACCATACAATAATCCGAAACGACCAAGATCTGGTTTCAGATCATTCTCTCCCGAGACTCTTTCTCAAAAGTCAACCTCTCTCATTCTGCAATCGTGCGAATCTCTCTCTTAGGTCTTCATCTATCTCGCAGATCGGACCTTTCTTTTGTTTACGTCGCCGGACAGAGAATCTGATAAAAGAAAGATGTCTAATTCTCAAGAAGAAGACAAGACGAACCCCGGCGACCAAGAACCTCAAATCATACTCAAAGTCAAGAGCCAGGTTTATGTTACTCTGTTCTCTTTCTTTCTCTTGTTTTATTCATTTATTTTGTATTTCTTGCAATTTTATGTTGTTGGTTGGTGCTTGGTTGGTGGACACTGTGATAATGATTGGAAGTAAGAATCATTAAATCTTTTTTTTCCTTGATTGGTGATACTCACAGGATGGAGATGAAGTCTTCTTTAGTATCAAGAAAAGCACTCAGGTAAAAAGGCTCATGTACGCTTACTGCGACCGCCGAGGTTTGAAACTGGATGCTTTCGCTTTCGTGTTTGATGGGGCTCGAATCCGTGGTCAGGAGACTCCATTTGAGGCAGATCACTTTCTTTATCCTTTCCCTTTTACGATTTATATGTTGTTCAACCTTTTTTTTTTAATCATTTCCTAAGAATCTCCAATTTTACAGCTTAAGATGGAAAGTGGAGATGTTATTGATGCGTGCCGAACGTTGAGTGGTGGTCTACGAGCAAATCAACGTCAGTGGTCTTATATGGTTTTCGATCATAATCGTCTTTAGGGATAATTTGACAAGCTTCGAAATATTGTCGTTATGGAAGACTCAAGAGTAGTATATCTTATACTAAAAGCAAGTTTTGCTAAGTTGTATATGGTATTGTCCGTATTTGGCTTCATAAGAAGAAGGCTATATGGAAGACTCAAGTGTATACCTTTTTATCTAGAACCTCAATAATGGCGTTATCTTCTTATTCTTCTTTTATCATGGTTGTTGTCTTTGGCGCTTCATCAATACGACATCCATTACTGGTGTTCAATATACTAACCACGTATTGCTAAACAAATCATTTTAAATTATCGCTTATTTTTATGAGACTATTTCAGTGATGCAGTCCAATAAGCATATAGCCCATTAGGATAAAAGGAGCCCATTAGGAATGCTAGGAACTAAAACGACAGGGTTTTTAATTTAGGATTCTACGCTCATCCCAGCCGTCAGATGATAGACGATCAATGATTAATAACCGTTGGATAGACACAGCCAGAATCCGATTCGACCAAAAGTCTAGTGGTTTCAGTCTTTTTATTCTCTGCCGAGTCTCTCTCTCTCTCTCTCTCTTTCTCTAACCCTTAATTCTGCAATCCCGCGAATCTCTCTTAGGGCTTCGTCTATATCGCAGATCGGAGTTTTCTTCTTTATTTCCATCGCCGACCGTATAATTCGATAGAAAAGTTAAGATGTCTGCTACTCCGGAAGAAGACAAGAAGCCCGACCAAGGAGCTCACATCAATCTCAAAGTCAAGGGACAGGTTTTGTATTCTCTCTCGCTTTTCTATTCCTTGCATTATTTTTGTGACGATCCGTTTTCTGGTGTATGTTTTATGTGTGATTAGGGTTTTTATAGCTTCTGATTGCTCTCAGTTCTGGGGTTTGGGTTTGTCTGCGTTATCCCCAAGGTTTTTGTTCTTAAATTGGTAAAGCTTGTGTATGTCTTGTTTGTATAGGTAGTGATAATTGTGTAAGCTTGATTTCTTAATTGGCTTAAACAATTGGAATTTGGAAGCCATCAAAACTTATTTCAGAATTGGAATTATGTTTCGTCATAATTTTATCAAACAGAACCTGTTGGTACATCCTACTTGTTGCAGTGTTGTGTCTAAGCCTAGCACTTTATGACAATTTTGCTGTTGTGATCTTTGGTACTCTTTACTTGCCTATCAGTGTTAGTCCCTAATGTGGTTGTTTGTTCTTGTTTGGTTAAAGTATTTGGATTTTAAATCGAGAAATCTCTTTTTCTTGTGATGCTTAGGATGGTAATGAAGTCTTCTTTAGGATCAAGAGAAGCACTCAGCTCAAAAAGCTGATGAACGCTTACTGTGATCGTCAGTCTGTGGAATTCAACTCAATTGCTTTCTTGTTTGATGGGCGTCGTCTTCGTGCTGAACAGACTCCAGATGAGGTTAAATCACTTTCTGTATCCCTTTCCCTTTTACCATTTTTATCGTGTTTTTAGAATTGTATAATTTCCTAAACCTAGATTTTTTTTTCCAATTTTACAGCTTGAGATGGAAGATGGAGATGAGATTGATGCAATGCTTCATCAGACCGGTGGTGGTGCAAACGGCCTGAATCGATTCTGCTTTTATTAGTGGTGGTCTTTTTATGTTTACCGATAAAGATTGTGTGATATTAATGGTTTTCATGGATCGGCCTTTAGATTAAATTTGGCAGGCTTTGTTTCCTTTGACCAGTTTCTTCTTTACTTGGCAAAGCCTATGTGAATCATCAAGTTATTGGATCCTAAAATATTAATGGGCTTGTTTATGGATTTTTTGGAGTCTTTCTATAGACTTTAGCTTAAACTAAACGCAAGTTGCGTTGCCGACTTTGTTTTTTAGTTGACGACTTTGTGTATTGGTCGACCTTTTCGCCCCACGTTTACTTGGGTTCCAAGATTTTAGCGACTATATAAGAACGCTTCTATTCATAGTTTCATAAGCTCCGGTTTCTCCGAACCCTACACTGATAATAATGGCTGTATCTTCTTTGTCGTGGTCGGAGTTTTTACCGGAGCTTCTTGACGTTGTCTTCCACAGCCTAAACTATGCCAGAGACTTTCAAAACTGTGGCAACGTCTGTTCTTCTTGGAGAGATTCTTCTTCTGCCGCATACAGTCGCAAGTTTGCTTCTTTTCTCTTTGTTTCCCACGTCTCTTCCGATGAAGAAATTCTATTCTCCGACCAGTTTGGGGTTTTGTCTCCGGAATACTTGGGATTCTCAGGGAATAAACAAACATGGGTTTGTGGCGGCATGCAAGGACTTATGTTGACGGTCAATGCTTCTTTCCCGTTTGAGGTCCATTTAAGAAACCCTTTCACCATCAACGTTACTTCTCTGCCACCTTTGATATCTTTTGAGGATGTTCAGATGTTGCTTCAGTCCCAAACAATATGTCAAGACTCTGAAGCTTTAAAGTACTTTGTAAAGAAAGCGGTCTCTTCAACAACTCTATTTGACGCTGATTGGGCTGTGCTTGTAATCTACAACAATGATAGGAAGCTAGCATTCTGCAGACGCGGAGATAAACAATGGACAGATTTGGAATCTGTTGCCTCTTCTGTCGATGACATTGTGTTCTGCAATGGTGTCTTTTTCGCCATCGATAGATTCGGAGAAATATATCACTGTGAGCTTAGTCCTAACAATCCAAATCCAAAAGCTATTCCTTTATGCAGCACCTCGCCTTTCCGGTACGACTCTTGCAAGAAATATTTTGCAGAGTCTGGTTACAACGGTTTATGGGTGGTTCTAAAGAAGCTAGAGCTTAACGACGACTCTGATTTCACAACCTATTTCGAGATTTACGAATTCACTTCCAAGACTAACGAATGGACAAAGGTTACAAGCTTGAGAGGAAGAGCTTTGTTCTTGAGCACTCAAGGAAGATGTATAGCGGTTTTAGCAGGTAAAAGCGGATGTAGAGAATTCATCAAAGACAACTCAGTTTATTTCATTGATGGGGATGATCCAACTAGAGGACTAGGGCCTCAGAATCTGAGCGTTTTTGATTGGGAGAGTAAGCAAATCATGAAAATATATCAGCCTCGATCTTGGAATTGTCAGATGTTTTGGGTCACACCTACAGATATTCTTCAAGGATGACTTGACTGATGGTGCAATTCAGCATTTTAGTTTGTAATTGTATAGTACATAAAAAAAAATGTTTTTGGTATTTCTTTTTAAATTCTGTAGTTTGAGTAAAGAGTAGAAAAGAATATGTATTTCAACTGTTGGGTTTTGATACATTTCATTCGTCATAAATTTATTAAGGGTTCTATTATTTTGTAACAAGTATATACTAAGCTAAGAATATTTCAGCATCTATCTTTCTCTCGGTGAGACTGCAAAACCATATTTTGTTAACATAATCATTATATTTACCAACCAACCAATTTGGGACCAAATCATGTAAACTTCCCCCTTCCAAATCTTGAAACACTGGCCGCAAAATATAACCAAACCGAGTGCAAACATACACAAATATTTCAATGTATACAAAAACATAAGAGGCACCAAACATACTGATGCCAACATTTTTCATCAAGCGTCTAAGACTAGTTTCTTTATGACTACCATCAGGACATCTTACCAAGATATTCAACTTAATAAAGTGGATCTTATTCAAGTGATCGAAGCAGAACTTACCATCATGTAAAAGTACTCAAGACATGATAGATGAATCTGTAGCAGGGCTGGAATGACTAACAACAAGAGGCGGGCGCAAAGCTTTGTGGTTAGCTTCTGCTTCTTTACGAGCATTGTACATCTCTTCCGTTTCAACAACAACCATCCTCTTAACCTGCATAGAGGAATCAAACCATTTTATCCCTAACAAGAGAAACATGACAAATGAGAATTTTGATAAAAAAAAACAATAAAGAAAGAGAACCTGGTTAATCATTCCCCTAATGGATGAAGTGTTTGAGTGCAAAACAGTACGATGACATCTACGAAGTCCCATAGCTTCAAGAGTTCGCCTGTGAAGCTTCCTCGTTCCAGGGAGACCTCTCACTAAAGTAATGTATAAGCTCTGGCTCCATTCAACGGGCACTTGTGCTTTAAAAGCTCTAAAACCACTCATACCTCTCTCTTTTATCACTCAACACTCTGTAAAACCATAGGAAAAAATCATAATCACAAACACAAATATTACAACAAAAGATACATTACCAAAATCATAATCGTAGTCTAGAGTACAAATGAAAGTTAATAGATCGAAACCAATCACGATAAACACACAAAATTCACGAAAACACACACAAGAAATGCGATTTCTAAAATTAATCCTACAAAGGAATGAAAAACAAGGATACAGAGACAGAATCAATCACGAATTGAAACCTAATCAGATCGATCATTTCAGAAGAAGAGAGGCGAGATATAAAAATGAGGTCAATCAGAGATACTTGGATGTTTGAAATCGATATGGGTGGTTTCTCGTGTACCTGTAAGAAACAGTGCGACAAGTCCGGTGAACGAGATCGTCGAGGAGTACACTCAAAGACGGCGAACAGAGCTCGGAAAAATCTTTGAGATTCGCGTTTTTAGCCAAAGGGTTTTTAGGCTTTTTGGCATAACAATTTCAAAACGGCATCGTTTTGTTGCTTAGTTTGTGCTTTATTAGGCCCATTAAACGATTAAAGAGAAATGGATAAGCTTCCAGCAAAACTACAAAACAAAACATCCAAATATGGTGAAGGCCCTTTTTTTTGTTTTCTTTTCTTGCAAAATTAACATAATTTTTCCAACTTTCCTAATGATACTTGATACAACAGTAAAGTGCAGTTGTTTAAAATATTGAATTTGATCATTTTACTCAAAAAAAAAAAAAAAAAAGATATAGGGTTTGATCAATGTTCCATATAGTATATATACTAATGATGCTAGATTGACAAAAGTAAAAATTATATATAGATATGCAGATATTAGGGTGGGAAACAAAAAAAACATTGTACTACAATATTACATATCCATACGTTAATGTTCTAAATATACAATGATACTAAACAAGTGCACATTAGCTTTTATACTCCTTTACACGTATTGATAGGCAAACCATCATCATCGTCATTTCCCTTCTTGTGACAACCTTTCTTCTCTTTAAGCACCTCTTTCACCTTCTCCTCCATCTCCGCCTCATCAGGATCACCGGAGACTTTTGCAGCTGCCGCAGCAGAAGCTCCGTCGAAAGCCTTCTCCACTGTTTGGCTAGCAACACCTTGTCTTGTGAACTCCTCCGCCGTTGAAGGAGCTCTTTCTTCTTCCCTACCTCCACTCGTACTTCCTCTCTGTACATATAAATAAACCACTTCCACGATATAATAAATCTATATATAGTTAATCTATTTCATGAAAACGTACGTAGTATACTAGAATACCTTAAGATAAAAAGAGTAAATACATGATCTTATATCAGACTTGGAGATTGATTTTAGGCTCACATAATTTCGCAACATTTTTTTATTTTTTGAGAGGTCTCTCTATCTCTACATTAAAATTGTAACTTAGATCAAATTAAACCATGCATATATATAGTTGAAGTTATCCATAAGTTATGAGTTCTGATGTCTCATCAACGGGGTTATGACTGTGATGCCACGTACGTGTGATGTGCCGTCGTATAGTCCAAGATGACGTGTTTCCAAGGGGTTAGTGTTTATTGTTACGTCGTATAGTGTTTATATTTGTTAAATGTTTGGTCTTAATTTGATGATACTCTCGTGTGGATTTTATCGTGTGCATATTTAGATTCTTCTTATTTTATTTATATAATTTGATGAGATAATATCAGTTAATTATTATTATATTAAATAGATATGTTTTAAATTCTTACAATCGATGGAGAGTACAACACATGAAAAAAAAGAGAGATCAATCAAGGATGATCGGACCAGGGATGGGAGAATTAATATAATCTTTGCAGCAACAATAATCTGTAACAGTCGGGTGTTTAATGCTTACATAGTGTATACATTTCCCTCCGCCTTTATGCCTACATATTTGATTGCACTCTGCTATGCTTTTACATCCTTTCTTACATCGCTCCTCAACTTGTCCTGTAGTATTTTTTAGTTCATAAAACGAGTTCATCATCATCTTTTTTTTTCTTCCCAAAATGGCCAAATTAATATTTTAAATTGTAAATATATAACACATTTGGTTTTTACTTTTAGTGATTTATTCTCAACCAATAAAATAATCTCAAAAAAATTGAAATTATTTTAAGAACAATTTTTTTGTAAAAGAAATATATAATATATAACAAATAAATGTGTTACCAGAAATCATATGTATGATGATGAGAGCCAACACCATCAATGACAGTAATCGGTGAGATGCAAACATTTTGGTCGTCGTTAGTTATTTTTCCTTGAAAGCAAAACCTATGATTTCATTTTAAGATTATATTTAATTTAAATCTCATTATAAAGCAAAACATATTTTTGTTAAAAAATAAATATATAAGAGGAACATATATCGAATTATCTACTTCACTATAAACAATGCTAAATATTTTATAATTGGCTTACCTTTTGTCTTTGTAATATTTTAATATTCAATGAGAATGATTTGTGGTGGTTTTGTATGTACACTTATATATAGACATAGATGTATAGATATACATATATCCATCTATGTATTAAAAAAAAAATCCAAATGATTTAATGAGGTTTCCATAAAACATATATATATATATATATATTTATTTATATAGTTATATGGTTAGATAATAATTTTAGTCAAAAGGTTTAATTATATATTTATTTGCTATTTAAATATTCTTCCATATAATGTAATGAGGTTACCTTAACAAATAATTTATTTAATTTAATTTGGTTAGATAATGATTTTTAGTCAAATTAATGGCTTCATTATTTGATTGCCATTTTATTCCCATTGCCATCATTATTGAGAAGAAGTTTGAACGTAATTAGTGTTCATAGATATTTGGTCGTGAATGCAACAAGTAATGCCTATTGTTAACGATTTCTGATGTTGGTTTTTTTTCTCCATATTTTGGACTTTGTAGCTGTGCCATAATTATGTTTGATGTCACAGCAAATATCACATACACAAGAACGTTGGGACATGGTACTATGACTGCAAGTACGGGACTTTTTTTTAATTTGTCATTCTTTCAAATTAATTGCATATTTTGTGTCATTAACAAAAAAAAAACTCGAAATTGTAATGTGGGGATTTGGAATTTTGATTAAAAAGGGTGTGTGAAAACATCCCTATTGTTCAGTGTGGGAACAAAGTTGATGTGAAGAATCTGACAAGTGAAGGCGAAGCGAATTACGTTTCACATGAAGAAGAATTTGCACTACTATGAGATATCTACAAAGAGAGCAATTACAATTTTGAGAAACCCTTTCTGTATTTTGCTAGAAGACTTGTGTGAGACGCAAACCTTCGCTTTGTGGACTGTGGAGTCACCAGCTCTTGCTCCACCAGTAGTGTTCAGCATACATAAGTTTTGGTCCAAAACATATTTGATTCAGAGACTATATATGTTTTGGTCCGGATTAAAAAAGTTCATGGATTGTCTGAAACCCCAAGCCGGCCACCTAATTTGATTCCCGGTTGAATCCGGTTTAAAACAGTCAAACTATCGTCCGTTGACTAAACATTGTCCTCTTCGATGCTTTAACAGTTTAACTAGTTAACCCTCTAGGTTTTCTAGTACTATTGGTGTCTTTAACATTGTCTTGCCGTGATGGAGTCGTACAGTGGAGCTTCGTCGGAAATTGTCCGGGAATTGGAAGAGTTAAAGCTCAAGAAGGCCGAACTAGAGCACCGTATATCGACCCTCGAAGCAAAGCTCCAGGATACGGCGGCGGTTGAACGGTGCGACGCCGTTTCCAATGGTTATTCTTATCCAACGGCGCCGGAGCTTGAACACGGGTTGTCTCCGGATCAGATTTACCGTTATAGTCGCCAACTGTTACTCCCTTCGTTTGCTGTTGAAGGTACTTTTGCTCAAACACTCCATTACAAACTCTTTAGTTTCTGAGTGATTCGATTTCAATTTGAATTTAGCCAATATGAAGCTAATCTGATAGAAACGATTTTGTGCTAGTGATGTTAGAGCTGAAAGATGAAAACTTTTGATTAATTTGAGTACATGGGTTTAGTTTAAAAGGTTAAGACAATCCTATAAAGCTTCATTTGCTTGAACTCTGGTTTGGTTGTTTCCTCTGCTAGTGTCTTCTTCAATATATTGATTCTTCCGTTCTGTTCTATGTTTGTGCATGCGTATGTTTTTAGGGCAGTCAAATCTATTGAAGTCTTCGGTACTAGTTATTGGAGCTGGAGGACTGGGTTCACCTGCCTTATTGTATCTTGCAGCATGCGGTGTTGGTATGGTTTCAGACTCTTACCTCAAGATTTATGTACATGTATCAATAGAATTGTCTCTTTATATCTTTCTTTCTCTTGGAACTATTGGTTCTCCCTTGATTATGATGTTCTGACCATCTCCTCGAATGTATTATTTTAGGACGGTTGGGTATTATAGATCATGATGTCGTAGAGCTCAACAATATGCATAGGCAGGTACGACTTGGAAAAATCTGCTGCGGCAACTCTTTCTTTTTCTTGGCTCTACATCTAATATGTGGTTGGAGACTCAATCAAATATACTTCTACCTTTGGCTGATTTATATCTCTTTTAAATTGTTTATTATACAGATTATACACACAGAAGCTTTTATTGGTCATCCCAAAGTGAAATCTGCTGCTGTTGCTTGTCGCTCGTAATGCAAAACTCCCTGAAGCTTAATCTTATTTGATATAAAATTATGCCAGCCTCTACTCTTTTAGTCTAATCAAAAATTTATTTTTCCTTTTATCTTCAGAATAAATTCGACAATCAAAATTGATGAATATGTTGAAGCTCTTCGCACATCCAATGCTTTGGAAATTCTCAGCCAGTATCCTTTTAGATATGTTTTGTTAAATGTCGTAGGATGTGACATCTTTCTGTATTTCTATTAGTGTTTAGTCTCATCAAAGTAAAGCATTGAATGGTTATTGTTTCCATGACTGCATAATTAGATATGATATCATAGTAGATGCGACCGATAATCCTCCAAGCCGTTACATGATCAGTGATTGTTGTGTCTTGTTAGGGAAGGTGAATCATCTTCTGAACTCTCTGTCTATACGAAAATGATGGTGATACCTGAGTACATTAAGTATAACTACCATCCATAATGATGTCCATGTTTATTCATAGTCTTATAGAGACACTGGTATTGACTGAACCTTTGTATTTTGTATACAGCCTTTGGTGTCGGGTGCTGCGCTTGGGATGGAAGGACAGGTATGTGATATCACTATCAGCATTTTCTCCTTACAGATGTTAAGCTACATATTAAACACTTAACTGTTATTTTAATTTCTGTATTCAAGCTTACGGTCTATAATCACAACGGAGGCCCGTGCTACCGTTGTCTGTTTCCCACTCCTCCACCTACCACAGCGTGCCAAAGATGTTCAGATAGTGGAGTTCTTGGAGTAGGTACGGGTTTTTTTTTTTTCTATTGCAAGCAAATCTCTACAAATTGCTTAATTCTTTGAATATCTTTTCCAATTTTGTTTTTCTTCTCAGTTCCGGGTATTATCGGTTGTCTACAAGCATTAGAGACAATTAAACTTGCGAGTATGGTGGGCGACGCACTCACTGAACGGATGCTTCTTTTTGATGCATTATCAGCGAGGATTCGCATTGTAAAGTTTACTGACTCCCTTTCTGTTCATCATTGGTGTCCATCTGCACAAATTGATAGAATAGTGTTTGCTTAGGTCAAGATCAGAGGCAGGTCCTCCCAGTGCACAGTTTGTGGAGACAATTCATCTTTTGATAAGCAAAAGTTCAAAGATTTTGATTATGAGGACTTCACCCAATTTCCTTTATTTGCGGTATTATTCTCTCAATTTCCCTTATCTCGAATTCAATAGTTATCTTCAGAAACAGTCTCATTGAAAAAGCTTACCTGCATTGGTTTTGATCACAGGGCCCGTTGAACCTGCTTCCTACAGAATCAAGAATTAGCAGCAAGGAGTTCAAAGAAATCCTTCAAAAGAAGGAACCCCATATTCTTCTTGATGTTCGACCTTCTCATCACTATAAGATTGTCTCTCTTCCGGAATCACTCAACATCCCTCTTGCAAACTTAGAGGCTCGGTTAAACGAGATTACTTCAGCTCTTAAAGAAAAGGAAGATGGCCATGTTAACACTGGATATTGCACAAATCCTAGTGTCTACGTTGTTTGCAGACGCGGGAATGATTCACAGAGAGCTGTTCAGTATCTTCGTGATTCGGGCTTCAGTTCAGCTAAGGATATAGTCGGAGGACTGGAAGCCTGGGCAGCTGATGTCAACCCCAACTTCCCCACCTATTAGGGGGAAACTTTTTTGCACCAATTTGGTAAAATCCATAGCTCAAATTGTCTGAAGTAGAAACATGTATTATTTAGTTATGTCATTTAACAATACTTTTTTCAAATCCATGTTGAAACCTCGTCGTAATCACAGTGTGAGTTTTACGATGCTATGATACCTTGTACCAGTATGATTCAATTATATGAATGAAAAAGTGAGTGATTCAATCTTTATAGATGATAAATCAATGTATGACATCCATGGCCAAGAAGGGAACAAGATAAGTTCATTATTGACGAAACAAAGAGAGTTAAGAACTGTGAAAATGAATCACTCGAACCATAACAAGATTCATAGTTGCCTTAGGTAAATGAATAATCTAAAGCTTTTCCCGATTGGTTTTTGAGAAAAGGTAAGGGGAGGGGATAAAAGAGTTGTACTACAGCTACTTCTTCTGATTCTCCTTGTTGGTCTCTTCGGCTGCTTCTGCCTCTTGCTCATTAAACCTACGCTTGAACTTGGCAATCTGACCAATGCTTTGAGCCATTTGACGCTTAGCTCCAAAGTGATAGACTTTGCCAACATGGTGGATTCGCGTCATCATCACATGCATCAATCTACCACTCTGTGTTACATAAGAGATCCATTGCATCTGTGGGTGCAATCCTTTCTTCATTGTCCAACAACTCTACAAACCAAAAAAAAAACACAACCATTTTTTCTTCAGTTTTTCTTAGATTCATCCAGCCTTTAAAGCTATCAATGAATCTCTAAATGAGCAAAGCAAATATATGAACACTCTTACGGCTTATCAAAGATTCATAAACCAAGCAATGTCCATACCATACATAAATGACTACAGAATTTTAAGTTTAAGGTGTTAGCAAAGGATAATCCCATATGACAAACGTTGTATCACTATCATGGTCTATCTTAAAAAATTGGCTTGATCCGATAACTCCACCATATAGCTAAAGACACACAAAATTTTGAATTTAATTTAAAATCAACATAGTGGTAAAATAATTGGCATTTTATCGAACACCTTCTACGCGTCTCCGTACTCAATAAACCAGATGCAAAACCTCGACGGATTTAAACCCAATAGAACCCAAGAAACAGAATTAGTTCTTTTGTCATCGAGATGAGTGGTTAAGTTAAAATCAACCGAGCCAAAGAGAAAAAGGAAACAACTTCTAGAAAACATCTAAAGAATGAAAAGCAAAAGTTGAAATGAAGAACCCAGATCAGTGGATTGAAGACGAAAAACATATGTATATACATTATATATAGACAGAGAGGTGAAGAATCGCTTACGCAAGTAAAGCTTGAAACTGATGTGGAGTTGTTGAAGTCTCAGAGCTCCGGTGATGGCAGAGGAAAGTGTCGTCGATCTGATTAAAGCCAAAATCAAAGGGTTATGAAACCTTCTTCTTCGTCCAGTGGGTTTGATGGAATAGTAATAACTAATAAGCATACAAATGTTATAAAGAAGTTATATGAAATTTAATAGCAAACAAATGTGAAAAGAAAATTCGTTTTCTTTAAGAGGATCTGTGAAATTTGCAATTAGTTGTTGTTTCTTCTGTCTGTCTATTTTAAGAGCAACTAATATCATGAATTATTGAAAACATTTTTATTATTGTGTGTTCAAGAGAAGGCATTATATAATCATGACCAAAGAGCTTAACAAAGCCAATAAGAAGAAAAGAGTAAATAAAACATCATTAACCAACAAATCATAAATGTCAAACACAAGTTATGAAAATTACGAACATAGTTTTGATTTTTTTTGCTTAGTTAAAAAGCGCCACAATTAAATACAGCCTCTTCTTTCACTGAAGGACAATGCACTCTTATGAATCCACTATTCATCGAAGTCTGCTCTTCTTCTTCTTCAGCTTCTTCATGCCCACTTACACCGATTGCCTCAAAGATCATAGTGTTAACTTCCTTGAATCTCTCTTCTGATAAAGAAACTTCAGCTAGAAGCCTCCACGCTTTCTCTTCTGAAGCTTCTTCATAGTCTTCTTTCCTCTTCAACACCATGTGTCCACTCATCTCCCAAACCGCTGGATTCACTTGCGTATCCAGTAACTTAGAGCAGACTTCCCCTAAAGCTTGCTTCTCTGCGTAGCACTGCAAATCAAACAATCTTTAAACAGCTCTTTTTTTTACAGTCAATATTGAGTTTTTTTCCTATAATGTTTTGAAGATTTAACCTGAGGGAGAAGGAAGATCTGTCTTCCAGAATCAGAGATGAGAATATTGAAAGGAATATTGTTGTTCTGAAGACAAACGGATGCATCTGATACAGTATCAGAGAGATCTTTAATGGAGTTTCCCCCTTCAAAGAGAAGACCTCTCACAGGGTAATTCAACAGTTTTGAGATTTTGACGCCATCCTTGGTGCTAGTGATCTTCAAGGAAGAAGCTTTCTCGATCGGGAATTGCATTGCCAGATAGTAAGCCTGTTCCAGGAAAAAATCTCCATAAATTTCACAACTCTACAAGGTTGGGCCATTCTATTATTTGCTTACCCTTAAACCGGTTGCAATTCATATGATTCTGTTTACCTGAAAGTGAAGATGGTTGATGGTAGCAAAGGCGCCTAAACTGTTGTATCCAAGTCGGAAATACGGATTAGCAGCTTCAGTAGCCATTTGAAGAGCAAGCAACAGGCTTTTGTGATCAATCCTTTGAGGCAAGCACTCAAGAACACGGGGAATCAGTAGTACATGCCCATACTCAATTGGACTCACCTGTTTTAAAAGGAATCCCAGTTCAATGGTTATACAATTCATCAGCAAAAAAAGAAACCGTTTCTAAAAGCAACAATATCTTACATTGATTGCAACGACGCTTGGAGAATTATCTGCATCTAGTGGTATACTCGGGAAGAACTGGATTCCGCTATCATCGTCATCACTACGAGCTTCAAACTGAAAAAGCAACTCTTCTTGACCAACTTTAGTGAAATTGAATTTGTTTCCGTCAAATGGTTGAAGAACTTTATCAACACGGAATTCGGTTGGTCTCTTCTTGAGATGACGACCTTCGTTTAGCTGCGCAATGAAACCACACTTCCCTGGTATAACCTATTATTACCAATTTAGTAGCAACCCATCAGACGTCAACAATGTGAAATATAAACTTGACTCTTCAGCTCAAGTAAAAATAAACAATGAGAAATTGAAACTTGTGCTTTAGCTTAGGCAACCATCAACAATGTGAATTGACACCTGATAGTTCAGCTTAAGCAACCATCCAACAGAGTTCGCACCAAAAGTAAACCACTCAAGGTTAAACCAAAGAGACAATAATACCTTGGTTTCGCAGGCAGTGACATCGTAGCGAAAAAGTCCTCTTTGAAAACGATCTTCCCACTACAAAAATAAGGGATTAGTTACGTTACTCAAACAATAAACGAATTAATTAGCAAAACTGAGAGCTTTTACCATGTATCTCTAAAACCATTACCTCTCCAAGAACAACCGATTCGAGGAACGTCACCGGAGATTCTGACTTATCTTTGACAGATTTATCAAGATTATTGCAGGTATACAAAGGAAGTCTTGCCCCTGAAACAAACAAAGAACGAGATTTTGTTTACAACAATCAATTAAATTCTCAAACAAAACAAGCATTGTTCCAGCTCTAAAATGTACCATTGATACAACACTTTCTCAAGCAATTGCGACCACATCCACCTTCTTCCACCGTCTCATCTTTCTGATAATTCGACACAACCGTTGGAACTCTCTTGATCTTCAGCAACATTCTCAGAAAATTTCGAATCTCGTAGATAACAGATTTAATACAGGATTAAGAACTAAAGAACCTAATTAGAAAAAGGTAAAGAGGGTTAGTGTTAGTGATGACTGTAAGAACCCGCCTCCGGCAAGGAAGAGGAGATCGGAAGGACTGCCGCCTTCAGACGGCAGAGCTCCACGTCCTCCGTGCGGCAAAGGATTAGTTACGATTAAAAAACCCTTCCGTTGGACATGAAAGCTCAAAGGCCGTGACTTTATCCCGTGTACAGCCGTGATTACCGATAATCAGTTTCCCGGAGATTCGCCGGAAAACAAAATAAAGGAAAGATTTTTCGATGTGGGTTTCAATCACTCTTTCAGATTTATATAGATGGTAGCTGAATTAACCAGAAAAAAAGAGTGCGACTGCGAGCTTCATGTGTTTTGTGTGTGCGTAGGTTGTGATTTGGACGTGTGGGTTTTGTGAGGAAGATGTTCTATAGTGTCCACGGGTTTTAGATCTCTTTGTCAATCTCAATCTCATCTTTGAGGTTTTTTAGTTTGACCCGATTTGTCAATTTTTGACCCGTCTGGGTTGCTATCCATCGGGAGTTGGTCTTGATAAGTCAACCTATTGACTTTTACTATGACGTCATGGAATCAAAGAAGCAAGCACCAAATTTTATTTTATTTTAAATGCTCCAAGATTAGTTTTAGAATTTAGAACCTATGTTTGCTAAATAAATTTAGGGACCAGTAGATGAGGAAAGAGATTTTATTTTATGTATTATACGTATAAAAAACATAATTCAAGAAATTATTTTGGAGTGTGTTGTATACACTCTTAGAAATCTTAATAAAACAGCAATGATATTGGAACGAGTATGTTCCACTTTTATTCGTAGACATTAGAAATATAAAAATAATCTCCTTTATATACCCCTCAAAACATTATGGGAATCCAAAAATACACACAACACTTTAATTAATTATTAAGTAATTAATTAATTGGACCGACCTTTTTTAATCAGCGTCCATGTAAATAAATCATCCGTATAAATATTACTTAATATTTTTTTTTTTTTTTTTTTTTTTTTTTACGTTTTGGCGTGAGTGAATGATTGATTCATCACGCGTAGTTACAGAGACCGTAGACGCAGAACTCGCCGTTCTCGCAACGATGGTTACACTCACCGCAATGGCGTTTATCGTAAGCCACGTAAACGCACTGACCGCGACAACACGTTTGTCCGAACTTGCATTTGTTCTTACAAGCACCGCAGTTTTTGTCGTCGGTTGATAAATCCATACACTTGTTGTTACAACAAGCCATTGTAGCGTTTGCTCCGGTGCTGTAATAGCTGCTGCTGCAGATTTCATTGTCCTTGTGGCAATGGTCAGCTGCGTTTGGGTTACGAGCTTTTGGTCCTTGACCCTGGTCGACTTTCTCAGCCAAGAACCGGCTAGGTCTGATCTTAACCGCTCCTGGCGGTGTAACGTCCTTCAAAGGATCTTCAAGAGCAAATGTTGCGGTTGTGGTGGTGGTTTTGGTGGTGATGATGGCGACTGTGACTAAGGTTGTCAATGCAATTGTTACGAGTAGCTTCATGGTGAATTGGGCCATTTCTCTTGATCTATAAGTTTGCTTGTGAGTTAGAGCGAGAGAGATAGTTCTTCTTCTTTGCTTTGTCTCCTCCTCCTTCTTCTTCTTCTTCTTCTTTTATCGTTTATGTCAATGTAGAGAGGGAGAGAGAGAGAGAGGAAAAGATTTGGAGAGAGATTGAGTTGTGAAGAATTGAGGAGAGGGTGGACTTAGGGTTTATAGTGTGATCGAGACGAGTTGACGCGTGAAACGTGGTGAAAAAGGTTAAGTAAGGTTTCAAGCGATCGATCTTTTTCTTGGGGAGAGGCGTTTTTTGCCTTCTCATTTCAGTAATAAACTATTTTTATGCGCATGTACATGCACATGCTGATTTGCTTACGTTGGGGGTGTGTACACGCGTTTATATCATTAGAGTAAAAAAAAAAAAAAACTATGTGTGTTCAGTGTTCTACGTAAACATATTAGTTTTAGACATCGTCTCGTAATACTTTAGCATTTGTGTAGTATGTTATTTGTGATGAACATTTAAATTCATCATTGGTTACCGACGCTAATTTTTACTTTGTTGATACCATGTTGATCACAATGTTTTTACACTTTTAGAGTTTAATTATGTCTTTTATGAAAGAAAAAAATTGTGAAGTAATCAAGTTAGTGAAAAAAGAACTGTAAATTATAATGTCAAGTTGTTAACAAACAAAAATAGAAAGGGATGGGTAAAAATAAATAAAATTGCGTACGCGTGACGAACCATGACTAAATCCATCGCCTAGCCTCATGGGCCGGTCTGAGACGATTCAGGCGAGATGCAAGGAGAAGCAAAGGCTACCGTTTTTTTATATTACAGTTTTGTTTGTTTATTTAATTAAAAAGAAAAAAAAAAAACTTGTTGATTTCATTTGTCGTGCAAAACCACGAACCACTAATATATATATATATATATATTTCCAAATGAAGCAAATTGAAGCTATATGCAGCCTCTAATAGACGACACTTGCTTTAACTTGAATTCTAACATTCGACCCTCGCTCGTACGTATCCCCCAATCAACCACACTTATAAAATTTAATAAAAACGAGAGGCCAAATTTACATTGTAATTAGTTTGTAACAATAAATTATTAAAATGATAATCTAAGTTTGAAACTTATATAATTTCCTTTCTTCGTCGTCGTTAGTCGTTATCAGCCTTCTGTTCGTATTTCAGTCGACAGCAAGCAAATTTGATGAGTAATCATCGATATAAGGATGAGTTTAATGTGTAACAAAGTACAATATATAATGCGAGATATAAAAATATTCCATGAGGTTTACAAAAAAAAAAAAAAAAAAAATCCATGCATGCAGGATTATATGACCAAATGTAATTATGTACATATTGCAATGGAATTATACCGCAAATATACAAGTATATTATTATCTATGTACAATAAGAGTCATAGTTAAGTGGACTAACATAAAACTTTCATTATTCAAATTATTTTTCATTCTTCAGTAATACTCAGTTCTCCATTCTCTTTTTTTCCATGGAGCTTCAATTCTTTTGTTTGTTCTATCTCTATCTCTAATGATGGTATCAAATCTGATGAGCTGATCGATTTCTACTTCTCTATACTAAACATGTTAAGAGTGGGAAGCCCATGATTTCTAATATAAACATATGCATAGTGGAACTCAATTCATGATTGTCCCTTAGTACGATGAATCGATGTTGATCATTTAAATTATTACAACTTGGTCGGTTAATTCAGTTTACTTTTAGCATAAATTATACAATTAAGATTTAGTTTCTGAAACATAAGTTATCTTTATTATTTACAGTGAACTTTGAATATCTCCAATAGTGGCTTATACTAATATAAAATATACAAACCAGCCATCGGTAAACAAGTCTGTGAATTTGTTACATCGAACTTTAGAAGGAAAATGTTGAATAAACCGGTCAAAGACGTCCATAAGGCACAAAGATTAGATTCGTTGTTTGTTAGTTTATAGTTCAAGAAAGCTATGAAGAGAGAGGTCAACGCTTAGTTACTCCAAATTGTTAAACAAAGTAGAAACTTTACGTCACAAAAGTCAACCATCACCTTCGTTGCCTATAGGTCATCGTCCGATCCCCCATACACGATATATAATCTATTGTTTCTCTCTACGATATCTTTCTGTTGCATTAACTATTAAGCCACGCGCAAATTCCTTTTTACATTAATAATAATTTTCATGTCTTATTGATTTATTTATTCATCACAGACTAGCTAATTATTGGTTGTATAACTAGTTTAATTGGGATTTAGTATAACTAACATAAAGAGGTATCTTTCTAGAATACCCATCTTTTATATATTACTTGTTATTAGTTTCACATTATCATTATGATATGAATGCACCACTTCATAAGGTTTAGATCCCCAAAAATTATCGTAAGTGACCAAATCAAAACGTTCGTGTCCACTAGTTCAGACTCGTGAACAAAACGTTCGTGAGCACTTAACATGTTTGATGTTTTGTTTTACAGTTTTAGTATCCAATCTGACACCTTCTTCTTCCCTCATGAACAGTTGCTTTCAGTCCATTAACATTAATACTTGAACGAATTGGAGGAAGGTATTATTACTCCAGAGAATCGATCATCAAAAGGTTTTATAGTTTATTAGAGCAAAATCACATGTTGGTTCCAAATAAGCAGAGTCAAATCTCAAATGGACAAAATTCTAAAACACGCAATATGTTAAGAACAAGAAGAGGTGTAAATACCACAAAAACTTCTCTAGTATTGAAGTTAAAATTATGGGTGTAAAAGTTTTAAACTTTTGATTATTATGAGGGCGAAAACGCAAAAACAAAAGTACTAATCCTTATTCCGTTTGTTCGTCTCTCGGGGACAATGCATGTCGTTTTCTTCATTCACAAACGGCAACCAACTCGTCTACAAAACGACGTCATTTAAACAAACAGAGCTCTCTCGGTTGAAGTTATCATCACGAATTTGGAACATCCGATTCCAAATTACACAGAACCTAGCCTCTTCCCCAAAATCTCCATTGCTTTGGAAGAAGAATCACACAATGGATCTAGAGATCGTTGGTCGTCACGCTCTTTTCTTCGACGACGATTCGATGGCGACGTTTGTCAACTCCTCGACGGCGCTCGTTGACTGGAACAACCTCTTTATTGACCGCTACGATGTTCGTCACCTCCTCTCTTCTCCTCCTCCTCCACGTATCAAGCGCCGCCGTCCGATTTCAGATGACCATGACTTGGAATCGGAGCTCGATCACGAGCGTTACCTTGATTTGCCGACGGAATCTCCCTCTCCGTCGGATGACGAGGACGGTAACGATTAGGAACTTCGTAGAAATCTGGATTTGTCTTTAGTTTATGGAGTTAGCGTAGAGACACGAAATACAGGAATATAGGTCGAGTCTTGATTTGTTTGCCTTATTTCGAGTTTGGTTATTGAATCATTCAGTAGTATATAAGCTAAAATGGAGAATGGCTGTATCTAGTTTTACAGTGAGCTCCATATTTCTTTGTGCGGGTTGGATTATGTGTTTCTGATATAATGTGAGTTCTGAAGCTAATCCCATGAGAATCTTATACACCATGTTAGAGATGTATTTGGAAACCCTTTTGTATGCTTATCTTTGTATTCCATCGTTGATACTAAGCACATCGATGTTTGAATTATTTCTTTATCTTCAATACTTGCTTGGTATCCTTAACTATGGCATGTTAGTTTCGTTGTTTCTTCTGTTGAAAAGAAAATAACATGAAACTAAAAGAACTCTGGTTTGGGAAGTACCTCTTCTCCCAGATTATTTAATTTTTTAGGTTCCCTTTTTTCCATATTCTCCAATTATTATCCAGAAACGTTATCATATATATTTCACTTTTGTACCCCAGATATGAATGAAGATTCAGCAAATGCAAATGCCGATGGTTATCGTGCTGTCCCCTTTTCATATGGAAGCTCCAGTGATTTCAATGACCAGAAAAATGCTGATATGGAATCTGGATTTCACCCGCCTTTTCCCGTGCCTGATTATTTACTTCAAAATCTGGTAAGTTACTGCTTTATCAGGTTGTCCCCTTTAGTAATATGCCGGTTTTGCCCACTTATTTGGTACTTAACTGATATTGGCCACGTAAACATCTGAAAGGTGCATATGTTATTCTAAGGACTACCATGTCTAAGTTTCAGATGCTTGGAGAAGAGATGGAGTTGTCTAAGGTTGTCATTCACATGCACCTTGTTTCCTTTTGCTGCCATGACAAGGGGCGGTGCAGGTGGGATTAAGATGATAGAAATCATAGCTTACCAAGAACTTAAAAACTGAGTGCACATCAGATGATGCATATCTATACAGTTCTGATATTTGCAATTTATGGTTCTCGATACTTATGTGAGATTTTAATATGTATATACCTGCGACTGCGAGTTGCCAAAGGTTCATTCATCATATATCAAATTACTAATTGTTTTCTTGTACATTTTTCTTTCCCTCTTTCAGCCTCCAACTGAGAAATTACATCAGATCATCACTAGAACTTCAAGCTTTGTAAGCAAGCATGGTGGGCAATCTGAAATCGTCTTGAGAGTCAAACAAGGAGGCAACCCAACATTTGGTTTCTTAATGCCAGACCACCATCTTCACCCTTACTTTAGGTTTCTTGTTGACCATCAAGAGCTTTTGATAGGAAAGTCGTCTATAGAAGAGAAAAAGAACGAAAGTGAGAAGGACGGTGGTGCTTTGTCATTGCTTGGTTCAGTTTATGGGACCGTAGAAGATGAAGATGCCAACGAAGAGTCTGCAAATGACACTAGAAAAAACGAGTCTGCCAATGAAGATGATGGTGTTAAGGTAGATGATTCCTATAAACCTGAAGGGTTGAAAGGAGCTGCAAAGATTGCCACAGAGAGAGATGAAGCCTCTAAGCATTCTCTGCCTTTGAATGATCAAGCATCTTTCATAAAAAGAAATCCTTCTGTCAGTGCAGTAAATGTTGTAGAGAGGAAGCAGATCAATACAGAAGATAATGCTACCAAAAATATTCTGACGTCTGATAAGTCGCAATCTTCTGAAATGCTGGCACAACCCAAGCTTGAACTGCAGATTGTGGAGCCGACTACTGAGATGAAAAGAGTGATTGATAAGATAGTCGACTTCATCCAAAAGAATGGGAAAGAACTAGAGGCTACTCTTGTTGCGCAGGATGTGAAATATGGGATGTTTCCATTCTTACGTCCAGCTAGCTTATACCATGGATATTATCGGAAGGTTCTCCAAGAAGCCGAAGAGGTAATTCTATTTTCAAGCTCCTAAATGTTCATGCTACAAATTTAGTGTGTTTTCATGTGCTTTTACAACCTTGTGATTGTATCCTTCTCTAAAAATGTAACACATTTTGCAGTTGAAATCATGCGACAAAGGCGTCATTACCAGAGAGGAAAACGTGAAGCAAAAAAGGATGGGTGATGCTGTAAAAGATGGCAAACCTGCGTTTGGGAGTGTTTTACCAGATGATTCTGCCAAGAAAGAGAAACTAAAAATGGCTAGTGACAAACCAAAGGTCGAGTTACACAATGAACCATTTAAGCCTGTCCAACCACAGATGAGGGTCAATGTAGATGCGAATACTGCTGCTGCTATTCTTCAAGCGGCTAGAAGAGGCATAAGGAATCCCCAGCTGGGGATTCTATCTGGCAGACCTATGGATGAGACTTCTCAGAGCCTCGAAAATGATGAAAGTTACCCTTCATCTAAGTCCCCTGATTTGGCGAAGTCTACAGGTCAGTTGATGTCTTGCTCGACTGCTGCTAGTGAAGCTGATTTTTCTGAAGCAGGCTTGTCTAAGGAGCAGAAGTTGAAAGCAGAAAGATTGAAACGTGCAAAAATGTTTGTGGCCATGTTAAAACCCGACGCGCAGCCAGTGCAACAAGCTGAACTGTCGCAAAGTGTATCAGTCGAACTATTGGACTCCGGGATATCTGGATTAGGTGCTAATGCTGCCAAAGAAAGAGAAGGTAGCTCAATTCCATCTGTAGCTGAGACAAAATTAGCAGATGATGATAACTGTGAAAGACGATCAAAGAGGAACTATCGCTTGAGATCACAGAGAGATGAAGATGATAAGATGGAACAAGGAGAAGAAGAAGAGGAAGAGAGCAGCATGGATGAAGTTGCAGAAGAAACAAAGACTGGTAAGAAGCATTCATCTAGTAGAAAACGGCATAAACATAAGACACAATACTTTTCCAAGGACGGACGTTCTCGGGACAAGCACAAGCATGAGAGTTCCTCGGATGATGAGTATCACAGTCGTTCACGTCATAGACATAGGCGCAGCAAATCTTCAGATAGGCATGATTCTTCTGATAACGAGGGTGAGCACCGACACAGATTTAGTAATCATAGCAAAGATGTTGATTATTCTAAGGACAAGCGTAGCCATTATCACAGATCCAGGAAGCACGATAAGCATCGTGATTCCTCTGATGATGAACATCATCGTCACCGACACAGATCCAGTAGACGCAAGCACGAGGACTCTTCAGATGTTGAGCATGGTCATCGACACAAGTCAAGTAAACGTATTAAGAAAAATGAAAAAACAGTAGAAGAAGAGACTGTTTCAAAGTCAGATCAGTCTGATCTTAAAGCTGCTCCTGATGATAACATCATGTACCCGCAAAACGAACCAACTCAAGTTTCAGATGAGCTAAGAGCTAAAATTCGTGCCATGTTAGCTGATACCTTGTAAGTTTCCTTTAACTGAACGACTCATAGACTTTATATAGTTCCATTTCGGTGTCTACTAGTATCATCAAGTTGACAATGTCAATGATAGGGTCTGATCGATTATGGGGTTGGTTTGGTTTTCAGGGGAGATGGTCGATGAGCATCTGAAGCATAAAGGTCATTCATAAAGTTTGTCAGGCAGCTCCGTTCCTACGAGAAAAGTTGGAAAAGAACATAAGTTTATGTATTTTCAGAATACTATTTTTGCAAAACTAAGCTATGTAATTACATATACATTTCCAAAATTCCTAATACTTTGAAAGAATACTTTGAAATCTCTCTTTGAAAGAATACTTTGCAAGTGTTTCTATTTGCGAAACTAATAATTTGAAATCTCTCTTTCTTTCCTAATACTTGCAAATGTTACTTTTTGTTATCACTTTATTAATCAATTTGATTTGATAAATACAAAATATACATGTCAAATAAATAAACATGTATTTAGAGTTATCAAACAATAGCAATATTAAAGTAAATACTACCTCAAATATGTATATAATTAAAAAAAATACAACCATAACTTTTAATTACTATATACTAAAAAAGTTCTGAAAAAATGTTATACCTACTTAGCACCGATGATCTTGTAGTTTAGATTTATAAATTCATTGAATTTTGATAACAAAGGAATTTGTCATTAGTTTGTGGTTATTTTTGCTCTTAGTTATATATTGCAGTGATTTAGACTGCCCAACTGTTGATACATGGTGTGAAGAGGATGGTGATGAAGAAGCAATGGTGACCAACCACAGCTAGTATATATTGCTACTCCTGTAGTCGAGCAGCTACATTAAATCTTTTTATGTTCATGTGGGTTTAACTTGAAAAAGATTGTATTATTATGACTCCCGCTGTTTAATTTCATAATCTATATACGCTTAAAATCATATTATGAAAAAGGTTATAATACCTTAAAATCAAACTACATGATCATGTTACATATATATATAGTCGACTAACTAGTTGCGGTGGTGAGTTGTTTGGTTTGTCAAGGACGGGAAATGTCTTTCTTCCTCTGATCCGCCAAGCATTTTGGAACATATCCATGGATTTCTCAATAAAGAGTTATCAAAAGAGAGTAAGCTATGGCGGCTCCTTCTTCTTCATCTCGGAACCATCCAAGACAAGATGGGATGCAAAACAGCCAATATCATTTGAGCTACCTCAAGCTTCAGTGACACCCATATATTATTAACAGCATGTTTCCATTTCCGAATCTCAAAATAGCAGCATGTTTGTTACACAATCTGAAAATCTTTCATTTTTGGGTTTAGATTTTTGTTGAGTATATTGAACAGAGGTAATATTAATAATAAATCTAACTAAGTTCGTAGGATTGGTTAAAAGATATAAGTATGAAATCTTAATGTTTTTTTTTTTTTTTTAATTTTCAATTTTATATGAGTGTTATTGTCTTAATAATGGACTGAAAAAACAATTTTTCAAAATATAAGAAATTGTTAATTTGGTTTTACAAACTCTCTCATTTAAAAGACTAAGGTAAACTAACTTGCTCAATTTCTTATATATATGTTTGTTTTCTTGGTAGTACTTTCTTGTTTGTATGTTACGATACTCTTAAGCTTTCTGATGCTACTCTACTACTCTTACCGTTTGGTTTAGTAGCTAACGTAACGTGATTAAATAAAAAGGTCAATGAGTGCTTACAATAATCTTTTGGTTTTTGACTTTTGATAATCGATCTCTTATATATTTACAATTTGAAGAACGTGAAATTATAAAGTTGGTACTCAAAGTTATAGTATTAGATTTTGCAAAATTCCTAATACTTCGAAAACTCCCTTTCTTTCTTTTTTTTTCAACCAAAAGACCTTAATTTGATTGATTAAACCGGTACAGCATAAGAGTTCTTTAGAGAGAGCTTAGCTAAAGCATCGGCTTGTCTATTGTTTTCTCTAGAAGTAAAACGAAAGCAAATTTCATGAAAAAAAGAAGAGATAGCAAGGATATCGTGAAGAATCCCATGGAGCTCTTTGTGCGAAAACTCTCTTTCTTTAATTTCACTTTCTTCTTCTGTTTTTTTACGTTTCCAAAAAACTTGCAACGGAAAAAACATGTACCAAACTAATAATAAAAGTGGAAGAAGAAGAATATGTATAAACAAAACAAACGTCTCTTGAAGAAACCTTAACTAATTAAAAACGTAATTATATATTATTAGTATACCATATATATAGCGTGATCATTAACTTGTAAACTTTTCAATTCATGCTTTAATTTCAAAACCTTTTCCTTAATTTAGATATCACAATCACATGTATGAAGCCGCGCGCGTTTGTTTTAGCCCCCCGTCCATCACCCTAAAGCCATAAAAACAAAAAATGATTCCCAATTATCTAATTTCTTAAAAAGATCTCTAGAAGCTAAGATCATTCAATTAATTAATTATAATATATAGTATAAATTTAAATCAAAAAAAACAAAAAAAACGATCTGAATCCAACTGTATTCTCTAAGCAAAGTAAGAGATGCGAATAAATTTTCCCCAACACCTTCTTCTTCCTTTATTTTTTTTAAAAAAACTTTTATCTATATATATAATCTTCTATATAATACATAACCCCAATAAGCTTGCATTCCTATTAAAGACAGTTCACATAATAAAGCTCCTCCTCCACATTCACGTTTAGTTTAGTGCTTTCACACTGTTATTGCCATGCATCGTTTTAACTTTACAGCACCAATTCATATCTATTCTTAAATACACAGCCTGAACGTAGCGTTGATGCAAAAGACCAATCAAGATTTAAAGCAAGTCATTTTGGTTATTTCCAAATAAATCATTAATCATATATACACTACTTATTAGAACTACCAAATTAAAAAGAGGAAAATTTTCGTTAGTTCAATAAATTAATCCCCACGCTAATCCCGCACTTAGCTTGTGACTCCGCCACGTGGTCGAGTTATTTAACTTTTGTTGTTCTGTTAAAATTTGGGAGAGTGCTTTTGTTGAGCCCTGATTGGTGGATCCAAGTTACGGCGCGTCGTCCACTCTGGCGTCATGCCGTCAAAGCTGTCATCTTCCAATCTCGTTTCACCACGTGTCTACATTCACACCAATACGCATCCAAAAAATTGGCTCTGCTGCCACATAAAAAAAATTTTTTGAGAAAATTAAATTAAAAAAGGAGTCACAACTCACAACTCACAACAAAAGTAAAAGATACCTCTACCAAAATTGTTTTTTTTTTTTTTTTTCCTTTACCTATACATAATGTGTATGCATTGATTGTAAAAAGTATTATAGGATACATTATAATTTTGTTATATATATTTGTTTATTTGGTTTTGTTATATTACTAGTAATTGATAGTTTGACATACACACACAAATTGTATGAGATATAGTACTAGCTAGTATATGCATAGGTCACAAATATATCTTGGATAAGGATTTTGTTGTTAAGACCATATTTTATCAAACTTATCAATCATAAGTTCTTATTACAAATCTTTACATAAGTAAACACACTATATATGTTTATAGAATGGAATATTTGATGGATAATAATAATTGGGATTGAAACTTTGATGGGCAAATTATCCAAATTTCTAGAAATATTTGTTTTCCATTTTGTACGTTTCTGCTTGAATTATGAGCCATTCTACCAACCAAAGAAAAACAGTTTAACATTCTGTATTACTTTTCTTTGACGTGAACATAAAATCACTTATGAATATTTTCATTTTCATTATTTTGATCTACTTGCCAGTTTTATAAGTAAATTTTTCAAAAAATTAAAGATTCGCTTGTTATAATTATTGGTAGTTTTTTTATAGTTCTTATATGGATAAATCTGTGGTTTAGATCTATGCGGCATATAATTTCATGCTAATGATAATATATGTCTCAAGATCATGATTAAGTCATGGTTGTTACATTTTTTTATATAATGGGAATGGGAGAGAACTTACCAAATAATCAAGTGACTCTAGTCATATTCTCTTCTTTCTTTTAAGTTTTACCTTTTATTTAACGACTCGCATTTTGAAAATTCGAACTTAAACGGCTGAATTAGATCTAAAGAAAGCAATCATCTCATTGTATATTATTAAAAAAAAGTGGAAGATAAGGTAAAGTTTTGGTGCTTAATTATTGGAGGATAAGAAAATTAATCAAAAAGATTAGAATAAGAACCTAAAAAAAAAAAAAGAATGTCATATCTCTCTGTTCAGACTTTGTATTAAGACACCAAAACCCCATGCCAAAGTCATATTATTTATTATTACATATACTTTGTGTGAATCAGTGAATATGTTTATGTATATATATATAATCACATCACAAGTCTTTGCTTTTAACATTTTAAACCTCTCTCTTGTTCTCTCTCTCTCTCTACTAGTTCATAGTTTCTCTCTATCTCCTCTGTTTTTTTTGTTTTTTTTCTTGCTCTGTTCCATTCCAATGGAGGAACAAAACTGGATAAGAGGACCAATCATTGGACGAGGTTCAACAGCTACTGTCTCACTTGCGATCACTAACTCTGGTGACTTCTTCGCCGTCAAATCCTCTGAGCTTTCTTCATCGGCGTTATTGCGGAGAGAAGAGTCGATTTTGTCGAAGTTGAGCTCTCCTTACGTAGTCAAGTACATTGGGTCTAATGTAACGACGGAGAACGACAAGCCGATGTATAATCTCCAGATGGAGTATGTTTCCGGCGGGAGTATTCACGATTTGATCAAGAACTCAGGCGGGAAGTTACCGGAGCCGGTGATTAGGTCCTACACTCGTCAGATATTGAAGGGTTTGGTGTATCTTCACGGTCAAGGAATCGTTCATTGCGATGTGAAGAGCCAGAATGTGATGATCGGTGGAGAGACTGCGAAGATCGTCGATTTGGGTTGTGCTAAAACGGTGGGAGAGAATTGGAATTTTGAGTTTTCCGGTACACCGGCGTTTATGTCTCCGGAGGTAGCACGTGGTGAAGAACAGAGTTTTCCAGCTGATGTGTGGGCTTTGGGGTGTACGGTGATAGAGATGGCTACAGGGTCAAGTCCATGGCCGGAGTTAAACGACGTCGTTGCTGCGATTTACAAGATTGGTTTCACCGGCGATTCGCCGGAGATTCCGGTTTGGTTATCGGATAAAGGTAAAGACTTTATGAAGAATTGTCTAAGGAAAGATCCAAAACAGAGATGGACTGTTGAAGAATTGCTTCAACACCCGTTTCTTGACGAGGACAACGACGACGAAGCTCGTAACTGTCTGAATTCTTCATCTCCTAGTACTGTGTTGGACCAAGGTTTCTGGGATTTGTGTGAAACCTCGAGAACTCGAGCTTTAGTTAAAGCTGAGCACGAAGACACATTTGCAAATTTCTTATGGGATGATGATTCTTTACCGGCTGATCGGATCAAGAAACTCAGTTCCGGTGAACCGGAGTGGGAAACGAACGGGTGGATTGAAGTAAGGGGAGATGAAGAGAAACGTAACGATGACGAAGACGAAGAAGATGAGAATTGCGTTGAAGCAACGTCATCGGATGAGGAAGAGGAAGAAGAAGAAGTGGGAGGAGGATTAGAGAACTGGATCTGGGATCAAGAAGACAGCTTGTTCTTGGAATATTCCCCTGAGAACAACATTAATTATTTAAACTCTTTTAATAACCTCTTTCAAGAGGATATAATTCTATATTATTACCATCATCTTGAAGATGGTTTTGTTGTATCCAAAGTTTATTATGATGATTATGATGTTAGTAAGAATAGTCATTTCTTTAGCCACATTACAACTTCTTGTTTAGAGATTCCTAATTACAATCGATCTGACGCCTTTTTGATAACTTCACATGAAGGTATATATAGTGACAATTATTCTAAAGAGCAACAAGTGATTATCTATTTTTCTTAAGACCAAAGTACATATAGTATAGTATGACCCAAGTTGAAGATTATGTCATCTTATGACTAAATCAGTTTGTCGCATAATTTGCTACACATTCACATTTGACATTTGCGGTGACCTCCTTATACATAGTCAACTTTGGTACATTCTACTTAAATAAATATCAACTAGATGATCAGTTCATACTACTAAACTATAAATTTGAGATATATATAAAATGTATCACAATATATAATATTGACATTAGAAATGATCATGGTGGTCTTATGAAAACAAATGTCAACTAGAGGATCATTTCACCATGGTGGTCGTATATATTTTTTTTCTTCCTATAGACATGGAAAGAGTCCTCGCAAAACTGAAGTTAAAAAGTGATGATATCCACTGTGGAATAGAGCAATATAAGATCAATCTAAACTTTGTTAGGTATTAGACAGTATGTAAAGCTTCCAATCCCAAACCAGTAATACAAAGTGTTATAGATTTTATTATAAGATAATCTACTTGGTAAATACACATTTTAGTTAAACTTTGAAAAGCGGTGAGGGCAAAGTCATCGTCGTCGTCGGTTAATATGCGTTTTTGGTAAGGAAGTTAAGTACGGAAACCACTCTCTACAAATATCATGAGATTGACTTTATATGGAGTCCAATTATTTTTTAGTTTGGTCTACCATTTATCTATTTAAAGTATTATGTTTGTGTTTACCAAACCCTCAAAAGAAGTTCATTCAAATGTGAAAGCATAAGACTTTTTTTTTGATTTTGGGGGCTATAACCAAAGTTGGCGTTTACTTTTCTATACACTAAGCAAAGTTTGGTATTTCTTGACCAAGTTCATTCACGTTGACTTTTATTAATCTCAATTCTCTAGGTCCGATGCCTTTCATTAATTAGTAGTTAATAATCGAAATCGTCCTAATTAAGAATTTTCTTTTATGTATTCGTTTGTAAGTTTGGAAAATAATTAGTTTGTTGTTTTATAACATGTATTTAAGTCAAACAAGGTTTAGTTCTTATTTCTTAAATCAAAACTTGTTTTCCATGTTATAATATAATTGATTAAAACCAATGTTAAAGCAGGCTAGGTTAGCATATGGGTGTTCAACATACTTTCGACTGAAAACATTTTGTAGATTTCGAAATCAAAAGAGATAACTGAAAAGTAATCACACAAGTATGATGCATAAACTAAATTAAACGAATGATATCTTAATCAACACCGTACGTACAAAGCAATAAAAACTATATAGAGAAAGTAGGTTTAAGTGTCCCACTCAATGTCCGAACTCCAAAAAGGTTCGATTGTGAATCGGTGGTGAACAATGACTCTATGTGGATGTCAAAATGACCTCATGCATCAAAGTCAAAGCATCTTATTTTAGCTAAGTAAAAAAATAAGAGAGTAAAAACACACATCAATTTTTTCAGAATATGTTAAGAGAGCCATCATTGTTAACGAATTTTGTATATAGAATTGAAAAAGGTTGACTTTACAAAAGGTGGAAGTGTTGTCGTTGGCACACACACTCACTACACCATGCATATATATATATATATTATATCTTTACTCACCTTTTGAAAGAAAGAAAAAAAAAAAAAAAAAAGAGTTTTGCTCATCTTTCATGTATTCCACTTGGATTGCATAAGTAGGTGTATAACCCTAACCTTATCCATCTCAACTTCTAATCCCTTGTCACATATCATTAACATGAAGAAAAGCTTTTAATACTGCCAAAAGAGAATGACAAATTTTCTTCTAACTACGAAACCTAATACTACATATCCTTTAATCTTGGTTGTTATGTTCTTCTGCGTATGGTATGTTTAGTGAATATAGTTTATCAAGATACCTAACTGGTTTTTATATATATACTTATTATTCACACTGTTAACGTTCATTGAAGCATCTCATATATAAAAATCAAAGTTAAAGCTAAATAATCAAGGATCTTTACCAAGACACTGTGCAGGCAACACATCCCATCCACCACCATACCTAAAAACATTTTTTTTCTTCTTTACGAAACAATTATGTGATATTGGCCTATTGGGCCAAACTATCCTGGCCTATTTAGAAGCCTTCTCAACAAGAACCTTCCAGTTTAACAACATAAAACAACATTAATGTAATGATTAAGTTAGATTTATTTGACATTTTTGGGTGTGTAGCACATATATAGGATTTTTTTAATATTTCAATATTACATGTGTATATATATATATACTTCCATTTAATATTTTGATTTTCTGATTATCACTAAAATTATAAATATCAACATAGATTTCAAAGTTTCCATTCAATTTTAATAATCTTTTGTAGATTCTTTTCCTAAAAAGATATTTTACAAATTGAAATTTCCATTCCATGCTTACTTCATATATTAATTTCATGATTTATATTTCAATGTAATGTTTTTTTTTCTTCTAATATCTCCTTATTAATGTTAATAATTAAATTTATGTAACAAAACACCGTCTAAAAATGGTACGAAAAAGTAAATGTAAGAGATATTTTTCTTATATTATTGTTCTAGTCATTATAATCTTTAATACACCAAGATTATCTTTTTATTATTTAAATTTGCTTATGCTATACACATAAAAAGTTTTAAACAAAATTTCGTCTAATTATAGCTAGGGAAATAAAGATACAAGATAAATCTCTTTTACATTACAATGTCTAAGACACCAACATTATCTTCTTATTAATGTTATTATCAAATTTATTTAAGATATAAACATACATACTTTAAAATAAAATTTCGCCTAAAAATAGCGCGGGAAATGATCTATAAATATATCACTATCACACCTCAATCTTACATCAAGATCACAATAACTCCATAAGTTTTACTCTTTCTCTCTAGCTCTCTCGTGCTTCACAAAAGATGGTAAAACACTCTTCCCTTTGTTTCTTTGTTGTCTTTTCTTTTCCTTGTCTAAATCCGTTATCTTGTTTGTTCAGGCTTTATCTAACCAGCCAAACGTCAACTATCCAACCTTCAAGCTTCTCATCGTTGGTGATGGAGGCACCGGAAAAACAACCTTTGTCAAGAGACATCTGACTGGGGACTCTGATGAGCAGAACTATGACCGTTAGTATTTATGTAGATTGGTAGTGAATGGAACAAACAATGCCTATGTCATGTCTCTACTTCTTTTTGATGTTGATTTTTTTTTCTCTATATTTTGGACTTTGTAGCTACTGTTGGTGTGGAGATTCATCCTTTGGATTTGTTCACTAACCGTGGCAAGATCCGTTTTGAATGCTGGGATACTGCTGGGGAAAAGAAAAATGCTGGTCTTAAGGATGCACACTAGTAAGTACACACATTAAATCCAAACCTCAACGATGACCAAGTTTATCAATAACCGGAAATGTACGTTGTAACCTTTTAATTTACTTTCTTGTAGCATCCATGGCCAATGTGCAATAATCATGTTTGATGTCACAGCACGGGTCACATACCCGAGCATTGACAAATGGTACCGTGATCTCCGAAGGTACAAGAAAATCATCTTTGCATAATTGTGTTTATATATCTTGAACAAGAAAAAGGCTTAAAATTGTGATGTGGGATTGGATATTATATGGGAACAGGGCGTGTGGAAACATCCCGATCGTTCTATGTGGTAACAAAGTTGATGGGCCGCGTAGACAAATCAAAGGGAAGCACGTTTTGTTCCACAGGCAGAAGGGTCTGCAGTACTATGAGATATCTGCAAAGAACGGTGACAACTTTGAGAAACCCTTTTTGTATCTTGCAAGAAGACTTGCTGGAGACGCAAACCTTTGCTTTGTGGAGCCACCAGAACTTGCTCCACCTGAACCGCACATTGACATTGATACTCAGCTCATGTAAGTATATATACAGCTTTATGATAGCTATTTCACTGAGAGCGTCTTTTGTTTGTTTGTTTGTTTGTTTGTTTATTTAACCTTTTTCTGATTTATCTGTTTGAAGTCATTTTGATGGATTGAAGCTGAGCGCGTAGGAGCGGCAACTCAGCAAAGTCCCTGATGATGAAGATGCCCTTTTGAATTGAAAAGTCTTCTCGATCGAGTACTCTTTTAGTTATTTGTTGTTTAGCTTTGAGAGTCGTCTGTAATAAAAATAAATATTGTCATTAAGACCAGTTTATCCAGTATCTTAGGCTAAACCCTTCTCCTTTTGGTAATGGTTTGAGTCATGTTCGTGTACCTTTTCTGCATTCTTTACATTTGTAATTGAATTGACGGACGTCGGACATATATATATATATATTTAAGAATCCTAAATAAATTCATTCCAACTAAAAAAACTAGTTTTATATTCTTAATTTGTAAGTAAATCTATAATTTTAAAATCGTTGATTGTCAAATATACACGTTCCGACGTTCATTTATTCACCATTTTTCAATCTAGTGTAGATTGCTCCTTTGAAATCGTCTTATCTATAAAAAGGATCAGAATCAGAGAGTTGTAAATTAGATTTTTGAGAGATTTGACTGTTCTTGGTTCATAATTTTCTTTTTTTTGAAAACTAGATAGATCTCATAAATGATTAAATGTCCTCAACAGGGAGGTTACAAGAAAAGACTGCCTTAGCTAAAGCATCCGCCTGAAGGTTTTTGTTCCTAGAAACATGATGAAAGGTTCTTGGTTCATGATAAGGTTAATAAAATACTAGTAAAATAGAGAGTAACTCAAGACAAGAATTGATCAAACAGTCTCTTCGTTATTTCTTTATCACTGAGATTGCTCCCTTAAAATCGACTATGTCAATGTCTGCGTAACAACTCTTTGAGACTTACGACGCGTCACACGACACCGAGCTACATGTCATACTTGCAGCATTGCTACTCTCATCGGGAATAAGCATACACCACTCCACGTTTGAGATCAAATTTTCAGTTAATGTCAGGTGAGGTCTCACTTTTCAGTTGTCATGGTATTATGTTTTTGATCTTTACATACATAATAATTGGCTAAACTGATACTACGTTACTAACAAGAAATCTTTCCAACAAGCAACACAGCAAAATGCAACTCCTTCAATATCAGTGGCATTATTTTTTTTTAAGTCAAAATTGTAGCTTTCTTCTTTTGTTCAAAGACTGTATATGAATGTTGAAAGACAAAAAAAAAAAAACTCAATACACCGATGCTTTCCTCGCCCGGCAAAATATCTTGAAACTTTTAAGAAACTCCCAAAAAAAGTTTCGTTTTTTTCAGAGCATCATTTGAAGATTGCAATACCTGTAATTGTTCACCTGAAAGGAAACTGGTAAAAAGACCAGAAACTTATGATTACTTCTGTCTCAGATCTTTCTCATATGTCAAGGAGAAGCCTCTGGGGATCTTCCACAACATCCTTAATACGGCGCAAGAAATACACAGCCTCTCTTCCATCAATTAGCCTGTGATCGTAAGTCAGCGCGACATACATCATTGGCCTTGGTACTACGCTTCCTCCCACAACCATTGGACGTTGCACAATCGAATGCATTCCAAGAATAGCAGACTACACATGAGATATAATTTTTTTTGCAATTAGTTAGGAAACAATACCAAGTTCCTCTGTCAGGTTTTTAGTATCGAGAGGATAGAACCGAACCTGAGGAGGGTTGATGATAGGAGTGCTTATGAGACTTCCATAGACACCACCATTTGATACTGTGAACGATCCTCCTGCCATCTCGTCGATTGATATGGTTCCTTCATTAGCCTTCTTAGCAAGACCATTTATCGTTTTCTCAATGTCAGCAAAGTTCATTTTGTCAGCACCTCTTATGACTGGAACCACGAGACCCTGGAATACAATACACAAAGAAAATGAATCAATCAATACTACCCCAAAAGTTCAAGATGATATATGTTTCAATGTTTGGATATCTCTATCAAGAGAATTGCGGAAACTAACCTTAGAGGTACCAACAGCGATACTGATATCCACATAGTCTCTGTAAATGATATCATCTCCGTCAATAACTGCATTTACTACTGGTTGGTGCTGGAGGGCACTGACAGCAGCCTAAAATAAACAGTTGAAGAAGATTATTTATGCGGTTGAGTTCTGATATGTTAATTAGTTCAGGATACTTTTCAGTATTATAAGCATACTTTAATGAAACCAGACATAAGCCCCAACTTCACTCCGTGCTTTTCAAAAAATGCATCCTTGTACTGAGATCGGAGCTTCATCAGATTAGTCCTGCGTGAGGATGAAATTTTTTGTTAGTGAATTGAGAGTTGGGTAATAATACTTGCACTTAAAGAATTGCAATGATAAAGAGGACATATCAACATGGGCTGTTATCTGTAACTCACATATCAACTTCATTGAAAGTTGTCAGCAACGCGAAAGTGTTTTGAGAGTCTTTCAACCTAGTTGCCACCCGTTTGCGAAGTCTTGTCATAGGAACCTGCAATGTAGTTAGATAGCATATCACCAAATCATATTCACGTACAAAAAGCTTTTCCTTTCATAGAGAAAACACACAAAACATTATGTAAGTAAAATCATAGTGACATAGTTTGCATACCCGTCTTTCCCTATCCTTAGGAGGAAGCTGCGGTTCTTTAGCTGACTGTTTAGGCGGTGGTGGCGGTGACGGCGCCTTGGGTTTCTCTGCAACTTTAGTACTTTCAACTTTGGGCTTCTCAGCAGGAGTAGAAGGCTTGGGAGCAGGTTTCTCTGGTATCTTTTCTGAGGGTGCAACATGAGCATCGGCAGACGTAGAAATTATGGCAACCTTGTGTCCCGGTTCTACAGTATCTCCTTCCTTGACTAGAAACTGCATAAAAGAAACACGGAATTGGGCATAGGAACACAGGAGAAGAAGCACAGGAACAATAAACGACACAAATATTTTACCTGTTTGATTACACCACTTGCAGGGCTAGCAATATCAATTGTAACCTAAAACATAGAAATAGATCAAACACTAGTGTTAGGAAAGCTACACCAGCTACCAGCCAACATATATTGGGGAAAAAAACATGGAGATAATAAAACAAGCAATTGTTTGGTACCTTGTCTGTTTCAATTTGTGCAATAGCCTCGTCAGCCTCTACTCTATCACCAGGTCCTGCAAAAACAAATTTAGAAGCACAGACAATAGTAATATTAGATACATACATGCACCAGAAAGAAACAAGCAAGAAGACAATGCAAAGAAAAGCATACTCTTCAGAAAATTAGCTAGGGTTCCATCTGTAATTGATTCACCCATGTGAGGCACAACAGCTTCCACAACATCCCCTGCAATCACAATACAAGGAACTGTCAAAAAGCATAGAATTACAGGTTACAGTAACAGTTGAGCCACACAGTTCATAACAATCAGAATGAGAAATGAAATGAACATTGTAGGTTCAGCAGGGACAATATTGAGGGGGCAGTTATCAAAGGTCACTTGACTAAGCCACTGGTGTTCCAAACGTGGTAAAAAATCAAAATAACTTGACATAAAGGAAAATTTCCATCTGGGACAATCATACCACTATCAGATGAAAAGGGCCTGACCCATCTTTGCAAAGCTGTGCCTTGGTAACCGCTGAAAACAGTCCTACACAAATGAATACAACATTTTTAACGAAAAATTGTGGGAGATATGATTCTATAGTCTATAACATGAACAAAAAGAAAAAGCTTCCTAACCTTGAGCACTCTGAACACCCTGAAAAAAGATGCAAATAAGAGAACAATTATCAACTACACACGCCTCAACTAGTCGAAAATGTAAAATCACATAAAAGAAAAGAAAAGGGAGTAATAATAACCTGGACAAGAACGACGGTGATGGAAGCTACAAGCATTGTTTCCACGAGGCACCAGCGTCTGTACAATATAAAAATAAACAACTGAATATACAATAAGAGAATCAACTGAAATGTCCCCAAAAACAAAACAACGTGAATCATGAATATAAATATAGTACCTGTGTAGCTGAAACAGAATGAAAGCTCTGAGCAGACGCTGCAACACGAGAAGATTGCAGTGATTTCCCCAATCCCTGAAAGAGAGAGATCAAACTTTTTTTTAAAAAACCTACCACATCGGGAAATCAAACAAGGACGAATGAATCTAAACACTAACCGAAGCAGAAGAAGAGCCTCTACTGGAAGCTCTCCTAATAACAGCACGCAACATCATCGCACCAAATCTCTGCATCATTTTTAAAAAACCAACAAAAAATAGAGATGTCGGTGAGATTCAACACTCGTAATCGTAAACAAAACAAAAAATCATCGGAAAATGGAATCATGTGTTCATCTGCGACAATACTTTTCTCAAAATCAGAAAACCCAAATAGAGAGTGTTCAATCGAACTATTCCAAACCAAAAAAAATAGCTCAGATTCGTAACTCTATTGCGCGATTCTTAACAACAACAAGGAAATTGAAATCAGAAGAGAAATCGAGAAATCTAACCGAAGAGGTGGAGAGAAACTTGAGCGCCGAATGAGAAAGTTAGGGTTATGCAGGAAAATTATTCAAGGAAGAGAGAGAAGGAGCTGAGGAAAAGCATATGACCTTTCTCATCTTTGAGCAAGTCACAAGAATATGGCAAATTCACTGTATTTTACACGTGTCCATTTTCCTTTTTCCTTCATTTAAACGAATAATTTAAGATCTCTACGATTATATAATTTATTACAAATCTGGGATTCAGTTTTATTTGAACTCTCGAAAACGACGCCGTCAGTAACACCAAACAGCTCATGGGCCCAATAGCCCATATTATTACCCAAGCGAAAATAAGCGAATTGTTTATTAAAACGATGCCGTTTTAATTCGTACTTTCTGAAACACTTTCACATCTTGTTCATTTCCATTTCCATCAGATTTTACTTTCCTTGTACATATCCTTCTCCTTCATGATATATTTTTTTTTTTTGGGTAAACGTCTCCTTCATGAGAAAGACAAATAGACAAACCTTCTTGCATCGGGGTACTTAATTGACCTCGAACGGGTGAAGAGTCATCTCCAGACGGAGTTATTCATTTTCAGTCCAGTCTGGTGGAGAGTGCCATCTGACAAAATCTTCCAAAATACAGCCAGGATTTGCTGCATAATAAAGAGGTACAGATCTAAACAATTTCATCCCAGCTACAATTTTGTTTCCTTGTATGAGTGCTTATTATATTCCTAACATCAATAGGAGTGTTCGTTTTAAAATAATCATCAAATGAAGATCCACGAGGTCTTCATTGTCCCCTTGTTTGATTCTACTATTATTCAGGTCACCCAACATCTGATTTGCCTCCTTTTTTTTTTGTTTTATTTCTGGATTGTAATTGATTGCTTAATATGGTGGATTCATGAATCAGGAATTGCATAAGTTTCTGACTTTAAGATTTCCCACTACTTGTTCTTCAATCTTTTCGATGTTCTTCTTAGGGTTATGCTATTTGGTTTCGCTGAGCTATTAGATTTTGACCTAAAGTTCCTAACTTTTGGCATCTTTAGACTTTGTTTTGTCTCTAATTATGGTCTTTGATTTGTGAAGTTACCAGAGAAGTGAAATAGATGATGAGTCTTTGTTTAGATCTTCGTCTTCTTTCTCTTAGTTAGTTCTTTTTTAACTGATACAAATTGTTCTAAAAATTGGTTGCAGATTGTTTTGAAACTAATTGCTCCAAGCTCAGTTTTAGCTCAAGATGGATACTACTAGAGATGATGAATTCACATTCTCAAAAGTAAGTTTCCACCCATTTTCCTGAGGATTTCAGTTTGTACAAACATGAAAGTTTTAGAATTTATGATTTGATTTGTGGCTTGCTCCATTTTGAAAGGTTGCGGGAGCAGATAGTGAAGTTGTTATTGAGGCAAAAGAGCTTGCATCAAATGTGGGAAGTATTACCCTTGACGATGGATTAGATCAACCAAGCAATGGTCTTATTTGGAAAGATAAGTCTCTTCCTCCAAAGGAAGAGAAAATAGGTTCTTTGTCTTTCGCGGTGATTGATTCTTCATCTTTAAAAAAGCCGTCCAATGAATCATCTGAGACTTTTAAAACTCCAGCTAGAAAGCCTGTAACTCGTACCAAAGTTCCCTTTGAAAAGGGTTATAGCCAAATGGATTGGATGAAACTTACACGAACACATCCGGATCTTGCGGGTAAGCAAATCTTTCTTTAGTCGTCTTTTCCTAGACCACATTTTTGATGTGTTACATACATGAAGCGGCAATGGGTTTTGCAGGACTGAAGGGAGAGTCAAACAGGAGGCTTATTCCAATGGATGAAGTAAAGAAGCACAGATCAGGAGATTCTATGTGGACTGTTTTGAAAGGTCGTGTGTACAACATATCACCTTATATGAATTTTCATCCCGGAGGTGTAGATATGCTGATGAAAGCGGTTGGGAGAGACGGTACACTCTTGTTCAACAAATACCATGCTTGGGTCAATTTTGATATCTTACTTGAGAAATGCCTTGTTGGAGTTTTGGATGAGACCAAAGTGAAGAAACAAGAAGCCTAATTGCTATTTGCTAAAAGGCTGAGATGATCATATACTCGTGTAGAGGTATTTACAAGTCAATAAGAATTTAAATAGTGTTTACATTCTGATTCTTCAAATGAAAACGTTGATCACTATATATGTATGTACTGTGTATTAGACTTTGTTAAAACTCATTGATGTCAATATATTCAAAGCTTCCAGAGAATCATTCATCACAATATGTGATTTTCCCTAAGTTAAATATTTGTTTACAATCTGTGATTGCCCCAAGTTAATCTCAAGTCAATGTTCCATTACAAGTATTGTTTGTATCAAACTAGGTTGACTTACCATTACCCAATCACAAAGAGGGCAAATTAAGAACAAAGTGTTTTGTTTTTTTCTGGCCAATGAGATCTGGACAAAGCTTTTACATCTTATTCACTTCCATTTTAAATTTTCCCTTCAGAAATGTTGTAAATGAGATAACTTTACAGTTACCAACCAATTGATCAACTTAACAACCTAAAGACCGACAAAACCAAAATACCTGAGACATTACTCAAAAAACCAGATGAAACAAATCAAATAATTAGGAAGAATTCAGACAGGAGTCACATTTTCATGTCTAGGAGGTCTCTTTGCAAACAGATTGCCATCAAAAAGACTAGAGAATGATTGGCGCGGGCTAGGTTCAGTGCTTTTCTGTTCACTTTCTGATGGAACTCTTGTCTGCTTTCGTTCTTTACTACCGCGAAAGATGAAACCGAGTCGCTTAAACCGGCGTTTCGTTTCGCTTCCACTTGATGGCGAGTCCTCTGTTTGTTTCATTGATCTCAAAACTTCTTCTGGACGTAATAACATTGTTTCCACGGTCTCGTAGACCTGTTATGAACCAAAAAAACAAACCACGTCTTTAGTTTCTATTTTAATTCTACAAGTTAAAATGCAATTAGAATGTCTGGTTACTTTGACATCTAATATAACGTTCTGAAATCTCTTAAAGTGATAGGTGCATCTTTATTTTGAGATTTCCGAGCATGTTTATACGTTGTTGAATCTGTGCACAGCTCTAGTAAGTACCTGGCAGAGATCATCAAGCTTATCGTTCCATGCGCCTCCCTGACAAATAGCAACCACATAATCCTTGCATTCGAAGAAAAGCTTTGACAAGTCATCGTTTGCAGCTAAAACTGGCTCCACCATCACAAAGCCCAGGGAAAGCTGAAAATTTTAAAACCAGTCCAATCGTCAAAGTACTGACTACAGCTAAAATCCTATCTGTTAAATCAACGACATCCGTAGTAGCGCAAGTTAGAGAATTTGATGTTGTTATTTTTCAGTTTCCTGGAGATTAATGAACCTAGTTCTAAGAAGATACTACAACATGAATTTAGGGATTCACGTGTTTACAAACGCCAATTTATAATGAGGAAATGTGCATAGTAACTGAAGAATCTTCTGTTACATAAGGTGTCAAGGGATGTGCCATGACCTTACAGATAGAGAGCTTAAAGAAATAATACGCAATTTGATAGGAAAAACTTACTAGTGAAACAAACAGCTGCTCGAAAAGTTCAGTGGCTGGAATGTCTTCCAAACAATTCAAGATTCCTTCTCTATTATGAGCAATGGACAAGATCTCCATGAGTGATCAAATACAGATTTCACTACATTTAAGATGACATGTTATTGAAACTTACACAGCTAAATCTTCATCAAAGAGAGGTGCTTGTTTAACAGCAGGCAATGGTTTAGCTGTTTCCCACAGCTCGCGCCATAAGTTACCTAATAATAGGTTAAAAATATTAAAAGTTGGGAAGACCCGACTTGGAATATTCGAGTTATGATTTTAACACAGAAAAACTGGGGCATGGGTAATTCACGAGAGAAAGACAAATATATGAGAAAAAAGACAAACCTTCTTTCTGCATCCGGGTACTTAATTGACCTCGAACGGGTGAAGAGTCATCTCCAGACGAGTTATCATTTTCAGTCCAGTCTGGTGGAGAGTGCCATCTCACAAAATCTTCCAAAATACAGCCAGGATTTGCTGCCTAATAAAGAGGTACAGATCTAATCAATTTCATCCCCAGCTACAATTTTGTTTCCTTGTATGAGTGCTTATTATATTCCTAACATCAATAGGAGTATTCGTTTTAAAATAATCACCTTGAAAGCCTGCATGTCAGACAAGAGTTGAGAACATCCAGCCCCCATGCTGAACCATAAGAAAGACAACAATCCAATCTATCAAGATAATTGGATATCTGAAAAATGTCTCAAATATTAATGAAATGGAATATATATATTATTAAGCCAGAAAACACGTCTATTATTTATTTTTTTGGTAAATAGAAAACACGTCTATTATTATTTTTCATCTAACACATCTAAAACACTGTTCCTGGTCTTTCAGTTACTAACTCAAAATATAATAGCAGATTGTTTAACCTTCAGATATAATATTGCTGTGGCATATAAATTTTATATCACACTACGACAAACAAATGATCACACTGACCTCCCTGTCCGAAGTACTAATTCCTCTGTTTCTCTAATAAGATCTTCTGTCAACAGGGGACCTTCCTACATGGATATAAACACCCTATGACTTCAGAGATAGAAAAGGTAGCTACAGTTTTTTATCAACTGGGACTGAAGTTACAAACCTGGGTTATTGGGGCATACACAGGCTCACCAGTTTCCAACATTGTTAAGTTCTCAACTTGGTGATAAATTCCCAGGCGGAGTATGAGTTCTCCAGAGTTACTTTTAGCATACAAAAGAGAAGCTGGAGACCCCATTGCTTCTGAAACGTCTGAATCTTGATTGGCTTGCCTCATTACCGCATCTAATGCTTCAGAAGCAGCTAAGCAGCGTGCTTTCCTGGCAAGACAGCAGTTTATAACCTGTAACCATTGGTGCAGTAGGCAACTTTTCAAATCTGGAGTCTTGTCTAAAGGTATCCATGGTATAGGTTTCTCTTCATTCCAAAATCTCCTCATCTGCACATGTAGATTATTAGAGGGAAATTACAAAACTAAAAAGAGCTACAATATGTCACATTCTGTTGTAGTGACATATCAAAGGACGTTAACAAACAGAGTGAACTGTCCACTAAGAAAAGTGAAGAAGGAACTAAAATGAAAAGAAATATTCTAAATCCAAAATCTGCAACACAAAACTTACTTCATCAACCACCCTGCACCAGAACAAAGCCATTCTCCTTGGTGTTGTAAAACTTCCAATTACTTCAGCTAGCTTAACAACAAAGCTACTAGGGGGAGCAGCATGAAGATCTTTTGCGAAAGATGCTTTGTTGGCAGGAGACTCCAAATCAGAGACAATCTTTCTGCTGAGGAAGCCACTATCTGTAGAGCATTTGCAAAGAGGGATTTATAAATAGCTGTATCTTATAGTTCAATGAAGAAAAATATCTCCATCTAAGGCAAACCTACCAACATTAAACAAGGCATTTACTAGAGAAACAAGTTTATCTTCATCTCCTGAATCAAAACCAAGCTTATCCTCTTTTTCACCAAGAACCAGCGATTTCACTGCAGAGAGGCTCAAGCCGCTCCTCTCCCTCACTGGTGATGAACTTCCAGATGATGCAACAAAGTCTTTCACAGTCTTGGCCCTTTTTCCCGCTCTGGAAAAACAAAGTCATTGCAAAATGCTTTAGCCAGAGAATACATAAATGGGTGAACACATATACTACAAATTCAAACCTCAGTGGGTATAAACTACATGAAATAGAAAGAGGGAACGATCTAAACTGTGTTAAAACTTATGTATCAAGACTCACTCGATTGCTGCAGCCAGCTGCTTCACAATGGATGCCAGAGGAATGTTGTTCGCATCAACGGCATTTAAAGATTCTACCACGAAGCCGACATCAGATGCCTAGAAATTGGCGTCCAAGTATTATCATATAAACACAGAGAAGTAAATAAAGTCTTGACTACAGGCAAATAGCATGTTTGTAGCAGCAAAAGCGATCTGAAAAACTGGAGCAGTAATACCTTGGCTTCTTGTTCTTGCTTGGCTTTAAGAATAAATAAATTCTCGTCATAGAAAGGGGCAGCCATGGTTGAATCCTCAGCTTTGTCTTGATCTTCAACTTCTTTTTTCCCAATTCTCAAGTTTTTCAGTTTGTTTTGCCACTCTTGCTTCTTCCTAATATGTGCAGTTCTCCATCCCTGAGGCTTCACTTCATTCTCCTCCTGTTCCCAACAATTCCAATTAGCAGAAACTAAAAAAATGTATCAATGCTCAACACTCACATAGCATTTCATCAACATCATCATAAAAAAAAAAAAATCGAACACATATAATAACAACAGTATAAAGCTCTTTGACATACTTCAAAATGGTTCAAGTAAACTGCTTTTTTTCCTTCTTCTCATCATCCCAAATAAAAAAACACACATCTATCTATGTTCTGCAATTATTCTTACATGGGTGAGAGAAGAGCAAAGTGAACAGCTTACTACTTGTCAATCCCAAAATTTCAAATCCTTTCAAAATGTATATAATCATTCATATTCTTTTCCTATTCACTTTCCCGAGAACTTTTTTTCTAAATTCGAATCTATATCATACTATTGCACAAGATGAATTGATTCCATAACTGTGCAAAGAATACCTTAGAGTCATTCTCATTCCTTGATGATTGCTTCTCCTCCTCTTCAACAATTCCAATTAAACAAAATCAAATAAACATCACGAAATTGAATTGAAGTTTGACTCCAGAGCGAACGATAGATTTGAATTATGACAAAGAGAGAAGAACCCAAAAATAGAATTCGAATTAATCCAAACCAGAGGTCGAGCGATAAGCATCAAAAATCTATTCATCAGTCAAATTTTAGTAAATGAGAGAAAGGAAGAAAACAAAAACAAATTTTTAGTCAAACAGAAGCGGAAGCTACGGGAAAAAAAAATGGAAAATTGAAATTATATGTACCACGATCAGATTTGAGATCAGTGAAGACGCGCTCAGCTTTAGCCGCGGCGGAATTGAAGGCGGTTCTAGCTTTAGAGACAAAGGACGGCGGCGCCGTCTCCATTATCGTGCGCACCTGTACGTGCGCAAGTTATTAAATTTTTTTTGTCTTTTCTTTTTTTTTTGTCAACTACACGACATTGAAAGATTGAGGAAATAGAGAAGACGATGAAGATGAAGATGAAGATGAAGGAGGTGAGATCAACGAGCAAGACGAATTTACGAAGC